CTAGAATTTACCTATTGTTTTATTAAGTCCCACGTGTATTACTAATCACCATGATTAGAGAATTGGGATGCAGTTCTAATCCAGTAGTGCACCTAAATTAATATAATAAATTTTAGGGTTTGAATCAGTCAAGTCATTAATGTAGTAATCTGAATAATCGATCGAGCTCCAGAAAACATATAAAAGGACAACGTTTTCAGGAGATAAAAGATCATCTTCCATAATCGTTTCTTGTAAATAATTTATATATTATGTATAAACAAAATAGAACAAGCAAGTAACAAGTCAAGTAACTTCGAATAAGTACATTAGCTCGATATAAGCCGCTTAATATATAAGACCGTTTTAGTAATTATACTATCGACTATAGTTGATTACTGTCTCGATTATTTGAATTACTATTAATATTATTTGCGCTTCCCTGGAATACACAAAGAACTTCACCACACCATACTACAACAGGCTCTGTTGTAGATCAATCTTGATATTATGATTATAAAAATATTGTTAGGGTTTTGTGATGATTGTCAAGAAAAGTTCTAGTTTGGATTTATAGGACTTAGGGTTTGTTGGTAAATCCCACATGATTGTTGAATACTATGTAACAAAATGAAACATTCATGAAACATTAAATAGCTAATTAAGGAGAAATGTATCTACGGTGACAGTCGTTACAGAACCTCAAATAAGAAACTATCAACCCATAGTTCATATATAAAGGACCAGTATCTTGGTATCTAAATTTATATGTTTGGTTGATTTATAAATATGTAGCACATTGTATAATACAAAAAAGAACAAGCAATAATCGTTTAATTCTCCTAGATATATATAACGTTCTTATATATTTGTTATTGCCCTTACTATTCGTTCAATAGTACTGTTAAAAAAAAAAAATTGGTCCTAAGTCCAAACTATAACATATTCTTATTGTAGTATGGCATGGTGAAATTCTTTGTGTATTCCAGGGAAGCGCAAATAATATTAATAGTCATTCAAGTAATCGAGACAGTAATCAATTATAGACGATAATATAATTACTAAAACGGTCTTATATATTGAGCGGCTTTTAATGAGCTAATATATTTATTCGAAGTTACTTGACTTGTTACTTGCTTGTTGTTCTATTTATGTTTATATATAATATATAAATTATTTACAAGAAACGGTTATGGAAGATGATCTTTTATCTCCAGAAAACGTTGTCCCTTTATATGTTTTCTGGAGCTCGATCGATTATTCAGATTAGTACATTAATGACTTAACTGATTCACCCTAAAATTTATTACATTAATTTAGGTGCACTAGTGGATTAGAACTGCACCCCAATTCTCTAATCATGGTGATTAGTAATACACGTGGGACTTATTAAAACAATAGGTAAATTCTAGATTTGTTAAATCTTATGTAATCCAATCTCTTTATTATGCAGCATCTAATTTCGTAGCACGTATATGGCTTATTAAAATAATAAATAGTTCTAGATTCATTCAGAATCTTATATAATTTTGATGGTAATAATTATTCTATTCCACAACAGCTGTGTTGTAATATAATGTAGTCAAAGTTTTGTGTTATTCGGGGAAGCGCTAGAAATATCGAACGGATAATCTATTAATAATCAAGACAATAATTGATACAATCGGTAATGCAATTATTAATACGGTCTTATATATTAACTACTATATCAAGCTTATATAATTATGCTATTTGCTTATTGTATTCTGCGTTCGATGTTCGTTGGTTGTTGCGTTGTTCTTCTATATATAATATATATAAATTATGTATAAGAAGGGAGTGACGGAAGATAGTTTTCATTTTCAGAAAACGTTGTCTTTTTGTATGTTTTCTGGAACTTGATCAACTATTCAACTTGATATATTAATGAATTAGTAATCCATATCTTATTATTAGTTACAATAATATGATCGAAGATCATAGAACATTAAGGACAATAGGTTATGGTGGCGTAGTAGAAACTATAATGAACATGGTGTACATAACATAATATGTTATGGTGGCACAGTAACAGAGATGTGTAAACATGCTGTACAAAACAGGTGGCAAATGGACACGTTATACTTAAAACACAATAGATAACTTAGATTCAGATAGAATCTTACGTAATCTCGGTGGCGTTGCCTCTTTATGTTACAATAGCTGTTGTTAGTTATAAAGTATATTATTAACATCAAGATTATAAAAGATTCTAGACAAATTAAGAATTATTTATTATGGTTATATACCACATATTTACATACTCCTGCTACTATGTTACTATAATACATTGTTTAAGCTGCTCCAGGAGGTTCTATTGAATTATTACAATTAATGATTAGGGTGTGAATTATTAATTCACTAATACATCAACTGTAATAGTTTATCGAGTTTCAGAAATGAAAAAAAGAATAACAATTTTAGTAGATAATCCAGCTTCTGTTTTTTTTCTTTCATATATAATTTATAATATATGTAGGTGTAAAGCACGAACAAGAACATTAAATAAAATAGTTGTTTTTGTATAGCATTGCTATTAAAGACATCATAGTAATTGATTATCTGTTGTAAAAATTACTGTCCTTGAATTTTTATTATACTTTCTGCACTTCCCATTTATAAACAGTTTTATATTATTGTGAATTTTTTTATCAGAACACTTGTAAAATGAGAATTTAGTATTGATAATAAAGTAAACTTGTTAGAATTAGTATTATAAATATATATATTTAAAGATAATTTTTATAATATAAATATTATATGCAGCCTCTAGGTGTAAACCCAAGACATTTAAAGATATATAGTGTAATTTATTCTATTTTTGAGTTATTCAATACGATAATTTTTGCTTAGTAAATACAACTCTAAGTATAATTCAGAAAAATATTGGTTTAGTAATACATTAGGTCTTATGATTATTTTTTAAAAAAATTGGTAAGTAGTTGTTTATTTTACCAGTTTACTTATCATATTTGGAAATAACATTTTACATTTAGTTTAAGTATGTTTACTTTTCGCTAAACAAAATAAAATTTTACCAAATAAAATTTTGTAGCAAATGTAAAAACAGTAATGTCATTATAGATATTTTCTTTAGTATATAGATTTCAAAATACAATTTCTGAATATGATTTTTATATTTATATACGGTTCTATGTATTGTACTTACTTTTTGTGATAAAACAACTTTTCTTGTTTATTTTTATTGAAATAAAATGTTCTATAATGAAATAGATAGAACAATAAGATTTTAGCAGACACTAAACGATAAATTGTTGAGTAATAATTGTTGAGAGGTCACCAAATGTTGTTGAGTTTGTTTATTAAATATCTTACTGTTCGTAGAGGAAAATGGTTGAATGTTAACATATATAAAGCCAAGGATTTCATCATACATTATTTTTATCTTATTTACAATCTTTGTATATAATTATTTCTATGTTGTATATAGAGAAAGAAAATGAAGAACTTTATTATAATTTTGTATACTAAATCTGTTTAATATAATATTGAGAATGTTTACTATATATCCAATGAATAAAGGCGCTCATTCTCAACAATTTTCCAAAGAGAGTACAAGAAAAAAGATAACAACAAAAATTTTAAATTAATTGTAAATGTTGACGCAAAGCTTTGGAATCAAAAATTCTATTAGTGTTCATTCTAAATTAATATAAAAAGATAATATAACTTATAGCAGGATATTAGTGGTACTATAAATTGTTGTCATATTACTCATCTTTTTTTGTTCTACATACTTGATACACATATATAACGATTGTACACCATACTACATATTATTTTAACTCTTCTTTTATAAGTTACTATAAAAAATTTCAATCATTTGCTACAAAGAATTTAGATTATCACATAGATCTCTAATCTTATTTCAATATAAATTAAAGGGAAAAAATATAAAGGCTTGATAAAGCTTAAATCCATTGTTTAACATACTTAGTTACTTTATTGGAAACCTACAAAAATAAATTTAATATATAATATTACTATTTCTATCACTTACAGTAAAATTGACTTATCCACACACATATATATTTCTGAATTTAAAAAAAGCTACAAAACAACAATGTGTTCCTGTTAAAATTCGCTTATTAGAAAGCGTAAAAAACTGAATGGTTTACCTTTTCAGGTAGTTTAGAGAAATTTATTAGACAACAGACTAGTAGTAAGTCTTTTGACACCTCTAATACTGTAAGGAACAGTAATTAATTCACTTGATATATTAATTTTTTAAAGGAAGAAGAGATTTCGAACATTTTTGATTTGAAAATTTTACAGAAAAATGAAAAAAGCTGTATATTCTGAAAACAGTATTTGTGATACATTTATCCTTTAGTATACTCCACTAGAACATAATGAATGAATAATTAATGCACACAAAAAAGTGCTAAAAAAGAAGTTTAATAAGTGAAGCTTCAAAATAGCACTGCTCTGTTAAACAAAGATATACTCATATCCTTGAATAAATAATTGGAGATAATTTCAAAAAACCTGAATTACATCGACCATACAGGTCAAATAATAATATCAATTGGAAAAACATTAATTGATTTTGTTTCTTTTTTGTCATTTATGAGAAAAATCTTATGACAAATTATCTATTTTCCTTTTTTGTCACAGAAGGTATTACATATTAAAAAAATTACATCGATTCTTTTTTTTGGTGTGTTTTTTTTTTTTTTCATTTGGAAAAACGATATTGTGAAATTTCGTGAAAGCAAAAAAAAAATAAATAAAAAGTAGTTAGGGATCTTTTCCCACGTATTTATTCATTTAGCAAGTAATAATGGTTAAGTATTTTTTTCTTATTAGCTATATTATTATATATCAGTTAGCTACATGTCTAATAGAAATAAACATCAATTCTATTTTAGTTATGCCTATCTGGTCTATCTAAAAAGTTACACCAGTAAACCTTACACATAACTAGTGATTTGTCTATTTGCAACCGCTTGATTCAATTTTTCAAAAATTATTGCATAAAAATGCTAAAACAAAATACCTCTTTATTAGCCAATAGAAATATTAGAAGCATGTCTACTTTCACTGTTGGGTGTAGATATGGTTCTCCATTTCATTCACTAGCGTCACGCTTATATATTCCTATAGCAAATAAAAATAATAGTATAATCAGACAAAAAAACATAGTACCAAGTACAAATTTCGTAATGATTAAAAGGCTCTATTCAGAAAAAAGCACCACGTCGACTAATGGTATGAATGTACCTAAAGAAATTATCGATTTACCACTAAACACATATCACAACGAAGCTGACAAGATTCTCGATTCGATTTTTGAACAATTGGAGATACTAAGTGAGGATTATCCTGAATTAATCCCTGAAGTAGAACTAGAGCATGGTGTTATGACATTGAAATTGGCAAAATTGGGTCCATATGTGATTAATAAACAACCACCGAACAAACAGATTTGGCTTGCCTCCCCAGTTTCAGGACCAAATAGATTTGATTTTTATCAAAATGAATGGATTTCTTTAAGAAATAATATTAAACTTATAGATCTGTTAAACAAGGAAGTAAAAATGGCGATGCCAGGACATGATATAACTATTTCAAAAGCAATTGAATATTAACTACCAAGATTTCATTTTAGAGTTTTTTTTGTTTTCCCAGTTTTATTTGTAAATATGTATTGAACAGAGTTGTAAATAAAACATTAGCTAACGAAACCCAAACAGAATAATCATAAAATTGTTTTTTGTCTTTCGTTTTTTTTTGTTATTGTTTATCATTTAAAGAATTATATCATGTTTATGTTGTCTCATTTATTTGTAAAATATTTTAAAAGTTCTTCGTATATACCCCACGCAATCCCTGCACTTATTGCTTTTCTCGTTAGTCTCATACTCAACCCGCTAAATATTTTGATTACAGATTCTTTTGTCAGAATATATTTTAATGTTTGAAACGAATTATGAAATTTTTGAGGTTCTAATTGTATTCTAGTTTTGATTGTATCAAATGGCGCTGTTATGCTAGTTGCTATACTTGCAGCAATAATTGCACTTGTTGAGTTTACAGTTGTTGATGTCATTAGGGAGTAATTTCCATCTGAATTAAAGCTAATAAATCTTTTTGGAATGATTTTAGGTAAGAGGGACTTGGTTTGTTCATAGAGTAAAACATACAGACCTGCATATGGTGCATCCCTAAGACAGGTTGCTCCAAATCCTGTGAAAAAGCCTTTAATGCCTTCATTTTTCCAGATATCCCTTGATGCTTGTAATATGCTTGTATACTCATACATAGTAGACTCATATCTAACTTTCAATACCGTTATGGGCATGGTAGTGTAGCCGACTAATGCCCTTGCAACAGCACCTGTGATTAAATTTTCATATATATTCAACTTAGGTAAAGAACTACTCTTATTGCTCGTTATTATCCTCTCTTTTTTGATATATTTATAATCATTTATTTTTGTCCTCATTAGATTAAGACAGGACAGATACAATGCAGAACCAATGGATGTCCTTAATGCAGAGGGCAAAGTTCCTCTCCAAAGTTCTAAGGGACTGTTCAATTGTTTAATAGATAAAGATAATGTCATGTAATGTTGCTGTTGCATTCTAGTCTTCAATAAATCCAAAGGTTGTAGAACCACAGCTGATGTTAAACCACCAGCAAATCCACTAATTAAATGAGAAGTGGATTTACTATGAGATTTTCCAATCTCAGACTTAGGAATCTGATCTTTCAATGTTTCCCCCATTTCTCATATAATATCCAATAAAATCGATGGTATTATTATTATTATTATTATTATTATTATTATTATTATTATTATTATTATTATTATTATTATTGATGGGTATATGTTAGAATATGAATATTTACAGGCAGTGCTTTTTTCCTAAAAAAAAAAAATAAAGGAGGGAAAAAGAAACAGAGAAATAAAAATAGAAGTATAGAAAGGAATGAGGAGTTATATAAAATAAAACTGGGAATTTAACTTAGTGATACTGTAATGTAACGTGTATTTACAGAATAACTTGATTAAAAAATGATTTTCTTTAGTCTTCTTTTTGTTAAAGTCTAATCAAATAAGTTTTATTAATCAATAGTTGATAGGCAAACCACATTAACGGTAAAAAAAAAATGCTCTGTATTGAACACGTATATCAATGATTACAGTTTTATTCCTTTCTAAAAGAGATCTTTCTCTCTCTCGTGTAGAAAGCCCGTTGGTAGAACCATTTTTTTTCTTATTGACGTTTAGTCCACTTGTTTGCTATCTTTTGAATAATAAATAAATCGAGCTTTTAAGCTTTTATTAGTTCGCACACAAAGAACAAAAAAGGTAAACAAAAAAAAAAACAATAGTGTGATTACTGTATCAACGACACTTTTTTTTGTTTCTTGAAGAAAAGCTCAAGATGGCTACCCCTATAAAATAAAATAAACAGAAAAAAGAAAAGGAAAATCGAGAGATGTTAAAACTTTTCAATAATAGAAAGGGGGGGGGGAGTTATTCTACCAAGAATAAGAATAATGAAGTATGTGAGGGAAAAGTCCTGGATCACCTGGGCATATCACCAAGATGTCTTTATTACAAACTATGCAGAGGAGCAAAAAACAAGAGAGAAAGACAAAGAAAGACTGAAGGTTATAAGTTCTCAGGATTTCATTAGCACAGGATAATTTTCTTATGAAACAACATACGTATTTTTTCTGGTACATCACTTTGTATGCTACACTTGTTTTTTTTTCAATTTCTTAAATATACCCTAAAGTCTGTGTCTAACTGTATGCCTGAGAGAGTAGCTACATCCTAACTAGAAAAAGCCAACCCTGGTCTAAAAAATAGGAAAAAAGGAAAAAATCCTTGCATTTTACCATTCAATTTTTGGAAAACAAAAATGCTGGCAATAATATTACCTAAAGAGGAAAAAATCAAAACCTTCAAACCAGCAAATAGATATTTGAGGAATTCCCATCTTTTTTTTTTATGCAAAGTATTATATCATATTGGTAGTAACTGTTTGAAGGATGTACTTAAGGACATATTCTTTTTGTTTACATTCAAATCGTACGATTTAGAATTATCTTATGTATCTAATGGTGTCTTTTTAGGTTTTCATCTGAAAAAATTTCATATATACACATATATATATTAGCAGTTTAGTATAAGATCAGATCAAATAAAACTATTCGAAAAATATTCCCTTTTTAAATCATAGAACGACTTGAATTTGATTTTTAACATTCTTAAAGTTGTTAACAAAATTAAATTGAGTAGAGAATTTTCCTTTTTTATTTTTTTTGATTCTTTAGAGCTAACAAAATAAATTAAATGATCTTTTTTTCATGAGTACAGCAGTTTTACCATTTAAAGTCAAAGCAAAATATGGCTGGTCTGGCCAAACTAAAGATGACCTAGGATTTTTGGAAGGTGATATTATGGAGGTTACTAGAATCACTGGGGATTGGTACTATGGCAAATTACTTCGAAACAGAAAATGTGCTGGTTATTTCCCTAACAATTTTGTTGTTATCCTAGAAGAAAAAACATTACTAACTGAAGATCAATCTAAAGAAAAAAAGTTAAACTCCATTAAGGTATCTGAAAAACAGAAATGGGCAACAGAAAAATCTTCATCTTCTTCCTTATCTTCTTCTTTTTCTACTTCTTCGTCTTTACCTCCAATTCCATCGAGAGACGCTAATCTGAAAAGTTCCAAAAAGACAAGAATGCCTAAATCATATAATTATTCAAAACTTAATATGTCATCCAATTTATCACAAGACGGTTATTATAATAACCGATCCATACATGAAGTTCACAAAAAAAACGTGAATTCGAATAGATTCTATGAACTTGATCATAGTTCTAGTCCAGAATTATATTCAATGTCAAAAGAAGGCTCTAATATACCTAATAGTTATTCGGATCTGAATCAGCTCAAATCACAGAAGAAGCACCATTATTCATTTTGGGAACAGGGCAAGAATAATTCATTACCTCCCTTACCTCCCCTACCTAATGGGATCAAAATATCCTCTTCCTCACCATCACTAACCACACCAATTTCACCATCAAATGATAACTCCAGTAGACTTAACAGAACAAATTTTTATAAACACACAAAAAAGCAGTTGGTAGGTTCACATCAACTTTATAGACTCAATAAAAGAACATCACATGATTCTGTAATGAGAACAGACTCGGTAAATTCAAAACTGTACTCTAGTAATAGTTCTAATGGAGATATGTCTACAGCTATATTTTCTAATTCCAAGTATCTGGATTCATCGTTAACTGATTCTGAAAATAGCTTTGCATTAATGAGTGATTTCAGTGCTACCAGTGCAGGTAGTTTTGCTAGACATAAACATGCACAATCCTTTACCGATTCTTTGGAAAGATCTCAATCGAGTCGATATTTCCCAAACGGATCTATATTTGACTCTCAGTCTGTGTCTGAAAATGGAAACAATGATTTAAAAAACTCCAACAATGGTAAAATGGGTGATTTATTAAGAAAATTGATTCCTAATTCCTCTTCTAGTAATAGGTCATCACCCTTAATATCGACTTCAATCAACAAATTGCCTAAATTACCTTCAATTCAAAATTTAAATATATCTGATAAAAATGAGGCTAAGGACTGGGTAACGGTAAAATCACAAGTTAATAGGTCAAGAACTTTGACAAAATACGAAAAGCATCCACGTTACATGAGAGCTTTGGAAGAACATAGAGAGTTAGTTTTGCATCCACAAGATTCAATATACAATGGTTTAAATACAAATGAAGTCAAATCCGGGGGTAAACCTGGTATGGTAAATGTAATGTTAACAGAATTGAACTGTGAGTATATAGATGAAATGACAAGAAAAAGATGTAATAAATTAGGTAATTTTAGTCTAAGTTCATGGGCAAGAATGAACTTTTCAGCAAGGTACAAAACATCCTTAGATGTCCTGAGAGGTATATACATTTTTTGTGCTGAAAAGTTTGAGTTGATTGATGATAATTCAACTACAGACTTCACTTGTGAACCACGCAATTTGGATCAAGTTCTCTACAGTCAATATTGTACTCCATATCAGTTAACATGGTTATTTAAAAAATTAGCAAATGCACTGGGTATCACATGTGAAGTTGTTATTGGGTTCCTAAAAACGCCAAATAGTAATAATTATGAATTCAAGTTCAATCATTGCTGGCTTAGAGTTCTTGTCCACAGAGAATGGAGGTTTGTCGATATTATTCTAGGTAATACTACCAACCCTATCCATGAATTTGTTAATAATAAGCCTGCTAAAAAGGCTGATGATAGTTATTTTCTTGTTGAACCTTTAAATTTCATTTACACTCATATACCACCAAGAGAGTTCGAGCAACATATTGTTCCAAGCATAGATCAGCTTTCAACTATTTGCTTGCCATTAGTGTTTCCCACATTTTTTCAGAATAATATTAAACTTTATAACTACAGTACCGCCTTATCATACCTAGAAGATACAGAAATATTTGAATGTTCAATTGAGATTCCGAATGATATTGAAGTATTTACATCGGTTGTTGTTTCTGATGTCGATGAAAACAAACAATATGAATTTGGTCAAATGGAATTATCTCTATCTCAAATAAAAATGCATAAATCAAATTCAGGGCGCAGAATTGCTATTTTGAAGGCAGTTTTACCACCAAATGCAAAGAATGGTACATTGTACATTCACTCAGGTGTTAGAGGAAAGCAAAAAACTAGAGCTAATATTCATCCATTAACAATGATGATTCCGTTGGAGCATAGAGGAATTGATATGAAGTATGAATTCGTTGTTAGGTTGCCATCAGAAAATGTACAAAATTTGGAAATGTATATCAAAGAACCACAGAATAGATATTTGTTTCCTAATAATGATTATACTTTTGAAATTATTCAAACACCATTTGATGGAGTAATATATGATTCAGTATCTCAAAATAAAGAGCAACTGATGGCAATCAAATCACCATCAGGTGAAATTTATAAACTGCACAAGAGAGATCCACAATCCTTGTTTGGTACATGGGAAACAAAGATAAAAATTAAGGAACAAGGAATTTGGACTGCCATAGTAGTTTCTGATTCGGGTTTGGGATGGTGTCCATTTGCTGAATGGCTTTGTGTCTAAGCGATCAATACATACTATTTTCAACTTCAAGATAAGTTTGCCATTAAGAAAGAAAAATTTAAATGACATTGATTGCATTAACTAAATAAATAAGGAAATGGAAAAGAAAGGGAACATTAGGAATACATATAGAATAAATTTTTAAGAGTATTAATTGATAGAATATATAATTTGCATATATAAATAAAACCTCTCTGGATAATAAAATAATTAATAGACAAAGTGCAGTTAATGAACTTTATACATAAAAGAAATGATTTGATACCCTGTATTTAATCTGTATATTTTTTTTATCCCCTTAGATTTCTAAAACAGTTGTCGTGATACTGGCATCTCCTACCAATAGATTTCTCTTATAGCTAAAGGTGTTCTCCCTATAGATCATTTCAACTTTAGAAATTTCTAAATTGTGTGTTTATAGAAGACTATATTTGAAAGGTTTCCGTTCAGAGTGATCATATTGAATATTTGAAAATTAACTAAAGAAAAGCTACAATATAAAAAAAAAGAGTATGAGATTTAATATTTAATAAAAATGTGTAGGCATCATATGAGATACAGGAAAGTTCAGTCTGCTCTCTAACTACAAAATATAAAAACTCAGTTCAATAAAAGTATCACTGATTTAATATGGAGAGTGATTTAGAAAAATCAAGAAAGGCACAACACTTTTTAGATTTTGCTGAAGTATTGAAAAATTATGCAGCTGATTCCTTTGATGATGCAAAACAACCAGATGCATTTGCTATTATTAAGGAATATCGTTCGATTGCAGGTGAAGCAGCTTTGAGTTTAATTGATACTAAATTTCAAGACGAGTTACAAACTACATACACTAATTGGGAACTCGAGGCTCAATTTTGGCACATTTTCGATTTGTTGCTAGATTTCAGAACATCAGATATATCATTAGAATTAGAAGAAGCTAAAAAATATAATTCTAATTCAGTGTTTGAAAAAGAATTGTTACAAAATAACAGAGAACTTTACGAAATTTGGCTTATTATTATTTGGTTGCAAGAAAACATTAAAGTTCAGGATAAGCCTGAAAAAGTACCTGTCCACAAATGGTCTCATACATTTATAAATGGAGATTTAAATAGTGCAGACCTAGATTACCCTTTGAGGGACAGTAATGCCAAAATACATAAAGAAGACAAATCTGCAGATCACACTTTTTTTAAATATATTTATGAGCTATTACTATCTGGTAATTTTGAAAAAGTGTATGAAGAGTGTAAACTATCAGATAATATTACTCTAGCTATGGTTATTTCAGGTATGCAGGAATACTTAAATCCTAAAATAGACGTGCAATTCTCTAGTGAATTTACCAACCAACAGGGTATTAAAAAACATGCACTTTGGAGAAGAACAGTATATGAATTAGCAAAAACCGCAGAATTAGATCCTTATGAAAGAGCAATTTATTACTACATTTCAGGGACTTTATCAGATGAAGATTTAGTTGAAAGTTCCACTTGGGAATCTGATTTGTTAGTCAATTTGAATCAACTTTTACAAATTAACATTGAAAACTATTTACTTCAAAAGGGTAAGATTGACAAAACTGAGTTAATCTCTAATTTACCTTCAACCTCTCCATCTTTGGCAAATATATTAAATAACGCTTTTGCAAAATATCCTAGAGAAAGTAGTCATCCAATTAGAGTACTGATGGGCTCCATTATACTAAACACAATGGATACATTGGTGCATTCTTCAGTTAAAATGCTATTAGATATAATGAAAGGAAATGAAACATCAAATGAAATATTAGATGAACCTTACCTATTGCGTATCGTCACGCATCTTACTATAATATTAGACATAATTACCCCAGGAAAGGTTGATAACAGCGATAAGGTAAAATTAATCACAGCTTATAGTAGCATTTTAAAATTGAACAAATTGTATGCCTGTATTCCAATATATATCAAGTTTTTAAATGACAATGATGCACTAGAGACCTATTCATTCATTTTATCCACTATTTCAGAATCTGCTGATAGGAAAGAACAATTAGAACTAATGGATTATCTCCGACTACCTATTGCTAACATTTTAAGACGTACTACTCAACGTGTTTTTGTTGAATCAGAATCCATGTATATTCCTGAAGGAAATATTGTTGTCTCTTCAGAGATAAGTGGTATAGATAAACACACAATCCATGCTGTTGAATGGTTAATTGATGGAAAATTAAGCAATGATGCTATTAAATCTATTGTTGCTATGGGAAGAAGATTCTTGTTAAACGGTAGAATAAAATCGTTACAATATTTTTTTGACAACAATAATATTGAAGTTGTGATAAATTCTTATAAACTGGAAAATTTGGCAAATGATGATATTGTTGCAGATGACATCCAAATCAAAGAGATCTTAGAATACCAAAGTTTAGTGAAAAGTTATGAGATGTATGAAGAATGGCAAAAGGCCATCAAGCAATTAAATTCTGAATCAAATATTCCCACCTTAATTGGGAAATTTCAAGAATATACTAATAATACACTAGAACTTATTAAAACATTTTTAATTGAACTTACATCAAATGCATCAATACCTGATTATATGGTTCTATGTGAAATTCGTGCACTTTATATACCATATTTTTTAATTGAACTTCATAAGGGATTAGTAGAAGCTGCAAGATTGTTGAAAATACCAACATTTATTAAGAATGCATTAGAATTTACCTCATTAGTTGCAAATGAAACAGATTCCTTGTATTTATTATTTCAATCAAGTGGTAAATTAAAAGAATATCTTCAATTAATTGCTCATACCGCCACTTTATTGGAAAAAGAATAGGTGACAAACACTGTAGTTTTAGAATATATATATATATATCTGGTTGTAATAAAATATCTACCTAATACATCTATGATTTGCTATCGGGTTATGCTAATGCGTTAAATGATTATTTTGAAGGCACTTTATTATTATAGTAAAACAGAAAAAGGAAAAAGTAAAGAACCTCGTAATTAAGAATTAATTATGGTATTTATTATAGTTATGCTATGTTAACATGAAAATAAAATGGGTGTTATAATTGGTCAACAAAAAAAAAGACAAATTCAAAAAGAACAATATCATTAAAATGTTAATTATAGCTTATTCTGTTTTCTCATTGATCATTTTTTGTAATCTGCCGAATATTTTATCCCTGTATTGCGCCAAAGGATCATCTCTATCTGCTGGGAAAAATTCATTTCTTTCGTATTGTTCATCTTCATCATTATCTTCCCAGGGATCTTGATAATCATCTATATTATTTATTCCTTCATCATTGTCTTCATATGTGCTTGTATCTAGATCAATGATATTAGCATTTTTCAAAGAGTTTAAAATGTTGTCACTTTTTTCAAGTTTTCCAAATAATTCTGAATATGGAGCAAAACTTTCACTACGTAGTTTATCTGAAGTATGTGGTTCTTGTGGTAATTTAGTCCATTGTAAATTTTCGACTGATTCTTCATCATCATTATCAGATCCAAATAAAATGGAACGATCATCATCCTCATCTTCTGGATAGTCATTTTGATAATAATTTTCATCATTAGAATCCTCATCATCCGATAACTGGAAGTCTGAATCTCCATCACTATCAGGTATTAAATTTAAATCTTTATTTACGATTTTAATAAACCCAATATTATTGGTAGGATATTTCTCGAATTCATCTTCAGGGATTGTTTCTAAGTGATAAATATCGTAGACATAGTCTAAGCTAGGTAGTACAGCCACTTCTGATGAGAAATGTTTTCTACTTGGTTTTTTCGGTCTAGTAAATTTTTCTCCAGAATCTCTCTGTATCTTCAAATAATTATTTACCATTTGTGCAATTTCGTCCGGTAGTGATTTATCAACATTTCCATTCGAGTCTATATCTTTAGTATTTATGTCATCTGCGCTTTTAGAATTTTCATTTCGGTTATGTCGTTCTAATACAAAATGTTTATTATCTACCTCTTCAGATAGTTTCAACAAAGGTGTTGTTGTACTTTCCTTCTCGACGTATGAATCTTGATTAACAGTCCTAGTTAATTTGAATACATATCTTGCCTTTTTTCTTCTTTGCCCCTCATCAAGGACTATAAAAAATATACATTATTTCTGATTTAAAACAGTAGTGTTTTATAACAGATTTGTGGTTAGTATTTTGTAACATTCAAAGAGACTAAACAAAAGTTTAGGGAAGAAGAACAAAATAAATTAATTTCCTTCCAAAAAAATACTATAATAATGGGAATAATACATACCTAATGCCTGAACGGAATCTTCATTTCTTCTTCTTTTTACTCTAATAAATTCTGGGGCCTCATTCATTATGTAATTATCTGTCTTGTATCTTTTGTAAAAAAAAAAATACAATTTTTTGTCTCTACTATATTATTTAAATAAGAATATACAAGTTTGTATTAAGTATCGTTGGGGTTTCTTGTAGCATCAAAATATCAACAAAAGACTACTGGAAGTAATGGCAATATCTGTTAAGTATGAACTGTATGTTATTAAAGTTTTTTTTTGTCTCAAATCAAAATTGGTAATATTTGAAAAATGATGAAAAGATACAAAGACATCCAAAACAGGAAAAAGAGAAAGGAAACGGACCTAAATTTCCCAAGTTGATTAATCCACTCATTTTGTGACACTATAAAGAAGAACAGACAAGTATTTTGATAACACAGTTATAATATTCCATATGTTAAATATTACTATGAGCCAGTTTAGTTTCATCATTTTAATATAGGAAAGTAAGGTGACCGCATAAATAAAAATTAGTGTTTCCTATTTATTTCATTTCAATAAAATTGGTTTTTAATAGAAATAAATTCAAGTTCTTACAATCAATTAAACACCATTTAAAAAACAAAAGAGAAAAATGCAATATTTTGAGAGTATGACATGCCATTTTGGGGAACAAAAGGGAATAATACTGAATAATAAGAAATTAATCGTGCTTATTACTGGAGGGTCACAAGGTTTGGGGCTAGAACTTGTTAAGATTCTACAGAGGAAAGGTTGTACTGTGATAATTATTGATATAATTAAACCAGCCAACGATATTTTATCACATAAAAATATCTTTTTTTATAGTTGTGACATATCCAACTTGTTCCAAATACAAAAATTACACATTATAATTAAACATAGGCACGGTCCTGTTATGATTTTAATAAATAATGCAGGTATTCAAAAGTTATCAAGTTTAAAAGATATGGAAAATGAAGATATAGATAAAATTATGAAAGTTAATCTTTTTGGAACATATCTAATTACTTCAACCTTTTTAAACGATTTTTTAGTTCAAAGCCAAGGAATGATAATAAATGTTGCCTCCATTTTAGGATGTATTTCTCCTGCAAGATTATCCACTTATTGTGCTTCTAAAGGTGGCCAAATTGCTTTTCACAAATGTGTTACCAACTATATAAAAGAGGTCAATAAACAAAATAATATAAAATTAACCACTTTGCTTGTTTGTACTGGAAGAATAAATACTTCGTTATTCAAAGATGTTAACACATCATCGCATATATTGGCGCCAGATATTTGTCCAACAAAATTAGCAAAACAAATAATCCATATTATTGAAACCGGGGATGCTAACAATTTAAAAGGTCCTTATTACACCAATTTAATTAGTGTAATAAACAATTTAAATTGGCCATACAGAAAAATTATTAAGAATATTAGTGGAATGAACAATTCAACGTTAATTTAGTTATCATCAATTTAAAAAAAAAGAAAAAGGAAAGGAAAAACTGGATTTAAATGGAAATTCTTTTTTTTTTGTTGTTGTTTTTTATTATTTCATTTAAACAGGGAAATGTATAGGATGGGTTATATATTATCTTATTTAAATAATAGTATTGTTACCTATTTTCAGAGGCCATTTTTGGAGATTTCTCTTCGATTTCATAATTTGATTTAAGTTCTTTCCAAACTTTTAGATTTCTTTCTGCATACTCCTTAAAAGCTTTAGCACATATTTTCATTATTAAAGACCATTGATCTTGACGTATTTGAGAAAATATTGATAACTGTTTTTCTTTAATCTCTTTAGAAATGAATATAAGATCATTATTAATTACGAAACATATTTCTTTTAGTTCTTCAATTTCTTTATTTAAAGAATCCATTAGAAGATCAGGATCAATATCTTGATTTATTACAGATTCCCTGACCATATTAGCCAATTTATTAAATCCTTTGAATAACCTTCCAGTGTAACTGGTATCTTTATCATCTGGTAAACGTTGAGGTCTTTCGAAGGATATTTGATGACTTTTCCCCATCTCTTGATCAATGATTTTATCAATAGATTTGAATTCGTCTTTGCCTATTTGCAATTTATTTAGTTGATTTTGTTTATTTTGTAAAGTTTTTTTGATCATCTCCCTTTGAGCATATTTTAGTCGTTGGAATTTAATCAATTCTTTTACAGAGGAGGCCATATAGGTGATTTCATTTAATTTATCAATTATTGTATTATCGAATTTTGTAACTAACTTATTAGTTATATTGTGAGACTTGTCAAAAGCACTACTGAAATATAAAAATATCTCAGCCAAATCAAGCTGTTGGGATTCCCTATTTGAAAAATTCAAAAACTCTTGACAAAGATCCTTATAATCAATTGTCATATCTCCAAAATTTTTCATAATTTTTTTATTATATTTATATGCACTATTACAGATAGTTTCATATAGCTTGTAATTATTTTCTATAACACCAAAGGATTCAATAATATTTTCGGATTGATCGGATTTTAATATTGTAGCGTTTGAATTATTTTGTAGATCATTATTTGAATTAGACGATGTATCAGCATTACCATTGTTGTTGTTGTTGACTTTTAAATGTTGTATGGATGAAGAAGATGGAATAGGTAAAGAAGCATGGATTCTTGTTGTATTAGTTGGATCCAATGGATTACATTGTAGGATATTTTTGGGTAAAGTGGAAAAAGTTGGTGAATTTGTAATAAAATCGTTCCAACAGGGGGCATTAGGATTCAAAAACTCGACTAGAATTGATGTATTCATGATTTCATCGTTATCAGATAGAAGATTCAAAAAACTTGTCAATATTTTGACTCTGCGTCGTATAAATTTATCGTCTGGAGAATTTGAAGGACCATTTAATTTTGAAAGTGATAACTCCAAGGAACGTCCTATATCTGTTGGAAGAAGATAGTTTGCACTTGAGTTAGTTAAGGCTTTACTAAAGACTTTCAAGTTTTGTTTTGCAGGGATTGGGGGGATAAAAGTTGTTGGAAATAATCTTATTAGAAGGTTTCTTAGACTGTCAAAGTCACTATACCGTCTTCTAACAGAATTAGACTTGTATATTATGTTATAAGCGATATAGTTTCTGCCTTGTCCCTCTGATACATTAATAGTTTCAGAAATGATAATCTTGGGTTTATTGTTAGTGATATTGGTATGTTTTAAACCATTTGAATTTATATTATTATGAGATTTTTTTTGGAAAGTCAGTATTTTGTGATCATTTTTGGTGATATCAAAATCATTGATAGCAGTATCAGTATTAGTCATGGTAGTATTTTCTTGTGTATCTTTTTTTAAATATTCACCATTAGGATTTTTGATCTTATAAATTTTTTCAGTAGCCATTGTAAAAATTTGTGAAAGATTGTTATTTTGAGTTTGATTTTGGTTTTGGTTTTTTGTTTTTATTAAAAGATTTGAGTTAGAATTATTAAGAAATGGATTATCCTTCTGTAAGATTTTTGTATGGATCATTCTTTGAACATTTGTATCTTCATCAAGATTAGAATCAACAGTATTTAAATTTGTAGTTGTAGTTGTAGTGGTAATATTACTACTAGGAGAGGGAGAAGAAGAAGAAGAAGAAGAAGAAGAAGAAGAAGAAGAAGGAAAAGGAGAAGGAGAAGCGGTATTATTATTATTATCATTATTATTATGAATATTATTATGAGTATTTATTAGGTTAGTCTGTGATTGAGTATCAGGGATTGTTTGAAAAGAAGTAGTTGATTCCAATGAGGAATTACTATTTTTACTGTTGGTATCATGAACAATAGAAGAATAAGAATGATTTGAATTATTAGATAAAAGCTTAGATATATCTGATATTATATCAGAATCATAACATTGTTTTTGTATATCAGTGTCTTTAGTTGAATTTGATCCCATAATATTAGTATTAGTATTATTATATATAGCAATTCACTATTTTATGTATACTTAATAAGAATATTATTTAATATCATTCATATGAGGAAAACGATGGTTGTATTAGAATTCTAGAAAGGATATAGATAGATAGATAGATAGATAGATATATACAGATATGGATAATATTTATAAAGCCCTTTTCTATTCTTATAGAATTTTAGTCTTTTGTTTTTCGTTTTTTATTTTTTTTAATTTTTTTCTGTTTTTTTTTTATTATATAATAGCAATTGCCATTTTAGTTGGTTTATGATAAAAGAATATTAAGCTGTTAAAATAAGTGTGGATCTCTCTTTTATTTATTTTATTTCACTTCACCTCAATTCAATTCAATTTGGTGTTCGTTTGTGGTGATCTGTGTTTGCCCTCTCTTCTTTTTCTTTTTCTTTTTCTTTTGTTCTCTCCAAAGAAAACAAAATAGAAGAAATTAAAGAAATTGAAAAAAAAAAAAAAAGAAATTGTTGTAGGCTGTCCCCTAATTCTATTCTTGCTTGTTTTCGGATGTCTAGGTGTCTGGGTGTATTCACAATCACATTTGCAAAGGTGAAAAAAAAACGTTTCTTTCTTTCTTTCTTTTTCTTCCTTTTGTTTAATAAAAGGAAGAAAAAATATTCGAGATTATCTAAAAACGATGAGATAAAATATAAAATAATAATAATAACAATAATAATAACAGTAATAATTACAAAATATTATCACTCTTTATATCTATTCCTTCCCGAAAAGTTCTATTAATACTAATTGACTGTAATTCTGTATTTTCTTGTTGACTTGTTCTTCTTCTCCTTCTCTTTTTTTTCTTTTTTTTTTTTTTAACCATCCAAAGAATTTAAATATATATATATATATATATATATTTTGAAATGTCCATAAGTTCAGCTTTATTGAATCATCTTTCTTTGGAAAAACAATACAAAATAATTGAACAATTAATAGTTCATGATAATGATCTTGATCATGCTTTTGAAATAATAAATATTACCGGACCAAATATCATTAACATTAAAAATAATAATAATAATAATAATAATAATAATAATAATAATAATAACTTGGTCAATCATCTTTTCCAAAAAATCATAAATAAGATTAACTATTTTTTGATTTCAATAGATAAAGTTGAGCCAATCGAAATAATTCAAGATATCTTTTTAAATGACTATAATGATTTCATTTCACTATTGAAATTTGTCTATATTATACCCGATTTGTCAGACAAACTGAATTACTATATTCTCTCTCTATTGATTCGCTATATTAATGATCAAAAAGATTGCTTATTTCAAAACAATAATGACAATTCTATCATAAATATATTAGATTCACTTTCCAATAATAATAATTATAATGAGATTACCGATACCAAAAACCCATTAGATGAGAAATCAATCATCATTTTATTAAAATTGTTGGAAATAATTTGTATTCAAAATACAGATTCTCCTTATCACACTACTATCTTTACCTCTAATGATAAATTAATAACTTTGATCGATAGATGTTTATTAATTTTTTTAACTTGCAATATAGAATCAATCGCCATACAATGTTCAAAACTAATGAGATGGAGACAGGATACTATTATCCAAGAAATTTATTCATCTGATCTAGATCTAGATCGAGATTTAGATGGTTTGACCTGTTCTTATTTAATCAACGTTTGTTTGAATCAAAAAAATTGTAATTGGAAACTAAGAATCTTTTTGGCATTCCTATTAAGATCCTTGAACCATCCAAATATACCAACCCAATTAATGGAATTCTTTTTAAGTGATCAGTTTATTCTTTTTTTGCAAGCATCTCTAAATCATCATCTCGTTGAATATCGTAAAATCTCATTATCTCTATTGAAATTGTTTCTTAACAGGTTCGTTTTTACAGATAATCAAACTTTGATTGATTTAGACAAACTTTGTCAAACTAAACTTAAATGGCATCCCTCTAACTACTCTAAGATTAAAATATCTTGGAACAGGTTCATAAGATTATACGAAACAATTTCGCTGGACTCACATCTGAATAATATTAAATTCCTTAAAACAGATATTATAGGCTTTTTCAATGACCAATTTATCGACACTTCATGGGGGTTAATTCTATTCTCCACATCCCTCAAATCTTCCTCTGTGGAGATAAAACAGTACATGAGTTCATTGATGTTTGAAATAAAGGATAAAAACAGTTTTTTCTTTTCAAACCTTTCATTGACACAATCTGTTCTATTACCAGCTTTATTAAATAACTCCCTCTCTTTTGAAACAGCATTTGTTGGTTCGGATGATACTCAACTCAATGTTTGTCCCTACGGTGATTCTGTATCTAATTTATTCTATGAGATTTTAAGGCATTCTAAAGATGATCAAAGTTCAATTATGATTGAAACAATACTTAATGTTGTCATTGACACACCTTTTGTTCCTGCCAAAATTTATGGGATTTATGGTATGCACAGATATCTCGAAACTACTGATCTTTCCATTCTAAATAAAAAACATCTTATTCTAATCAAACAATTATTTGTTAACACTCAATGTAAGACCTTTGTATGGGATACCACTTTAAAATCTCTTTTATTTAAAATATTGAACTATATTGATCATGAATCTGTGACTTTATTTGAGTGGCTTAATTTTATGACTTTTTGTTTCAATCAATGTTTATGCTGTGATAGCATGGATATAATAGGGTCTCCAATCTTTGAAATGGAAGTCGAATCAGTTGATAAATGGTATCAAGGTAAGGAAAACATAATTCAAAATTATTTAGGTTCCAATCCTATGTTTGATGCTCTTTGTGTCATCTTCTTTAATGTCGAAATCAAGGAATATGATCTCGAATTATTGGCTACTATATCACGTTTAATGAAAATATTTCCTAAATTGAATAAAAATTTTGAATTACACAAATTATACAATGCTATTACCACAAGAATTACACAACTGATGACACCAGAAATGTTAATTGACATGACAGTGGATCATCTTTATCGTTGTGCCTATGATATTGTGATTTACAATGATCCTTTGGCTACTATTGATAAATCTATTGATTTCCATTCGTTGTTTAATTATACTCTAACATCATTTTCCCCAAATAAATTGAGATTTTTAGTCTCTTTATCTGAAAGATATAACTGTGATTTGGCTTTGAATTTTGATAGATTTGAAGCATTATACTTAGCAATGATTAATTACATTGATACTCAAAATATGAATAATACCAATAAAGATGATGTTTATGGAGACTTTTTCAAATTAATTCGCTTGAATATATCTAGGAATGATTGTGATTTTGGTTTTTGTGAGAAGATCTTAGCAGGAATGATTATGGGAAAGGATGTTTGTCACAGTATTAATAGACATTATAGAGATATCGAAATACTTAAAATATGCTCTCTTATTTGTGATGCTGCTGATTCCGAACATCTACAGATACAAAATAAATGTTTTAAGATTGGTTGTACCATTTGGAACAATTATGATGATTACAATGCAAACACATTAGTGCGGAAGCTTTTAACCTGTCTTATAAAATGTATTTTTACCCCAAATAATATTTTTATTGCAGTTTCTGATTCTTTCTCGCTACAAAGACAAAATCTTGAAAGATATATCAAAGAATTATGCGCTATAGGATCTACACAAAGGGGATTTTTACCAATATTATCTAAGCAGTTTGAATTGTTCTTTAAGAAATATAAATATGATCTTAATACCTCGATTTCTTATACTTGGCTATCATCGATATTGGTTTTGATATTTATTCAAGAACCAACACAAGAGAACGATTACCAGTTGGAATCTGTTATTAGTCATCTATATGATAAGACATTTATCAAAATGAGTAAAAGTTATATTTCATTATACAAAAGAGCTTATGGAACTCATGAAGTTTTTTCACAGGTGTCTATAATTGTAGGCTTAATATTTAGTGGCTCATCATTTCAATTAAATTTCATCGACTATTTAATTAAACAAAATGATATACCAAACGGGGATAAATGTAATGAAAGAATACGGGTACTTAAATGGCAATTGGTTTTGGTGAGTTTATATGTCTCTTGTAAAAGCCAATTGATGTCTGAAATAGAAGATGTCATCAAATCTGTTCTTTCTAGTTTAGAGTCAGAGAATTCAATGGAAACAAGAATCTACAAAGAATGGTTTATTGCATATTGTTTGAGCATGTTATATAAAGATGGTACAAATAAATTTGATTTCGAAACAATACTGTTCAACCAATTAGGTGATCACAGTAAACCTCTTTTAGTAGTAAGTGTTGAAAGAATTATTTTCCTTGTTTTAAAATCACAAATTAGAAATGTTTCTAAACGACTTTTAACTAAATTTTTATTTGCAATTGTTTCCAATGCAACTTCGAATAAGCCATTAGTAAGACACTTTACTAATTCTTTAATTACATTGTTTTGGCCAATATTTGCTGAACAACTCCAATCGTATCCGATGAAAGATATTCTAAAGAGTCTTTTTAATAATGCTAAAGGCAATCCAAATAGTGTTGGCAAAATAAGAACAGGTGATGCTAAAGCATGGGAATTGTATGAAGATATGACATTATCAGGTATTTTTGGTAAGGTTTCTACCCGAATCATAGGACAAGGACAACATAGAATCCCATCTCATGTATTCAAAGAGTATAACACTCTGGTTGATAAGTTCGAAGATTTATTTCCAATTGGTAAAGTAGAGGATAGTAATTTATTAACTACATCAAGGAGGTACTCAAATAACATGAATGACAATTTGGGTAATGAGAATATTAAAAGATCAGAATTAATTGTTGTTGCTTCACTAGTCGACAAACCATTTAACTTGGGTGGCATTTGTAGACTATGCGACGTGCTTGGCGCAAACACAGTTACAGTGCAAGATTTGAAAGTAAAAGATAGTCCACAATTTAAAGATGTATCACTTTCTTCGGAAAAGTGGATGCCTATGGAGGAGGTACCTCTAGATTCTATTTCTACATATATGCAAGAAAAGAAGGCGGAAGGTTACACGTTAATTGGTTTAGAACAAACAGATAAATCTATTCGATTAGATGGTAAATACAGGTTTCCAAGTAAGAGTTTAATTTTATTAGGAACAGAAGCTTATGGTATCCCAGGTCCGTTTTTGAAGGAACTGGACCTATGTCTTGAAATTCAGCAGCATGGTGTCATTAGATCCATGAATATTCAAACAGCCACTGCTGTGATTGTCCATTCATATACTATTCAACATTTATAAAGACACCAATAGAAGTAAACATAGGTAGTTGAACACTCTTTCTTTATGTATATTAGAGATCAAGAAAAAAATTAATAAAAAAATGATATTATATATTATCACTGAACAAACAAAATAAAACAAAATAGATTCTGTTATATATATTTCCTTATGCCTTTTTTATGCATCATATCGGAATATTATATATAAATTCGGGTGGATATTAAGTTATTAATTGAAACATTGAATTAAGAATAATGTAATGTAGGTGGAAGTTAAGCGAATGTAAGAATACTAATAATAAAAGTAATAATATTATTCAGAGTATTCATTAACCATGTCATAAATAAATGGAATTAGGTTTTTCTGATGTATTTAAAATCTCAGAATCAGTGTCTTGTTTTTTGTCCCTAGTGTTTGATATGTTATTCTTTTTGGGTAAACCAGATGTCCTGAAAATATTCTCTTGGTTTAATGCATCAATTCTTTCCTCATAATTTTTTAAAATGATATTATTTTCATTTAGGGACTCGGAATATAGCTGTAAATCTTTATAGTCAATACTATCCAATTCATCAGCACTTAAATCATCTAATAACTCATTATCCTCATAATGGTATTCCCTACCTTCAATTTTATTTATATAAGCTTGCAATCTAGCATTTGATCTGCGTAGGTGTTTTAAGCTATTTTCAATTTCTATTCTAATATTATTCAACTCATCATTTGACATATCCCTAATGGCTGCTTTGAATTCTTCGATTTGGACTGGTTCTTTTGTTCCACTTGCAGTATGTTTCATGATTATTTTCTTATTGTTATGTTAATGTATTGTAAGATTTATCTTGGTATAAGCTTTCTTGGATATTTATTCTTGAGAATTATTAGGGTATAAAATTGCAATTATTTGTTACATAACTTGAAGTATAAAATAGAAAACGAAGAGCTAATTATGGCATTTAATATAATTTTCTATAAAAAAATATACATATATATGTATATATGCTTGTGCGTTTATTACCAACCCCCGTTTTTTATCTCTCCACCTCTCCTTATAAAGGGCTATACATAATGAATTATGCCTGTCAAAATTGCATCGCACATCTTAGACACCAGTTTTGGATATTTATTTCCTCAAAGGGAAAGAGCAGCAGAAGAAGGCAAATTTGACGAATCCTAATTATACTACACAAAAAGTCGTCGCTTCTAAAGATATAACACAGCGTAGTGCCAGAAGTTTAGATGTAACTATTGTTTTCAACTGATCACAAGATGGAAATTAATCTCATTTATCAAAACCATACAGTGTAGTTACATACAAATTTTCAAGAACTCGACTTGCTTATGTAGATAGAGATATATAATTTAACTATAAAAAAAGAAAGAAAATAGAAAAATAAAGTTTATAATCATACGAAAGAGATCATTAAATATAAACATTATTTGTAATATATATTTAAGATAAGGAGAAAAAAAAAACTTGTTTTAGTATGTTGTTACATATATAAAAAAAAGATTAAACTCTGCCAAAATGGCAATAATAAAAAAAATTTGGATTAACAATACAGGTATTTAATATTGGTCCTTCTTTTTTTTTTGTGGAAAAAAAAAAAAACGTTCATTTATTAATTCCTATTCTTATTATTGTTGCTGAGCTTGTAATTCTTGACCATTTTGTTGAGATTGTTCGACAGAAACTGGAACTTGTTCTGGTTGTGGTACAGCATCGCCCATCATAACAGGCATTGGACCACCGGGTTGGCCTTGTGGAATGAATGTAGTCCTCTCTTTACCCCATCCAGTTCTTAAGTTTCTCCCTTGAAAGTTGAAGTTAGCTAAAGCAACAATACATACAGCAGCTTGTTCATGAGTATCGTACTTGATAAAACAACAACCTTTTTCTGGGTAATGTGTGAAATCTAGGATGAAACCAAAGTTTTGTAATAATGGGATTAAATCAGCTTCAGTAGCAAAATGTGGAATATTACCAATATAAGCGGTGGTGACTCTTGGTGGGGCCCTTCTGATCATATCGTCAATGGCTTGTGGATTAACAGGTGGTGGGATCATTGGACCTTGCTGTTGTTGTGGAGGAGGAAGTGGAGGTTGTGGTTGATTTTGTTGTGGAGCCATACCATCCATTGGACCATTCATTGGTAGCATGCCATTTTGCTGCTGCAATGAGGCAAATGAAATCATACCGCCTCTTCTGTTATGATTATTGTTACGGAAACCACCACGACGGTTCATGTGATTATGGTTATTATGATTATGATTGTTATGTTGTTGTGGTTCACGCTTTGTGGCCCAGTTAATTCTAATTGGTCTACCGTTCAATTCTTTTCCTTGCATCTGATCCATGGCAACTTGAGCTTGTTCTTGATCAGAGAAGGATACAAATCCGTAACCTCTTGATCTACCTGTTTGCATATCCCACATGACATGTGCTTGAATATAAGATGGGAAATCTTTAAAGGCATTACTCAAAGCTTCGTCATTGATATCAACGTTTAAGTCACCAACAAATAAGTTAAAGGTGTTTTCATCGGAAGTCGATTGTTGAGATTGGAAAGCTTTGTTAATTTTAATCTTGTTGTTTTCGATTTGAATACCATTTAATGTCTGCAAAGCAACAGATGCATCATGAGCTTTTAAATATTCAACAAATGCATAGTTTACATGATTATTTTTCTTATCTACCATAATTTTAACATCAACAACTTGGCCAGCTACTTGGAAGTATTGTTTTAAGACATCTTCAGCAATTGACTTGTCTAAGTTACCGACATACAAAATTTTATCAGAGGTTTCCCTGCCACCTTGTGTAGCATTAGCAGGGACAATATTGGTATCACTCTTTTCAGAACCTTCTTTGCTTTCTGGTTCAGAGCTTTCTTCGTTTTGTTCCTCATTTTTTTGTTTTTCATCCTGGTTAGAGGATTTGGAAGTGGTAGGTTCAATTTGGGTGTCTACAACTGGTTCATTTTGTTGAGAAACTTCAACTTCATTAGCTGGTGGGTTAGCTTCTTGAGAGGTAATTTGTTCTTGACACATTATATCAAATAAAGTAGAATAATTAGTTAATAGACTAGATGAGATTCGTAAAAACAAGATCTAAAATAAAATTGGGTGGGAAGGAAGCTAGTATATTCGAATTTTAATTTATTTTTCTATTGAATACCTAACTAAAATTCGAGTGCTTCTTGTATATTGAAGTATTTTCCTTCTTCTCGACCTCTATTCTTTTTGTTTCTTGGTATATGAGAATAAGTCTCACAATAAATTGAATGGAATGTATAAAGGTAAAAAGTTAGTCAAAGTCTTGACAAATTTGAAAAGAAAATGAGAAAAAAAAAATAGAAATGAAGAGAAACAAATATATGTATATATGTATAACTAAAGGAGGAGCAAATTAGCTAAATAGTATGTATGCTAATCTTTTTACTGTTTCTTTTCTATTGTTGTTGTGTAATGTAACTATCTAGATAGTCACCGAAAAATAGATCCTCTTATTCCAAATAACAATACTAAATTAGTGGTCAATGTCAAGTTGAAGTGACGAAGATAGAGTAAAAAGAAAATTTTCTTATGATTATAAGTAACAATAATAGACAAATCAATGAGAAATACCGTTTGTAACATGCTTTAAAGTATGTTATGGGTAGTTCATAAAAGTACTCTCTTCTTTTAAATTTTTCAAATAAATAAACCAAAAAACAAGAAACGAGAGACAAGAAAGAGGTAGAGGAAAAGAAAGAATTTTAGTGATCCTCGGAAGAGAGAAGACTCGAAAAAACGAAAAAAAAAATTGTTTGTACACATTTGTCATTTTCCACGAGATAATAAATTAAAGTGACCTCAAAAAATGGAAAAGAAAAACAAATAGAAAAAACAACAAAAAGAAATTTTCCCCAGTAGAATTATTCCCAACATAGGGTTACAAAAAAAATATCTGCAAATCGACAATTTTTTTATAGATATTGTTCATGAAGTGTTAGGTTTCTAGCAGTTTCTTGAAAGAGCACATTGGCAAACTCTTATGAACCAATATTTCTATGTTTAAATAAGTTATACTTTTTAAATTTTATAGTTGTATATTTTGCAGTCAGTAACAAATATTCGTGAATATTTATATAAGTCAATGTATTATTTTAAAGTATAGTCAGTCCCTTTATGTTGTGTCTTTTAATATGTAAGAGCAAACTTTTTAATTGATAATATGCTGGTTTCTTCTATCTATGTGTTTCATATCTAGTCATGTACACTACATTACTCTTCGTATTGACTATAGTCCATACATTGTCTGTAGTTAAAGGAACCAATCTATTTCTTTTTATATTACAGATGATTATTCATTTCATATTAGAAGAATATTTCGTACAGAATGATATTAATACTGAACAATAACAAAAAGAATGGTTCCTAGCGGGATCGAACCGCTGATCCCCGCGTTATTAGCACGGTGCCTTAACCAACTGGGCCAAGGAACCAGTTCATCTCCGGCTCTTGTTGTGGAATAGAATAGTTATAACCATCAAGATTACATAAGATCCTGAATGAATCTAGAACCAATTAGTGTATTAATAAGCCATACATGTGCTACAACATTAGATGCTGCATAATAAAAAGATTGGATTACATAAGATCTTGGCAAATCTAGAATTTACCTATTGTTTTATTAAGTCCCACGTGTATTACTAATCACCATGATTAGAGAATTGGGATGCAGTTCTAATCCAGTAGTGCACCTAAATTAATATAATAAATTTTAGGGTTTGGATCACTAAACTTATTAATGCACAAATTTGAATAATCGATCGAGCTCCAGAAAACATATAAAAGGACAACGTTTTCAGGAGATAAAAGATCATCTTCCATAATCGTTTCTTGTAAATAATTTATATATTATGTATAAACAAAATAGAACAAGCAAGTAACAAGTCAAGTAACTTCGAATAAGTACATTAGCTCGATATAAGCCGCTTAATATATAAGACCGTTTTAGTAATTATACTATCGACTATAGTTGATTACTGTCTCGATTATTTGAATTACTATTAATATTATTTGCGCTTCCCTGGAATACACAAAGAACTTCACCACACCATACTACAACAGCTCTTGTTGTAATATAAGATGCTCAGATTCTTTTGTATATTTTGGGGAGGCGCAAATAATATTAACAGTTATTTAAATAATCGAGACAGTAATCAACCATAGTCGACAATATAATTACTAAAACGGTTTTATATATTGAGCGGCTTATATCGAGCTAATATATTTATTCGAAGTTACTTGACTTGTTACTTGCTTGTTGTTCCATTTATGTTTATATATAATATATAAATTATTTACAAGAAAAGGTTATGGAAGATGATCTTTTATCTTCAGAAAACGTTATCCTTTTATATGTTTTCTGGAGCTCGATCAATTATTCAAATTTGTGCATTAATAAATTTAGTGATCCAAACCCTAAAATTTATTACACTAATTCAGGTACACTAGTGAATTAGTAACTGCACCTCAATTCACTAGTTATGGTAATTGGGTGCACTACCGATAAACGGTACAATTATTATGGTCATTAGTAATACATGTGTGACTTATTAAAACAATAGGTGAATTCTAAATTCGTCAGAATCTTATGTAATCTTACTGGAATTAATTTTTTTATTATGCAGCGTCTAATGTTGTAGCACGTGTATGGCTTATTAAAACAATAAATAGTTCTAGATTCATTCAGAATCTTATGTAATCTTGTTGGTGATAATTCCTCTATTATACAACAACTTTTGCTAGTCATAAAGTATATTATTAACATCAAGATTACATCAGATTCTGAGTAAATTTAGAATTATCTATTATTTTAATAAGTCACCCACATACTATCAATGATCATAATAATTATGCTGTTTGTTATTAGTGCACTTAAATTATTATAATGAATAAATTAGGGTTTTTGGATTACTAATCCATTAATATATCAATCTGAATAGCTGATTGAGTTCTAGAAAACATATAAAAAGACAACAATTTCTGAAGATAAAACCATCTTTCATAACTTCTCTTTTATACATAATTTATACAACATTGTTGGAAGATAAAAGTTTTATTACTGTTATTTTCATAATATTCTCAATATTATATTAAACAGATTTAGTATACAAAATTATAATAAAGTTCTTCATTTTCTTTCTCTATATATAACATAGAAGTAATAATACACAAAGATTATAAATAAGATAAAAATAATGTATGATGAAATCCTTGGCTTTATATATGTTAACATTAAGCCATTTTCCTCTACGAACAGTAAGATATTTAATAAACAAACTCAACAACCTTTGGTGACCTCTCAACGATTATTACTCAACAATTTATCGTTTAGTGTCTGCTAAAATCTTATTGTTCTATTTATTTCATTATAGAACATTTTATTCCAACAATAATATATAAAAAATTCTACAAAGAATAGAAACATGATGTGAAAAAACTATTAATTTTATATATGTTCATATCTAACATTTCTCTTCTATGGATTGCAAAAATTTACCAATTTGTTTTGTTCAAATTTATTGTTAAGTAAACAATACATAATTTGAATTTTGATATAGATTTATAACTGCTAATAATTACGCAAATATTATTTCAATTAATTACAAACTATTTTCAAATTACTCACACCTAGTAGTAAATTTACAAAATGGTTCTAAAAGAATTAAAAATTTCAAAGATAAAGGTAGTAGTTCTTTAGAACTAATTAATGTAAAAGATTTATCAAAAAAAAAATTCACATTTCAGCGTAGCTAATAAAAGTAATCATAGATATTATGAAGATTTCAGTAAAAACAAATATGATAACTCATTATTAGGAAAAACATGCAGATATAATACCAATGTAAAAAAAATTAGGCATGAAATGATATTCTATATTTTTCCAATACCCATAGTTTTTTCAACTAAAAATTTGAAAATACCCCATAGATACCACTCATTTACTTAAATTTTATATGTAATATTTTGATTGAAGAAAATATATTAAGATAACTTAATGACAACTCATCCATATTATGAATTCATTTTCTATATTGCTATATATCTACGAAAAAACATTGAGAATATCAGCTTACACCTAGAAACATAATATAATTTTCTTAGAATCAACTGACGGTGAATATTTTAGTGAGTGGATACAACAAAAAAACTTTTTAACAATAGTTAAATGTAAATATCACGTTTATTTTCACATTTTTATCAAGATGCTAGCAAAAATTTGTATATAATTACAAAATGATAGTTGGCAATCATTTGTATTGCTGTCTATCATTGTGTAATTCACTATCATTTAGAATACCTTGTTTTTTGATCAAACTAACATCGTTAATGTCCAGTTAAAATGAAAATTAAACACATAATTAGTATTTTATAATAGGGTTATAAAACAAAGTTCTCTCCGACAACTATTTTTTTTTTAACAAAGATTTCTATATGAAAAATTTTAAAGGGACACCGCCGCTGGGAGGATTAAATTTCTCAACCCTATTCTTCAAATATTTTCTTTTCTTTTTCATTTTTTTTTGATTTCTGTTTTTGTTTTTGCTTTTCCGGTTGTTGTCTATATAGCACTACACATAGGCCTTTTATGATTATCTTCTTATTTCTATATTGGTTTATAATAACTAACAATTATACAAAAAGTTGCCTCTGCCGAGTATAACATAGCATATATATATATTTATAAATCCTTATATGGCAGCTAACCAAGAAAAACATAGTTTGTGATTTGTCTTCATTATATTTTTTAGTCATACTAGTAAAGCTTTTATTAAGATAATGGATTTCTATGCTTATTTTGTGTTACTATTTGTGGTAATCCTTTTTATTGTTGTATTACCCATCTTATCAGGGATAGGTACTTTTAAATTAGATAATTCTAGGAATGTCAAAAACGCAAAACAGAATGGAAGTAAAAGTGATGTATTAAAATTTAAATTAAAAAAAGAAGAAGAATCGTCTAATGCAGACGAAATCTCCACTGGGGTTTCATCATCTACCATTAGTACATCAAAAAAAACGGGTAAATTTGAAATTGATTCGAAAACTGGATTGAAAAAACGTGTTATCGGAAACTATGCCAAGAATGAAGACCCAAATACTTTCGATTTTGATGTAGACGAATTAATCAATGAGGATGCAGAAGAGGAAAAAAGAGAACTAACAAAAAGATATAGCAAATTTAAAGGAAGAGAATATGAAGCTGCAGAAAGTTTTGTTTAATAAAATCAAAGTTATAAAACAAGCTATAAAATGAAGTCGCACTTTAATATCTTCATAAAAAAGATACATAATATTTATAACTTATGAAAAAAATTCTATTTTGGATAAAGTATCTTTTGATTTAACATATATTTTCTAATAACCAAGAAAATAAAGCCTTTAACTAAATTTGATGATAGATATTTGAATTGTATTTGATTAAATTAATAATATCTTTAGATTGCTTCTTCTATAGAAAGTTTGTATATATAATTTATGTTTTATAATGTTTATAGACTATTTTTTATACTAAAGTTGTTCTATGGAAGCCTGACGTCCTCTTTTTGATTCAAAGTTATAAAAACTTATCCAGTTATACATAGGCTGAATGATTAGCCTTATTTCTTAGTATTCGGATTATGTTGGATTTTCATAATTTGTTTCTTTCATTTGTTAGGACTTAGTGATAGTATTTACGCCGTCTTAATCAGTATGATCACCTATATTACTACAATCAACATCTTTTTCAACTACAGTAACTTCCTGCTCGGGATCTTCAAATTGTGCAATGTCATCATCCTTTAATTTGCCAGTAGATTCATCATAGTCATATTCATAGAATAGCATGAATACACCAGGTGTTGATAAAACTTCAGCTTCTTCAACTACATACACAGTTTCGTCAGATATTCTCCACCAAACACCTCTATACTTTCTAAATGCAATATAATGACCATAATTATGAGTACCATAATGAATAATAACGGAACGTAAAGAATATGTTAGTGGGGAAGCAGGAAGACTGGAAACTTTGGGCAAGATATCCAAGGAAGAACGCTTTGTAGGTTGAAATTCCTCGTCAATTGGTTCATCATCCCTTTCTTCACTATTACTGGAAACATCACTTTCATCATAAAAATCCCCATTAGACTCTGATTTCAATGCGTCCTCAGAAGTGAAATTCTGAATGTCATCTGAAGAAGCAAATTTCTGATCTTGTATATTATTCCCTGCCTTAACAACCCTTCTCCTAATTGTATTTCCTAAAGAATCTGTTTCTTCTAAAAATTCAATTCCTTCGTCGTTTTTTTCACTACTTTCAAAATCAGAGTCAAATTCACTTGAATCTGATTGATATTGGCCAGCTAATGGGTCATAATTACCAACATTTCTATGTTTAGATATTGAATATCCAATACTTTCATTGTCTTCTTCTTCACTATCTTCAAATTCTTGTTGAAACCTTTGATGCACTTTAGCATAATATTCACCTCCAATATTTTCATCTTCGCTAGATTCTTTAGCGACATCAACTTTTTTAGACATAGGTAAACGAGCATCTAGATTAATCTCCTCTGGAGAACAACACCACTGACTCAAATTAATTCTTGACTTAAATAACACCCTGGAATTATTTTTTCTCATCATATATGTCCTTGTGTCAAATACAGACCTATTGATATGAATTGATAATAATGGTGGCGGCCGTGATATTAGAATTTGTTTAGATTTAGAGCATTTTCTCACCATATTTTCTGTATGCAATTTTTTATAATCAATATCATCAATCACTGGCTTCTTCAATGTATTAGTTATTAGCTCAACTCTCTCTTTCACAGCATTCACTAACTTAGCTGGAACCTTCTTACTGGATGAAGTCATTTGCTCATATTGTTCCAAAAGATGGGATCTGACAGCCTTCAACGCGCAACGATTACATTCAACACCTTCAATAATTTCTGGTTCCGACCATTTATTTAATAATTCTGACAATTTCAAGGTAGAACCGATATTCTCATTTGGCAAATTAAGACTCAATCCTGAAAATACTGAATATCTAATTCCACCATTCTCACCGCATGTTAGACACCCAATTCTTTCTACTGTAACTCCATCTAAAGGTGTTAAAAGCTGAAAGGGTGTATAATAATGATTATCTTCATTATTTAGCTCCTCATCCAACATAATATTAGGATCAATTTGCTCTGTAGGAATATAAACTGTTCCAACTTTGTCTAAATGATCTTGGTTCAAAAGAGCATCAACTGGCAAATCTCTTTTCTTTACTAATTTCTTCTCAGAATTAGTGGATTTATTATTATTAGTGTTATTTTCCTCATCACTACTCACTCCTTGTTTTGTCTTTTTAATATCTTTTTCTAACTGAGATAATAATTGTTGGAAAAATTCTTGCGCATCTTCTTGATCATATCCTAACAAGATATTCTTATTTGGACCTGCATCCATAGTCTTTAATAAACCATTTGGACGAAAATATTTTCTGTCTTTATAATACTTTGCATTAAGCTTATCAAATAGTGTCTTGAATGCAACACTAAATTTTATATTTGTTAAAGATTTCTCATCGGCATGATTATCATCAGAATGCGTTTTTATAAAATTGTCCAAAAACTGATTTAATTCTTTAGAGGATGCTAATGATTGTAAAACTGAATTCATAAAACATGTGTTACCATCATTGACAAGACCTGCAACATAACCACCACGTCTAAGTATTATATCATCTATTGAATTAGAGTAGTTTGGAAGAAATCTCCTCCTCAATTCATTCACCATTCTTAGAAGAAGATTATATTTTAGTCTGTCCGTGAAAATATAAAAAAGTAAAGTTAATAATAAGATCAGTAAAAGAATAGATCCTTCCAAATTGAAGAGATTCATAAACAGTTAAAGATATTGTGCACTCAATTTCTCTTTTTTCTGTTTTTAATTCGTTAAAAATTGTCTACAAAATTAACAAATTATATTAAACAAAGATAACTTCAACTGTAGTGATATCTATAAAATTAGGTCGTATATCTATAATATAACACAGATAGATATTAAAAAGAAGCCGAGAAAATAAAGATGATTAACAAAGCGGTTTTTCTCAACTTGCACTTAATTATTTATGTCGTTTTAAAGTATGAATGTCTGAACTAGATAATGGGTAGATTCTACACTCTGATACTCTTTTCTTGTTTTGGAGTTACAATAATCTTGATGTTCATCTAATTCTTCTTCTATGTTTTCAGCTTCATTAAAAAAACAGTATAAATAAAAGAAAAATTCTTGAAATATTCTAAATTTTTCTATGGTAAAAAATTCTCAAAACTCATTATATACGATATGGTTATAAATTACCATTTTTTTATTATATTTAGAACGCTTCTTTTTTCTCTAGTGTGAAAAAAGAACAAAAAAAACAGTTATTTTAAATTATTAGTGTAAATATAATTCGTTAATAGTTGCTGATTGATCAGATTGACGTTCTTGGTAGACACATATTAGGATATTATCCGGATTCACTAAAATGTTTTGCGAGCAGTTTTTGTACAAAATCATTAATTGCTTAAATATTAATAGCAAGAATATGAAGATTGAAAATATTGTGTTGTATATATTAGTCTGCATATATATTATATAGTTTAGAATAAAATGTTAATATAACCTTGTATATTTGAGTAACTAGTGATAGAATATAGAGTTCATAGTTGTTTGAATGAAAAAGGTTTTGTACAAAGATGATTCTTTAGGTTTTTAATCATAATGATATAAACTATATTGAGTATAATCTATACTATCTATTGCAAAATTATTATTCTAATATATAATGATTAAAGGGACCCCCTATCCCCCTGATTTTTCATTGAGAGATGAATAAAAAATAAATATAAGCATTAACTAAATAAAATGATGTATTGAAAATTCTTTAATCGAATTAAAAAATATATGACTAAAGTTGCTTGTTTATATAGTCTTAATTCCCATTGAAAATAACTGTCTAAAATATCTTATTTATGGTGTATTATATATTAAACACATTTCTAAACAAATGAGTAGCACTGTTTTTCAAAAAATATTGGTTTATTTCAGCTCATAGTATTTGTTTTAACTTTTGCATTATTAGTTCAAATCTTACAAATTATTATAGGTTAAGTCATAACATATATATATATATGTGTGTGTGTACCGTTCAAATAGCATTACCTGACATTATTTTGGATGCACCATCAAATATCATGTCAAAGATGATAAAATGTTAAAATATTTTTCTTCATGAACAAAAAATGTATTTACAAGAAGGAAATAATTAATGAAAGTTAGTTTGCACCATTTTAGATATCATTTCATGGTAATGATTATATATATCTGAAAATTTATCAATTGAACAGAAAGAAAATTTCTTTAAGAAGAATCTTAAATTATTTTTGAGATTTATTTGTAAAAGTTTTAATTCTTATTATATCAATAAATAGCATAACTTTCCTGATTTTTTTATGAATAAATTTTATATAAATTCTCAAAATGAGAAGGTTAGATGGCAAAACAATGCTAATAGGTACCTAAAAAATTCAAACCTTAGAGATTTTAAATTTAAGTCTTTATCAAAAATTCACTCAAAGTAAAAATTACAATTGTCTTGGTATAAAATAAAAAAAAATAAGGTAATATTTCTCTACAAACGTCTTATTAATTGTATCATAATTGCACAGAGATATATAGAAGTAATAGCAAAGAGTTTCATCGCTGCACCTAAGAAAAGGAGTTGCATACCAGAACTGTTAAATAAGACAATAAACCATAGAGGAAATGTAAATTAGAAATTTATATAAAGAAGAACAATTTAGCTGTTTGATAGCATCTATGTGAATTATTAAAATATTATGTCTGGACAGATAATAATAATAAAAATTAGTAAATATTCATAATGTTACTTATTACATATTACTCACATTGTCCCTGCATAATAATAAAATTAATTAGATTATTATATTTTCAAATGAATGAGTGACTTTTTTTAGTTATCTAGTAACTGTGAAAACACCTGCAAATTTTCGGTTTACAAACTTATAATCACACTGCAAAATATTCTCCATATGATTAAAAATTTATGATCTTTAACAACAGTATAATTATTCTGAAATTAAAAAAATGATTTCTGATGTTCTGTTTATTAGATTTAAGTCATCCAAATCATAATACTAGTACGTAAAAATATGCTAGTTTTATAGAAAGGTTTATTAGTAGTGTTAGAAACTTTTCTGTAGTTTGTTTTTTTTTTCTATTTTTATATTTATTTTAAGAAATTATATTATTATGTATTTGATAATAAATAGTTGTTATCTTACTTAAGTGATAATTTTAATAAAAATACTCGTTTTCAACAAGAGCTACTTTATTTCAGTAAACTATTTTTTCAATGTGTAACAGGAATAAACTTCAACAGAAGTATATTACTTTGGGATATATATATTACAATATATAATTCAAAACAAAGTAATTATTTATCATTTTATACGTAATATATTATATAAAAATCACATGATAAATTAATTATTTATTATTATTATTATAACTAAAAATAAATAAGTACTTCAATTTAATTTCCAGTAATTTTTATTAGTTTATCATCTCGTATAACATGATATTAGTAAAACTTTGTTTAAATCTTGAAAAATTTTTAGTTCTAATATGAAACGTATACTGTGATAATTTACTTCTTATAATAATATTTGTAGACAAATAAAGGTACTGTAAATGAACAGACATATTCATTTATCATGATATACGATGTAACTTGTACTCTCCTATTTTTCCATGAAATATGAAAATTGAAGTCAAAAATAAAAAAATATATATGATATATTTTAAGAAATGTTTGTTACGTTACTTGTACTTTATAATATTGTAGTGTAAAATTTGATTTATAAAATCAATAAAAGATCTCTAAATTTTATATTTGCTTTAGCATATATACTATCTGATGTTATAGAAAATATTACTTAATTTAAAAAAGAACGTAAAATTGTACGTATTTTTTCTATACATAAAATATTTTTAATTTATATACAATTATTGAGATAGTACTATTCAATCTTAATGAAGTTTTTATAAAGATGTAAACAATTAGGATACAACAAATAGAAACAATTTTGCATAGTTACTATTTTACATACTGTTTATATAGTTTAATATATAGTATTTGTATTAGATAATATATGGAAGTGACTAACTATAAAATTGACGAAAGCCATAATTAGAGATTCCAAAAATGTAATTCACCAATAAGGTCTAATCGAGACAAAGGATTTGGAACAGTTGAAATTCTGGACTCAAACTGTGACTACATTCAAACAGACAAACGCTTATCAAGTTGATATTGGTGGCAAAATATTGAAAAGCTCCTCTGGCTGAATAATATTAGTATACATGTTCTTAGCGTCGGTGATCATACAATATGTTATTATTGTGTATTATTATTATATTGATATGTAGTGTAATTTTCCCTCAATCTCTTGATTGGGAATTAATAATTATATAAATATACAAGAAACATAAAGATACGATGTATATATATTATTCATCCAGATTGGAAAATTAATAAGTAAAGTTGTCTACTTATATATGTTTACCTTTTGGCAATTTTTCATAATATATTAATTTATTTTGATTCTGTTTGATCTTATCTCCATAACGTTGAATGTGCAAAACAAACATTTTTCTTCTTTGATATATTTACATGTTACTCAAATCGGTAATATATCAATCCAGCAAAAGCTTATTCAAGAGATCTTTAATTAAAGAGAAATGCTACCAGAGCTAATTATCAGCATAAGCATTCTTATTTTATTTAATGACTTCCACTTAGAAGAAGAATAAGACGAATAATTAGGACTAATCTATTTATTACTTAGGATAACTAATTATATAATTTGTAAGTGTTTATATATAAGATTGATATCTATATTTTAATGCCTTATTTTGAATAATTCTTCCAAAAATATACAGCTCATATTCTCCTGTTGTAATATATATATATTTTATCCCATATCTTGTTAACTGTAGGAAAATAATAAAAAATTCTATTCAAATCTTTTTGTATAATTCTATAAAAATCACATCTTGACTATTAATTCAAATTCGTCTAGCTTCTAAATTTTTTGATTCTTTCTACTTATATTCTAATGTGATCTTTTTTCAGAAACATTTACTAACAGAACATACCACTTTTTAACAAAAGAAAATGTAAAAATTATTATCTGACAAATAGAAAAATTGAATAAATTAGTATCAATGCACATAATTGTACCAAATATCATATAGAATTGAATAGTAATGTCTTTAAATTATGTTTTATTTTTAATATTTGTATTTTCACTAAATAAGCTGTAATTTTTCTAGTATTATTTGAATCAATTTTTTTGACTAGGAAATCCCCGGATCTATGAATAATCCCTTCTCCAAACACTCAAACAGTACCATAAGATTGCATGTCTACTAATTTTTATTAAAATTCACTGCAGGACTATATTAAAAAACACAATATTCATCACAAAAATGTAAAATACAATATTATCTCTTTAATACTACTGACATTAGTCAGATTAAATATATTTAACCTAATCTTCTAATCAAATACCTAACTAAAAAAAAAAAACTGAAAAATTTCAAGTAAAAATATTAAATTAAAAATAAATATGTATCTATATATATGTACGTATGTAGGATTGATAAAATACTTACATATACTAATTTATAATAAAATCAAACGTATGACATAATCTTATCAGTTAACAATAACATAATTCATATCCTGTTTTACAGTTTTGTCTAATTCATAGAAAACATTAGAGGGCCTTCACCTTCTGGGCCAATATATTTTGGATCTCTCCATGGACCAATGTCAGACAAATATAAACCACCTTGTGCCTCACTAACTTCGGAAGTACCACCATATTTCTTTGGTAAATTTTCGACAGGAATCTGCTTCAACAATTCCTTTTGATATGAACTACCCAAAATGAAAATCTTAGAGACAGTGACAGGATCTAAAAATGGTTTAAACAATTTGAAAGCTGTTGAGAAGCCAAATGGTGCATTGATGATGTAAAACTTCCCCATACGTTCTGGATAATAGTTTTGACTGATAAAGGAGGCTTCTCTGACATAAGACAAAACACTGTATGCACTAGATAAAGAGATGCCTTTTAAATCTAAAACAGTACATGAAGTTTCGACTAAATGTCCAGCATATCTAGAACAGGCAGGAAATCTATAATTAGCAACAACTTCATATTCCCAAACTAGATTTTTTAACATACGTTCTTCAGTAGTAATCTTATGCATTTCTGTTAAGTTAACAGAACCTAATTCTTCAAAATATAATGGACGCCCATCTTTATCAGTTTTATGATAATATTGTGGGTACCACTTAGCCACCAATGGTTTTTCGTCATAATGAAAATCTTTTAAAATGGTATTAGTACCAAATTCTTCCCTCCATTTTTCACAGTTTACAAACATAGTTTTTGCTAATTCAATATCAAACTTCCTAGCTCTCAAGAAACGTAATAGTGTTGAATCATCCAATCTTTCCTTATATCCTTCTGCTTCTAGAGCACTTCTAAGTTTTTCTAAAATTTCTAATTGTTCCGAAGTACAATTACCTGGAGTACCTGGTAATGAACCTGGTGGACATGTTTGAGGATATGAATCTAAAATAACTCTCTCTTCAGTCTGTAATTAATACCATTAAAATATAAATTTATGTCAATTAAAATAGGTGATATTGAAGGGGGGGGGGTTAATTGAAACATTTAATATCTTTATGTTAGTATTTATCAAAACAAACTTAAATTATAGTAGAATTTTGCTAGAAAAAAGCAGGGATAAAACAACAACAACAGAGTACCAAATAGTACAGAAAGTTAAGAAATTTTTAAATTCTAAAAGAAACTTTATATAATGTTTATTTGCTTCTAAAAGGAAATACCATAGAGATAGAAATCATCAAAATGGTTGCTAATATAATTATATATAAGTGTATGTGCTGAAATCAAAATAAATTTTTTTTTTTCACAAAACTATTATTTCTAATCCAACTATAATAACTTGCAAAAGAACATACGGTAACCATAATTCAAACAAAATAATACTTGGTCTATATATATCCAATAGGAAGAATTATAAGCTAATTTCTAGAATTCCCAGAAATAACTTATGTTTATCTGATTGCACTTTAGGTAAACTGCACAGAAATACACTCCTCTAATGTTTTTCTATTTGGGATTTTTCATCAACACCAGAAAAATGAAGGCAGAAAAAAACAAAAAGAAAGAAAAAAATTCTTAAATATTCTTACTGAATTATTTATCACAATATACGAAAACCGTTTTATATAATTTCTAGTCTCTTTTTATATAGTTAAATGGTAAGAGTAATAATGTTATGAAAAAATGTACAAAGATTCAACATATCAAAATTATTAGTGGTTCTAAGGACCATCAATTTGCAATTTGAAATAAAGGAAGAAGGACTGATATGATTTGATAGTAACGTAGTAATTTTAAAGTAAAAAAAAGGGTTGATCAGTATTAAAATGGAGAAAAAAAATAATTCAATACCACCGCAACTATCCTTACCGTTACCACAATTTAATTTAAAGGAAAGCACATTATTTCATTTAAATGATAATGACAATAATGATAACTATAATACTATAACATCTATTCCCAGCTACAATACCCAAGAAGCGAACAACAGCTATAGGTTTAATGAGGATATCAAGGAATTTAGATCTTCTACAGGTAAAGTGATCTCACTCATTAAAAAAAGTCAAAATTGTTATGATAGCAACAATAATACTTTACACTTGCATAGTATCACTTGGAAAGATGATAAATCTTATGGAATTAATATAAATTATTTATTAGATAAAATAGCGGCCAAGACTGAAAAAAAAATTTCTACTATCGCTGGACACAATAATAATCGGTACACCGTAACTAAATTGAACAGTAATGCAAAGAATAATAAAAATAAGCTGTGGGTGGAAAAATGGCGCCCAAAAAAGTTTTTGGATCTTGTTGGGAACGACAAAACAAACAGGAGAATTTTAGGATGGTTAAGAAAATGGTCATATGCAGTTTTTAAGGAGGATTTAGAAATACCACCTTTTCAGAAAGCACTTCTTGAAAGAAATTCTCAACAATCACGAGATGACCCGGAAGATTTGTTTCGTAGGCCTAAGAAAAAGATTCTGTTAATTCATGGTCCCCCTGGAATTGGTAAAACATCTGTTGTACATGTGGTTGCCAAACAAGCAGGCTATTCTGTAGCAGAAATTAATGCTAGTGATGAAAGATCAGGCTCAATGATGAAACATAAAATCCAGAATACTCTTTTTAATCATACATTTAATGAAAAGCCTTTATGTCTAATTGCAGATGAAATTGATGGTGCAATGGAAAATGGGTTTATTAAGGTACTACTGGATATACTACAAAATGATATCAAAGCGACGAAGAAGGCAAGTTTTAATAAAGGGAATAGTTTTGCAGTTCAACGAAAGAAATCAAAAGGTAAAGAAGGGAAAAACTTAAAAACTTCAAAAGTTTTGCTACGTCCCATTATTGCGATTTGTAATAACTTGTATGCTCCAGCATTAGAAAGGCTTAGACCATTTTGTGAGATAATCTCAGTAAAAAGACCACCTGAAAGTGCGTTACAGGAAAGATTACTCTATATTTGTGAGAAAGAACATATTAATTTTGATACAAAAACTTTAAAAAATCTCATTGATCTAGCAGAAGGTGATATAAGAAATTGTATTAATAATTTACAATTTATGTCTACTAATTTGGCAAATCAACATACAATTAATAACGGAGTAAACATAGTAGGAGAGTCGAGTCAAAAAGATACAACGTTATTATGGTTTAAACTAGTTAATAGGGTTTTTAAGAAAGATCCATATAAGGAATCCAAAATCCAGCTTAATGAACTGTTATCTGGAATTGAACAAAATGGAAATTATGAAAAAATTATTCAAGGTTGTTTCAATTCATATCCATTTGTGAAGTATACGGATAGTGGTGTCACAAAACCTGCAGAGCTATCTGACTGGTTATATTTTAATGATTTGATGCAGAAGTCTTTATTTGAACAAAATGGAGAATTAGTCAAATATTCATCTATAACACCATTAATATTTTATACCAAATTCAGTGATATAGCTAACAATAAAGAAGATATAAAAGTTACAAATTTAGAATATGAAATGAGAGAAACAAGAAAACAAAACAAGACAATCTTTAAAAGTTTACTTAGTAAGATTTCAAATCAAAATGCACATTTAGCTGAAACATTAAGTATGAAATCCCTCATGTTTGAAGTTATGCCCTATCTAAATGATATTATTTCTACAGATTTATTGAAAATCAAAGACATTGGTCTAAAGAATCATATAATCAAAGTATTATCTGATTTATTTAGACAATATCAATTAACATTATTGCCAATTGAAAATGAATACCCACATTTACACCAGACTGCTAGTGTTTTAGGTATAAATCCTCCATTTCATAAAGTAGTTTTATTTGATGAACAACGAAAAAAGGAAATTTATATAAAGAGACCGCAAATCTTAGAGGTGTTATTAGCCAAATCAGAGGAGATGAAAGTTAAAAAAAGACACTTAAATCAAATTCAACAAGAGAAAGCTGATCTGGAAGAGAATAAATTAAAGAATAAAAGAACTAAGATGGCTGGTTCAAATACAGTGGATTTTTTTAAAAATCAATATGACACAATCAATAGTCAGTTAGAAGATCATCGTGTCGAATCGAATAATGCCTTTACTAATACCAAAATAGTATCAGTCTCTTCTGTCAATGATAATATTGAAGTGTCTAGGATATGGGTGAGACATAAAGCTGGATTTTCCAATGCAGTCAGAAAAAATGTTACATGGGAGAATTTATGGAATTAATAGATGACCTTATAGTTAAAGACTAGAGAATTGATTTATATATAAGTATGTAGATAGAAAGGGTGATATAAGCGTTATACATATTTCTCTTCCACATATATTCCAACAAAACACGTTTGTAATAATTTTTCGTATGAAATCCACCTATGATGTTTGTTAAACCAAGGTAAAAGATCTTTATCCTTTAACGAAGTAATAATATCTATCCCACCTGGGTGAAAATCTAAATACTCAGTTAAACAATAAACATTTCCATCAATTACACACCAATAGTCATTATCAGTTGAAGTTTTATCATCTGTACTGATCCATTTTTGATGCCTTTGTAGAATTTCTTTGTTTATCTTTAAATGTGGTTTAATTTTATATGGTGGTATGCTGAGGTTCAACTGATGTATAGAAGTTTTTGAGTTCAACTGAAGAAAGGCGGAATCTTCTTTTAATTGAGATAACCCTGTTATTAACTCACCATTTATGCCTTTCGTGGTAACTATATGATTCCAATCTAGGGGGCTATGTCCAGGTTTCAATTTAACTTTGTTTCTATTTCTCAAAGGTGTTGTACTATTTGCAATACTAGTGCTGTTGTTGATGGTATTAAATTTGACCGATAACAAAGAGTTACCATTAGTCCTATTCTGTGTAAGAGGATTTATGATTCGAATTGAAGGCGTTTTAAATCTATTGGTACCATCTGTATGATTTGTGATAGTTGTTTTCTTTGCTTCCATGTTTTGGTGTTTGCTAACTATAAATATAAAGAAAGAAAAGTCCAGTTCTTTGCAAAAGGGAAGTTAGTAAACTAAATTAAACAGTTCTGTAGATATATGTCTTTACTAAAATAATTTTTTTTGGTAGTCCGTACATGTACTCTTTAATAATAGATCATAATGATTATGATAAGGGTGATGAGGACATCTTATATCAAAATCAATATCAAGGATTTTTCAACATATGTAGAAAAATAAAAAAAAAAATACTATTAATAGTAGTCAGGGAAACTTCAAAAAATTCATTCTGTGAGTAAATATATATATAAGCTATGATATCCATATAAATTTTATATATGTTTATTCATCAAAGAAGTCATCTTCAGAGTCGGAGTTCGAATTAGTATTCTGCTTTTTAGAATTATTATTAACAACATCAAAGGAATCAAAAGGATCAGTGTTATCTTTTCTCTCAAATATAATCCTAGAATCAGTATGACTGTTTTCTTGTTTAGAGATCCCGTTTAATATTTGCACAATTTCATTTTCATTAATTTTATGTCTTAGTTGGCCAGATGAGATAATTCTTTGTAAGTATTGTTCAACAGCAGCAACGCGTTCAGGTCTTACCAAAGACACACGAGATAATCGTTCTAGTGCTCGTTGTTCTAGGAAGGGGGCCAATGTGCTACTAACTCCATCCACCTGGTTAGTATTACTATTCCCAGTAGTATTATTAATATTATTATTAGTTCCACTATTATTACTTAGAGTTGACTGATTTTTTAACTGGGCCAGACGGGCCTCTCTGATAGCTCGTAATTCTGAATCCATGCTTGGTTACAATCTACAAATATATCTCTCTTTCCTTCTTAATCTTCACAGAGTGAAAATAAATAAAAATCTGCTTATATAAAATGATATACAGGAGAGAGATTAGATTATCAATGTTAAATTAAAGATAACAGTATTGTTCAGATATTATTTTCCGCTGTTTACTGTTTGTGGGTTTATATAAGCCTTTCACATCTTCGAAAAAAAAATATTTTTTTTACAATATTGAGATTTAGAGATAACAAACAGAACATCAATTACAAACATAGTCAATAGTTATAGTTAACAATTGTTTATTTTCTTTTGCGCGCAATCTAATGAAAGATCTTCTTTAGAACAGATAGAAAAAAACTAAAAAAATTGGAAAGTAAAAAAGAAAAAATAGAAAAATTTTGATCCTCAAACGTCAACATACATTATACACCACTGACTTACTCTGACTAATAACAGCAAAGAAAACAGTAGCTAACGTTTGTAAAAAGAAATTTAGAAGAAACGAATCATCCTGTGAGGGAAAGTACGAAGAAAGCTATAGATAGAAAAAAAAAGAGAAAGAGCTTGTATGTCTGCATGTAAATATTAGTTGGCTAACTACTAAGATATCACATTTATAAAAAATAAATTTGAAATATAAGTTATAATAGAAAAATTTAAAACTGAATTATTTGATCATTACAATATTTTTTGTATTAATTTGCTGTGCTTTTCCATCACAGGTAATAATACTGATAAACACATAAAGGAAGAAGAAGAAAGAATATTAAAATTCCAACTATTTTGGCGTACTGATATACTGAATTCATCGTCCAATCATCCATTTTATTCTTATAACTTTTTGAGATCAACTCTCTAGTTTTACAAACTCGATATATTTGCCTCTCTCACAAGTACACAGAAAACTGGTGATAGTTCTTCAGTATTATCCAAAAGATCTAGTATTACTACTGATAATACCATTATGGCCACTGCTAAGAAAGAAAGACCTAAGAGATCTTCTTCACAAAATGTTGATTATAGTTTAAAATATAGAAAGATAATTATTCCTGAAGATGCAGATAATAATAAAAAGAATAAGAGAATTAAAATTGGTAATAATAAAAGTAATAGCAATAAACAGTATGATAATAATCCATGCATAAAGGATAGTGATAAAATATCTACACGAACACCTTTGTTTAAAACAGGACCAAATGGTGAAATCATAGGCATCAATGAGAATTTTGAAGAGTTTGATTTTAAACAAAAAAATATCACTGATAGTGTTAGTGAGAACGACAGCCTGCATAATTTAAATGAAAAGAATCAATTATCCAATTCTTTTTCTTCTTCTTCTTCTTCTAATATGAGTAACTTTCCACATTCTTTATCTTCAGACCCAGATCACGGATTTGAACATACGAATACCAATGGAATAATATCACCTGTTCGTGATGTTATTAATGGAGCTACTGGCTTACCATTAAGTCAGTTTCCTACAGAGAAAATTAAAAGAGAGAGGCTCTGGAACTATAAAAAAATTGTATTTTCATCATCTAATAAAACTGATGCTAATAATATAAATTCGTCATCTTCAGGTAATCTACAAAAGAAAAGTGATAGTGCTTTACTGTTTTCCTCCCCATTTACAATGATAGAACCAACTAAAGAAGAAAGTAATAGGAAAAAAACTATAAGTAATCAAAACGAATTAGGCTTAGAAGAATCTAATAATACAAAGCGAGATTCATCGATGTCAAGATCAAGGTCTTTATCACCATTACTGTCAAGTAATTCCGTTAGCATAAGTCATATGCAAAATAATATGGACACTATAAATGAAAAGGAGCAACAATATAAAGCTAAATTAAAAACCAATGAGTCGAATTACCTAACTCATCAAAGTTGTTTAAGACATGTAATAGATAATGATAAAACTAATTTTTTAGAAGCCGTTAATATTAAGACAAAACTACCAAATTCACATCATATAGTATCCAAACCGTTAATCTTTAAAAATAAACTGTTTACTGCCATTGCTTCAGAGTCTTTGACCGCAGGCACTTTAAAGAATCAAATAGTAAAGGCAAATATTGCAAAGGATAAGGATCATAATAATACAACCACCATTGAAATTGAAAATGATGATTTTTGTTTTTCCTGTGGACAAACTGGTTCATTCTTATGTTGTGACACATGTTCTAAATCATTTCACTTCTTGTGTTTAGATCCTCCTATGGATCCAAATAATTTACCAGAAGGTGACTGGTCATGTCCAAACTGTGTTTTTAAATTTAATTATCCAACTCAAACGAAATATAAACAAGGTGAGTTACAATTCGTTAAAAATAAATCTGCAGAAGGAAAAGGGAAGTTGTTTAGCAAATTGCTATTTAAATTGCAAAGCTATAACCCCAAACAATTTTCTCTAACACAATCCATAAAAAATACATTTGAAGATGTCAAAACAGGCCCACATAATGAGTATAATGATAAAACTTTTAAAACACCGTTAACGGAGAGACAATTATTTAATACTTCATATGGACAATCTATAACTAAACTAGATTCATATTGCCCAGAGATTCATTATGCAACTAATGATGAGAATCCAAATAAATTCTTGACATGTTATAAATGTAATACAACTAGATTTGGTTCTTGGGATCACCCAGAAGAATCAAGGTTGTTAATTAAATGCGACTATTGCCAAACTCCATGGCATCTGGATTGTATTCCAAACATTCCAAGGGCTTCTTTGAAAAATCTAGGTTACAAATGGAAGTGTCCATTACATGCGAATACTGTAAAACAAAGAAGATTGTCTAAAAAACAACCTTTTATGAGACCTTTGCAAACATATGGATTCAAGAATAATGGTGATATTGAGATCATATTAGATGAGATTGTCACGAATAAAGAAAGAGATACTAAAAGGATTGGTGAATTGGAACCAATACCAGTCGTGGACGAATCGTCCATTAAGGTAGATTTTATCGATAAAATATTCAATTATAAAAAATTGCAAAAAGATAATGCAATTAAATTACAAGAAAGATTAATAGATAAACTTGTCAATAACCATAAAAATCAAAATGTGCATGATGTTGCATCTTTGGTTTATTTCAATTATTGTAATAAGAATAAAAAAAATGAGAAATTGTGGAACCTACGGGAATTGTGCCATTTAGCAAATAGTGAATTAACCAATGAAAATAGAAAATTGGAATTGGAGGATAAAGAGCAGACAGAAGGAAACAAGAACATCATATTGACCACACAAGATGTAAAGGAATTGTTAATGATCAAGCAATTAATTCAATCCAAACCAAAGGAGGAAGTAATAGCATTTTTTGGTCTTAAGTAAAATTGCATGGGATAGAATAAAAAATTAGAGTCTTAACAATGATATATTTATATTTATTAGTTATATTATATGCATATATATTCTTTATAACGATAGATGATAAAATAATAGAATTGAATATATTTGTTGGTATATTTGTGTAAGGTGTTTTTTTTTTATGATTCTTGATTAGCAAAATAGTTTTCTTTTAATCATCATCCTCATTGTAATTGATAACTTTCCTTTGTCTTAAACTTTTTTTGCGAACATTATTATAAACTATCTTACCTTCAGGAAGAACATAAGGGGCTTCAGAATCTTCAGCATCACTATTGGTATCTCTTTTTTTTTGTTTTCTTTCAATCCGGCTCCTTTTTATACGTTGTGCGTCAGTTAAGTTATCATTAGAATATTCATTGTCAAGTAATCTCTTTTGTGCTTTTTGTCTTTGCGTCTGTGACGTGTGGATAATCTTGTTTGTTTTTAACTTGATCGTCGATTTTATATTTACCAAATATTTATCGGGAATATATGTTTTGAAAGATGCTTGAGCCTCTTCAACAGTATTGAAAGGTTTGAATAAATCATTAGGAAGGTTTAATTTACTAGGGTATGCAATATGTTGCCAACCACACCTATTTTTTAATTCTAATAAAATAAGTTGCGCTAGTTCACCTACAATATACATTCTTTCATTGTTTGTTTTTTTTATTGTAAGTTCCTCATTTTCATCTCTATTTTCCTTCCTGCTTTCTTCTTCTTCTTCTTCTTCCTCATCCTCAATATTGTCTTGGTAATTCTTTACTCTCTCTGACAAATAATAAAGTAAACTGAAATTTTCCTGGGATGCAATAGAGTCAAAATAGAAAATAAGATAGTCTAAGGATGTCTTTAGTGCAGCTAAGTATTCTTTTTCATCTCCATTTAATCCTTCGATAATATCTGGATGGTGGGAGACGGCATGAATTAATCTAGGTAATGCCCTTTCAAAGAAAGTGCCTTTCCTAAATGATGATTTTCCAACTGTATAATTAATCCAGGTTTTTGTTATTGACTTTAAATTACTATTAGGTTCATAAGCTGTAAAAAATATAAGTGGCAAAAATTTTATTGAAATTAATTCATCAGAAATGTATGTTTTTAATGTTTCCAAAAACTGTGTTCTTACAGGAAGACATTCATCCTCTACAAGGTTAATTAATTTAATAATATCGGATGCTGTAATAAAATCACTCATATTTGCTACTTTTGCTAGTTTTAGAATTTGTAATCCCGCATAGCATCTTAATTTAGTTTGAAATATATCTGGGGTAGGGTAGTTTTCTTTGTTTTGTTCAGATATTAATTCACCACCACTTGCAATAATATAGAAAAACAATTTTAGATTTCTTTCAGCAAAATTTCTTGACAAATCATTTTTATGGACATCAGGGGCGATAGATCTTAATTTATTGGTTAATAGCTTTAATGTAAAAATTTTATCATTTAAAGGTTTTAATTTATTATTTTCTGTTATAATTAGGCTATTGTCATCTATCCAGTCGGTTTCGTATTCTTCGATATTACCAGTGACTTGGTTTGCTAATAATACTTCTTTTATTACATATGTAACTATTTCAGTAGAATTTTCATCAAGAATTTGAGGGTGAAATCTTAATATTTCCATTAATGCTGAAATATGTGAAGCAAAGTTCTTATCTTGCTTTATATTTAATGGTAAAATAGAATTCTTGATATTATTTAATAGTTCATTCGAATCCTTGGAATATGCTAAGATCTTTGTAGCATATTTAGTGACAGGTATTGTACCTTCTATAACAAGTTCTTTTAGTTTATTCATGAAAAAATTATTATCGAAATCAACGTCATCCTTCAATACTTTCACAATCTTATAAAGGGTTTTCAGTGTATCACTTAATTGTACAGTTCTTTCATTATTACCAATTGTTTTTATATCAAAAGAATTGACAAGTTCTCTTAATTTAACAACCTGATCTTTAAAGGATGTGGGATTAACATTGGCGATATCATCAAGAAGCCTTCTTCTCAGTTCCTTATTTTTATTATCACTTAATTCTGAATCATTTAAAAATATATTGATGTTCGACGTGTTGTAAATTAAAGGTGCAGCTCTAAATAATAGAATTTTTATCTGTAATGCTAAATCCTTTGGTAGGATGGTAGATACAGAAGGAATATCATACTTTCTAAATAGCCCAGGATCTTCTAATTTGATCATTAATTCCTTCATACTATTTTTAATGGTAGTTATTGACGTATCGTTAGCGATACATGATTTAATTAAGAAAAATATTCTAGAATCATTAAATTCTTTGATTAATTTCAATGATTCCAAGGCTTTCATTTTGGCTGATAAGGAGTTAGAAAGCCATTCTAAAGTTTTATTGAACTTTATTCTAATTTCTAAATCAAAATTATTATCTGTACTATTATGAACTAGATTTTTTTTCTTGTCTTGCTGATTTAACATCTCACAAAATTGAACATATTTTGATAAGGCCAGTGACATTTGAATTTGACGTTTGTTAAATGCAGAAAATGCTGTAAATGATTTATTATCACAGTTTGATAAAACTGTGTAAAGACGTTCTACTCTTTTTTTATCATCAGTTTGTAATGGTAAAATATACTCGAACATTATCCTATCAACCTCTTCATTAATATGTTTATTATTAATATAGTATAAGTTTAGCAAGATAGAAGGAATTGTGTCCACAACTTCCCATATGTCATTGTTATCAGGAGTTCTATCAATAGATTCAATGGAAGCTGAGTAAAGCTTACCTGATATCATTATAGCTAGTTCCCTAATTTCTTTGTTTTTTTCTCTAGTTAAGTATAATAAAGATGAATATACGGATACTTCATTAATATTTTGCCAAATTTGTTGAACTGGAACTTTTTCAAACACTTGAACAGAACTTTTCCTTACTTGGACATCAGAATCTATAAGTGTCTTATTTAAGCCTTTACTTAACTCTTCAGACACATTATTTCCAGATGATATTATTTGAGGGAGAGTATCAACCCATTGCATTCTGACTTCAGAACTGATATCAGTTATCTTTAATATCCAAGCATCGAACACTTCTTGATATGTAGGGAGAAAGCTAATATTATTAGGATGGATACTTATGAGTTGGCCGACCAATTTAGTAGCAGCTTTTCTAATATCATCGTGAGGAGAGGATAACTCATGTTGAATATAACCGATTATAGCACTAATCAGCTCTGGGGTTGTTTCCCATAATCTAATTACCAATCTATGTAATTTTGTAATAGTTTTTATGATTTTTTCATTTGATGTGTACGTCATTGAGGTTGCACTGTTATCAAATTCATCGTCTTTGGTCACTTGATATAATATCTCGGAATAATATCGGGTTAATTGTCTACTGATTCTGTTGGAGTAAGAATTACAAAGTATAAGTGATAATTCGTAACCAGTATTAGAAATTGTTCCGAGTCCTTTTGGTATATCATTTGGATTATAAGTTAGAAATTTATTGAATATTAACCTTAAAACATTTATTGGGACAGAATCAAATTCCGATAAAAGTTCACCTAAGAGACTGCCAATAACAGAATAAAGTTTAGAGGGAAACAATTTTCTATCATCATAAAAGATTTCAAAAATTTCTTCCAGTAATTTATTTGAACTAGGTAGGTCAGCTAGTAAAACAATAGATCTGTATTCCAAAATTTTAGTAATCAAATAAGTCTGTTGAATTATATAAGGATTATCGGATTCTCCTAACATTTCAAATTGAGCTAGAAAAAGTTTAAATATATCGGTTAATTGCACATCAGTATATGGAGCATTTGGAGCATAGAGTCTTAAAATATCGCTTAAGCAGCAACTAACAAAGGCTCTAATACCATCATCCTTATGTCTAAGAAGCTTTCTATTTATTAAATCTTTACTATATTTATCTAAAGATATTAAGTCTATATTTTCTTGTGATATAGTAGATAATTCTTCGTGTAAATCACTTAGGCGGTTTGATAATTCGTTTGTTGGAATAATATTATCTGCAGTTGATATAATTGATTTATTAAACTTTAGTTTTATTTTTCCATTCATTGAAGACATATCGGATTCAATAATAAATCTAGAATGAGTGGTAGCAGTGAAATTTAATAAGTGATTATATTTGATAATATGTATTTGTTAGGTTTTTTTTGTATTCTTGAATTAATATCTGTTACCGTAGTTATCTTAAGTAATGTATATTAAGATTGGTGAATTGCTAAATAGATTAGAAAATTTTCAAATTTTTGTTCCTTTGATAAATTAACTTGGTCTTTATTTTTTTTGAAAGAAGACATTTTTGCTTGCAATGAGAATTTGTTTACATTATGGGGTGGAACGCGTAAAACAATTGGTGTTTATATAGATTGATAGATGAATAAAATTTATATCGCCAAATTTTGCTACCGTCCTTTTTCTGAAAAGAAAAAAAAGAAAAGAAAAGAAAAGAAAAAGAAAAAGTTAAGGTAGGTATTAGGGTTACAATTACTTTTCTTTAGCTACAATTAGGGTTTCTTTTCTCTGGCTTATAAAAGGAATAAAAAAGTATTCCGGAAACTTTCCGAAGTTATTCCGCTTAAGTCTGAAGAAGGATTTGGAAAGTGAATCTGGAGATGAAGATTTAGAGCAGAATTATAAAAATGTTTCATTTCTACAGAGTCAAGGAAAGTTTTGAGATCTTCTTTTTTCTGTTCTAGCTTGCTTTATATAATTTGTATATTATCATATTTTATTATAGTTATTAATATTTTCTAACTTTAATTTCATTCTTACTTTGTATGTAAGGGAGAAAATATACCATATATGTTAATAAATAGAAGAATTAGAAAATAAAAATAGGAAATGTTTTGATCATATCTGAACAATGTTAAAAAATTAGCATAAATGTTGGGAATATTGGTAAAGATTTTTTGTAGTGTCAGTGAAACTCCTTATCAATATGTGTATTGGTTATCTCCTTCACATAATCAAATTCTTTAGTTTTGTAGTATTCTTTTTTTTTTGTTGGTGGTAATTGATTTTTTGTAGAGGTTAGCAGTAATAGTTATTGGAAAACTCTTCATTGGAACAAAATAGGCTTAGTTTTTTTAAATAAATAAAAAACTTACAAAATATGAAGAATAGAGAAGAATAAAAAATCATAATTGGAAATTGTTGTATTTTCTTGAATATACCTTAATAGTAAGATAATGTAGCTTCTATATTAAGTTATATTCCCATTTTATTAAAAACTTTTATACTGAATGTAGAATCTAACAAGGGTATTATGTAGTTTTTTATAATATCTTTTCTATGTTTTTGCTGGAATGATATAGTATCTGTTTAGAAAACATGTAAATATATCAAAGAGGAAAAATTTTTGTTATGCACATTCAACATTATGGAGATAAAATCAAATAGAAGTAAAATAAATCAATACATTATGAAAAATTGCCAAAAGATAAAGATATATAAGAAGACGACTTTACTTAGTAATTTTCCAATCTGGATGAAAAATATATATACATTATATCGTATGTTTCTTTTTCCTCTGGATGAATAATATTAGTATACATGTTCTTAGCGTCGATGATCATATTATATGTTATTAATGTGTATTATTATTGTGTTAATATGTAGAGTAATTTTCCCTCGATCTTTTGATTGGGAATTAATAATTATACAAATATAGAAGAAACATATGATAAAATGTATATAGCTTATTCATCCAGATTGGAAAATTAATAAGTAAAGTCGTCTACTTATATATATTTACCTTTTGACAATTTTTCATAATATATTAATTCATTTCGATTCTGTTTGATTTTATCTCCATAATGTTGAATGTGTAAAACAAACATTTTTCCTCTTTGATATATTTACATGTTTTCTAAACAGATACTATATTATTCCAGCACTTTTATATTTATATAATTATTAATTCTCAAATAAGAGATCGAGGGGAAATTACTCTACATATTAACATAATCAATAATACAAAATAATAACATATAATATGATCACCAGCGCTAAAAACATGTATAATAATATTATTCATCTAGGGTAATGGCATAATATAAACATTATCATAGTATTTTGTTGAAAATAAATATATCACAGTGTTTGGCATTTAAATGAAAATTTGCAGAGTTCTAAATATATATAATTTTAGTTAATATCATGTTGAAACATTATTATAAAAGTGTATTTTCGTAGAATTACATACAACATAAGTTTTATATTATAATATCTTTTATTGTATAAAAAAAAAGTAAATGTTTTCAAAGTAATAGCAAATTATTTATTTACTCTAACATTTCTCCTAGTATTTATTTTTATTTGATATTAATTATTTTAACAATTTAGGATCCAGTCTATTTTCTATCCATAATGTTGTAAGGTTTTTTTTTTAGTTATTATTTTATGATTATTTAATTACACAAACACATATTTTTGAACTTTATACTCTTTTTTTCTATATATATTATCCCTATTCTTTATCTTGTTATCGTATAGAGAATTTGTTAACCTAAATTTAGTTTGTTTTTTCTTCTATTAATGATTAGTTTTATCTTGGATATTTTAATCTATTATATTAATTTTAATTATTTGTGTTTTATATGAAATACTTGCGTAATAGTTATGATGATTGTTTTTCTTTTATAGTTTTGAATTGTGATATTTTGTCAGTTTTGTTTTTTAAATATAATGGGAATTGAAAATTTTTTCTTAACTTCAAAATAGTTTTTTTTCATTAAAAAAAATATTCTTGGGATATTATTAAGGTTAGTGATTACAGTTAAACTATAAAGTTGTTGAATATAAAATTTGTATTTTTAGAAGATTTTGCCATGTGTTTTACAAAAGTAATTTTTGAATGTTTTTATTGTTTTTAAATGGAAAAATTTTTGGAAAATTAAAAAATAAAAACTTTATGTAAATTTTCTATAAAAAAAAGGAACAGAAAATATAAACAAAATATTCTTCAACGTTTAATAATTAATCAAATACATAAAAATTGTCGATTTATTCAATTCAGTATTAAAATAAAGAAAAATTTATTTTTAAAACAGCAAGGAACAATATAAAGAATTGTTGGAATAGAACGTTCTAGAATAAATAATAGACCAGTTAGATTTTAGTTGACATTAATTGATAAGCAAAAAGTAGAGAACATATTGTTTGCTTATCAGTAGACGTAAACAAACTTCATCATAAATTTGGTGCCGTACATAGATGAGATAGGCCAGATATGAAAAGATATAAAGCCAACATTTTTTTCAAATCATGTTTCTTCCCTTACCCGTCTTCTATATTTTATCATTATATATTATATACATAAATAAAAAAAAAGAAGAACTTTATTGTAATTTTGTATACTAAATCTATCTAATATAATATTGAGAATATTTACTATATATCTAATGACTACAGGCGCTCATTCTCATCAAAAATAATAGAGGAGACTTTATTGTTTTAAGATAGGTCTTTAATGTGATGATTTGAAATATTGCTCCTGTATATTGTACTCTTTGATAAATAAGAACAAATATGTGCATATATGTAGTTTTATCATTCTATATAGAATCCATTGATATGATAATTTCCCATTTTGAAGTTTTAATGAATTTGTTTCTTTATTGATAAATTTCCATATTTAAAACATAATGTGAATTTTTTACAGAAAAAGGAAAAAAAAACTTTATCTATTGCAATTTACAGTTAAAATTTTTTTTCTTCTTTACTAAACTTCTTGCTGGTACAAAAACAGCAAAATTATGATAGCCCTTAGATTATGTGTTTCTGATAACAGTTAATCTTGTTGAAAGCACAATAGTACTTCACTTGGATAAATATGAAATATAGACTCATTCTATATCTCTAGATATAATATTCCTATATATCTATATATCTATATCTCTAATCTGCAATAACTAAATAATATACACTTATATACTATATATCTCAACTTTATTTAATCCTTTCGGTTTTTTTCGTTATTCTTATTCGTTGTTGTTCCTCTTGGTTGCTCTCTTGTACTTGTTGGTTACTCTCACTTCTATGTATGTTTGTAAAATTTGGAAAAAAGGAAAATTTAGAAAAATATCGTCAACCCCCATTTTACTAGACAAAACCCTAAACAGTAATATCAGGGATACTACAGAAATTACAAAAATATGTTAGCTTAATGTAAACAAAAAAGAAACGACAACTGCAGGATTCGAACCTGCGCGGGCAAAGCCCAAAAGATTTCTAATCTTACGCCTTAACCACTCGGCCAAGTTGCCACTCAACTGTTATTCTGTTGTGGATCATCCTTGATATTATGATTATAAAAATATTGTTAGGGTTTTGTGATGATTGTCAAGAAAAGTTCTAGTTTGGATTTATAGGACTTAGGGTTTGTTGGTAAATCCCACATGATTGTTGAATACTATGTAACAAAATGAAACATTCATGAAACATTAAATAGCTAATTAAGGAGAAATGTATCTACGGTGACAGTCGTTACAGAACCTCAAATAAGAAATTATCAACCCATAGTTCATATATAAAGGACCAGTATCTTGGTATCTAAATTTATATGTTTGGTTGATTTATAATTATATGTAGCACATTGTATAATACAAAAAAAAAAACAAGCAATAATCGTTTAATTCTCCTAGATATATATAACGTTCTTATATATTTGTTATTGCCCTTACTATTCGTTCAATAGTACTGTTAAAAAAAAAAAATTGGTCCTAAGTCCAAACTATAACATATTCTTATTGTAGTATGGCATGGTGAAATTCTTTGTGTATTCCAGGGAAGCGCAAATAATATTAATAGTCATTCAAGTAATCGAGACAGTAATCAATTATAGACGATAATATAATTACTAAAACGGTCTTATATATTGAGCGGCTTATATCGAGCTAATATATTTATTCAAAGTTACTTAACTTGTTACTTGCTTGTTATTCTATTTTTGTTCATCTATAATATATAAATTATTTACAAGAAAAGTTATGGAAGATGATCTTTTATCTCTAGAAAACGTTGTCCTTTTATATTTTTTCTGGAGCTCGATCGATTATTCAGATTAGTACATTAATGACTTAACTAATTCACCCTAAAATTTATTACATTAATTTAGATGCACTAGTGGATTAGAACTGCACCCCAATTCTCTAATCATGGTGATTAGTAATACACGTGGGATTTATTAAAACAATAGGTAAATTCTAGATTTGTTAAATCTTATGTAATCCAATCTCTTTATTATGCAGCATCTAATGTTGTAGCACGTGTATGACTTATTAAGACAATAAATAGTTCTAGATTCATTCAGGATCTTATGTAATCTTGATGGTTATAACTATTCTATTCCACAACAATTCTTGTTGTAGAATAAAGAGGTAACACCATAAAGACTATGTAAGATTCTATCTGAATCTAAAGTGATTTATTGTGTTTTAAGTACAACATGTCCATTTGCCACCTGTTTTGTACAGCATGTTCACACATCTTTGTTACTGTGCCACCAATAACCTATTGTCCTAAATGTTCTATGATCTTTGATTATATTATTGTAACTAATAATAAAGATATGGATTACTAATTCAATAATATATCAAGTTGAATAGTTGATTGAGTTCCGGAAAACATATAAAAGAACAATGGTTTCTGAAGATGAAAACTATTTTCCGTCACTCCTCTCTTATACATAATTATATATTGTAGATATAGAAGTAACAAGCGAGTAACAAGCAAGTCATCGACAAGAATAAATATATAAGCTCGATATAGCGGTTCATATATAAAAACCGTATTAGTAATTGTATTACCAATTGTATCAATTATTGTCTTCGATTATTAATAGATTATCCGGTTGACGTTTCTCGCACTTCCCGACTAATTAATATAATTAAAGACTACTTAATACAACAACAGTTTAGTCCTTTATAAAAAAGTACTGTTACCATTAATATATATCAAATTATATAATTAATTGAATTTCAGAAGCATATAAAAGGACAAAATATTCCAGAAGATAACTCATATTTTAGAATTTTTCTTTCATGTATGATTTATATAATACATATGACAACAAAAAAACATCAATAAGCACATTGAATATCACCAGACATCTGTGGTTTCCACCGGTGAACACATTAGATATTTTTAGTTTATATGCCTTTCTTATTTTTTTCTGGTCGTACGTACTGTATAAAAATATACATAGGTATAAAAGTGGAAAACATATCGTCTTATATCTTGTTCTTTTCTTTCTTTTAAAAACTTTTCTTTTCTTTTATACATCTAAACACCAATATAACATTGTTGTCATTCTAAAGTCTTTAATTAATGAAAAAAAATATTTAATATACCATGGTTATGATAATAATTCCAAAAAAATAATAATTGTTTTAATATATTGCCACTATTAAAAACTGTAAAGTAGTTATTTTACCATTTGTGATAATTATTGTGCTCGAATTACATATTCAAAAAAAAATAACTGTGCATCCTGTTACATTATTAATAAAGTCATTTACTTCCTACCTTACCATACCTTTTATATATAATAAAGAACAACTAGATCAATATTGTTGAGAATGAGCGCCTTTATTCATTGGATATATAGTAAACATTCTCAATATTATATTAAACAGATTTAGTATACAAAATTATAATAAAGTTCTTCATTTTCTTTCTCTATATATAACATAGAAGTAATAATACACAAAGATTATAAATAAGATAAAAATAATGTATGATGAAATCCTTGGCTTTATATATGTTAATATTAAGCCGTTTTCCTCTACGAACAGTAAGATATTTAATAAACAAACTCAACAACCTTTGGTGACCTCTCAACAATTATTACTCAACAATTTATCGTTTAGTGTCTGCTAAAATCTTATTGTTCTATCTATTTTATCATAGAACATTCTATTTCAACAAATATAATAAATAATAAGGTATAGAATGATAATCTCTACATGATACCAAAACAATATGAATTATATATTTTATAAGTTATCACTTCTACGTATTAAATAATACAAATTTTATATACCAAGAATATATATATAAAATAAAAAAAATGGAAAATTATTTCTAATTTCGTTATCCTGATTTTTTATTATCTTTCTGAAAAATAATTATGTGAGAAAATCTTGTACGAAAAGTTTTCTTAAATCTAATTATTAATATTTATCTAGATTTTTAATAAACTAAAGATCTATAAAGATAAAAATACTACCAATTAATGAGTATTGTCATGTTTTCATTTTCTAGAGTCTAAGCTAGTAATGGTACTGTTGAAATAGAATGTTCTATGATAAAATAGATAGAACAATAAGATTTTAGCAGACACTAAACGATAAATTGTTGAGTAATAATTGTTGAGAGGTCACCAAAAGTTGTTGAGTTTATTTATTAAATATCTTACTGTTCGTAGAGGAAAATGGCTGAATGTTAACATATATAAAGCCAAGGATTTCATCATACATTATTTTTATCTTATTTACAATCTTTCTATATTATTATTTCTATGTTGTATATAGAGAAAGAAAGTGAAGAACTTTATTATAATTTTGTATACTAAATCTGTTTAATATAATATTGAGAATGTTTACTATATATCCAATGAATAAAGGCGCTCATTCCCAACAGGTACCAAGATGGACAATGCCTTTATCATTTAAATTAAGCAGTAAAATTAATATTTTTAGAACAAATCTAAATAATTAATCCAATATAAAATATTGTCATTAGAAGAACAACCATTTAGCTTAACAAAAAAGTAAATAAAATTAAAAAAAAAACAAGAGATTTTGTTGAAATATAATTATTAGAGCTATGTTTGATAATCTAAATTCATCGTACTAAGTGATTAAAAATCATGAAAAAGATTACAAGATTAATAATTCTCATACGGCTTGGATTGCGTTGATTAGCAAACAAAATACAACATCGAGAAACGATTGGTATTTTGATACTGGTTGTACCCAGCACATATCTCACGACCGTTCAATGTTTTGCGAGTTAGTTGAAGGAGATGAGAATGAGTTTGGGGTTATCGAAGGCATTGGAGGTAAAACTGCTATTAAAGGTATTGGTACAGTACAACTAGGACATGTCACATTATACAATGTGGCATATGTTCCTGATGGCAACGTAAACTTGATTTCTGTCAAAATGGCTTCTTCTAAATCAAACATGAAATTTATATTTGACAAAACAAAGGTATATACAATTAAAAATAATAAAATTACTCAAGTTGGTGAAATGAGAAATCAACTTTATGTTTTTATGCCCAACAATAAAGAAACAAAAACGATGAACAAACCACTTGATTATGCTTTTATTTCGTATGACCATTCTGTTTTGCCATCTCCAAAGGCAAATATTCCAGATGCCATTAAATGGCATGCTAGAGTAGGACATCCAGGTTTAGCTAATTATAATCGATTGGCAAATCGAATTGACTTGCCCATTATGGAAGCTGATAAACACTCGTTGTGTCCCACTTGTTCCCTTTCAAAAGGGGTGATGAAAAAAGGAAAAATTTCTGACACACAATATACGAGCCCTTTACAGCTGCTACAAGTTGACATTTGTGGTCAATTTAGGTATACTAATTTTTCTGATAGTAAATATTTTTTGACTATCCGGGATGCCTACTCAAGATATTATTCCGTAATTCATTTAGCATCGAAATCAGCTGCATGTGATAAGCTGATTGAATGGATCTTAGAAACTGAGAATCATTTCAAGTCAAGAGGGGGATTTAAGGTGGGTGCCATTCGCACAGATAATGGACGTGAATTTATGTCTAGTAAATTTCATAATTTCTGTAAAAGCAATGGAATTTCCCATCAATTAACTGTTCCATACAATAGTTTTCAAAATGGAGCAGTTGAGAGATCTCATCGCTCGATTGAAGAAAAAACAAGATGCCTTTTAATCGGAGGCAAGGTACCTCCTTCTATGTGGACAGAGGCTGTAAGTACTGCTGTATATCTCTTAAATAGGTTACCAGTATCTAATAAAAATTATTCTATCCCTTACTGTCTCTGGAACAATATTCAAACAGAAAATCTAGATTTATCACATCTACGTATATTTGGATGTGCTGCATATGCTACATTACCTCATCAATTACGTGACGGGAAATTTGCTCCTACTAGTGTAAAATGTGTGTTTGTTGGATATGACTCCAAACACAAAGCATACCGTCTCTATCATCCTCCTTCTAAGAAAATTTTTGTATCAAACCAAGTTCGCTTTGATGAACTTGATTTCCCACTTGCAGGTACCAAAGAAGTTGAAGTGGCTCATACATTTGCCACTGGTACTTTAGGTGGTGTCCCAGTTTATCCTTCATCTACTGATATTTTCAAAACTTCATCTTCTGAAATACAAACGTCAAATTATTATCCTGAAACTACTGATTATCCTATATATGAAAACAACTTAGAAAATGAATTAACCACCATACATGGTGATGAGGTTCTAGATCAAGGTACTAGTCGATACTCCACTCCGTATCTATCATCTGTTGATTCTGATTCTTTTATGTCCAGAGTTGATTCATCTGACAATGATAAGCACGAATATGACTCTTCTTCCCCTGATGAATATGAACTACCATCTACTTCCTTCTCTTCTTCTCCTATTTCTACGACTTCTGACTGTGAAAATTTTACTTTCAACAACCTTGATTCATCCTCTATAAACAATGAGTCAACCGCCTCATTCTCCTCACATAATTCTAATCAAATAAACAAGAAGGAAGCAGAAGAACTATCATCAATTGCTTCATCCTCTGATACTGACTCTTCAACTACTCCAACAGCTGTTCCAGTAACTACTCAACAATTAACATCTACCATTGATGATACCCACTCCGACACATCTTCTCCTAATCTACAATCCAAATCCTTATCAACTGATAATTCACCGGTTTATAACTTAGAAGACTTAGATCCCCATAAACCATTAAAAAATAGTAAAATTGAATTAGCTGACAATATTTCCGCCCCTATCACCACACATGTTAGCAAGTTGAATGGCCAAACATCCTCAATTGTTAATCATAACAAGTTAGGTCCTATTCCTGCTTCTGAATTCTACTTAAATCATCAAATTGAGAAACACCATCCAAAGTGGGATTCTAATCCAATTAGTCCTGGTAAAATTGGTACCCCTGCTGTTGAGGCTGTTAATATTGACTCCGGCAGTTTTGTTCCTATGAACTCCATGGATGGTCTCACCCAACTCATTAGAACACCGGTATTCCCTTCTTCTCAATCATCTGGCTCTGATGATAACTCTTCACATCACATAGCCTTGACTGCGTTGGTACATGGCATGTCCTTTACGTCTACCACTACTTCTGTCCCAAATACATTCAACCAGGCAATGAGTTCATCAGATAAAGATAAATGGTATCAAGCCTGTCTGAAAGAACTTCAAGCTTTTAAAGATCATGATACATATAGGTTGACTCCTCTCCCTCCTGGTCGTCGTGCCTTGGGGTCTCGTTGGGTGTTTAACATTAAGGACGGAAATCGGTTTAAAGCTCGTTTAGTGGCTCAAGGACACACTCAAAAAGCTGGCATCGACTATCAAGAAACCTTTGCTCCTGTGGTGCGGTATGATTCTGTCCGTATCTTTCTTGCTATCTCTGCTCTCCTTAATCTCCGTGTTCACCAAATGGATGTAGACACTGCCTTCTTAAATTCCAAAATGGAAGAGCCGGTTTACGTTCGTCAACCTCCAGGTTTTGTTGATCCTGTGCATCCCAATCACGTGTGGCAGCTTTACGGGGGTATGTACGGATTAAAGCAAGCCCCACTACTATGGAACACGCATATTCATAAAACATTATCTAGGAGAGGATTTACTCGTCATGATGGAGAATATGGTATTTATTTTAAAAATGTAGACAACTTTAAAGTATTGATTGCACTTTATGTTGATGACCTTTTAATTGCTGCTCCAAATAAAGATATTATGAACTCTGTGAAAGCAGGGTTAAACGAAACTTATTCCATGAAAGATCTTGGCCCTGTTTCTAAATTTTTGGGAATGAATGTTTACCAAGATAACCTGAACAATATAACCATCTCAATGGAGGACTATATTACCAAAGCTGCTCAGAGCTGTCAAATAGACTTAAATAAAAATGTGGAATTTCCATTATCTAACACAGCCAATTACTTTGACACAGAATCTCCAGCAATTGCCAATATCACTGAATACCAAAGTATTGTAGGCCAGTTGCTATTTGTTAGCAACGTTGGACGGCCTGATGTAGCTCACTCTGTTCAACTACTATCACGGTTCCTCAAAGATCCTAGAGAGGTGCATTTAAAAGGTGCTTACAGAGTTATGCAATATTTATATAAAACCAAAAAACTAGGATTGTCTTATAATACAAGATCCAATAAATATCTTGAAGGATTCTCAGATGCATCTCATGGAAATAAGAATGATTTGAAACATGCAACTGGTGGGTTTATTATAAAACTTGCTGGTGGAGTGGTTACATGGTCTTCCAAGAAAATTACAAGCGCAGTTTGTCTATCATCTACTGATGCAGAATACATTTCTGCTAGCAACACAAGCAGGGAATTAATTTGGATAAAAAATATGTTGAATCACATGAAAATAGATGTAAACGAAGTTAAATTATGGATAGACAATGAACCTGCCATTCACGTAGCTAAAAACCCTGTCTTACACTCAAAAATGAAACATGTTAACCTTCACTATCATTTCATCAGACACCAAGTAGAGTCTGGTATTATTGAAATTGGTCACATAAATACAACTGAACAAATTGCTGATATAATGACAAAAGTTTTACCAAGACCTGCCTTTATAAAAGTCCGAGATTTATTCATGAAGAAAATAGAACAGGAATTTAGCTTACGGGGGTGTGTTGAAATATAATTATTAGAGCTATGTTTGATAATCTAAATTCATCGTACTAAGTGATTAAAAGTTATGAAAATTTATAGTAAAGAAGATTCAAAGATAAAATGAGTATACTGTATAATATTGTATCTTGTATATTACTTATATAGAAAGAAAAGGACTAAGCAATAAAATAACAATTTATAGTACCACTAACTTCCTACTATAAATAATAATAGAACTTATAATACCACCAATATCCTATTGTAAGTTACATTATCTTATTATATTAGTTTAAAATGAACTCGACTAGAATTTTTGATTCTGAAGCCTTGCGTCAACAGATTTAAATACAGCAAAATATAGAAATTTGTGATTTATTTTTTGGGCAACCTAAATATCAATAAATTTGAAATAAGAGTATTTTGAATATATATTTTCGCTTGTTAAAGCAAAATAAAAACACATATAAAAATATATAAAAAATATAACACTACAATTTATCAATCAATAAAATTATATACTGTCTTAAAAAAATGGTTTGATAACTTCTTCAACATAGTCCCAGAACACTAGATCGGTACCGTTCTTCAACCCGGCCTTAACATCTTCACGAGGATCATGAATTTCACCAAATGGACAAATATAAGCACCCTGATCTTTAGAATCCAAACCTGAGTACAAAGCACCATACAATTCTGTGTAGGAACCATATTTAGCATCCCACATTAGTTTACTGAAAACAGTCTTTCTAATCCAACTCCAATCCCTCTGTAAATTGGTATTCAAATTACCTGGATAACATGAAGTAGAAACACATCCGATTTCATCAACCAAGTTCTTGTTCCTAGTAGCCCAAGCTTTAGCCTGGAAGATATTACCACATTTACTTTGACCGTATAGTGCAAGAGCAGATGGTCTTTTTTTGATAGGGACACCCTTAAAAGTTGGATGTTCCCAGAAGATACCATAATCCTTTGGACCCAATAAATGTGCACCAGAGGACACCCAAACGATTCTCTTTAAATCAGAATCATTTTTTAAGAATAGAGGATCTAGAAAATGTTGTAACAATTGTGGACCTAAAACGTTAGTTTGAAACATTAATTCATAGCCTTGTTCGGAAGTTAAATCAGTAGCTGAAGCCATTAGACCAGCGTTGTGAATAATGATACTGAGTGGTTTATCCTTAAGGACATTTTCAATTTTCTTAGAAACAGCTTTAATTAAAGATAAATCTGAATAATCACAACCACTCACAACGTAAAGGTTCCCTTTAGAGCCAGAGATTTCCTTCATAACAGAATCACGAGCAGTGTTACCCCTACCTTCATTTCGTACGACCATAATAACATCACAATTTTTTTTATATAATGCCTTTGTAGTTTCCAAACCAATACCTGAGTTGGAGCCTGTAACAAGTGCTGTTTTGCCAGTCAAATCTGGATAGTCATCTGGTGTGAAAATTGGTTTATTAGGACGAAACCCATAATATATTTCACATAGTGATTTCATTTTGCTATATGATGGAGATGGTTCAGTTGGTTTAAGCATCTTTATTTATGTTTGTTGATATATTTTGTATAATCTGATAATAGTTGGTGGTTTGTTTCTTTTTTTTTTCCTTTTTTAATTTGCTATTTACTTTTGAAAAAAAGTTTAAAACTTGAGACGAGATCAGGCTAACCATTTCATAATTCCAAATGTTTAATTAAATCTCCCTTTATATATTAATAAACAAATGAATTTGAAGGGACACCGATAAGGCACGATCATGATAAGCTTATTGCAGTCTCAATCTTAAAATGTCACGATACCCAGAACAAAAAAAATATATATATATAGGAGAGAATAACTTTAAATCACCATCTAAAAATTTACCAAATCTTTCCACGGCAGCCAGTTCCACGGGAAAAAAACCTCCGTAGAATATCGGATTCATTGTTTCTTTTTCTTTTTCTTTTTCTTTTTTTTTTTCCTTTTTGTATTATCCTGGACAAAAAAGATCTTTAAAAAAGTTTATTCCAAATTTTTGGAATCAAAAAGTTCCAAGAACAGAAAATAAGGAATCTCATTGCACTCAGCATACATGAAACTCTTTTTTTTTTTTTTTTTATTTTTTTTTTTTTAAAGAAATGATTCGCAAAACTTACACTTTTCTTCCCTCTCTCCTTTTCTTTTTTGGCAAATAAAAAAAAAATACTATGTGAAAGAGGAGGAGGCCGAAGAGTACTATTATTTTCTTTTCCTTTTCCTTTTTCTTTTTCTTTTGCACAGAAGACAATTCACAAAAAACATATTAATGAACAGGAAAGACAATTGAGATTAAATTCAACCAACAAAACCATTTGTTGTTACTATTGTTACTATTATTATTATTTTCATCTCCATCAATTTACATTTTCACATAAATGTAAATTAATAACCGCTGAACAATTTTTTCTATCGAGCAAGATGACTCTAGTAAAGAAAAACAAAACATAATAAATTTACCTTTTCACTCTTTTTCAACATGCTACCTACTCCCCCCCTCCCAGTGTAGTAAAGACACGGTACTAATTTTCATCAATTGTGTTTGAAGTAAACAGTTCTGTACTATTACTATTATTTGAGCTCATTTAAACAACTTCATAATAAAACCCAACCCTATTAAGATGCTTGTAGTAACCGCTTAAATTTTAATATATATTTTTATTCTTGTCTTTTTTTATCAATCATATAATATTGATACCAAATCAACCTTCATCTTCACTTCCATCGTTCTATTACAAAAAGAAAAAAAAAGTGATACATATAAACTGATATTAGAAATAAAAAATTTTTCTATATTTTTGAAGATTTTTACAGAAAAATGAGTGTATAGGGTAAAACAAGTTATTGTTTGAGTTACCTTGATATAATGTATTCAGTCTAAATATCATATATAAAATTCGGGTAAATAAATGATTCCAAAATGGTTCCTAGATAGTTTCCACACACCACCACTTCAAACAACAACTATTGCAATTAGAGAAAATCCAGACTGTTATTGCCTACCAATTCTTTTTCATGTGTCAATAAGTAAATCATGCATCCTATTTTTAATTTTTTATGTTTTTGTAATCACTTTGTATCACTGCTATTAAGTCACGAGCGTTTCTACCCCTCTACAAGTCATCATACATCTGGAAAACTGTCTAAAATTCTTTTTTTTTTTTTCTCTGCAGGATATATAAATTCCGAACGCGGCTTACCACGGAATATTATACGCTGTAAATTTCGACTGCACCCTGTGTAAAAATTCAGTCTCTTAAAGTTTCTTTTCCTAATTTCCATTTTCTGCTGCGGTGTTAGGATGTTTGCACCGCCAACCAATAAGAGATTCCAGTTTTCCCAGCCAAAAAAAAGGAAAGAAAGAACGAGAAGACTCTTGGTGTTTTGTGAAAGCAAAAACACAAAACAGAGAAGGGAAGGAGAGAGAAGTTCAATTTCAACAATTGCGAGAGAGCAAGTGAGAGGGGAGAATGTCTAATAATCTCTTTCCTTCTTTGATGTGCAAAAATGATCAATCATATTGGATATTAGTAGTTCTCCCAATCCAAACTAATTCTACGTCTTTTAGTAGATATCTTTTCTCTCCTCCCCCTTCCTCTCCCATCTATCAGGTTTTCTCTTATCTTCTTGATTATTTAATTTTATGAATTTTTTTTTTCTTTGTTTTCTACATCAAAGGTCTTGCCTAGCTCATAAAGCAAGTTTAAAACATATACAGGCGTCAGATATTTTAGAAAAAAAAGAGACTAGTTGATTAATCAAGAAAAAAATTACAAGGTTACTTTTTTTTTTTTTTCTCCTTCTCTTATATACGTCAAAAATAGTTAATTAACTTAAAGTTGTGAATAAGTGTTTAGCTTTCAAGATATTGTTAAATAAAGGGAAAAAACATAGACTAAAAGAGAGAATTTTTTTTATTAATCTTATTTCCCTCTAATCAATAGCTTCTTTTTTAAAATATAAGTGCTAAAGCTGTCAAAAAGGGAAGGTTTAAATATAAAAAAAACTAACTAACAAACAAACGAAAAAGAGGTAATAAATATAAATATAAATATAGCCAATCGCAATGATTTCAAAATTAACTAATCAACCATCTGTTTTATCCTCTTCACAAATGATATTGCGTTTTGCAACCACTCAAGTAAAATCGAACCTTGGTAGACAAGGATTACCAAGAATCGGTGCCACAAGAAATTATGCCACTTTAAAAGAAGTAGAGACCAGATTGAAATCTATTAAAAACATCGAAAAGATTACTAAGACTATGAAAATTGTTGCATCAACAAGATTATCCAAGGCAGAAAAGGCCAATGTCACTGCTTCCTTACTTAGTGAGGCTGATAAACAGTTCTTCCAAAACGCTGAAACCACCAATCATGCAAAATCAAATGAAGAAACTGCTGCTTCTGATAAAGTCAATAAAGAATTAATTATTGCTATTACGTCTGATAAGGGGCTATGTGGTGCCATCCATTCCTCATTGGCTCGTAGTGTAAGGTCTTATTTAAATAGCATAAACCACCAATGTGATGTTGTTGCCATTGGTGATAAAATTAAAATGCAACTGTTAAGATCTCATCCAGAGAACGTTAAGTTAGCCTTCAGTGGTATTGGTAAAGATGCTCCAACTTTCCAAGAATCTGCCTTGATCTCTGAAAAGATCATAAATACTTTGGATGTTGATACTCAATATGACAAAATCTCCATCTTCTTCAATGATCCAGTCAGTTCTTTAGCCTTTGAATCCACTTCTAAACCAATATTTAACTCCTCTATGATTGCACAATCTCCAGGTTTAGGTAAGTTTGACATTCCCCAAGATGAAGATGTTGCTAACGATCTATTCCAATACAGTTTCACAAACCAAATCTTAACTGCTATGGCTAAAGGTTATGCTGCTGAAATCTCTGCTAGAAGAAATGCAATGGATAACGCCTCCAAGAATGCTGGTGATATGATCAGTAAATACTCTATTCTTTACAACAGAACTAGACAAGCCGTCATCACTAACGAATTGGTCGATATTATTACTGGTGCCTCAAGTTTAGATTAGTTACATGATTCTAGAGAAAAACAAAGAAAGAAAGAGTGAAAAAAAAGAGAAAAAGAAAAAGAATAAGAAAAAACATCCTTACTTTCTATTTTTAATTATATTATTATTATTCTTACTTACCATTTTTTATTTGAAGAATAAAAAATATTTTTGTACTTCCAAACGTCCATTTTTTTATTTTTAATTCTAATTTATTCCCTCTTATTAAATCTATTTGTCTATAAGTAAATAAATTCTATTTAATTCCTCCTTTCTTTCTATATACGTATGCATCTGTACATAAATATATAGGTAGATATAAAATCAATATTCATTTTTATTTAAAAATATTATATATGTGATTATTTCTCTTCTTTTCTCATGTTTTAAGTTATTCTTTATCTCTCTCTCTCTCTTTTTTTCCTTTTAAGCTTTTTTTCAAAAATGTTTCATATCCAAGTTATATTTTGTTATTTTCTCTTTTTGTGACGTAAGTAACTGGTAATTCTGACACCTTCATTTAAATCAGCAATGAATAAAAAGAAAATTTATAAATCACAAAACAAATAAGAAACAGTGATGATGTTCCATTATAGATGAAACAAAAAATAAACTAGTCGAAAAAAAAAAAAGCAGACCCTTAATGGTTGATATGAGTTCACCAAAATATAAACCTATACAAATATATAAAAAGGAAGACTGACATCTTCTCTTTTTTCCCTCCCACCCACTTCTTGAATATTTTCTTTTTAATATAATATACAATCTACGAATCAACAACACAAGAGATATCAATATAATTAAATAAAACAGATTGCAAAAAAGAAAGGAAGAAATAAAGAATTTAATTCCAAAAAATAACAACAACAACAATACATTCTAATATGAGTGTGACATTACTATGGTATTTTCTTAAAAGAAGTCCTAAATTTATTATTATTATCCTAAATTTTATTACCATATTTTTGACTTTTTTCTTATTAACTGGGTGCTATAACGAACAAAATAAAAACACATTTCTTGTTAAGTATCAATTCAATAAACACTCATCATTTTTCCCTATAATTAAACAGTCCTATGACAATACTAATAGTAACAAAACGCAGGGACTTGAAAATATTGTAATCAGGTCTGGTTACATGGGTATCTGCATTGACAATATTCCAAATAATTATAATTTACACAATCAACCATTAAAATCCACATGTTATCCAAGAAAAAATATATCAGATGTTTCATTCTACAATGACTTAATGATTAAAATATCAAGTGTCAATTCACAAAACTCATCGGTATCAACTGATAAAACAAATTTAAACATTTTAAAATTAGCTCAAATAACTTCAGTAAACATAATTCATCCCTATATTTTAGGTGCAACAATAATTCTATCACTCATCCACTTCCTACTTTTATTCTATTTAATGATTCCTCATGTACCCTTGAAAAAATATATCAATAAACCGATGTTTTTGTTAAGCCTCATTATGACTCTACTTTGGGGGATAGGTGCTACTTGGACTCATATTGCTGTTCATTCAGCTTTTGATTTTATCCCTGAAGCAAGTATGAATATTATTAAAGTAAAGAAAGGTAAAAAAGCTGCTTTAATGTCTTGGTTTTCTTTTTCTTTTTTGCTACTTATATCCTGTATTCTGTTTGCTAATGAATGGAAAAACAGTCAAGATTCAGAAAATGAAAATGCACATGAAAGTGATAAAGAAAATATTTATAATTATCATTATTACTCCTCTGACGGTTCTTCTTTTGGTACAAAAGTATGATTGTTCAGATGAAGGTTCCTTTTTCATAAACCATATTTACTCCGTTTAACATCTTTCTCTTTTTTCCTTTTTTCTTCCTCTACAAATTTTTTCCTATATTAATTATCTTATTATATGTTATTACACTTTATATAACCTTATCACATACGTATATTCCTTCTCTTAAAAAAAAAACAGTATTAGAATTCTTTAATAGTTGCATATTTTGTTAGGCATATCACAGGTGTACTAACCCTTGTATCATTACTTCGTATAGTGTTGTTGATTAATAACATTGTTAATTTTTTCTTTTCTTTCCTTCGAGCTTTTCTAATCCAAAAATATCAAGATTCCATAAATGTCCTGTCATTTTGTATTTTTTTTGTTTTTCCATTTTTTTTTTCTTCCTTTGTTTTTATTGTTTATAAGAATTAGACAAAGTATACAACTGTTCTCGAGGAAAATCGTTTATAAATAGAATGACAGAAAAGTTTTAACGGATAAACAGAAGATATTGAATCTTTCTACTACTCATTAATCTTATTGCTATTTATACTGTTGTTATGAATGTTTTTAAAAACAACAACCTCAATTATCTTTATTAGTTTTCAGTAGCTATTTCGATAAAAAAATACATTTAAGTTTAATCTACAATAGAATTATTACTCTCCAAACTATTCTATCAAATAGATTATTTGCCACGAAGGTATGTCACTTGATTCAGTTGTCTATTTTATCCTTTCCAGATTATTCATCTACCTGTTTCGTCTGATACGTATTATACTTTATCCATTTGCCAAGCTAGGATCATGGCTTTGCGGTGATTATTTAGTCAAACTAGATAGGAGACATAGAATTAGGGAAGATTTCTATATTATTCCAACTTTTTTCAAATATGTGTTCCAATACATTTGGGCTGTAAGAATTCATAAGTTTCAAAATTGGTATATCTTTGTCGATCAAGTGAAGAACCAAGGTGATAACCTTGCTGTTCGTTATACTAGGGCACTTCCAACTAAAGGTGAATTTGAACTGGAATCCTACACATATAAAGAATTATACAACATTGTATTAAGACTATCCTATATTCTAATAAATACGTATGATGTTAGGCCTGGTGACCACATCGGGATTGATTGCACTAATAAACCATTATTCATCTTCTTATGGTTTTCATTATGGAATATTGGTGCTGTCCCAGCATTCCTGAATTATAATACCATGGGAAAACCATTAGTTCATTCGTTGAAAATATCTAATATTGCTCAGGTGTTTATCGACCCAGATGCATCTGAACCAATTAATCAGTCTGAAGAAGAGATTAAAAATGCATTACCAAATTTAATCTTAAACTATTTGGATGAAAAGAGTCTATATGATATTATAATGAATCCAAACTCTCCTGAATTTCTACAAGATGACAATATTAGATCACCAAGGGATTTAACAGATTTTAAACCTTCAATGCTGATATACACATCTGGTACAACAGGTTTACCAAAAGCTGCCATTATGTCATGGAGAAAATCTTCTGTAGGTTGCAAACTATTTGGTCATGTGCTACACATGAATCCTGATAGTATTGTCTTTACTGGTATGCCGTTATTTCATTCCACTGCCGCTTTGTTAGGTGCATGTGCCATCCTTTCGCAAGGTGGTTGTATTGCATTAGCTAGTAAGTTCTCTGCTACAAATTTTTGGAAACAAGCATACCTAACAGAGGCAACTCATGTCCAATATGTCGGTGAAGTTTGTAGATATTTATTACATACACCTAGGTCAAAGTATGAATCTATACATCGTGTTAAGGTCGCTTATGGGAACGGTTTAAGAAGTGATATTTGGCAAAATTTTCGTAAGAGGTTTAACATTGAAGTTATTGGCGAATTCTATGCAGCCACTGAGGCACCATTTGCAACCACCTCTTTCCAAAGAGGTGATTTCGGTGTTGGTGCATGTAGAAACTATGGTACTATTATCCAATTTTTTCTTCAATATCAACAAACATTGGTTAAAGTAGAAAAGAATGATGACTCTGTAATTTATCGAAATGAAAAAGGATTTTGTGAAGTTGCTGATGTTAATGAGCCTGGTGAAATGTTAATGAGAATTTTTTTCCCCAAGAAACCAGAAACATCATTCCAAGGATATTTAGGGAACGCTAAAGAGACAAGATCTAAGGTTATTAGAAATGTTTTCAGAGAAGGTGATGCTTGGTATAGATGTGGTGATCTTTTAAGAGAAGACAAGTATGGATTATGGTATTTCCTTGACAGAATGGGTGATACTTTTAGATGGAAATCAGAAAACGTTTCCACTACAGAAGTAGAAGACCAGCTTGCAGCAAGTAATGAAAAAGAAATAAAACATGTAACAGTTGTAGGCATTAAGATCCCTAATTATGAAGGTAGAGCTGGGTTTGCAGTTATTCAGTTGGATAAAGATGTATCCTCTTTATCTACTGAAGAAAAAACTCTGCTTTTAAATAAATCATTAGAATATTTAAAACATTCACTACCTAAATATGCCCTGCCAATTTTAGTCAAATTTGTTAACAAGATTGAAATGACAAATAACCATAAGGTTATAAAAAAAATTTATAGGGACCAAAAATTACCTAACGGCGAATCAGGTAATGACAAATTATTTTGGTTAAAAAATTATAACGAATATAAACAACTTACCTCAGAAGATTGGAATGATATACAAGAAGAGCGTGTTAAATTATGATTCATTTTAACAAAAGAGTTTGGACTTTTGTATATATAGAAAAAAAAAGAAGACATTAAGTAACAAACACAAATATGACATTAATTATCGATAAAAATTTCAAATATTATATTTAATCTTATATAGCTCATTAAATAAATATTGTTTGTTCTTATTAAGCAGCCAACAGTTTTAAAATAAAAAGGAATGTAATACATGGAATCATACCTACCAAAAGGTATTCTGACGGACTAACGTTAAATTTATCAACTACTGTTGACGTATTATTGGATTCTTGTTTAAAAGAACCGCTGATATAATATTCTTCCAATAATTCATCCTTTTCCTTCCATACATTATATAACCACTCAGCAAATGCTTCTTCATCCCTTAATGGTATATTTTTCAATTCATAAGAACGAATATATATGTCCACAATATGAGGAAATTTACCTTCTAAAAATATTTGTTTCAGACTGTAATGAGATGCAGCATAAGAAGAGTTCTGCACTCCTGAGTAGCCGATGGTAACATCATACACTGCGTCTAAACTTGGTTCTAGCGTCTCTAAAGTGAATCTTAATCCGGTCACATGAGGTAATAAAAGATGTTTAAATGGTTGTTTGTTAACCTTTCTAGCATATTTGAGACTTTTACATCTTGTATCATATGTTAAATTTGTACCTTCTGGAAATAATAAGAAATTATAAGGCCAACAATTGGAATTTGTCTTTTTCTCTCTCACATCAGGATGAACCCTAGAATCCCAGTTGACCACACCATCATTATCTGTTTTTACTGGAGTGTTGCTACTAAGTGGACCCAATCCTCTTGCATTGGCATCCAGCTCTTTTAATGTATTAATTAAATTTACACGATCATGTGCCCACTTTCTATTCATAAATAAGAAATTAAAATTCGTCATACCAAATCCTAATAGAGGGATAGATTTTAAAGATTTCTTCAGCATGATATGGACTCTACCAGCCAACTCTGATGTGTAAGCAATCCACCATAGATAAATCCAATCTGTATATATTTGGTGGTTACAGATTACCACAGAATCAGGACATAAGGTTGATGAAATTCTTCCTTTTTGATGATCCATAAAGAAGACATTCTTACCGATGGTATTGTTGCATGTAGTTATTCTAACTTTAGATGGTGCAGCTACCGACAATATTGCAGTTAACATGATTAAAAAATACTTCTTCGTAAAATCCATACATTTTTGATACGATTTAGTGTTCTTCTTGAATAATATTATTGTAATAATCTGGATGAAACATAGTGCCACACAACTCTCAAGAAAGACTACCACAGATATCAATAAAATTGCTGTCTGCTTAACAGTTCGAAATAACTTTAGAGACATGGTACGAATATAATATTATTGTAAAGGATATTTTTATTGATCCACTTGGGAACGATATGGACTTGACATTGGTTGCAAGAGTAATCATATCAAAAAGGGTCTTAAAATTAGAGGCCTTTTATACTTGACATAAAGATCGCAATTTCCTGATAGCATGTGAAAATGCAAAAAAAAAAAAAAATAGACAGAAAGAAATAAAAAAAAAAAAATACTTCAGAGATGACAAAGAACGTTTTTATTTACAGAATTACTTCTACTTCTATACACATATATATAACTGTAGTTGTACGAAGTAGCTATGAGATCAGCTATCATGAAGTCTTTTCTTAGGTTTCTCCATTATAGAGGTGATGATAGTATCACAATTACCAAAAAGTTGTAAAAAATTGATTGTTGTTGTTAATGCACTATTAATTTGATTCCAAGGTTCAAGGACTCCCTTTGAAATCAAATTGTATCTATATTTTTCTCCATTTTCTGTGTTCGACTTGGGTGGAAGATACCCAATGTTTGGATCTTTTTCCTCCATAGTCCTCGAAACAAAGCTTAATACTTGATGCTTATTAATACCATATTCATTTCTTAACGCTCTCTTCATAGGCACTGAAAGGCATTTTAACACCGCATCTACACCGACTCCAACCTCGATATTTTCTTTACATTCTTTTGATGCTAATAACTTTAACACATCAGGTATTGCTTTTACCAGTGAAATACCATAACCGCCAACAAAACCACTTGTTAAACCATCACATAAGATATCATTGATAAGATGTTCCAAGAAGTTACGTCTAGCATCAATTTCAAATTCTGTAGCACCTCCCACACTCAACTTTACTGTAGTATGCAAATATTTATTTGTACTCCCATTATCCGAGAAAGCTTCGTTATATAACAATGCTTCCCCCGTACTAGCCTTAAATGATTCTATTTCCCCAAAGTATTGGTTTGCTGATACAGTACTAGGTATAATATCACTATAATCACAAGAATATATACTGCTAATTCCGTGAGGTAATTTTAAAAACTTCAAAAGAGGATAATTTTCATGAATTGAAACATTATTATTATCTCTTGGATTATATTTCATAACTATAACTCTCATTGGTTTATTGCTCCTCTTATTCTTGTTGTTATTAATGGATATTGCTGTTAGTGCTTCTCCACAACATTCGCCAGAGACTAATACTAGTAAAGACTTTCCAACTTTATTCATATAAGAAATAGAAGGAAGAATCTGCCTTGCACTATGTAGAGATCCATCACAAAGTAAAACTAGCATTGGTTTTTTTATAGAAATCAATTTTTTTTTTGATAAGTCTAGAGACCTAAGGTAAGGTTCATTAGAATTTATTATACCGGATAAAAACCTCCAACCTTTGGTCAATTCGATTTCATCCATGGTTTTCTTACCTGGAACAACCCTCACAATATCATTTGAGTATAATTTATAATCTATTCTTTCTAAAACATTTTTAATAGTCCTTGCATAAGTGGAAGAAATAGTTAAAGAATCAATGAGAGAACATATAGTTGTTGGCTCTTGAATCAAAACTTTATTTTGTGACAAAACATTAGTAACCGTTTTCAACGCTAAATTTACACCATACAAAGTGCCTTTAGAGGGATATCTGTTATATGTAGTCAAAAGATTAGATACCAAATATGGCACTAAAGGATGAAATTTACCACCACCACACTCTCTTAATAATTGTAAAATAACAATTCCTAACTTATTTTTATTTAGCAAGCTTTTGTGATCCCTATTTAAAGCATCATCCAACTCAAGTGATTTTAAGTAACGTTGAACTACATAGTCCATTCGAGTGTAATCTTTCCCGGATATTATTTGTGGTGTACCTTTATACTTATCCTTATACAGAATATTGTTATTAGAGTTGTCAGAGTTTAACAATTTGTCTAATATTTTGATATGGTACAAGATCTTATCGGTTTGCTGTTTGGAATGGTTTAATTTGTTAACTATGGTATATTTTGTCTTTAAGGATCGTTTAACGGTATGGTTAAATCCATTTTTGACTTGTAGTTTTCCCAAACGAGACCACATTGGGCTCTTCATAAGTTTTATTAATCAAACGTTTTTCCCACTGTTATAAACTATTTCTTTGAGGGTGAAAGGCCCTCCGTTTTCTATAACACCTTTTTATTGTCTTTTTATGTGATGTAATATTATTCGAGGTTGTTATATGTTTCTAAACTGTTAGTTAGGGGTTCTTTATTTCCTTATTAGATAAACACTTTAGTTTTTAGAAAATTTCTCCTAAAGAAAATGAAAAAAAAAAAAAAAAAAAACAATGAAAAATAAAATAGAGAAAGGCCTTTTTATACGTAATTTCAAAATAAAATAGACTTGTATGTTGGTCCAAAATATATTTTATAACTATCATATTTCTTTATCATATAGTAAATATAAGAGCATAAAAGATTACTCTAAAAGATTGCCGGCTTTTATACTATTCAACTCAAGAAAAAAAATTACATTAAGTATTTAATCATTTAATGAATTTCCAGCATTTGTATATATTAAAGAAAAACTAGTGAAAAGTAATAGATGTGATATTGCATAAATTAAATACAAGCATACTGGCCTCTTTAGATAAGTTATAAGTCTACAAGATTTTTATTTTAATAAATAAACTGTATATATATGTGTGTATGTATGTATGGCAAGATGCATTATTAAAAAGAAAATATTGTCCTGAAAAGACTAGATTACTATAGAATAAAAGAAACAGTGTATATTTATAAAAATATGTCGTATGCAAATATATAAAATATTATAGAGAGTAAGGAAAAATAAATATGTAATATCTGTGACAAAAATAAATGGATTATGATGAATGATGATTATCTACTGCTAAAATCCCTGCGGAAGATATAATTGATCTTGAATAATATATGCAGAAGGACACAATTTATCAGAAAACATAATTGCTGAAAAGTAGTGGTTCTTTCAGTATTCTACCAATATCTGTAATTCTACTATAACTATGTATAGGTTACGCTTGTTAATGGTATTTTTACTGAACACTTTTCAACACCTGCTATTCTGATTTATGATTTCTTTTGAAAGATCATCGTGTATTGGAGCAACAACAGCAACGATGACACTAAAGTAGTGTGGAATGAGGTAAACGTTTATGAGTAAGAATATTAAAAAGAGAAAGAATCAAACGACAATATGATATAATAAACATGAAATAATTGAAGTAAAAGTTGACAATCAATAATGATTGATTTAATATTAACAATAATAATAATATTATTATTATTACTGTTGTTGTTTTTGAAGTAACGAAACGTTAGAGAAATTGATTTGATATAAAAGTAAAGATATTTGTTATTTTATTTTTGTAATTTTTTTATTGTTTTGTTTTTATATTTTTTTTTTGTTATTTTGTTATTTTATTGTAGGAGAAGTGAGTACAAACAATCTTCCCTTCAAATATTTGATCAGGATATTATCAGGAAAAATCTTAATGAATCACAACTCAAGAGATCTGTCAGCTAACACATAAAAAGGAAAAAAAAGAAGATATAAGATTAAAACAGAAACTATAAATCAATTCTTATCTCTTCTGCATTTTCTGTTAATCCAGTTGATACCAATACCGGTTAAATAGATCACAGAAGCTATGTAGCAAAAGCCAACAATAGCAATATGAACAATGTTCATTTGCTAAAGAAAACGATGAAGATAAATACTCTGGACTGAAACCAAAATGAAACACTCAAATAAAAAAATTATTTGCCAAGTACCAACTATATATTAATTGACACTTGTGGTTTTTTTTTTTTTCACAAAAAAAAAAAGGAATTGAAATGGATACAAGAAGAAATTATGAAATAGAAACAAGAATATTAAAAAAGTTAAGAAAAAGAAGAAGAAATTATTTTGAAGATATTTAAAATCTGTTCCTCTTATATACATTTATTTTCTTTTTGTGTTATTTTGATAATTCAATCTTTAAAATGTATATAAAAATATTTTTTTAGCAAAGATAGATTTTAATAAAATACAAAAAAAAAGCAAAGGAAAGAAAAGAAACAATATTTTATATAGAGATATTACGGTACAAAAATATAGTAGAGTATAATATCTTCTTCTTCTTTTTGACATTTTATTATAGGTGTGTAGGATAGATAAGATTCTACAGAAGTGTTGTTATTAATTAATATATCTTAATTTAAATACTAAATATCATCATATAAATATAAAACTATTAGATTTCAGAGGTATCTTAAAAATTATCATAGAATTAGTAGATTAAATTCTGTAAAAAAGCTCAAAATTGTCTACACATTCTTAACAAAGAAAGCACTTTTCATTAAATATTTTAATAAAATTATCAATTAACAATAATCTCTATTTTTAGCAACATCTTAAATGCGTTTTCCTAAATGGTGTATATATAGTTATATATATATTTTTACATTGATCAATTATGAGCCTTTTTTTGAAAATTTATATCATAGGAAAATTAGAATTTTAAAGGATTTTTTTTTCTTAATACACAATAGCCAAACTGACAAGATCTTTTACATATTATATCCATTGTTGAAGAATAATACTAATAGTTTGAAGTTTTTGTGTAATTTAAAAAAATTCTTTTTCTTGGGACATTTTTATACGAATATACTGTCATAAAAAGACAACATTTTAATCTTCACCCAGGTATTTTTTGAATTTTCAAAAAAAAAAAAAAAAAGAAAAGAAAAAGAAAAGGGGCCACTAATCGGTATCTCCTTTTTAATATCAAAAATGCAGTATATATATATATATATGGAACAATATACAAATAGGTATATATTTCTCTTATTTTCCCCTCTTTTCTCTTCTTAAAAACTCCTATTCTTGAAAATATTATTTTTTTTCTAAATTTCTAGACCATGTATCTAAATATTACAGATATTATTTCTTCCATATCGAATCATTAAATCTAAAAAAAAAAATCATTCAAGAGATTATAAGTATGATAGTATTTCTAGAGGGAAAAAACATAAAAAGGAGACAAGAAAATATATATAATAAAGTATTGTATGAAAATTGTATTTATTTATATAATAAAAATAAAGATAAAAATAAATTGGTTGCTATAATTTATTTGTGTCTAGTATCATCATATATCCTAACAACCTAAAATTCCATTTGATATTTACCTGATAGAAAATTATATCTTATTTAATCACGACCAACATAGTTTACCTATCATTTTATTTTCTCTCAACTAGCTAAATTCTACACAAACTCAGACCTTGAAAAGAAATATTTGGCCGCATAATAAAAAATTATGTTTAATTTCAATTTTTTTTTTTTTCCTGTACAAAAATCATTTGAATATTCACATAATTATACATTACAATAAGAATACAATAAACTGTTTTATATCACCATTACTAATAAAACAATCTTATAATTGTTTTATCTGTTGAGTCAACTATTGTTATCAATGTATACAATGTATAATCAAGATCTTGTATTAACTCTTGATATCAAAACTTTTAATAGCTTATTTTAATACAAGTTCGTGCTGTGGAATAGAGTAGGAAAAAACGCTCAATTTGGGAAAGGTATTCACCTTAATTATAAAAATACTATCTAATATAATATTTGAAATATTTGATATAAAAAGGTAATATATATAATGATATCTTATTTCTTGATGTATGTAACCATATATATTAACATAATAATTTTACCCCTGTTATATTATCTTATGTTCTTCTTGTTTCTTTTCCTTTTTATCTATATGATTCGATTGTTTTATTGTGACTCCAGTTATATTTTCCTATGATAAATAATAATGACTATTTATCATAGCATACGGTATTGATTACCGTTAGTCACGTGAAACTTCTAGTGTCACAATAAATCTCTTATTCATAATTAGATTATTTCACTGTATAAGATGTTGTAATATGATGTGGTCAGAGTTTTGTATTATTCGGGGAAGCGCTAGAAATATCAAACAGATAATCTATTAATAATCGAGACAATAATTAATACAATCGGTAATGCAATTATTAATACGGTCTTATATATTAACAGCTATATCGAGCTTATATAATTATACTATTTGCTTATTGTATTCTGCATTCGATGTTCGTTGGTTGGTTGCTTGTTCTATTTTGTTTATACATAATATATAAATTATTTACAAGAAACGGTTATGGAAGATGATCTTTTATCTCCAGAAAACGTTGTCCTTTTATATGTTTTCTGGAGCTCGATCGATTATTCAGATTACTACATTAATGACTTGACTGATTCAAACCCTAAAATTTATTATATTAATTTAGGTGCACTACTGGATTAGAACTGCATCCCAATTCTCTAATCATGGTGATTAGTAATACACGTGGGACTTAATAAAACAATAGGTAAATTCTAGATTTGCCAAGATCTTATGTAATCCAATCTTTTTATTATGCAGCATCTAATGTTGTAGCACATGTATGGCTTATTAATACACTAATTGGTTCTAGATTCATTCAGGATCTTATGTAATCTTGATGGTTATAACTATTCTATTCCACAACATAAGACAGCGGTTCTGGTTCTATAGTGTAGTGGTTATCACTTTCGGTTTTGATCCGAACAACCCCGGTTCGAATCCGGGTAGGACCTTTTTTGACTGTTTTTAACTTGCAGGTTGGTCATATAGTAACTTTATGTTAACGTTAAACAAACGTATGAAATAAATGAAGATCAAACCTTTTCTTTCCTTTGTCTTCTTTTTTTTTAAACTGCTCTCAATGAAACTTTATGATATTTTTTTTAAAAAAATTTTAAACCACAAAAGTTTCTTCAATATGAAAAATCAAAGCAAAGAAAAACATGAATAAACTATTTTTGACTCAAAATTATTACCCTAAAAAGGATTGTGATGTAATGGTCTAATCAATAGCTATAAAAAGTATTTTAAGTTGTTAGTTCTATTAATAATTTTGTTTAGAGAAAGGCTTTTCTAATTGTTATTACTGGAACAAGATAATTCATATCTAAAAAATTGAAAACTGTTAGATAATGTTTGTTTTATTTAGCACAACTAGATTTAATATATCTAAATTGTCAAGAAAAAAGGAACCATTAACCTAATTTTTAAATCTTATTTTCATAAATCTTGACTGTGTGAACTCAAAGAAAATATTACTATTATGACATATTGCTGCCAGAGTCCTACACTGTAGAAATATATTGCATACAAAAATTTGTAATGGAAATGCGAGTTATTATCCTAGTATATTGATGTATGTGGGGTCCAAAGAACTATAGAGGCTGCATATAGTTAAGGGTCCTATATGGTAATATATATAAATAGATTGATTGATTGACAGGTATGTGACAAAAAATATCAAGCGAAAAAGGAAAAAGGAAAAAGAAAAGAAAAGAAAGAAAAATAGGAAAACAAGAGAAAAAAATGATACGTTTTGTAATAATAAGGTGGCTTTGCAAATTTCAATAGTTGTTTTTATAAGAGGCTGAAACTTAGACGTATTACACCAGTCTTTTATGGTGAATTTAACCTTTTTATGATTTAATTGAGAACGAGAAGTGGAGAGGAAATAGATATAAAAGTGAAGAAGTAATGTAAGCGATGCTGTAAGTTTATTTATTTGTAATATATATATATATAAGTGATGATTGTTTAATCTAAATATGTTTTAAGATTTGCTGTAAAATTAAGGTAATAAATGAGAACAGAATCAAACAACTAAATCAATAAACAAATACATATTTCATCAATAATTAACAACGTATATAAAATATGGGTCAACGTTATTATACACAACCAGCTGCTCCTATATATGGTCCACCTCCAACACAAATAGTATATGTTCAACAAGCACCACCACCGCCGAAGGACGATGGTTGTTGTAATTGTTGTGGTTGTATTGCTTGCTGCTGTGACACAATCAAAAACATATTATGTTGTTTATGTATAGCGGACATGTGTTTGTGTTGTTTAAGTTGACGAATATATATGTATAAAATACATATGTGTATATGTGTGTATGTTGATACAAATTAATGCATTTTTATGGGTTCATGATATTATTGTGTTTCTTATATATATAATTTCACGTATTATATAGTAGTATAATAATAATGATAGCAAATTGTTCAATGTGTGATGGTATAAGTTTTGTTATATTTTTTATTATTTATGTGATAATGAACTGATTTTATCTTCCAATACTTTTATTTTTTCCTTTAGTTCAGCGTTTTCTCTTCTAGCCAAATTTAATTCGATACTAATTTCTTTAGATTTGCCATATGACAACATCTTAGCCATTTCTTTATTCTCTTTAGTCAAGATCTCTAATCGTACAATCATTTTATGGGCGATTGTTTCGATATCATACCTACCATCCTTAGTTATTGAATTACTTGGGTTTAATGCAATAGCACATAGAACACTTTCTAGGTGATCTTCTGTAATTTTCAATTTTTCTTGTGTCTCTTTCAGTTTTGTAGAAAGAGTGTATAAGATAGTTTCTACACTTTCAGGTATTATTATTTTATTTAAAGTATCTTCGTCATTTTCATCTTCTTCAATAGAATCCAGAAGAGAGTTATTAGAATAACCATTGAGATTATTATTATTGTTGAGTTTATTCGTTCCCTGATAGGATTTTAAATCATCATTAATCAATTTTTTATAGAGTTGAATTTCATTTTTCAATGCTTGTATTTGACTTTCTTTTATTTGTAAATCTATTTTCAAAGAATTTACTGTATCATTCTCGATAGCGTTTCTATCCTTATTATTGTGTGTGATAGAAGGACTATATGGATTGTTAGCATCATTACCACTATTACTATTATTCCTATTATCATTAGTAGTCGTTGTAATAGCAGTATCCGTAGTAGAAGTGGTGTTTAAATACGAAAATGTGTTTGATGGTACAGATATTATTTTAATTTTATCATCAGTGTTAATAGACCTGTTGTTATTTTTATTATGGCTAGTTTTAACTACATCATTATTAATGTTAATATGAGAAGAATGATTACTTAATGCTATATTTTCGTTATTTATTATTCCTGTATTATTGTCATTGGTATTGTTGTTGTTGTTCTTCTCATTTTTATGGAATGACAAATTACTAAATGCAGAATCTAAAGTTCTCTTTGAATCATCATACGTGTAGTTACCATAATTCATTCTTTAAACAAAAAAAAAAGGATAATAGAATGCAGTAAAGTAAAGTAAAATAAAATAAAATAAAAACAAAGACTTATTTTTTACGTATTTTCTTTGAATCACTTAGAATTGTATACTTTTTTTTAATAGATAATGTGAATAAAAGTGGGAAATTTGAAGGATAATTCGAGTGTTTTAAAATAGCTAATTGTCTCAACAATGTTGAATATGTGGATATATATGTTTATGTTTATGTTTGTATATATGTTTATGTGTATGTATGCAACATTATTGAGTACAACCAAATACTTAGATCAAAAATAATAATAAAAAAAAAAGTAAGGACTGACATAATGTTTCTTTTTATTTTTATTTAGTGTAATGGAAATGAAAAAATAATGGAAAAAAAAAATGTAAAAAAGAAGTGAGATTCCGATTGACAGAACCCTAACCAACTACAATAGGGTTGAAAAGAGGGAGGGGGGAAGGGTTATCAACAGTGAGAGGCAGTCAGATTTTTGGAGATTGCAATCAGATCTTCAACAAGCAAAGAGTGAAAAGAAAGAGCAAAGAAGCAAAGGCCGCCACGGTGTGTGTTCTTTGGTTGCGGTATATTCCTATCTTGCAAAATATGCATATATATAAATATGTGTGTGTGTGTATACATACCCTGTATGTTATCGGTGGTGGGTATAAAAAAGATTTGTTTGCATCTAATTCACTTTTTTGTTATTTTTTAACATTCGAAACAAAGGAGAATATTCAATTGCATTAATTTGATTTTTAAAAAAAAATAGTACATGGTTGAAATTGTGGACTGTACCAGAAATTTAAAGCCTTTTTTCCAGTCAAAGGATCCCAGATTAAGTGAGGGGATAACCTACTGTGGGAAAACAGACACTCTATACTGGATAGATATCTATAAAGCACAAATTCATAGGATCCAAAACTTTCAAAATGGATCACCATCTTCGATGCAGTCAAATTATGGTGTTGTCACAATATCTCAAGAGAACTATAATGAGAGATTGTTCAATATCTCTTACCCAAAGGAACATTCTGAATATAAAGAATCCATCGGTGTTATCTTTCCTAATGACAATGAAGATGGACTGGACTCTCATTTAATATATTTTGGATCTAAATTTGGGATAGCACAGTACAACTATAAGTCAGATCAATGGGGTTATATAATCTTGTACTCCTCGTGTCCGGAACTGAAACTGTATGGTCACAAACTAAGATCCAATGATGGTAACGTTACGCCAGATGGCAAATACATTATTGTTGGGTTAATGGAAGATTTCATGTATGATGCGTCGAAGAGTGATAAAGGTTGTGTGTTAAGAGTCGACTTGAACAATCAAGAGATCACGATGATGGTGAATGGGATGAAAATTCCTAATGCATTCCATTGGAACCAAGATAATAGTAAGATGTATATCACTGACTCCTTAAATTTTACAATTTGGGAATATGAGTATAACACGATCGAAAATAGATTAGTTTTGCCACATAGGAAACGTGCATTGTTTGATATCCATAAATATAACGTAGATTTTGAATCACCAGAACCTGACGGAAGTGATATAGATTTAATTAATGGACTATTATACGTAAGTGTTTGGTCGACCAGTCAAATCCAGGTTTATGATATTCAAACAGGCAAATTGGCCAAAAGATATCTGTTACCTTTGAATACACCAAGAATCTCGTGTTGTTGTCTTGTTGGAGGTGATTTATTAGTTACTTGTGCAAACCAGTATATTACTGATGATGAACAGTTGAGTAATAATAATCATGATAATAAGGATGTAAATGGAGGTTGTGTTTATAGAATTGAAAATGTGACTCAAAATATGTTTCCAAAAAGGTCTTCAAAAAGATCACTCAAATTTTAATTTAAACTGTTATGCGAGAGTGGGGTATACTTTCTATAAAAAGAAGTGTGATTTTGAGTAAATTAAAAGTAAATGCATATATATACTTGTGTGTGTGTATTTGTGTTATAGAGTATATGTTTCCAATAAATTTCGCTGTATTGACTAAATTTCTTCGTTGGGTGACTAACATTTGTGGTATTGTGTTGCGTGGCATGTGTTATTGTCAATGGTTGGGAGAAAACAATAGATTTTATTTCAAAAAATACGCTCACATAAATAGAATAATAGCGACAACAATAGCAGGCATTGTAGACCGCCGGGTATATAAAAAGCAAAAAAAAGTAAAATAATAATGATGGTTAGCGCCGTGGAAATAAACGGCGCTAATTTATATTTTCTATTGTTCCATTTCCATTTTATATTATTTTTTGCAGTACATTTGCTAACAATAAACTATTATAGATAAAAACAGACAATAACTAACAACGTTTTCCATTATGAAACACATACTGTATATTTATATTCATGCAAGTATATTCATACATATATATACATACATACATATATTTATATATATATATATATGTGTCCAAGTATATCTGTGTGGTACATTATTATTTGGTATTATACAAATATTTATATTTACATATATTTACATATATTTGCCTATATCTATATATATATAAGGTTAGTGAAAATACTTTTGATGTGTTTTTTTTAACCCTTGTTTTCTAGTTTATTATTATTGTTGTTGTTTTTATTGTCGTTATTACTATCATCTTTTTTCCTTGATTTAAGTCAACCTTTATTGGTATTTTTTTTTTTATATTAATGATAAGAGTATAAGAAAATCGTTTAGAGCACTAAAGTAATATAAATAGTTTTCCTTCCATTATAGAGGAAAAAAGAATCTGAAAACTAATAAAAGATAGTAAAGGAAGAGAAACAACAAAGAAAAATGAGTACTCTAAGAAAAAGCGACTTTGAACAACAGTTTGCAGAGTTTCCAAAAGTTTCCAAAGCTATTGATGCCAAAGATGAAATTCAATTTGAAAAACTATCTTTTGCCTTAAGAAGAACTAAATCAAATAGTTTATATAATATCGGCTTTAAAAAGGATCAAAGACCACAGGGCCAAAGAAGATTCTCTTATAATGACAGGTTTTCTTATCAAAACAAAAATGATAGTATCTATGTTGTATCTATACCTATCATTCCAAGAGACTTTCTGTCTGTTAAAGATGATAACAATCTTTTTTTGCAAAAGCCTGATAAATATATTGATTACTTGTCGTTTAATTGGGAAATATGGGATCTTCTAATGACATGGAAATTTCTATTGAAATGGAAACAATTTCTGAATTCAGAATTCGTTTGGTTTACTGAAAATTTGAAAAATTTACAAACTATTGTAAGATTAGAAAATATTATATGGAGACTATATTTCAAATTTCATTCAAGGATAAAAAATGATAGTTTGGAGAATGTACAAAATTTAACAGATTTGGAGTATAATTGGATTAAGGATAATGAATTATGTTGGCTTTATGGTCCATTAATTCTTTATAAGAATAGTTTCGAATCATCTACACATAATCCTATAGATAAATCAAGAATAGGTATTCATTTATTAAGTCAGAACCTTAAACCAATCTTGAAAAAGGAAAAAATTGATAGAATTATCTTAAAAAATTCTTTATGGAAATTGAAACAATTAAAGCTAGTGTTATCAACAGGAACTGTAACCACTGCATCTATGTCTGAATGCTGTTCTTCAGACTCCTCTGAATCAATAAGTTCCTCTCGATCAAAATCAATGATAAATTCACTCTCCTTTTTACAACAAATGCCAAAAACTACTTCAATTTTAAAAAATTCATCCTGTAATATCAATAAATCTTCAGATAACTGTAAAAAAAGACATATAAAGTTTAATGACATAGTACAACAGTGTATACCAATTTCTAATTCGGTGTCCCCTGGTACTTCATTTTTGACAATCAGGTATTTATCCAATACATGTTTAAATGTTTATTCTGAAAATGATGAGGAATCACCACAAAGAGATAAACAAAACAATGCAGTTTCGCATAATTTCAAGACTGTAAATAATTATAGTTATAAATATGGATATGATTATAACTCAGTTTATACTAAAAATATTGAAGCCTATTTACAATATACACCGTCAACGGAAAGAAGCAGATTTATCCTGGAAAATGATACAAAAAATGAGAGGGAAGATAGAAAATATGAAAGGGAATCAGAATCAGAATTGTTCTTAAATGTTCAACCACATAGATCTTTGTCACGGAAAAAATCACCTTTGCATATGTCAAAGAGAAGAAATTTTATAACAGGAGATATAATCAGGGGTTCAAATGATAAAGTCATCCATTTTGATGAACAACAAGAAGATAATAGCAGTAATGAAAGCGTCAATTTGGTTTCAGAGAGACCAAATTTTGATTCTTTTAATAGTATGCAAGAGGATAATCATTCAACGTCTCCCAGTGTTGTAATATCTCCTCATTCTACAATGTCTCATTCAACTTCATCAATTTCGATCGATTCAGGGGAATTTAACAACATAAAGACAATGTCAACTTTTCAATTGTCGTCTTTGCATAAAAATGAGAATGGTATAAATTCTGGAAGTAGAAGTAATCATGAGAGAAATAGGAGTAAAAAGAAAGATGTCTTTTTTACTAGTTCTCAATTTATAGAATGATTAATTTTCAGAATTCAATTATTTATATATGTATATATGTATATGTATATATGTATACATATATGTATACTTGGTGACATGATGTTAAATGAAATAAAATAACAATAGTGTGTAATAATTGTAGATGAATACTTTGTATATTTTTTTCCCCTCTTGTTATGTTAAATTCCAAAAGTGAATAAAAAAATAATATGACTCAATATGTCAATATATTCTGGTTTCATTCATAATATTATATCTTTTCTAAAAGATTCTAAACATCAAGTAGAGATGTTGCAGAGAGGATTGAGAGGCAAAAAAAGGAGAATAAAAATAGTATTATTCAATATATTGACGATTAAAAAAAAAGATTACTGAAATTTAATAACAAAATAACAAGGAGAGTTGAGGTTATTAATAGGAGCTTGGATAGTTTAGATCACTAAATAATGGTGACACTTGACTATGTTATTAATTTAATTACTGGGAGGGGGAAAAGTATTCGTTACAAAAACTTTGAAACCCCAAGTGATTTTTGACGTGAATGTGGATTTTCTTTTTTTGAATATAAGCCCTCATTTTGTATGTTGGCTTTGATGTGTAAAAATATTTTTTTTTCTTTCAGTAATGTTAAAATGTAAAGAGAAGAGAGTGAAAACAGGTAGCAACAAACATTTGTAGTTACCTATCTTATTAAACTTTAGTTTTGATATCGCTGGTAGTTTGTCGAGAAAATGTTAATTCTATATACACAAATGTATAGCCAAATCAAAACGATTATAGGCCATAAATAAACAGGAAAAGCAAAAAGGAAAGCTAACCAGATTATGAACAATGATGATCTTGATAGTCCAAGTTCATTAAAAGATTACTACTCAACAGAAGTTATCAATACTGGTGAAAATAATTATAATGGAGGTACAGATGATGAAAATAGAAGCAATAATGGATTTAATGTTACAATAGAGGAAGCTGTGTTTAAGTATGTCAGAGGGATAGAACTGGATTATATTGGTAACATCCCAGACGATAATTATAATATTAACATTATCAATCACAACGATACTGTCGGTAGTAGTGATGGGATATATGATTTTCAAACAACAAATCATGATTCCTTGTCGTCAGAATCTAATTTGAGGAATGATAAGACATGTGAATTATTATATGTTAACCCTAGAAACAAAAGAAATTTAGATAAAATTGATAAGCTAAGTTCATTAAAAAGAATAAGATTACAAAATGATATGGGGGGTGAGATAATTGAGGAAGACTCTAGACAACTGGAAAAAGAAAGTAATTGCATCATTAAGGGCTTTTCTATTGAGAATAAAGGATCCAATTTAATAAATGGTACCTCCTATGAACCCATATTAAATAAAGATATGCTCTTGCCCACTTTTGATGTAGAAAATGAATTTTATCAACCTTGCAGTAGTCTTTTAATGGGTAAACATTACCAAAATATTTTGCCTAAAACAAAAGAAGGTGAGGATGGCAACTGTTTTAATAGTGATCAATCTAAAATCTCTAAAAGTAAAGAAATAAGGAAGTTAGTAGAGAAGTGTATTCTACAAGTATCACAATTAAAAAATAGTAGTGGGATTCGTAAAAATATTATATTGGAAGAAGAGAAGATAATGAAAAGTTTTATCCAGGGATATCAAGAAATATATGAACTGTCTTATTATGATCTTAGATATATTATTTTAAGTGAATATGCAAATGAGGAGGATATATTAATTTTAGAAAGTATTAGTAATAATAATACTAAAAATAAAATAGACGCTAAAATAATAGATCATTTTTGGAGTTTCCTCTATGAAATTTTTTCCAGTCATTTACATTTATCTCTTAAAAAGCGTGTATATGGTTTAATAAAAAATTGTTGCAAGAAAAGTAAATGGACTAATGAAGAGGATAGGTTGTTATACGAAATGTGTACAGTTAAAGGTCTGTTAGGGAAGTGGAATCGTATTGGGTATATATTGAATAGGACCCCTGAAGATTGTAGGAATAGGTGGCGTGACTATGGGATATGTCAAGGAAATCAGAAAAAGAATCAATGGACAATAAAGGAAGAAGAACAGTTATTTAGAATAATTGTGGATTTATTAAAGAAATACATAGGAATAGAAGAAAAAAATCAGGATATGCATCTCAATATCGATACCTTGATTCATAATGAACAGTTATTCAAATGTGCAATAAATTGGAATCAAGTCAGTAAGTACATGGGATATACAAGATCAAGGATTCAATGTCAATATAAATGGAAAAAATTGTTGAAACGTAGAATGTTAAAGAGAATTAGTGATAGAATATCTAATGATGATATACATCGACTTATATCGATAATAGAAAATAGATGGACTGAGATGGATGAGATTGACTGGCACCACTTATCAAATGAATTAAATTCAAAATGGTACCCTAAAGAATTAGAGCATTTTTTTAATATAAAGCTAAGAACAATATTAAATCATAAACAGTTGACTATAAAAGAGGTATGCAAAGAAATTCTCAGAAAATTAGACAGTTAAATTTAAGTATCCAATGTCAGCAGAATCATTTTTTATATATTATATACATATGGGCATTGATATAACATTGGCATAAATATAACACAAAAATATACCTGAAGTACCTGAAATTACTTGTTCATTTCTTGAATAGTATTATATGATTAATCAATATATAAAAGTTTGTCCTTTTTTTGTTTTTAGAAAGGAGTATGGAATTTAGAAGAAAAAGAATATATAATAAAGAGTGGTTATATGGTAACATACATATTAAAATAAAATAATATTGTTAGTTATATTGAATGCTTATTCTTTTCCATCTGGTCGAATACACGTTTTGCTTCTAAAAGTGTATCAAAAATAAAAGAATGTCCTCCATTCAATCTTAATGTTAACCTAATCGCATTAATGAATTCCAAATATCTTTCAACAACTATTTTATCACTTAGACTGTTACAATAAAGGTTAATTTTTTGGATGTGGAAAGATGATTTAGATGATAAAGTATACTTGGGAATGATAGACAACTCAATATATTTTTCCAATTGGAATATCAACTCATCTGGATCATTTTCAAAAGAACTATATGATTTATTAAGTATTTGTTTTAAATATTGCTTTTTGAATTGTCCTAGTTCATTATAAAACTTCTCGATATAATTTGAATCTTCAGGTAATTGTTTATAATCATGTCTTGGTGTTTGAATACCTATAGAATGCTGTTTAACATGTGATGCTGGAGGGATAATTACTCTTTTAGATACAGGTCTAGAGTAATTACGCAAATTTGTAATTAGTAACTGATGCGATGCAATTGATGTCAAATGCATGTTCTTTTGTGTTTGTGTCGTGAGAGTGTCCCTTATGTTAGTTGTTTGTTAGCTGGAATTCGATATTACCTCCAAGATGAAGATATCATTTATACCTCTATATTTCAGTTTATTTATTTCTATTAGGGTTTTCTCTTTTTTTTTAGTGGTTTTCATTTGTCATTTTCTTTTTTATGAGGGCATCCTAAAAAAAAACTTTTGAGAATCATTCACTTGGTTTTAGTGTCACAAAATAATTTTCTTTGTATAAAGAAACATCCCTTCTCTTATTATAAGGTAATACAAATACATTTTATATATATAAGGTTCAGAAAAGAAAATAATAATAATAATATGAACTGTGGTGAGTTACAACGGTATAATTTCACGGAAGAATCTTTAGTTATCTCCCTAGATACAACATCAGACTATTCTAAATTTTTTAATCTTTCACTAACTTTGTATAATGGACTGACGCAAGAGGAAATTCTAAATTTACAAAGATGTATTACAGTACAGAATCATCCTTCACAGCAAACTTCTTTTAAAGTCTCAAAAAGATCACGATTGAAGAATTGTTTCAAACAATCCTTTCAAAGAATTCAAAAGAACAAAAAAAATAGAAATAATTGGAATTTGTTCAAAACATTAGAAACTAATTGTACGATTTCAGACAAAAGTGATAATTTGGATAATGATTGGGATTCATTGTCTTGTTATAATTATTTTAAGACAGAGCAACTAAGTCTCTTATTTGACATATCTATGAATGAAAATAATAAAGGAATAAAAAATGATTATCAACTCTTCAACAAAGAAAGTTTTTCAATGGAACAACCAAATCAAAAACTACTATCAGTTAAAAAATTTAAAGTAGGCGTCAAAAATAATTATGATAATGATAATGAGGAGGACGAAGAGAAGATTTTAGTGCCACCTTTGTCCTCCTCAACAGAAAAAATTATTATCAACAAGAAAAAGTTTAAAAATTTCTATAAAGACAATCAATCTTCAAAACAATTTTTACCATCTGATCAAAAGTTTTCAACAAAAAACAATAACACCCATCATCGATTGTTTCATCCTATTCAATTCCGTTCAACTACAAGTTCTTTTTCAAGATCCGCATCGTCTTCTACATCGTCTTTACTTCCAAGTAAGCATTATTTCATTCCAACTTTTAAGGAGAAAAGAAAACAGTTGACAGTTCCAAAAATTGTAGGTAATTTATTGAATGGGTCTTTTGATGTTAATTCTCAAAGGAATCCGGCCTTATCTTATCAAAATGTGGACTTCTATTCAAATATACCCAATTATCAATCAGATAACATATCTACTTCATCAACACCTTCATCACCCGTTTATATATCCAATTTCACTATAGAAAACCCTTCTAAAATAAAATTTGAGGAAAAGTCTAGTTTATTTATTTATGGAAACTTTACAAAACCCACACACTTTTATAATAATCAATCTTTGAATTTGAAACCCATTTTAAAGAACACAATAAACAAAAGACAAAACATCGAATTAAAAAATGCAGAGGGGTGTGATAGGATTGACATGGATAAATTTTTGCAAGATATAATTGATAATGAAGAAAAAAGACCATTTGATTCTACTCAAAGTGAAATGGTTAGAAATAGGCAGTTGACCCGATATTATAGAGAGGAAACACAAAATCTTATAAAGGATAACTATAAAACACACCATAATGCTGTTGCTACAATAGAATTATCCATAAATAACATTAGTAAAACAATTGAAAAGAAAAGAAGACTTCTTGGGGTAACGGAATTAGACAAGGGTTCAACATAGTATACAGACTTAGTCTATAAGAAATAGATAGTTATATATGAACACTTTCTATGTTTAATAGAGATTTTATTTTTTATTTAGTTGAAAGAGTATAGATTTTACAATAAGCTAACAGCAATCTGATTCAACGGACTAGATAAACTAACAAATAATTTTAAAATTATTTGTTAGTGTTGAAATAGAATGTTCTATGATAAAATAGATAGAACAATAAGATTTTAGCAGACACTAAACGATAAATTGTTGAGTAATAATTGTTGAGAGGTCACCAAAAGTTGTTGAGTTTATTTATTAAATATCTTACTGTTCGTAGAGGAAAATGGCTGAATGTTAACATATATAAAGCCAAGGATTTCATCATACATTATTTTTATCTTATTTACAATCTTTGTATATTATTATTTCTATGTTGTATATAGAGAAAGAAAGTGAAGAACTTTATTATAATTTTGTATACTAAATCTGTTTAATATAATATTGAGAATGTTTACTATATATCCAATGAATAAAGGCGCTCATTCCCAACAGTTAGATATTTTTCATAACTGTATAGTTATGTAAAATATTTAATTAATTGTTGATTATGTATTACTTGTGGTTCTAATCAGAAAAATGACTTATATCCTAAAATAATATGGACTAATTTCAGCAAATTTGTCTCAGTTTAACTATTTTTGGAAATTGCTAAAAATAATAATTTAACGGGCAATAAATTTTAAAGATTGTGTAAATTTTAAAAAAATGTAACAAATTGTAAACTCTATGCTAAATGCAATCATTGGGTTGAAAATAAACAAAATATATTTTGTAGCATTTACGTTGAAAATATCAAACAAGTGTATATATTTAATTCTGTTGAAATATAATTATTAGAGCTATGTTTGATAATCTAAATTCATCGTACTAAGTGATTAAAAGTTATGAAGATTTATGTTAAAGAAGATTCGAAGATAAAATGAGTATACTGTATAACATTGTATCTTGTATATTACTTATGTAAAAAGAAAAAGATCAAGCAATACAATAACAATTTATATTACCACTAATTTCCTACTATAAATAACAATAAAACTTATAATACCATCAATATCCTATTGTAAGTTACATTATCTTATTATATTAGTTTAAAATGAACTCGACTAGAATTTTTGATTCCGAAGCCTTGCGTCAACAAGTATAAAAATAAATATATATTGATGTAAAATATAATTACATAAAAGGTTCAAATAGAAATTTTAAAATTTGTGTTTTTTTGTCCCTTTCCTTGTTGTTATACAGAATTTTAACTTTGGGACAAATAATGTTGACGCAAGGCTTCGGAATCAAAAATTCTAGTAGAGTTCATTTTAAACAAATATAATAAGATAATGTAACTTACAATAGGATATTGATGGTATTATAAGTTTTATTGTTATTTATAGTAGGAAATTAGTGGTACTATAAAATGTTATTGTATTGCTTAGTCCTTTTCTTTTTACATAAGTAATATACAAGATACAATGTTATACAGTATACTCATTTTATCTTCGAATCTTCTTTAACATAAATCTTCATAACTTTTAATCACTTAGTACGATGAATTTAGATTATCAAACATAACTCTAATCATATTTCAATAGATAATATTAACTAAGGAATATATGTTGCGTACTTAACTGTCCTGATCATACCTCCTGAATTCCCTTCTCTATCTCTTCTGTCAATTATTCCCTCTCTCAATATGTGTGTCTATTCTTCATAGCTTCTTTCTATTTTAGCAATAAAAGTCTGTTTATGAAGTTCTGTAATATCCCTGATATTACTGTTTAGGGTTTGTTTAGAAAAATGAGGGTTGACGATATTTTTCTAAACTTTCCTTTTTTGCAAATTTTACAAACATACATAGAAGTGAGAGTAACCAACACAAGTACAAGAGAGCAACCAAGAAGAAGAACGAACAAGAATAAAGAAGAAGGAACCAAGGGCTACATAAGTTTAGATATATACTATATAAGTATATACTATTAGGTTATCTTAGATTAGGGATATAGATATATAGATATATAGATATATAGGAATATTACATCTAGAGATATAGAAAGAGTCTATATCTTATATATATCCAACTGAAATATTATTGAGATTTCAACGAGATTAACGGTTATCAGAAACATATAACCTAAGGGTTATTACAAGTTCTCCAATAAAGAATAGATAACAGATTAAAAAGAACTCCTCATAGGGGGCTCGAACCCCTGACATTTCGGTGATCCCTGATTAAACTTACGCTTAAAAGCCGAACGCTCTACCAACTGAGCTAACAAGGACGAGTTCTCCATCTACTGTTGTGGAATAGAATAGTTATAACCATCAAGATTACATAAGATCCTGAATGAATCTAGAACCAATTAGTGTATTAATAAGCCATACATGTGCTACAACATTAGATGCTGCATAATAAAAAGATTGGATTACATAAGATCTTGGCAAATCTAGAATTTACCTATTGTTTTATTAAGTCCCACGTGTATTACTAATCACCATGATTAGAGAATTGGGATGCAGTTCTAATCCAGTAGTGCACCTAAATTAATATAATAAATTTTAGGGTTTGAATCAGTCAAGTCATTAATGTAGTAATCTGAATAATCGATCGAGCTCCAGAAAACATATAAAAGGACAACGTTTTCAGGAGATAAAAGATCATCTTCCATAATCGTTTCTTGTAAATAATTTATATATTATGTATAAACAAAATAGAACAAGCAAGTAACAAATCAAGTAACTTCGAATAAGTACATTAGCTCGATATAAGCCGCTTAATATATAAGACCGTTTTAGTAATTATACTATCGACTATAGTTGATTACTGTCTCGATTATTTGAATTACTATTAATATTATTTGCGCTTCCCTGGAATACACAAAGAACTTCACCATACCATACTACAACATCTACTGTCGTGGAATAGAATAGTTATAACCATCAAGATTCCATAAGATCCTGAATGAATTTAGAACCAATTATTGTATTAATAAGCCATACACGTGCTACAACATTAGATGCTGCATAATAAAAAGATTAGATTACATAAGATTTTGGCAAATCTAGAATTTACCTATTGTTTTAATAAGCCCCACGTGTATCACTAATTACCATGATTAGAGAATTGGGGTGCAGTTCTAATCCACTAGTACACCTAAATTAATGTAATAAAATTTAGGGTTTGAATCAGTCAGGTCATTAATGTACTAATCTGAATAATCGATCGAGCTCCAGAAAACATATAAAAGGACAACGTTTTCTGGGGATAAAAGATCATCTTCCATAACCGTTTCTTGTAAATAATTTATGTATTATATATGAACAAAAAGAGAACAACAAACAAGTAACAAGCCAAGTAACAAGCCAAGTAACAAGCCAAGTAACTTCGAATAAATATATTAGCTCGTTAAAGCCGCTCAATATATAAGACCGTTTTAGTAATTATATTATCGATTATAGTTGATTACTGTCTCGATTACTTGAATAACTATTAATATTATTTGCGCTTCCCTGGAATACACAAAGAATTTCACCACTTCATAATACAACAAGAGCTGTTATAGTTCGGACTGAGGACCAATTTTTTTAACAGTACTATTGAACGAATAGTAAGGGCAATAACAAATATATAAGAACGTTATATATAATTAGGAGGGTTCAGGGTTTATTCCTTCTTTTTTCTATTTATGTTTATATAATATAGAAATTATTTACGAAAAAACTGTTATGGAAGATGATCTTTTATCTCCAGAAAACGTTGTCCTTTTATATGTTTTCTGGAGCTCGATCGATTATTCAGATTTGTATATTAACGAGCTTAGTGATCCAAACCCTAAATTTTATTACATTAATCTAGGTGTACTAGTGGATTAAAACTGCACCCCAATTCTTTAATCATGGTAATTGTTATTATTCTATTCTACAACAAGAGACAGAAACGAATTGGTTCCTTGGCCCAGTTGGTTAAGGCACCGTGCTAATAACGCGGGGATCAGCGGTTCGATCCCGCTAGGAACCATTCTTTTTGTTATTGTTCAGTATTAATATCATTCTGTACGAAATATAGATTTCTTCTTCTTGGATATAAAAATATGAGAATATAAACTACATTGCGAATAAAGAGTAGTCAAATAAATAACCATGTATGAGTGTATTTATGACTTGTAAATATGAAGAACAAGGATTATGTCAGGGTTATATTTAATATTATATCCAGAGGTGAAAAGTAGGTCCACCTCTTGAATCGACTCCAGTTACTTATTATCGAGACATCCTTCTCTATAGCGGAACTTGGAATGTTTTGGAGAGTTCCCTGACTGGTAACTGTGTGAACATTTTCACATTTTTCGACTTTTTTATTTGTTTGCTTGTATCTGTATATAAAACAAAAGAATGGGTGAATAGACATGTTATAAGGAAGAACACTTCGGAAGGAAAGCTTGAAGCAGTTCTATAACTTTCATGGTTTTTCAAGTACAAGTAAACATATCTTTTAATCACTTTTTACAGTTACCTTCAAGATTCTCGTCAAAACTGGCTTTTCCATAACTGCTTTGAAAGCAGTGTACAATACACTAAATTATAGAACAAAATCATACTTGTCATACTCATCTAAATTTTCTTCCTTTTCTAAATTGACCGTGAAGGATTTAGATCTTCAAGGTAAGCGAGTCTTTATTAGAACTGATTTTAATGTTCCACTAGATGGTAAGAAAATTATTTCTAATCAAAGGATTTTGGCTGCTTTGCCGACTATTAAATATGTTTTAGCAAATAATCCGAGGTATATTATTCTAGCTTCTCATTTAGGTAGGCCAAATAGTGAAAGGGATGTAGGACTGTCTTTGGCCCCTGTTTCCAATGAATTACAAAAATTATTGAATAAACAAATTATCTTCGCAAATGACTGTGTTGGTCCAGAAGTTGAAACTATATGTAGGCAATCTCCTCATAATTCAATAATATTATTGGAGAATTTAAGATATTATATTGAAGAAGAAGGTTTTAAAAAAGTTAATCATGAAAAAATCAAAGCCTCTAAAGAAGATATTGAAAAGTTTAGATGTCAGTTGTCTTCTTTGGCTGATTTATATATTAATGATGCCTTTGGTACTGTTCACAGACCTCATTCTTCTATTGTTGGTCTTAATTTCCCACAAAGGGCTGCAGGTTTTTTATTAGCTAAAGAATTGGTATGTTTTAACAAAGTTTTAGATAATCCAAAGAAACCATTTTTATCCATATTAGGTGGATCTAAAGTAGCTGACAAGATTCATCTGATTGATAATTTATTAGATAGAATTGATCTTCTAATAATTGGTGGTGGGATGGCTTTCACTTTTAAAAAAATATTGGAAAATATGCAAATTGGTGATTCTATCTTTGATAAACATGGTGCCAGAATTGTTCCCGGCTTGATGAATAAGGCTAGATCTAAAGGTGTTAAAGTTATTTTACCGACTGATTTTGTGATTGCCGATTCATTATTGGACAGTGCTAATATTAAGATAGTATCTGATAAAGAAGGTATTCCATCTGGTTGGAAGGGGGTAGATATTGGACCAATTTCTAGAAAGTTATTTGCTGATGCTATGAGTAAAGCTAAAACAATTATTTGGAATGGTCCTCCAGGTGTCTTTGAATTTAGCAAGTTTGCCGTTGGTACCAAATCATTATTAGATGAAGCAGTTAAATCCTGTAAAAATGGTAATACGGTGATTATGGCCGGTGGTGAAACGTCTACCATTGCTCTAAAATATGGTGTTTCTGACAAGATTTCTCATGTTTCTACTGGTGGTGGCGCTTCTTTAGAAATACTAGAGGGCAAGGAATTACCAGGTATCACATTTTTATCGGAAAATAAATAATATATATTTATTTAATCATTTATCACAAGTTATATGTTTAGTTTTTTTTATGATAAGTTATATTTCCATTATACAGTAAATTTTCAATAGAATCCCATGTCTTGGCTAGGTATACACCATTTTTATTACATTTTTCGATTGGTAATTGGATAATTGACACATTATCCCGTAAAAACTTGTTTATAGAGTTCTGATCCAAGCCAAGAATATTGTTGACGATATTTTTGAATTTAGTCATGTTTTCACTTGGATCTAATAATAAGATACCATTAACTGATGGGTGTAAGATTGATAGAAGATCAGTTTCACTGTCACCAACATACCAAAACTTACACCCATTTTTCTGTTTAGATTGTTCTTTAATAATATGATTAAGGTACAACATTTTGTCTGAACCAGTTAATAGTTTATTGGAAAAACATCCATTATATTCTGAATCCTTCAATTCTAATGCATTACAAAAGACATTTGTTTTTGTGAGCCTCTCATTATTTATAACTTCTATGATGAATTCTCTGGACCAATTGATCGATAATACATAGAATATATCATTGTGAGAATAGATACAATTTAAAAATGGTTGGAAACCGTCTTTGATTTCAATACTTTTATTGTTAAAACAGTGGTTAATATATTCTGGAATTAAATATTTAATACCGGTGAAATGATTCAATCTAGATAATTCATTAGTACTATGCAATTCTATCTTTCTGAGATAATCTTGGTACTGAATTTCTTTACTAAATAGCGTAGTATAATTATCGTGTGAAATAGTTTCAGTAGACACAGAGTCTAATAGAGGTAACCGTCTCAAAGGTGCTTGGTTGGAATATTTATTCCAACCTTGCATATAATTGTCTGTATAATGTGTCCATTTAGGAAATTTTTCTGGGTCTTTGTAGTATGGTAATTGACCAAAGACCAGTATGGAATCCTTCTTTGTTATTGTCTCGTCAAAATCGGATATAATAACATTTGTCATCGCAATCTTATTTAAATTGAATTTGTTTGAGAGTGTATTATTGAATAACTGTACAAGATTAATTATGTGTTGGAGTATAAGTTTAATCGAACTTGTAGATTTAAAAAGATCTAAATACATATATAAAAGACAAGTATGTACACATATATATATATAATCGATTAATAGAGAAAATAGAATCTGATATACTGCTCTAAAGGGAAACTGTTAGAACCTGTAATAATATACAAATAAAGGCATACTATATACATTATAGGCAAGTTCAAGTATCCGATGGGAACTGAGACTATTGAATGACATGCATTTTGAATGGTACTTATGTAGTTTCAATGAGATTTCATTCATTTGTGTATTTATTGATTTATTTATATTTTTCTCACCCTTCTTTCTCTTCTCGAAGAAAATAAAAAGAGTTTTGAAGAAAAAAAGAAAAAAAGAAGTAGAGCCATCGAAATCACATAGACGTTAGAATAACATATGTATCACAGGTGCAATGTTCCTATACCTTGATGATACCTGAAATAAATAAATATATATATAAGGTAATAGATAGGTCTCGTGCAACTGTTTGAAGATAGATAGCTTCACTTTTTTTTTTCATTATTTTTTTTATTTGTTTTGTTTTCAGCCTTATTTTAGTGGTAGATGTAAATAGTGCCATAATGTCTGAAGACCATATTCCAGCATGGAAGAGAATCTTAAGTAAGAAACACGATATTTCGATTAATTCTAGCGCAACTACAGAAGATCCCTTGAATGTTACCACACATTTAGCCACTGGATCTTTAACAAGAAAGGAGAAGAAACAAATTATTAATAAAAATGGTCAGAATACAAAATCAAAGGTCAACAAGATTATTAAGAAAGCTAGAAAAGATGCTAGTAAAAAAAGAAAGGATAAATTGCCAAAGGAGGAAAGGCAGTTAAGAAGGAACAGAGTGTTAAAGGATCAACTACGTTATTTGATTGAATTTTACAGGTTTAAGCAGGACAAAAAATTGCCTGAAACGTTGTACACTTTAGAATCTGTGAAGGTAAATTACCCAGAAGATATGGATAAAGATGTAGATGAAAGTAAAGATGTTATCAACATTTGGAAATTTTCTAAACAAAAACAAAATTGGTTACTCAAAAACATTTTAAATTTTGATGATGTTCCAATCCAATATGATGATTTACTTGTAGCGTATTTCCAAGATATACAGGGAAGAGCAAGAACTGAGTTATTAGATAAATGTCGTAGTGTCTTAGAGGAATGGAATAACTATGCAACTGAACAAGAAGAAAAGATAAAAGCTTTGGTCGAAGGAAATAATGAAGAGACAGATCAAGAGAAAAAGAACGACAATGAAAGTTCTGAAATAGAAGACGAAAATAAAGATGAAGAGAAAAAGAAGGAGAAGGAGAAAGAGAAAGACGAGTTGGAAACTAAGGAAGAACTTCCAATGCCTAGGAAAGAACGAGTAGCAAGGTGTTATAAGCTTGTTACGGGGATTGTCAAAAAGGATGAAAATTTAGATCTTGCATCATTTGTAATAAAAAATTTCCAACTTGATTAACACTTTTCTCATTATTTTATTTGACTTCCCTTCAATTTGCTTTAATTCAATTATCTAAAGTATTTAATAATATAAGTTCATGTAATATAGTAATAGACTAAAATGAAGAAAAAAAACTATTGTAGAAATATGCATAACTAAATGTTCTCCACGTTTGCTATCTGTTATTAACTAATCGAGTATTTTCTCCTCTTTTACTTTCTGTGAAGAAGATTTAAGAAAAAAAAAACTTTTTAGTATTGATTTAGAATAAATAGAGGAGCTTAATATAATGATCTCATATAAAAAATAGAATACTGTCAAAAAAGAAAGGCATACATCATAGAAAAGTACATGGTTGATCCCTTTTTTGTGTACACATGTAGATAAATATTGCCCTGTTTTATATACAATTGTTTGTATATCATGTTAGAGAATAGCAAATTACAGTTGGAAAATAGTCAACAGGCCTTGGAATATTTATCAAACCATTTTCTAGATATTAACTTGTTCCCAGAGCAGTTCACATCAACTATTATAGAATATTTTAAAGTGATAACCATAGATGAAAAGGTGAAAAGAAGGATTCTTCACATATGTGATGATTATTTATTGCAAAATAGAAATAGTACAGATTTTGATCTGGTTTTATCACAAAGAGCGAATGCAATAAAACAGATCATATCTATTGAAGATTCTAATGGCACAAGCTTGTGGAATAATCTAATAATATCAGAGATCGATATACAAAGCTCAGATATTCAAAAGCTAAATACTAATGATGATAGACAAATGTGTGATACTCAGTTATCAAATTTGATAATAGAAGAGGTAGACGTAGCAGACTATATTGTAATGTAATCCAATTGATGAATGAAATAAATAAGGCATTTAAATTATATATCCAATAATTTTGTTCATACTTTGTCTTTTTTTAAAAATATTTTTAAGATGTATTATTGAAAAATATATGACTTTATTAGAGTATGTAGTATATGTAGATTATATGTTATTTTTTTTTGTAAATTAATCTAGACTGTTAACTGAAAAGTTTCCATTACTGTACAAGTGCAAAATTTTTCATTAACACAGTTTATTGCATATCATTATACTTAAATTATGATACAAGTTAAAAAAAAAATCTGAAATAAAATATATGCAAATTATGGTTTCTATACATTATGGCTGATACTTTGAAATTTTCTTCATATTTATTTAACACACCTGCCAGTAGACAAAAAAGGTAATCGTGTTACATCTTCAATATACTATTGCTTACCAAAAAGAAACGTTAGAAGTGAATTGTTAAAATTCATATGAATTACTTTATTTTAAATTTTGAGCTAATTCTCTCCTATAAAGAATTATAAAAAAAACGCTAAATTAAAAACTTTACTTATTAAACTCCATAATACCACGTTGATATCCTTGCTCCCATTCCCACATAAATTCACTATCACCATGAGCCTTGATATATTGTTCTTTTCTCATTAATTTCCACGAATGGAGTCTACCAATTCTGGAATTGTCAAATTTATCAAACAGTTGAATATCACTGGCAGCTTGTCTCAAACCATCTTTGTATCTTTCATGTTCAAATTTGTCACCTTTACCATTCCAATAATTAACATGCTCTTCAAAAATGGAGTTTAATTTCATTTCATCAATTTTGATTGGAGATAAACTTCTTAATGGAATAGCACCATTTTGAACTTGTGGAACAAATCCCCATTCCCCTCCATCACCCCATTGAAATTGTAGGGTCCAAAAAAACCAACCCCAGCTTGCCACTTTGTTGAAAACTTTTATTTGTTCATTACCAAACTTTTTCACCCAGTCCTCTTTAACACCTTCAGTTTTTGACCAAGTTTGTTCATCTAAAACACATGAGAATTCACCAACCATGAAATCTGCTTTATCATACGGGAAGTTTACTGACTTTTCCAAATCTTCAATAATCTGTTGAGCTGTTTTTGATTTATCATTATCTGAAAAACATCTGTAAACATGGGAATCAATGACTACAAAGGGGTCTAAGTGTTCCTTATCCAACCAATCAGACCATTGTTCAGGCCACCAACCATCCGATATAACGATTGGTAATCCAGGAGCTAATTTATTTATAGCCTTAATTGCCTTCTCGTAATAGTTTTTCTCAGCTTTGCCCTTTTCACTAAATTTTGCTTCATTAACTACTTGAATACCAATAATATTTTCGTATGGAAGAACCGTATCATTGATAATAAATGGAATCACTTCATCAATCATTTTATTTACGTACTTGGATGTACTGAAAAAAGAGGAATTGCTTGTTATATCTCCACTATGTGAATCATTATTTGCACCACCTGGTAGACCATGTATATCAATTAGGATACCAATATTATATTGATTGGCCTTTTCAATCAAAGATTTGAAAACATCCCAAGGTTTTGTCTCCTCATATATTCCCATAAGAGTTTCAAATGGCAGTCCCTTTGTAAAACTTCCATTATCAACGTGCCAATAACCAATAGGTACTCTCATAGCTGTAATTTTTGTCACATCTCTCAACCAAGTCCAATTTATGCTATTAATGTATCGTTTATAATGTTCACTTAATCTATTTATCGCTTCATTGGGGGATATTTTTTGAGAAATATTTCTAATACATTCTAGTTCGCAATTCCCACCACATTCAGTTAATTGTGAATCAAAAATCCATGATTCCAGTACAAAGAGAGAACCGAGATTAACACCATTATTAAATCTATTTCTATAGATTACACGTTTGTCCACGGTATCAATTTCTATCACATTTGTAGACGTAGAATGTCTAGTAGTATCAGGCTTTTTGATTGGAATTTCAATGTGCGTATGCTCAAATTTCTCCCTTAATTTATCCACAATTCCCATTACTATTGTATTTCTCAGTATCAATATCCTTTTTTCTTTTAAAAACAGGAATAACTTGTAACTAAATAGACGAGATTTTAAATTTATTGTTAGCGTGGATCAGAATTTGAAGATGTACTTTACGTATTAATGATTTTTTTGTATGCATAGATATCTTTTCTTCTTCTACAATAACATCATCTTATGTTTTAGTATCCTAAAAAAGCCATAGGTAACATGTGACATATATTGTCGTGATATCACTATTAACGATTATGTGAACCCTTTAATCGAAAACGACATTCTCATTCTTCATATTTACAAACTATAAATACACTCGTACATGGTTATTTATTCAGACTACTCTTTATTTGCAATGTAGTTTATATTCTCATATTTTTATATCCAAGAAGAACAGACCTCTTATTGCGGCATATGTTGTTGTAATGTCATGGTAAACAATCTTGCAAATTCGTTAGTTGACCACAACGTTTTTGTTTGTCATTTTGTATACTTCATATATCTGTTTACACGTTATTTATTTCCCTGAACTACTCGTCATGTATAATGTGGCTAATATATTATATTCTAACTTCAACAATAATCTACCATTTCTATTAGATTCCCGGTTACTATACAAAAAGTAAAAATAAAGGGTGCGAGGTTCGAACTCGCGCGGACACTGTCCAACAGATCTTAAGTCTGCCGCCTTAGACCACTCGGCCAACCCTCCTGAACCACTTATTTTCTGTTGTAGATCAACCTTGATATTATGATTATGTAGAAAAAAACGATTAGGGGTGTATCGATTATGCCTTTTAATACAAGACATTCTATAATAGGGAAATCAGTGTTATCTTCTGATGTACAACCAGTTATTTCACTTATATTGATTATTGTAAGGTTTTGTGATGGTTGTCAAGAAAAAGTTCTAGTTTGGATTTATAGGACTTAGGGTTTGTTGATAAATCCCATGTGATTGTTGAATAATATGTAACAAAATGAAACTGTTGGAATTTGGAGCCTTCTGCGTCCATGGTAATGATAGACATCATTAAGTTATAGATACTTGTTATGTTTTTGTATTAAATACCTGTACATATTTATTATATAGTGTATTCAGTATACATTCTTTTATTTACTTTAAGTTTTCTTTTAAAGTTTTTCATTTCTTTTCAAATCTTCGAAAGACATATTTGGTGACAATTAAAATGTTTTCCTGATATTATGTACATCCGTACACCACATAATATATAGAAAAACTAATTAAAAATAATTCTTATGAAAATGACAGTAATAAACTCTCATTTTCCAACAGAAACATTCATGAAACATTAAATAGCTAATTAAGGAGAAATGTATCTACGGTGACAGTCGTTACAGAACCTCAAATAAGAAATTATCAACCCATAGTTCATATAGAAAGGACCAGTATCTTGGTATCTAAATTTATATGTTTGGTTGATTTATAATTATATGTAGCACATTGTATAATACAAAAAAAAAACAAGCAATAATCGTTTAATTCTCCTAGATATATATAACGTTCTTATATATTTGTTATTGCTCTTACTATTCGTTCAATAGTACTGTTAAAAAAATTGGTCCTCAGTCCGAACTATAACAGCTCTTGTTGTATTATGAAGTGGTGAAATTCTTTGTGTATTCCAGGGAAGCGCAAATAATATTAATAGTTATTCAAGTAATCGAGACAGTAATCAACTATAATCGATAATATAATTACTAAAACGGTCTTATATATTGAGCGGCTTTAACGAGCTAATATATTTATTCGAAGTTACTTGGCTTGTTACTTGGCTTGTTACTTGGCTTGTTACTTGTTTGTTGTTTTCTTTTTGTTCATATATAATACATAAATTATTTACAAGAAACGGTTATGGAAGATGATCTTTTATCCCCAGAAAACGTTGTCCTTTTATATGTTTTCTGGAGCTCGATCGATTATTCAGATTAGTACATTAATGACCTGACTGATTCAAACCCTAAATTTTATTACATTAATTTAGGTGTACTAGTGGATTAGAACTGCACCCCAATTCTCTAATCATGGTAATTAGTGATACACGTGGGGCTTATTAAAACAATAGGTAAATTCTAGATTTGCCAAAATCTTATGTAATCTAATCTTTTTATTATGCAGCATCTAATGTTGTAGCACGTGTATGGCTTATTAATACAATAATTGGTTCTAAATTCATTCAGGATCTTATGGAATCTTGATGGTTATAACTATTCTATTCCACAACAACTCTCGTTGAAATATGGAATGGTGAGATTCGTTTGTGTATTTCAGGGAATCACAAATAATATTAACAGTTATTCTAATAATCAAGACAGTAACCAACTATAGTCGATAATATAATTACTAAAACGATCTTATATATTGAGCAGCTTTTGTCAAGCTTACATATTTCTCTGTTCTTATTGTTATTTTTCTATTTACACTATATAACTATATTATAAGAAAGGAGTTATGAAAGATAGTTCTATCTTCAGAAGTTGTTGTCCTTTTCGACTAGCGTTACCTATTATGTTCCTGTACACCGTGTTCATATACCCTGTAATTGTACCACCATAACCTATTGTCCTAAATGTTCTATAAGGTTCAATTGAATTACTACAATGGTAGTTGATCGAGTTTTAGAGAACATGTAGAAATATGTAAGCTCGACATAGCCACTAATATATAAAGACCGTGTAGTAATTACTTTACCGTTTGTAATAGTTACTATGTTGATTACTAAAATATTCACTTTCTTGAAAGATTGAAATTAACGTCAACTTATTTGAGAACAATCATATAACTTTTTGTATCTCCAAATAAAAAAAGTTGTAATAAAGTTAGACAGATCAGAATTCTTTATCATAATTTTTTATCCTTCAAAATTATATATGTTTCAAATTGTTGTCATAGTAAAATGATCAACTAAAAATACAACAATCTGGTAAACGATAAGTGTACAATCTTTTTCCATATTTTTATTTATTGATTAACAGCTACAACTAAAAAAAACTACTGTTAAAGCAACGACTCCTATTAGTTTATCTATTTTGAAAGTCAATGCCATTACAATTACTTTTAAAAAGTGTTAGGGTATTACACTAAGAAATCATAAAAAATATTTTTTTGGTCCTTTGAAATTCCAAAAATATTGGTTAGCATTTATATTGATAGTAATACAAACATCAAAAAACTAGGAGATTTTGATTTTTGCATTTAATTGACTGTTATAATGTTTCCTTGGTAAACTCATTGTTTGTATTATATATTAAAAAACAGACTAGTATTGAAAGACAAAACTATCACAGGTTTTTCTTATAATTAAATTACTCATAGTCATAGTCATGATGTTCGACCTGCACAGAAGATGAAGTCCATAGATATTTGCCTTGAAAAGATTATACACTATCTCAATATACATATTCAAATATTTCCAGTTTTCTTCTTGCCTTACCTTCTTCTACTCCCAAATATTTTAGTTTCTTCATCAATAAAAATATTTGTTTCTGTCAGATAAATTCATTTTTATATAAGGATTCAACTAGTATGACACTTATTTATTATAACTTCATCAAGAAAACCAAAACTCAATGCAATTTTCAAACTAAGAGTTTTCAACTTAACTGTAGTTATAATTGTACAAACGATATTATTCACCTCATTTCTAAGAAAGCAAGGATATTACCTTCTTATACATCCAATCTTGATTTTGCTTCTCATGATGTTTATGCGAGCTCTAAGTTCATATCCTTGAATAACTGCAAAATCCTCTTTGTATTAAGTCGTCTTCTTAATACACTTTGATATAAGGCTATTGTCTTTGTTAGTCTATTTACACTATTACCAATTCCACTATTAAACTGTAACCTCGAGATAAATCTGGCCTATGCCATATTAATATCTATACTATTCTCCCCCCTTGAATACAAGGTCATTATTTCTAAACAAAATATTTTTAATAAGCCTAACGAATGTTGTAATGGATGGTATTGTTTTTAAACCATTTAATGAATGATAGATTTATCTTCCTTCTACTCATTCTACCCATCTGCTCTTCCAACATCTTTTTCACATTCTTATCATACTATTTCAAGTAGCACCTAGTAAGACAATAAATTAGTAATCAGTGAATTATCATTGGCAAACAACATGGAACTGATCGATAAGAAGTTATCAACTCAAAAAAAAACTGTCGTAGATATATTGAGGCTTATGATACTTCTACCAAATCTACGGAGGGAAACTATTAATATAAACAAACACCACAAAGTTACTGATATTAGCAAGGTTGAGTCTTAAATGATGACCCTAGATAAAACTTTCTTTCTAATTCCAAAGTTGAGTGAAGTTCCTTTCTCTTTCATTCTTTATACACATTATTAGACTTATTTATTTGTTTTTTTTTTTTTTTTTTAGAACTTTATTTTCCATTTTCAAAGTGAGATTTATCATTTGTTATCGAGTAAATTTGACTAAAAAATAACCAGAATTAAAAGAATCAGATCTTTGAATATAGAAGCAATTCCAATGGTCAAGTCACTTCTACTTCATATTTCCATGTCACAAAAATCACTGATAATCAAATACTTCAATTACCTTTTGATTCTATAATGAACTACCCCAACCTGCAAGTGTACAGTCCTGGTGTGAATTTAACAGTTGGATCCCACAATGTAGAAATATTAAAATATTTAACTAGTGGTGGTTTTGCCCAAATCTATATGGTCAAAATACTTCGATCTACCCAATATCTCTATGAGTCAGAATTGGCATGCTTAAAGCGTGTTATTGTTCCAAATAAGGCAGGTCTAAACGTCCTAAGAGCTGAGGTAGATGCCATGAAATTATTAAGAAATAATAAATACATTGTCTCATATATTGATTCCCATGCAGCTAGATACCCACTACAAAATGGCACATATGAGGTGTTTCTTCTAATGGAATATTGTGAGAAAGGTGGGCTTATAGATTTCTTGAATTCAAGGTTGCAAAACAGATTACTAGAAAGTGAAGTATTGGATATAATGTCTCAGGTGTCTCAAGGAGTAGCAACAATGCACGCTTTAAAACCACCATTGATTCATCGTGATATAAAAATCGAGAATGTTTTAATATCAAAAAACAACGAATTTAAGTTATGTGATTTCGGGTCTGTTTGTGGTAGAATTCGACCACCAAATAACCAGCAAGAATTTGTATATGTACAAAACGATATTTTGAAGAATACCACAGCTCAATATAGATCACCTGAAATGGTAGATTTAAATCGTAGAATACCCATTGACGAAAAATCTGATATTTGGGCACTTGGTGTGTTTCTTTATAAATTGTGTTATTACACGACCCCATTTGAAAAAATTGGTGAAAATGGTATCTTGACTTCTACATTTCAATTCCCGTCATACCCTATTTATAGTGACAGCTTAAAACTTTGCATCAGTAAAATGCTAATCCAAGACCCAAGACAGAGACCAAATATATGCCAACTAATAAAGGAAATATCGAAATTACAAGATGTTCCATGTCCAATTGTAAACTTTTATGAAAACCAAGTCCCTGTGGTTACAACAAGCAGTCTTTTGAATATAAACCCTTATTTGCCAGAAAATTTTGTTGATAATATACAATTGGATCATTATTGGCCAAATGGGCATCAATTGTCCCAATTTTATCAAAAGACAACCCCAAAATCTGCAACCACAGAAAACTTTGAAATAAAAAGTGACACTGACCATAAATTGAATAAAGCATTTTCAACGCCAAATTTAAACCTAAATAGTTCCGAACCAAATTACAAGACAAAAGAAGTGCTTACAAACAAATTAAAAGCTTCAATTGAAGAGTTTAAAAAGGATAATGAAGGTTCACCAGAATTACAAATAGGTAAACTTTCCCTACCGAATGATCAAACCAATGATAGTAGTAGTGAGGAAAGCGAAGAACAAGAAATATTATTAAGTACAGATGATATCTCTAAAGAAACTGTTACCAAAACTATAACTTCTAAAATGACAACAATTAATGATAATAACAATTACAAAAGTAATGACGCTTCTATATCAAAATCAAAAAAATCATTTTCAGAAATATCACATATAGCAATCAATCAATCGAATAAAAAAGCTAACTTAAAAGATAAGAAAGAATTATCAAAGAAAGAAATCAAACTTAAGATGCAAATGAGGTTAAGTGAAATAGGTGGCAGATTTAAATCAACACCAAACATCAATTTAACGAAAGTTGAAAATCAAATATCGAAAATGCATAGTAATAACAATCAACAAAATGAAAAAGCAAAAATGAATAAAAAAAAGCCACCTATTCCAAAGAAACCGGACCACTTACGTCCTCAAAAACCTAAAAAACCTTCTTTCCTTGTTGGAAAATCACTTAAGGAAGTAGCAGGATCTACTTCGAGAAGAGAATAATTAATATTCTTATCTTATTTAGCACAAATATATATAGATTTGACATTACCCTCCCTTGTATCTTCAAAAACAGTCAATTTTAAGTAAACAGCATATATGTATGTGTTTAGGCAAATATACATTTTTCCTTTACTATTACACTCTAATGATAACATATTATATAATTGTGAAATGTATGCATACTAATATGACTAAATATATAAAAGTTACGAAATAAAACAAATGAAAAGAAGTCCTAAAACCTTTCTAATACAATATAACATAAAGAAAAATAAAAATAGTAATACTAAATAATAAAAAAGCACCTAAAAATTTTCTTTATTAATGCAAATGAATATCGATTTACTTTTCGCCATTAACAATAATGCTATTATAAATTATGATCATGAATGGTGGTAATGACTATGACTTTTGGCTATATTCATCATGATGATTCGGTATCACTCCACTCCTCAAATCCATCGAGGATAAAATCAGTTGCTTCATCAAATCTTTCTTCCACAATATTATTTAAACCATCAGTTTGACATCTTAAAACTCTACCATATTTTTTTCTAGGTTTTTTATTATCACCATCACGCCAACATGAATGGTGTTTATCTGAGAAAACCAGCGAATTTTTAAAATACCAATCGCTTAAAGTTTCATCCACCAATGGTACTAAAGGTTTCAAAGTTTTATCACCAATAAAACTAATTGCACTTCTTGTATTACTTCTTGTATCTCTATGACCTAAAAGATGCACAATCCCAGCACTTGCATCGCCAATACCAATAAAAGATAATTTTGTAGATGTCTCAAAATATTTTAAATAATTATCCCACATGAAGCAAAGTACTTCCTGAGATGTGATTATAGCTGAGTAATTGTCTTGTTCAAATAAGGATTGAGGAATGTTAATATCGATAAGACCATAATTTTTGTCAATGGCCCAATTTATAAAATCTGTACATGGATCTATTATAACTGATGTTGACGGATCAATATTACCTGAAATTGGATTCCTATTAGCCCAAATTTCTGGTGTGTCATGAACTAAAACAATAATATTATTTTTCTGATGCACATTTGGTGAACATAGTACAGTATTATCATTTAATTTCATGCTTAATAATGGGAATTTAACAAAATCGAATTTTTCTGATAACAAGGAAAACTGCTGATTTCTGATAGAATCTTGTAAAGGGAATCTTTTGGACAAGAACTTGTCATTAAGAGGTTGGCTAAAACTGTAACCAGAATTAGCATATCTTCTTTGAAAACATTTCCAATATTTGGATTGTAATTTAATAATCTTTTCTATTATTTCAATGACCTCAGGTTTTGGTTCTCGTAAGGGATTGGGTAATTCCTCTGGAGGCTCACCTATCAACACTTTAGCCACATTCAATGCGCTTCTAGCGATAGCATCCAAATTGTAACCACCTTCCAAGACCACACAAAGGTTTCCATTAGCCAAAGATTTCAACATGTGAGTCATATGACCGTAGCAACTTGGAGAAACATGACATTGACCTATAGTGTCACCATCTGCGGCGTCGAACCCAGCAGATATGACTACTAGATCTGGCCGAAACTCTCTTCCCATTGGCATCACAATTTGTTCAAAGGCCCACATGTACTCTGCATCCCCAACACCACCAACCGGCCAAGTAATATTGCAATTGAAACCTTCACCTTGCCCCTCACCGGTTTGATCGTACTGACCGTGAATGGTACCAGGATAGTATTTACCTAATTCAAAACGATGCAGAGAAACATAAAGGACTCTATCATCATTGTAAAAAGCCTTCTGTGTACCGTTCCCATGATGGATATCCCAATCAAGAACCATGATTCTACGTACACTTTCCGGATAATGTTTCAAAATATTTTTACATGCCACAGCGACGTTACTGAACAGACAGAACCCACCAGCAGACTCTGGTTCTGCATGATGTCCCGGAGGTCTAACCACAGCCATGGAATTTTTAACTCTGCCCTCTACAACAGCTTTACAAGCCTCGATGGCACCACCCACAGGCAGTTTTGCACTAGCAAAGGAATCATTATTAAAATACACAGAGTCCCCTTGCTCTGTAGCTTTTAGCAATTCATCGTGAGACATCTTCGAAGTGGACTTGATAAAATCTAGATGTTCCCTGGAATGAACTTCCAATATTTCTTCGTCCGTGGCTTCTCTAATGGGAATTTTCAACATCAAATCACCCAGGTTGTCCACACCGGATAAAGTTGGGTCATTAATCAAACCGTTCTCCGCCAAGATCTTATATAGCCGGTAAATTCTTCTTGGATCTTCTGGGTGAGGATCGATGTATTCGAAATAGGAGGTAAATATCTTTGCGTGATATCGCATACGAACATCGTAACAGAGACCTGTCTTTAATGGAGTATACCTTATTTGAGGTTCGACTTTAGGTACGATGACTTGTCTCTTAGTTGATTGATGAGTGTCAGTGAGGTTGGAGTTCTGATGAATAGCATCATTAGCTTGTTGATCAGTATTCTGGGAATCTAATTTCCTCTTAAAAGAAGTTGTATTGTTCTCTGTCATAATGAGAAGTGAAGTGAGGTGGAGTGAGAAGATGTCTCTATCTTTTTTTTTTGTTCAACAAAGATTATATATAAAAAAAAGTATACGAGGAAGTTACACACACATATATATGTATATATGGCCATGTAGATTGACACAAGAATATATATACTTTGGGGGGAAAGGATAAGAGAAATGGAGAGAGAGAGAGGAATTGGAACGTTAGTTTTATGGGCTAGTTGTTATTATAACGCAATAACAAAGCTCGAGTTCAGAAAATTATTGAACAAAGACATTTCTCCAGCTTTTTTTTTTCTTTTTTCTTTTTTTTTTTTTTCCCAGTCTATTGAATAAAAATTAAGACACATTCTATTTTCAAGAAAGTTCAAGGATTCTTTTCTTCTGTTTTCCCTTGCATGTTTGATACATAAAATGGCTATATACATAATCGATACCAAGGCAAGATTGAGTGTGTTAGATATGTTAGTTGACCGATAATGATTAGTTAATAATGTGAATTTATTCATTTCTCTTGTGTGTTCCTTCGGGGCATGCGGATGTGGCAGGCACATGATCTTGAAAGGCCAGAGACACTATAGTCTCAATGATACATTTTAGAATGAAATTTGGAAACGTAGCAACTTTCTTCTTATTAATTGGGTATCACTCTGGAATATACTCTTTCTTTTTTCTTCTGCAATAATAATTGTGTAAATATACATACATATGATATATATACGTAATTATTATCATTACCGTATCTATCTTCCGTTTTGTCTAGCTCATTTTTCTTTTTCCTTTTTTCTTTCCATTGCGAGCCTCATTTATCTAATAAACTTTTCAAATTAGTGACATGATGTGCTGTCGACAGTGAGCAACCTTATCTGTGATACTGCTCTTTTGTTGAAGCTGTGTCAAACCGATTGATCTTCCTCGAAGACAGCAATCATTTCATTATTTTCATTTTTCATTTTTCATTTTTTGTCGGTTCATAAAAATTGAAGATGGAGGCCTGAAGGAAAACCAAAAAAAATACTAAAGCCAAATTTGTAGAATTGTCAATGACTCGAAATGAGATGAAATAAGATGAGATGAGATGAGATAACTATAATTGAAGACAAAAAAGCGGACTGTATTGGTTAAGATTATATTTGAACAATCATTGTTATCCATTCTGGATTTTTTTTTTCTTTGTCTCTCCCTCTTTCCCTCACCATATGTTCAGAACTTATAGACATAGACACGAACACAGATACAGATATTAGGACATTATATTACAAATGAATTTTTATAGGGACAGTACATGGGTTCTAGAATATATAGAAGAACAGGAGTCAAAAGGCAGACTCTCTGGTTCTTTACAAACTTTGGTTCTTCAAAGTTGCAAGCGTTACAAGTTACACACTAACCCAAAACATATCTATGCAATCATAGATTCCTGTTGGAAATACAAACCTTATTTGGAAAAAATTATGAAACAATCTGGTATCCTTAACGATATTCCCAAACGGAAAGGGAAACCAATTTACCAGAAACTGACTTTGCTTTTACTTGTTCATGATCTCTTGTTCTCCAAATCAAAAAGGATCCAAATGGGGAAACATCCTATTAAGGATTATGTGTTGAGATATAAAGTCAGATTGAATGCAGAATTAGTCAAATTGAAACTTAAACTCAAAGTCAAAGACTTGTCCACAATAATAATGCATAAATCTGATCCTTCAAATGATGACAATCACCCCAACAGCATAATCGATGACGATTCTCCACCAGTCAGATGGATCAGAATTAACCCATTACGTTGTCCCAACGATAAACAAACCACGGAAATGGTGTTAGAGGAATTAAGGAAAAAATTCACCAAAAAAGTCGATCATTGGAACCAAATCGTTCCTGGTTCAATTTATTATGATATTTTTATACCAAACCTCTATGGGATCCACCCTCGTGATAAAATAACTTCTCATGAATTATACAAACAAGGGAAAATCATTATTCAAGATAGAGCTTCTTGTTTTCCTGCCCATATATTGCGTCCAACAATAAATGATGTTATCATAGATGGCTGTGCAGCTCCTGGAAATAAAACCACTCATATTGCATCTTACATGTTCGGACAGAATCACAAACACAGTCATGCTCAATCAAAAACAAAAGTTCAAATCCATGCTTTTGAAAAAGATCCAGAGAGAGCTAAAATCTTAAATAAAATGATTAAGATTGCTGGTTGTTCTAACTTTATTAACGTTAATGTAGGTGATTTTACTACCTTGGCTACTCCAGAGAAATTTCCTGTTGTCACTGGGTTCATATTAGATCCAAGTTGTTCCGGCAGTGGTATCTTTGGTAGAAAATATATTGATTCAATTAACAAATTGAAAAGTAATCAACAGAAAAATAATGGGAAGTCTCCTAGTAACAAAGAGGGAGAACAAGAGGATGAAGAAGATATCCCTGAAGAGCAAGAGGAATTCAATAAGAAAGAAGATTTAAAGACTAGATTAGCTAAGCTATCTTCATTCCAATTTCAAGTAGTTAAACATGCAATGAGCTTTCCAGATGCTAAAAGATTGGTCTACAGTACTTGTTCTATCCATGCAGAGGAAAATGAACGCGTTGTTATAGATCTATTGTTGGACGAAGATGTCAAAAAAGCTGGCTGGAGAGTTGCTTCTAGAGACTCCGTGATACCGAATTGGCCAAGAAGAGGTTTTATTGAAGAGTTTAAGGAGGTCTTTAGAGACTCTACTAGTGATGAGGAATGCAAAAGAATGGCAGAAGGTTGTATTAGGGTTGCACCAAGAATAGACGGTGGGATAGGCTTTTTTGCCGTTTGTTTTGAACGTGATCTTTAAAGTTTATATAATATATATATATATATATATATATACAAAAAGATTTTTGTTTATATTTAAGACTTGTCAGTCTCTATCAATAATTTCAAGTCTTTAATGTTATGTTCTCTTTAGAATAATTCTTTCGAAAGTAGTTTGTAGAACTTTTTTCTATTCTTTTCCTAACAAGAGTTAAAAAAAAAAATTTCCATAAAAAAAATAATAAAGTTGATGATTAATGAGCTCATCTTAACAACCACCAAAAATTAATTAAAATATGCTAAATTCCGCTATTTTCTCCCAGGCATTTGTATAAACCACTTTTCTCTCCATTATTTAGAAAGCACTACCTTACTTTTCTAAATAACTGCATACACTATATGGAATATAAGAGATGGTGCTAGAAAATGTTAACCTAGTTTCTGAAGCAGATAACGACAAGACATCACCTCACTCAAAAAGTGTTGAACACAATGGTTTACAGGTATTAGAAACAATTTTAGAATCACATTTAGACAATACTCAAAGTTGCCAAGATAGTCAAGATGATACCTCTGATGGTAATGACTATGATAACGACGACGATGACGACGACGCTCTTATGTATTATGAAAGAGCTATTCAGGAAATTGCTAAAGGTGATTCTTATATATGTATGATATGTACAGTGGAAATGGATTATACATGTAAAATGTTTGCATGTAAAAAATGTTATAGAGTGTTTGATTATGACTGTATTAGAGAATGGGCTTTAAAATCAACAGAAAAGACTGCAAATAAGATATGGAAATGCCCAAATTGTTATCATGAAAGCAAAAAGGTTCCAGGCAAAAATAAAGCCACTTGTTGGTGTGGCAAAGTCATTAATCCAGAACCAAACCCTCTGAATCCAAATTCATGTAGTCAAACATGTAATGCCCCTATATGTCCTCATGGTTGTGTCAAGGTATGTCATTTAGGTCCTCATCCAGAATGTATGAGGATGATTACAATTACTTGTCAATGTGGTAAGCATACAAAGGATATTTCATGTTATCAAAATAAAAGACAAATGGGTAAACAAAAATTTCATTGTGATGAGCCGTGTGGATTATTATTACCCTGTGGTATCCATAAATGCCAAAAAAAATGTCATAGTGGGCTATGTGGACCATGTAAAGAGATATTAATCACTGACGAGACTAAAGGTATTAAAATTCAATGTTATTGTGGTAAACATAGTAAAGAATCAATAGTATGTGGTGAAGTGAAAATTCCTAATAAATACTCACGAAATAGCGAAAATCAGAAATGGATTGGTGTTTTTTCTTGTGACGAAATTAGAACCGTGGAATATAAATGTCATAAACATTCCTTCATAGAAAAATGTATTCCATCTCCATCAGTCCCAGGTACAAAACCATGCCCATACTCTCCGAACTTATTGAAAACATGTCCATGTGGTAAGACTCAATTAAATGAACTTAGTGAACCGAGAAAGAAGTGCACTGATGCTATTCCACATTGTGAGAATCGTTGCGATAAACCTTTAAAGTGTGGGAAACACACTTGTCCATATACATGTCATGAAGGCGATTGTATGGATCCATGTATACAAATTAATAAAGTTAAATGTGCCTGTCATAGATCTTCATTTTTAGTACCATGTGGATTTACTGAATCCCCGCATTGCAATATTAAATGTGAATCCTTAATGTCATGTCGTCGTCACAGATGCATGGAAAGGTGTTGTTCTGGTAGACCCTTAGCAGAAGCAAGGCGAAAAAATAATGTGTTCCGTTTAAGACAGAATATAAATGATGAAACATTAGTGGAGGCTGAGCATGTTTGTTTGAAGGATTGTAACTTGATGCTTTCGTGTGTGAACCATCGTTGCCAAAGGAAATGCCACCCTGGAAAGTGTCCACCTTGTTTGGAAAGTGATTCTAATGATTTGGTATGTCCCTGTGGAAAAACTATTGTTCCTGCTCCTGTAAGGTGTGGCACAAAATTACCACCTTGTCCATATCCATGTATTAAGGTAGTGGAAGGCGCCTCGGAATGTGGACATAAACCTGTCTTACATACATGTCATCCTTTGGATCAGCCATGTCCACCATGTACAGCACCTGTTTTTAAAACATGTAAATGTGGAAAAAAGAATAATGTGAGAACAGTATGTTTTCAGACAGACGTATCCTGTGGTCAGATATGTGAAAAACCTTTAACAGGATGTCACCATCGTTGTCAAAAGAAATGCCATAGGGCTGGTGAATGTCAACTTAGGTGTAATCAAATTTGTGGCCTACCTAGAGACAACTGTATTCACAAATGTCGCAAACCATGCCATGGCAGAGATTCATGTCCAGATGTCCCCTGTGTAAGTTTGATCACAATAAAATGTTCTTGTGGTAGAGAGCAAAAAGAGATTACCTGTGGTGCTACCTTAGAATACGAATCTAGACAATTTACTGAAAGTATTCCATGTGACGAACAATGTGAAATGTATATCAGACAACAGCAATTAAAAGAAGCATTTGGTATTGCTGATTCAGATAAAAACATAAACGATCAATCTCAGATTCAAGTATTAGAAGACTTGTTATCAAAGGCTTTGAACTTTGAAGATTTACAATTACCATTCAGTGAGTCTGCAATTATTTCATATGGTAGACAAGAAAAATGGTGCGTGCAGATCGAAGACATTCTAAATGATTTTATTGACAATAAAGGAAGAATAAGTTTTCATTTTAAACCTATGAGGGCATCTCAAAGACATTTCATTCATGAGTTAGCTAAATCCTATAAAGTTTATGCGGAATCGCAAGATCGTGAACCAAAAAGATCTGTATTTATTAAGAAAGAAAGTGAATCGAACAAACCACCATTGAGGTTAGCAGATATCTTCCCTATTTACAAAACATTTAAACAAATGGAGAAAGAACGTAAGATGAAGGAGTTTTTAGCAAGAACCACCGAAAAATTAATTAATTTCACAGTTGATGATACTGATACTCAGAAAATGGAGTTCAAAAGTACATTTAATGGTTTTTTTGTCAAAAAACTTTCCCACAACAGTGATGAAAAAGATTTAAAAAGATTATTTGATAAATATTTAAAGTCTACATTTATCAAGAATGTAAAGTACAAAATATTTAAAGATGACACTATGGGCTACAATAATGCCATTATATACCCTGAAGCGTATTCCAATGTTACTGAAAATATGACTAGAGACATGGAGGCTCTTGTCAGTCATTTTGATTATATTGCGAAAGAGGCTTTTGTTGCAGATGAAGTTAGTTTATGTGATGTATCTCCATTGTTATCTGAGGAATCACCATTGGATGTTGTTGATACAACTATTCTTTCTCCTGCAGCTATTGAAGAAGATTTCATGAGTGAGGAAAACATAGATAGCTGAAAAAAATTAGGATGTATTTATACTTTGGAGGTTAGTTTAGAGTAAGCTAAGAAATGTCGTATTTGCCGATTAATCCATCCAATAAAAAAGTATACTGTTGGCAACATATCTAACTTTTAAAAAAATGTTTAAATATTACAGTTGTGTATTTACCAAAGGTAGATACATACAACCTATTGAATAAAGGGTATTTTTTTTTGGTTATGTGATAAAATACCTCCTTAGAAATAGTATACTATAGTAATAGAACTATATACGATAATCTCTTTATATTGACTTTAACATGTTAAGAAATTTTATATAGCAACTTTAAGAAGATATTATTATTGGAGTGAGGATAAGTCAAACGTACACACCTTTGAAAGAATATTTCAAACAATACATTCAATAACCATTATTGCCAGTGGCCATTGTAATAATGATAATGTATAAAATTTCATTTAAGAAGAGGTTATTATTCTTCTTATAAGAATTTAAAATATAATAACTCGTGACCAAATGTGCCTAATACCTTTTAAAAGTAGTACATTTTACGCAGTATTATTAATATAAAATTTTAAACATTTGGAAAGGACATTTATTTATCTTTATACGGTTGAATATATATATATATATATGTAAAGCATTATGTATTTGAATGAGGTTTAATAATGAACGAAGAAGCCAGTAGATTTATAGTTAATAACCGATTTAGATAGATCTAGATTTAGCATATATAAATATTAGGACAAATATATGATTCAAACTTGGAAGTAACTATAATAGTAACTATGGTAATTTAACTACTTTAAAACACATAACCATAGAGTTATCCCATTTAGATCTAATATAAAAATTGATTATAGAATCCTGAATTAAATTAGAAATTATGGCTGATAATGAACCAAAACAAGATTATTTGATGGGTAGTTTGATTATTTATTATTTAATACCAAGTCAAATGGATCTATTTTCCCTTTCTCCCTTTTTCTCTTATTTTTTTTAAAGTATAAATATACTAATATGGTTTATAACGAAGACTTTTGGAACTCTTTTTGCTCGTTTTATGTTTATACTTTTTATGGTGATTTTTCTTATATTTCTTCTTCTTTTCCTTTGCAATCTCATTCTGTTCAGAAGCTTCTCTTTTTAAGAGATCTGTATTTTCAGCTTTATCTTGTTTCAAAGTAAGGTCTTCTTCATCTTCTTCGATCATATTAACCTCAACATTTGTTTCATCTAGTACATTTAGTTTCTTTGAATAATCCCAGAATGTTTCAGGTATAGTCAAAGATCCAGTGCCATTACCATTATTATTATATTTCCAAATTTTCAAGGACCCATCCTCACCACATGAATATAATAAAGTAGTATCACTAGATGGTATAAAAACATCCCTAACTACATCAGATGCATGTGGGTTCTCAATTACGACAGCTTTAGATACATCGTCAATTTCATTATTAAATGGAATTATCTTCAATTGACAACGCTCATCATCATGAGATTTCCCGGCAGCAATGTATCCAGGATACACGTCGACGACATAATCACAGTCAAACCTCTGTCTAACATCACCGAAATCCAAAGGTTGGGGTTCTTTCAATTCCTCAGATTTATCATTTAATTCATGGACTGCAAGCGTTTCCATATGAGATAAAGTAAATATTCTTCTTGGTGCCAGCCAGCCGCAAGAGTGTATTGAATTGTAATTAATCACCTGATGTAAAGAATCGTCTTCGTCCTCCTCTGTCAAGTCATAGATATTCGTGTACCCATCGGTAGACCCACTTAACAAAACGTTAGGGTCAGAAGGGTGAAATTTGATACATGTGATGTCATCATGATGTGAATCTATAAAAGATTTCCAAGTAGAGTTTAATTTTCTTATATCATAGATATGCAATTGTGCATCCACACCTTTCAGTTCTGTTCCGCATGCAAATTTCCCATGTTGTGAATCCACAGACAAGAACGGAGATGAATTCAAACTCTTAATAGAAGCAACAGGTTTCTCTGGTGAATTTCTGACGTCGAAAAGTTTCACAGTGTCAAGGGAACAGCCAACGAACAGATCGCTGTTATGGGTATCTGAATTAATTGTTTTTAAAGAATTGACCGAGGTATTACCTATTTTAAAAGATTGTTTGGATTTATTGGTGTTCCAGTCCAACAAATGAACATCTCCATTGCTTAGACTTATTAACAGGCCATGCTTCAGCATAGGTTGTAATTGGAAACACCAATTATCCGAGCCAAAATTGTTTGTATCTAATAGCGTGTAAGCAGACATAAATGTACGTTATATATCTTTGATGATAAGAAAACTATACGATATTAGATGCCTTCTGCTCCTCCTTACACTGGAAGGTGAATACCCTCCAATTCATCGACTCTTTTCTTTTCAACCTCACTTTATTTCACACTTTTCACATGGTCAAATGGCTATGCTCCCAACTGTCTAGAAAAGTTTTTTGTTTGTTTAGGGTTGTTTGTTTAGGGCTTTGTTCATTTGGTAAATATTGCTGGCGCTACCAAGTTGAAGAAATGAGCTGAAATAACACGAAAAATAGGATAAAAAATAAATTGAATATGACAAAAAACCTCATCGAGAAGACTCTGCATATTTTTGTGCGTTGTTGAACCAAGTGATACCAGTCATATTAATGGTCTTGTACCATCTCTAATGCAACATGCACCTGTATATTCCCTGTCTGTTTCTATCTCTTTCTTTCATACAAACAGTCTCGAAGATCTTCTAAACTTTTATAATTAACTGATCTACAATACACACGTATACACGCAAATATAACATACCTCTGATTATAGAATGAGTAGTGTGGTTAATAAAAGTGGGACACGTTTTATTCCTAAGGTAAGACAACGTCGTTCTCAAGCACCTGCTAGACCTGTTATATCTAAACCTGTTCCTGTGGTTATGAGAGACACTGTCCTAGGTTCAAATAAAAATAATGATACAGATGATAATCACAATGACGATATATTGGAGGGTGCTACTCAGGTTGCTACTAATGAGAAGCATAAAGATAAACTAAGTGATACACAGATGGGAACAAATGACGTAAATAATAGTAATCGTAATGCTGATAGTAATAGCACTGGTAATAATGATAGTAACAGCAACAGCGATGGTGACGGTGAAACACAATTATCTCAGGAGAATACTCAAGTGGAAACAAGTTATGAGAATGATGATTCATTAGCAAATACATTAGTTGCCCATTCTAAAAAGTTAGGGCCACCAGATAAGGATACTGCAAATGTATTAAATTTCAAGAATAAGGATCTGCATCTAAATGACTTAGACAAGATCTCAACAAATAAAAATTATAATAAATCTAATAACGAATCTTTCAACACAAGTAGAAAACGTTTGTCTAGTATATCAAACACTGCACCTGGTAAGCCACTACACAGTTCAATATCTATCAAAAATGAGGATGCAACTTTAAACACTTTTAAGAGAAGAAAATTGTCCACCAAGACTACCTTATCTAAAAAAATGGGGTCAAAAGTTTCGTCAAGGAGTGGAAAAAGTACTGTATCAAAGATCTCTGTACCTTCAATAACAGGGATCCCTATACCAACAGGTGAGACTTTTAATAGCAACAGTACTAGAAATGGTGACAATGATACAAATTTAGATGGTGATGAAGATGAATCTCTTCAAGGAGCATCAGATCAATATAAAATGCATGTGATCAAAAGTGTCAGGGAGATTCCAAATGATATAGAAGATAAAGATTCCTCTAAATACTTGATTGATGAGAATAATTTCACAATAGCGGAATTGTGTAAAAAAACATTACCTATTGGTGAAATCTCTGATAATTTTGAAAGATCTAAGATGGCATATAAGGTGAAGTTACAAAGACGTAAAGAATTAAGAGAATTGAGACAAAGGGCTAGATCCGAGTTTAAGTCTTTACAAGAATTAAATAAAGAAAATGAAGAGTTGGAGAAACAACGCAGAAAGGAGGCACAGGAGGAATTGATGAATGCTGAGATACCAGAGGAAAGATTTAATCAGACTATGAAATTGAAATTGAATGCAGACGGTACCATTGCGGTGGATGAAGAATCTACTGTGGTTGATAGACATAGAAATGCAAGTTTGGAACATGCTCAGAAGAAAAAGGTCGATGAAAATCCGTTCAATAATTTATTTAATAATGGTTCATATGGTAAAAATTCTTACACAGATCCATGGACACCAGATGAAATGGTTAAATTTTACAGAGCCTTGTCTATGTGGGGCACTGATTTTAACTTAATCTCCCAGTTGTTTCCATATAGAACACGCAGACAAGTTAAAGCTAAATTTAACAATGAAGAAAAGAAGCATCCACTAATGATAGAGTTGGCACTTAGGTCAAAATTACCTGCTGATTTTGAACAATATTGTCGTGACATAAGGAAAAATATCCCTACTTTAGAAGAATTTGAAGAGAAAATTAAATCTCTACAAAATGAACATCAATTACATATTAAAGAATTAGAAGCTGCTAAACACACTGCTAAATTAGAAGATCAAGATAACGAAAAAGAATTTGAAAATAAGAATTTGGATAATAGAAGAGGCGCAGGAGGATTCACAAATAGGGATTTACAGACATATAGAAAGAAAGAAGTCATTCTTGGCACTATTGATGATATCAAAAGAAAGAGAGAAGAGGAGGAGAGAAAGATACCTGATGAAGATGAAGACGAAGAAGAAGAAGAGAGCGAGGAAGAGGAAGAAGAGGAGGAAGTAACTAAAAAGGAAGAATAGGATAAGATAAATCAATAAAAATAATAAAAAAAGATACATCTTTTAAAAATAACAAGAAAGGAATTTTACATTCTTGAAAGTATTCTAAACAGTTAAAATGAGTAATGGTGAATACCGGAATTTTTCCTAATAGGCGATCAGAATGCCTATTTTCATGTCTTCCTCATCTGCTACACCATTTCTTCTGACGATATTGATATGGATATGAATATATAATTATGCATCTAAATATTCCTAAGTAGTTTAACTCTTGCATCTTTAATTCTATTTTATTCATTGTAGATTCTCTTGTATTATTATTATATAAAGTAACTAATGTCTTGTAAGGGGTGTTAATAATTATCAATAGCAAAATTTCTTGGAAACAACTTTGATAGCGAGCCTACTTCTACTATTTTGTTGAACAACCACACAATATAAAAACATGTTTTGGATTTTATTTTTGATTAGATGAAAAAAAGAAAAAGAAAAAAAAAGAAAAAAAGAACGAAATAAATGAATAATTAATTAGATTTTGTTTAACTTATAGTGACTGAGCGAACCATTGTAGTTGAAGATTAGGGGAAGAGAGAAGAAAGACTAATAGCCATCCTGTTTGTCAGGTGTTCTTTTTATGTATAGGCAGTGATCTGGTTATCTTCAGAAATGATATATGTATAATCGATGAAGAGTGAAAGCGATAACGTTAAAATAATCGAAAGAGATCAATACAAAATTTGTATCAAACAAGATTTAAAAAATGAGCTGTATGCTGAGATCACTGTGTTACCAGCTAATTGCAAGTTAAAATTCATAAATAAGGGTATTTTGATTGGAGTTATAAATGCGACCGTTCATTATTTGATTCACTATAGTCAGACAATTGATTTAGATAAATATAATATTTGGTTTCAATTCATTTTGTTTCTCACCACTTTGATTTTGATAAGATCACCACCAGTAGAGCAAGCTACAGTTATTAAAGATTATGGTATTCAACTGGCAAATTGGAATGGGCTTATAATATTTCCATATAGAATAAATAAACAGTTAACGCAAAAGAGGGAATTTATCTCAAGAGAGAAAGTTTTAGATGTAATCATTAATGAAGGTTTTTATAAATGGTATCAGGTCATTTTCTATCTTTGTATAATGGTTCATAATGAGAAAAAATTAAGATTAATGTTTCCACATTATATGAAAATGAAATTGGATGATGAACGATTAATATATCAATTGTGTCAAAAATATTTATATACGGAAGAGGACAAAAAAAGACATGATTGTTTGCATTAAATAATAAGAGAGAGGCGCAAAGAAAAATACAAATAACAACATCTAAATTTGAGGAGGCACAAAGCAAATGTTACGTTCCTCATGTTGATAAGCATTTAGAGAACTAAGTATTGTATTAATATTTATTCTATATTATTATTCTTATTTTTTTTTTATTTCTTTTTTTTTTTTTTGAGACTATATAAAATAATGTAATATTGTATCTCTAGCCTTTACCGCATTGACAAATTCGACATAAGACCAGGTTAAGTTTGCTGCACCAGTTAGATATCCAGTATATTTATTAAATTGTTCACTCATCTCACCACACGAGTTGACATGTGTTTGAACAATTTGAATAAATCCATCAGCAAAATTGAAAATTTGTTTTAATGTATTATTAAATGCATCAGATTTATAAATTAAAGTAATATTATTATTGTTATTGGGAATTGAAGAATTTAATTGGAAGAATAGATTCCAAAAAGTGTTTTCTTCTAATACAATATTTAAATTGTGCTTCTTATCAATCAATGATTTAATTAATCGATATAAAATATTTGCACCTTGACAGGTGGCCAAAAACCAGGGATTACCTTCAGAGACATCAATTCCATCATAAATATCTTCAGGATATCTACCTAATGCCACTGCACCAGAGACGTTTTTATTCCAATTGATTGGGTATAACAATTTCATATCTTGAATCAGTCTGTAAAGAACGTTCAAAATCAGTAAATCATCAACATCAAATGGTATATCGATATCTAATTGTAAGAAATCTAACGGATGGGTAATCAATGAAGCTATTATAACTGCAATATCTACTTGGGATTGTCTCATTTTTCGTATGCCCAGGGTTTCAATAATGATTTTGTGTTTTGAATCCACATAGTTATTTTTAATAAAAGTTTCCAGATAGTGGATTGTTTCATTAATGGAATTTGAATCAGGGTTATTTGGAACAAGAGATTGATACAATCTTAGTGAATAGAGATGGACCATGTTGTTGAAGAAATGGAAAGAGTAAACTTCTTCCCAAGGATCGAAACTTGGTAGATTCCAGTTTTTCAAGACGAATTTCATATCGAATTGGCAGATTTCATCGAGGATAGAGTGTTTTAAATCGGGATCAATAGCGGTATGAAGCTCTGCTTTTGTAAGGTAGGTCAAAATTGCAATCAATCTTAGTGCTGGACCATCGTTCTGTGGTCTGCCCCATTCCAAATCGAAACTGGTATTGTTACAATAAAATTTGGGTTCACCTAGATTCGACCAGTTTGCAAAGGAAGAAAAGGTGCCGGATTTATTGTTGATTCTTTGTAATAATTTAGAATTGTTTATATATTCTAATGATAGAAGGTTATAAAGGGTAAAATTTTTTGAAGACAAACCGAAAGAAGACAAATACAGGGATGTAATGGAGGAGTCTCTTATCCATTGGAAAAAATAGTTTGGTTCAAAACGAGAATTTGATGCGACACTGACACCAAAATTAATATCATTCTGAAACGGATGAAAATTGAGCTGATTGTTTAATGAGTGATTAGTCCTGATATTTAATAGGATATATTCATTTGAGACTTGTAATTCTTTTTCGATCCAATTATTTAGGTCTTTTCGATCCCTGTTACTTATATTATACTTTAATAAACTGATGGAATTTTGTTCATCAAATTTGTTTATTGTCAAGTTGACAATGTTTCCTTCATTCAATATCGAAGCAAATGTGAAATTTAGTAAGAATGCAGAAAAGAAAGCACAAAAATGGCAAATGTTTGTTGTGAACATTCTATTTTTTTCTTTTTGTTTTTTTGTATGTTATTCCGTGCTTAATTCTCCTGTTTTGCTCTTTATAAATATATATATATATATATATATATATATTTATATGGAGGTATGTAGATGTGTTTTATTACTTTTCATATTTTTAAGATTAATTTAAATAATTATATCATACTGTATTATAGTATAATATAGTATAATATAGCATAAAATAGAATAATATAATATAATATTAAATTTTTAAAATGTCACAAAATCATGCTTAAAATTCTTTTAGAAAAAAAAAATCAAAAAAATTGCCCATGCACGAGTCGAATTTATTACAAACTTATGAAAACTAAAGTAGTTAGTATATGCGGATTAAATAAAGAACTTTTTTTGATGGCCGGGTCGAGAAGTTTATTGAAAGAAAATTTAAAGGAAAAGAAAAAGAAAAACAATAAGCACAAGGTAGGGGTCGGGAAAATCGCATTATATCATAAATCGTGTCTCCTATTTCACACAAGAAGTCTTGTAAAGAAAAAAGAAAAAGAGCCCTTAAAAGAAATTTTTTTTTTATCAAATTTCTTTTGTAAAGTTGCAGCATTGCCAACCTTAACACAAGGTCATAAATATTATTAATGGGTAATAATAACAGAGTATAATAAGTTAAATAATAGACAGTAATGATGTTACTATTAAAAGTTTAAGAAGGTCTAGAATCCTGCTATACATGTGTTGTATTGTGTTGTATTGTTTCTTTGAAAACAAAGAAACTTCAAGGGGACAAAAAATAAGAGAAAGAATTTCCAGCGGTGGCTACACCCACACATTTCCGCAAACATTCCTTCTTTATTCATGCACATTCTCTTTGTGTCAGCTATTACGGTGAAGACAATAGAAGGTAAAGAGACTCTTAAAAAGTTTATAGATTATGAAAAGAGAAAGAGAAAGAAGATGATGATGATGTAAGGGGATGGGCAGTAATCTAATCTTTTCTGCAAAAAGAATGGCGTGAGTTGGTCACAATACGATACGAGGGTTCATATATAAAGGAAGTGGTTGCTGCTGTTGTTTCTGCTTTTTTTTTTATTTTCCCTCGTCCTTTGGTTCGTGGTCTCTTCAACTTTTTTTATTTCTTTTCTTTTCTTTCCCTCAATCGGTTTTGGATTGAAGGGACAAAAAATATCCCATTTGTCAAAAGATTGTTTGTTTTCATTACACTCTTTTTTTTCCATGTCCTATAATACTTTGTGGTTTAATTAAGTTATTTCTGTTTTATCCTTGATGAAATATTTTTTTTTTATAAGGGTGCATAAATTATTCAATCATTAATATTCATACATTCATATATATATATATATATGAATGTATGAATATATATCTATGTATGTTTATATATATAGGTTCGTGTGATTTTTTTTGTTTGAAGGTCTGATCTCCACTTTTATTTTCTTTTTTTTTTTTTTTTTGTATTTTTTTATTTATTTATTTATTTATTTATTTATTAGATAAATATCTCTAGATAACTTAATATATTTATCATATTCGAATATACGCACATACACAACTATATATTAATATATCTACCTAACTTTTCAACTGTTATCCTTTTCCATCTTCCCAGTTATATAAGTATATTCGGTTGCTTTCTTCTTTTTTCTTTTTCTTTTTTAATTTTTTTTCCTCTTCCCCATATTTTTAACTTTAACTTTCCTTTTTCTTCATGTCGCAGGAACAATATACTCCATATACATTAAATGTAGATCAAGTGCGTCTTTTTGATAATGTCCCATCTGATGACTATCAAAGACTCTACTTTAATAACTATCTATTGAAACAACATAATAAATCTAATAACACTAACCATGATTTGGACCTATCTATTAAACAAAATGATTATAAATCTAACATAGTTAATATCTTTAACAATCCTCCTTACCTATCAAATAAAATACATGATACCGTTGATGCTAGCAACAGTGGTAGTAATAATAATAATAATAATAATAATTTACGCTGTTTTGAATACCAATTACCTGATGTCGACGTAAGTAATAGAGGGACAGAAATTCATGAGAATTTAATTGACAGTACTCCATATATTCTTAGGGGATCTATTAAAACTTGGAATGATAACGAGGGTCATGGGCATACTGATCTTGAATTTAAGGAAAATTTTGATAGGAATAATAACGCAAAAGTTATTAAGAAGAGTCAAATTAAATCTAGGAATGATAATGAAAAATTGGTTATAACTAAAAGAAGTTTCAATAGTAATAATAATAATAATGCAAATAATAATAGTACTACAAAATCTGGTTTTTCTACAGCTGCTACTATTATCACTAGTGGTGATACTATTAAAACTCAAGGAGACAATAAGTCTATCTATAATTTAAATACTAAAACAGGTGACATATCTCTTTCATCAAATCAAAATTTGACTTCACTGCAAACATCTTTGAATCCATATTATTCGTTTCACGATTCCACTACTGCTGCTGCTGCTGATACCACTATTATTAATGCTCTTAAACATAATAATATTGATGATATTAATCAAAATAACAATACTTTAACTAAGAATCAACAATTTAAATTGACGAAAATGAACTATAATTCTATATCAAATTCAAATTTGATCAATCCAAACAATTGTATCTTGTGGGACAAAAACACTGGATATGTCTTTGTTACTGGAATTTGGAGATTATATCAGGATATTATGAATGGTTTATCTTCAATAGATCGTTTATCTACCAATTTTAAAAATGATCACATCTACATCCATTCTGATGATTTGAAGGAAAAATGTAGATTAGAATTAGATCATATTCTGAATTATGCCTTCTATGAACCTATATCATGGGATGGGAAACAAACAAGAAGAAGGAAAAGTAGTCTTGGTAGTTTTAGCAGTGGGAATGGTACGGATTCACAGAAAAAAGACGTTCATAATGATGGTACTGATACTAACAAAAAAACAAATGTTGAAAATAAAATAGTAGAATATCCACATTATGTCGATTTGCATTGGAATAACTTATCAAAAGATTTGAAACAATTGATACTGGATGATTTCCAAAAAATGTTGGATAAAAAATATCCAGGAAAACATATTGCTAATCTCGATATGTCACTACATATTATACAAAGAATTAGAGGTGGTTATATTAAAATCCAAGGTACTTGGTTGCCTTGGACAGTGGCACGGTTGATGTGTACAAGATTTTGTTTTCCTATTAGATGGTTATTAGTACCTTTATTTGGTCCTCAATTCCCAAAAGAATGCGAAGACTATTATTTCAATATAATGTTAAAAAATATGAAATATATCGAACAAAATTCTCTAAACTTGTCAAAGAAGGATAGTGGAAATCCAAAAAAATTATCGACTAGAAGTAGACGTAACACCTATTCTGGCGTATCTACTGTGACAAAAAATACTACTTCTTTCACTACTTCTACCACACCAACTAGAACAAGACAGAGAAAAAAAAGACATTCGACCACAAATATTCCTCCACCGATTAGTCCTACAGAAGAACAAATTTCTCCAAGAACTAAAAGAATCGATTTAAAAACATCCAATGATAGTATTACCGGGTTCCCACCACAATTTATTCCGAAAGTTTCAAGACGAAGATCAAAATCAGACTTTGGTATTAATTCATACATGAATTGTAATCCTATGTTGAGTTCCACCATATTATCATCATCACCTACTTCTGCTTCATCTAATACTACTACAACTAATATGCCCTCTAGTTTACCACCAATCAAATCAGTATTTGAGCAGATAGATCCTTATGATGTATCATTTCTAGCTTCCCCAAACACACTATTTAACCCTGGTAATAACATAAATACTATTGATAATAATAATCAATCATTTGTTACAAGACCAAGGTTAAATAGTTTGCCATGTCCTAGTATCACTAATCCAAACAAATACTATATTAATAACTATTCATATATTGGAAGTAACCCACATTCTGGTGTTTCTGCTTTGTCCAATTTAGCAATGTTTTATAATTCAAGAGGACATAGATATAGTTATTCCAAGAATTTTACGCAACCTAGAATAAGTTTAGGAAATGATGAGAACACTAATGCTTCTGCTGTTACCACCACTACTCATAATATTAATGATAAGAATAATACGATGGGTATGGCAAATTCACCAACTTTTTTGTCTTATGGAGTATCTACTTCAGAATCATTTTATACTGATAATAACGGCGTTAATTATAATTCTAATTATAAATGGTTTACTGGAAGTAGGAAACATTGACTGTATATTAATCTACAAATATAAGAATTTTCCAGAGATTAATTAATTTTTTTTTGTTATTATATATATATATGTTCATCGTTTCAATAAAACATTCTTTTTTTCTTGGTTGCATCGTTCATTTAGATAAATCAATTTATTTTTTATATACAAATGTCATAAAATATATATTTAAGAAGATAATGATAATAATAAAGCAAGTTCAAATAATGCATATAACGTTTTACTGCTTAAAGTAAAGTTTTTTTCTAGAAGATTGTGGTTTTGACCTTTCTAATTTTTTTTTCTTTGTTTTGATGGTATCACTTGATATCTCTCAGATATTCTAAGATGTAAAAAAGTTTTATCTTTCCTCTATTTTTAATGTTGTTGCAAAAAAGATCTGATAAAAAAGGTTGATAGTGTTTAGTTGTAAGATCGTATATATTAGATAGTTATTATAGTGAAGATAACTCAAATATATTTGAGTTTAAATGACTAGTACAAATTTTTAAAAATACTACATAAAGACGTTTACAAATACGTAAATATGAAACAGTCAAGTAGAATTAACAAAATTATAATATTATTGATGAATTACAAAATATTATAATTCTGTCAAAAAAAAAAAATTTATATTTTTATCTTAAGAGTCCTTTAATTTAAGAGGTCTTAGATGTTTATTTTATTCTGACTTTTTTGATATCTTTATTATGTTTTCTAAGGTTATTTACTCTTTGAAATTTTTATGAAGACTTAGATAAAAATTAATTTCTGAATCAACCCAAAAGAGATATATATTTAATTTTCTTAGTCATGGATATATTTGTTGCACCCCAGTATGTTCATATTATTTGGTTATACTGAATTTAATCTTCCACTGTGACATATATCGTTTTGGTAATATTGTAAATGATCATTTTGTTTTTCTTGTTTGTATAAGTATAAGTAGCTGTATATTTGTGTATATTAGTTACTCCTTGCGTAGAATATAGTTTGTATATCATATATGGACAACCAACTAAGAATTATTTACTTATTTTAGTGTTCTAGAAGAGTATGTCTCTCGTAATATGTCTTTCTCTAATATGATGTCACATAAAGTTTAATATCCTTGATACTACTGTTTAGGGTTTTGTTTAGAAAAATGAGGGTTGATGATATTTTTCTAAACTTTCCTTTTTGGCAAAATTTTACAAACATAGATAAAAGCAGGAGTAACCAACATAAAGTACAAAAGAGCAACCAAAAATGAATAACAACGAAGCAAGCAATGAACAAGGAACTAAATATTACATAGGTCTAGATATATAGTACATAAGTGTGTACTATTAGGTTATCTTAGATTAGGGATATAGATATATAGAGATATATAGGAATAATACTACATCTAGAGATATAGAAAGAGTCTATATCTTACATCTATCGAAGTGAAGTATTATTGTGTTTTCAACAAAATTAACCGTTATCAGAAATACATAACCGTAAGGTTATCACAGCAATTAAAAACAAGAACAGAAACACAGACTGCTTCCAATCGGATTCGAACCGATGATCTCCACATTACTAGTGTGGCGCCTTACCAACTTGGCCATAGAAGCTGAGAATTCATTTTTTGTTGTAGTATGGTGTGGTGAAGTTCTTTGTGTATTCCAGGGAAGCGCAAATAATATTAATAGTAATTCAAATAATCGAGACAGTAATCAACTATAGTCGATAGTATAATTACTAAAACGGTCTTATATATTAAGCGGCTTATATCGAGCTAATGTACTTATTCGAAGTTACTTGACTTGTTACTTGCTTGTTCTATTTTGTTTATACATAATATATAAATTATTTACAAGAAACGATTATGGAAGATGATCTTTTATCTCCTGAAAACGTTGTCCTTTTATATGTTTTCTGGAGCTCGATCGATTATTCAGATTACTACATTAATGACTTGACTGATTCAAACCCTAAAATTTATTATATTAATTTAGGTGCACTACTGGATTAGAACTGCATCCCAATTCTCTAATCATGGTGATTAGTAATACACGTGGGACTTAATAAAACAATAGGTAAATTCTAGATTTGCCAAGATCTTATGTAATCCAATCTTTTTATTATGCAGCATCTAATGTTGTAGCACATGTATGGCTTATTAATACACTAATTGGTTCTAGATTCATTCAGGATCTTATGTAATCTTGATGGTTATAACTATTCTATTCCACAACATTTTTTAGCGTTAAAAAGATTTTTTAAGTAACTTAAATAATGATATTTGAATATATATACCGAAAAATTAGGTACACATATATTTTTGGATGATGTAAAAATATGTTTTTATATAAAATTTCAAGGAATCGATTTGGTTTTTGAATTCTGTAATAAATACTAAGTAAGTTTATACTTTCCTTTTTTAATTACTTCAATTATATATGTATGTGTATGAACAATTTTTGTATTTAAATATCTCGGTATTTTATGCGTTTGAAGAGCTCATTATTTTACCCATAAAAACATTTTAACAAAAAATTCTTAACAAATTTTTTTTTTTTAAAATTCAAATTGGAACTGTTTATTGACAAACATTATAATATCCCAATTGTCTTTTCTCAAAGCTAACTTATCTTTTTATGGAATGTAGAAGATTTCATATCTAACATTATCATAACTTAAGTACTTAATAAGTTGGGTCTTTGAATTACTAGAAACTATATGTTGAAATAGAATGTTCTATGATAAAATAGATAGAACAATAAGATTTTAGCAGACACTAAACAATAAATTGTTGAGTAATAATTGTTGAGAGGTCACCAAAAGTTGTTGAGTTTATTTATTAAATATCTTACTGTTTGTAGAGGAAAATGGCTGAATGTTAACATATATAAAGCCAAGGATTTCATCATACATTATTTTTATCTTATTTACAATCTTTGTATATTATTATTTCTATGTTGTATATAGAGAAAGAAAGTGAAGAACTTTATTATAATTTTGTATACTAAATCTGTTTAATATAATATTGAGAATGTTTACTATATATCCAATGAATAAAGGCGCTCATTTCCAACACTATATAAGAGAATTTGCATATGTATATATGTATGTGTATTTAATGCTTATAAAGAAATACAAATTGATTGTTTTTTATTTTTTTTTTTCCTGGAATATTTTCTTGTTATCAAACAAAAAAATTTTTCTATTATTAATGATATACTAAAAATAATCTTTAATAAGGAAAATTAGTTGGTATTTTGTCCATTTTTGAAGAAAATAAATGCCAAGTAAGATAAGTGAATGTTATAGTACCATTAATATCCTACTACAAATAAGCTGATAAATTATTATATTAATCATATCATTTTATTACATTAATTTGATAATGGATTTTAATAATCTTTTTAATATTGAGGCTTTGTAACAATGTAATAAAGCAGTTATTTTTAATAATATGTTAATGTTTTGAATGACGTTTTATGAATTGTTTATTTTTCAGCTTTTTCCAATACCTGCCTTATTTTAATTATTGTGAAAAGAAAACAAATAAAGTTTGGTAAAATTAATTCAATATAATACTGTGATTGGAGACTTCCTTTACAAAAACCTTAGATCTATATAATAACCAGCACAAAGATAAGTCACACATATTCAAAGAATAATCTCATACAACAGAATCAATGATCAACATTGTCAGTGACTATAACACAAAATCTCATTTGAGAGGAGACTATTCTGCCCTTATAGACTTTAGCATAACTTTATCATACATTCTCCTTTACACCTCATATGTAAAAAAAGTGAGCTAGTGCTAAGTTTTAAAAGTATATAACTTATTGCTGAAATCGAACGTTCTAAAATAAATAGATAGACCAATTAGATGTTAGTAAATATTAATTGATAGGCAAAAAGTGGAGAATGTATTGTTTGCTTATCAGTAAATGTAAACAAACCTCATCAATAATTTGATGCCGTACTTTGACGAGATGTACCAGATACGAAAAGATATAAAGCCAACTTTTTTTTCATATCATATTTCTTCCCTTGCTCATCTTTTATACATCATCACCTATATATTATAAATAAATAAAAATACCGAAGAACTTTATTATAATTTTGAATACTATATCTATCTTATATAATATTGAGAATGTTTACTGTATACCCAATGACTACAGGCGCTAATTCTCAACACTTATGACCAAATATTTTCAATACTTTATGAGAGTAACATGTTCTACAAATTATGAATATTAATATTGAGACAGTAAAGTTTCTATGTCATTGTAAATTGTAAGAATAGTTCAGTGATAATTCTAGTTTTTTTTTAAAGCATAAAATTGTATGAATGTGTTTTTATCAACTACTAAATTCAGAAAGTAAAAATCCCCTACATCTGTATTGTATATAAATTTGTATAATTTTATTAAGCATAGAACCCCAAGAAAACCTAAATAAACCATTATTCTTATTATTTTCAAAATATTATTACATATTGTGGCCAGCACCAAAAATTAGTGGCTATTTTATATATTATATCTAATCTTACTTAGGGTATGAACAACTTGAGTCTATCCAAGAAGACATAGTAATATCACTCTCAAGTTTACTCCTCATACATCCTTCAATAAATTTTTCCTTCTTCTATGATGAGCAGTATACAATATGTCCATAACAAATCTGCATACGTTCACACAATTGGTTACAGCACTAATATTACTAAATATCACAGAATTTACTTATCACTACTAATAGTAATCTTAATTTCCTATTCAATTCTTTATGTCTACAGTACGTTGTTATGCTTTTTCATTTATTTTCAGATATTTTAAAAAGAAAAATTCAAAAGTGCAAAAAAAAAAAACAAAAAAACAAATGTTAAATAAAAAATGGAGAGTTATCTACTTGTACATACTATGAATTCGTAGCAGTTAAAAGAATTCTACAAATTTAGAAGGTTTATGCCTTATCCTAGTTTATTTAATTGAATCCATTCAGTTTCTCTAACATACACAAAAGGGAGACATAGATACATTCTTTTTATATTTTTAATTTTTTTAACAACTGATTTGATCCAAAGATGGATTTCCTAGACTTTCAAACATTTTCTTTTGTTGACACTGCCACAAATGAAAATAATTCATTGCCTTCACCTGGCCAAGGGCTAAAATTATCATCTAGTGATAGTTATCTTTATAATAATAATAATGATAATTACACCGACAACACATTAAGCAGTGGTCTTAAAACTGACGATGCATTTGAGTTACCTAATTTGTCACAGGTTAAAATAAATGATAAGAATAGCAATCAATTATCTTCAAAGATGGCAAATTATGTGAAAATGTCTATTAAGGAACTAAATCTATTTAAAGAATCCAGTAGTTACACTTCTACAAACACTAACACTAATACTAATATGGAACCATCTTTAACTAATGATTTATTGAATAAACCAATTGATATTAATAAGCTACTAAATAGAGATCAAACTTCATTAGAAGCTACAAATCAAGTACTTTCCAAAAAATTGTCTGTTATTCTAAATGAGCGTAATATAAATAACTATCACCAAACTATTAAACTAAGGAAGGCACTTTCTCTTTTAGAAGATACCAATATAGTTAAAAATGAAACAATAACAACAACGACCAGTAATAGCAATAACATGATGAAAAAAAATCAAAAGAAAAATTCTAATTTAGAGTATACGCAAAATTATTTAAATATATCATTAGATATTGATAATTTAGTATCTGCTGATTATGTAGGCATTCTTTCTAGAAAAAATTTGAAATATGACATAGAGACACAGCTTCTTAAAGAACATATAACAATCCTTGAGGATTTTAGACCCGTCATTAGAAGGATTAAACGATTATGTAACTCTGTGGATAACATTAAAGAAGTTAAGCTTCAATTAACTTCAAAGAACGAAAATGAAAAAGAAAAAAATATTCTAAGCGATATTGATAAAATAAAAAAAGATTTAAAATTATTAAAATTAAAACAGCAAATTTTATTGCGGATCAAAGATACTTTTACTTTGAACCAAGTTGAAGAAGATATTATACAAAATGGTAATATCACAACTAACAGTAGTGAATTTTTTGAAGTTATTGACAAAATAGAATCTATTAGGGAAGGATCCTCGTATTTATTAGCATTAGATGATCAACATGCTGGTAAAGCACTAATATCAAAATTGAATGTTAACTTAGAGATGATCAATCGAAAAATTTTTAACCATTTACTATCATTTCTTTATGATTATAATTCCATAACTAATACAGACTTACCAATTTACAGAAAATGTTTAATTTATTTATCTAATGACTTATCATTTTTTGACTCCTTTATTAAGCATGTCACTACTGAAAGATCCAAATTAATCCTTGATGAATTTTTATCTCAATTCGATTTAAATGTAAGAGACAAGAAACCAGTTCTTTTAAATGCACACGACCCTATTAGATATATCGGTGATGTATTGGCAAGTATTCATTCTTTGATTGCCAACGAGGCTGATTTTATTAAAATATTGTTCTCTTTTCAAGATGAAAAAGAAACTGAAACAAACAGCAACACTAATAATATTAAAGATGAATCAAAAGAAAAAAACTTTTATCTTCAATATAAGTCAATTAATATTGATTATTTGAAAGGCTTAGATACAAAACTTCTGAATGAAATTGTTCAATCTTTAGCTAATTCATGTAGAATCCGTATAGAACAAATTGTAAGATTTGAGGAAAGCTGTACTATCAGTTTTGAAATTATTCAATTATTAAGATTATACAGGATAATGTTCGAAAAGAAAAGCATTGAAAAAAGTAACAATTTAATTGTAAATCTTGAAAAATTAATTACAATGTCTAATGAAAAGATCCAAGACCACTTTGTTACATTTATCAAGGAAAACAAATCAACTAAACTTGAGTATAATAATGACACAGACCTTCTACCACCTGATTGGTTATTTGATTATTTAAATGAATTAACAGATTTCTTAAGGGCTTACTCAAAGAACAATAGTATGGAAGATTACAGCACTAAAAATTCCAATAAACAGTCTGTTGCTGAACAAGATATTATAAATGAAAACTTCATAGTACAGACCATAGAAGAACCATTCCAAAAGGTACTAATTGGACAAATCCAAGCCGCATTTCCATTGGCAAAGAAAAAGGAAGAAGTTAAGATTCTCTTTTTAACTGTCCAAGTAAATTGCTTTGACTTAATTAAGACAAGATTACAAATCTTTAAAGAATCAATTTTTAATAAAGATGAAAAGATATCACAAATCTATGAAAACATTGAAACCAAACTTGATACATTAATATCAAATCTTCAAAATTTACAGACGAAATTATTACTTGAAAAGACAGGATTATCACTTTATAACAATCTATTAAATATGATATTCCCTATTGATCAAGTAGAAGATGAATTAGATTATGATATGTATTTATCCTTGAAAGATAATGATTTAATGTGCTTACCATCTATCAACAATAACGTACATAATAAATTGAATGAATATCTACCACAAGTGCTAACTGAATTACAAGAAACACTACTGTTTAAACTTGCATCTCCTGAAATTGCTGATCATATATGTGAATATTGTTTTAAGAGAGTATCCAGATTTTATTCAGTGTTCAGAAAGGTCTTGACACATATCAATCCAGAGCAAAAAGAGGAAGTCTGCAAAATTCTGAATTTCACAGAAGATGATTTTAACATTTTACTTGGGATAACCAATGATAAATAATAAAATAAATAAATGCATAATCAAACACACTAAGGATGTATACACACATATATACTTATATTAAGAATTAAGACAAATCTATAGGATGACATTATTGCTAAGGAATAAAACTAATTAAAACAAAAATGATATAAAAAAAGAGAAATCCCTTTCAATACACTTGTCCCATGAAAATTCAATCTTGAGCGTGACGTGGTAATTGGCCACGACCGTAACCATTTGTTTCATAATAATCCATTGGATAGTAATCCTCTGAAAACATCACATCTTTATCTAACAACACATTAGCTTCATATGGAGTCAACAAAGGCTTGTTAAAAGCGTACCCCCAATCTATTGATAATCTAGGACATGCCACTTGAACGAAAACATCGATCTTATCAAACATTGCCAACTTTTGTGGAAATATTTCACTTAATATAATCTTAACAACTATCTTTCCAGCTGCCAAAAGATTTCTCTCTAATCTGTCTACCGTAGAGACATTCCCTTGTCTACCCAGAGCACCAAGAATCAAACCAAATACTTTACCATTCTTTGCAGTTTGGATAGCTTCCGATCTAACTCTAACTAGTTGTGTTTGATCATAACCTTCCCTTGTAAACTTTCTGTTGTATGGATCGTACCTATAAGCAGGGATAGTTGGATTATGTATCATAGCTGATTCTAGATGAAACCTACCATCACCAATAAAAACCATTGCATCAATTTGACTTTTGTCCAACCTTTCTGATGTACAACCCAACACTTCACCTCTGGATAATGGCTTAATCTGTGGTGGAATTATATATAACATATGATCATTATCTTGTGCTAATGCATCCTTAATACTATGTATAGCAGGGTTGAATTGAATAGTACCGAAGGTGGCAATTCGGGAACCCTTAGGGAAATTTCTCTGCAAAGTTTTAACAATATGTCGTTCATTAATATTGATTGTAACAAAGACATATAAAACTTTAATAGTAGTAACATCGATAGGAACAAGACATGAATGTGCATAATGAACTATAAAATCACAATCCAGTGCTCTAGCTGTAAAATCATCGATACAACATGCACCATATGAAACATCTCCCATTATCACTGTTTCAACATTACAAAATTGTTCCAAAATATCACTAATAATCAAAGAATATATTAATAGACCTTCAGGCATTTGTAATGCCACTCTCCTGGCTCCATGTTTTCTAATGTTCCAAACAGTTTTATGGATTTCAAAATTATAATTTGAGGGTAAAAGTTTGATTGCCTCATTCAAATCTTCGTCCTCCAGTATATCATCTGGGATATGGATAATAGATCTATAAGAAACAGAATGTTTATTTCTTGGCTTGAATACAACTTCTTTGCTTGAATCATTTTCGATAGTCTTTTTGGTCACAATAGATCCCTTACCATTTACACTTTTAGACCCAACAAACCTTCTTCTAGGAACTTTGCGTTCTTTAGAAACTTCACAATTAACAGACATCTTTATATACAATGCTCCCAAAGCTATTTTTCTGTTAACCACTGTTTTTGTTTCCCACCTAAATCTAACCAGTAACAGAATATCCCTGTTATAATATCAAACTATCTTTCTACTGACTACTTCTTTTATTGGTTGAGTTGCTAAAATATATATATATATATAGAGAGAGAGGTCTATGTCCATAAGAAACCCTTCTTTTCTCTATATTTTCTTACAGAAGGATTACTAATCCAACTATCTTCAATTTAAATTTTCCATTCGATGAGTTTCTCTTTTCTTTCGAAGGGAAATGAAAAATTTCATCAACTTTCAATCATCCTAAGAAAAGAGCATCTACAGCAAAATACAACAGTTCCTAAATGGTAATTCCTAACAAGTAGAGAAGGAATCAAGCAACTATATTTGATCTTCTTTCAGTGACTAATTAATTTGTAACAAAAGCTTATCTACACATAACTAGAACTAAAGACAAAACAAAAGACATAGGAAGGGACCAATATAAAGAAGGAGGAGGAAAAAGTCAGCTCTGATATTACTAATACAAAATGAGATATTTTGATCATAGATCTGCTTTGAAGTTTAATAATCTCAGATTTATTTTTTATTGTAAGAATATAACTATTCGAAAATATAGTAGTAAAGCAAGTTCGAACCATATACTGAAACAAAAGGAAGAATTACTACATGGAATGAATCGTTTGTTAAAAAAAACCATTGATTTCAAATTCAGCATCCCCCGTAAAAATAAACTGATGATTGATAAAGATCTAGAACAGTTTCTAAAAAGATCGAATGAAGCAAATAATTTAAAAGATTTCGATGGTACTTATCTACCGGACACTTTTGGCTCGAATCAGAATATTCCTATTGATCCTGCTATTGAACGAGAGTTAAATTTAATTTTATCACATTTTCAAGCGCCAATAGATTTTGCCTTTGGATATGGATCTGGTGTTTTTAAGCAAAATGGATATGATAATCTTAAGGGTTCTAATAAACCTCAGATTGATCTTATATTCGGTGTCAAAGATCCTCTGAAATTTCACAAAATCAATATATACCAAAACCCAGACCATTATTCCTCTTTAAAGTGGTGTGGCTCAAGTGTTATATCATATTTCCAAGATATCGGTGCTGGCATATATTTTAACCCATTTGTGAATATTGCTGGACGTGAAGTAAAATATGGGGTAGTCTCACTAGAGAGAATCGTACAAGATCTTTGTACCTGGGATAGCTTCTATCTTGCTGGTAGATTGCAAAAGCCTGTCAAAATTTTGAAAGACAATAATATAATCAAATACTGGAATCAATTAAATTTAAAGAGTGCAGCTACTGTCGCCAAATATTTATTACATAACGATAACACAGTGAAATCTAGACTAGATGAATTCGAATTCTATCAAAGGATTGCTGGACTAAGTTATATAGGTGATATTAGGTATACACTTGGTGGTGAGAATCCAAATAAAGTTAATAATATTGTAGAGAAAAATTTTCATAATTTTCAAAAATATTATGGTTCCATATACGAAGATGTTATATTCCACAATAGAGATTATCTACCATTAGGCTATTCTTTAGACAATTGTTTAAAGACTTTAAGAAGTCATATACAGAGAACAAGTATTTTGCAAACTTTAAAAGGTATTGCAACAGCTGGTGCTACAAAATCATTCAAATACGCCTGGAGTAAAAAAATGAAAGCTTGGAAAGGGAAATAAACAAACAAACAAGCAAATAAATATATTCTTATTGAGTTGACTGCATATAAAATATGTATATGAATGCAGATATGTAATAATATTATTATTGAGATTTATTTGTATATGCACTATATCTACATGCACATTTACACGTTCTTACTGTTTCCTACATCTTAGAATAAAAAGATAACTAAAGAGTGTCTGAAAAAGCTAAGAAAATAAAAAAACAAAGATGAATGTGTAAATTATAATGTATAAAAAATGATGTATTTTGTAAGTATATATGCTTATATAGATCTGCCTGTAATATTTATATGCATGAAAAGAGTATAAGTAGTTACAATTGATGTGAAAAATCTAATAATCATTCAATAGCCTGTTTAGGGAATTTGGATGATGAACCTTGTATTGATGTTTCTGTGGATAAAGAGAGACCTTAGTTGGACTATCTACGCCTTTAGTACTGCTACTTTCACTACAGGTATCATTATTTGTTGTTGATGTAGCTGGAGTACCATTAGCTTTGGTGATATTATTATTAGATAAGACAGGGCTTTTACTGAAGGATGCAGCTTGATCTATAACATTTAAATCTATAACACCAAAAGTAGGGATCACAGTGGCAGATTTTGTTCTTCTATGTGTCTTTTTCTGTACACTATTTCCACTTGAACTTCTTAAAGGTACTGGTCTTTTTAAGTAACAGTTGTTATTTGATTCTAACGATAAATTGGTATTTGAATATGCAGGGGAATTGTGACTATTACTACTACTATTTTTATTATTGTTATTGTTGCTTGTTTTATCGGATTGACCACTATTATTATAAGTACTGCCATTTAAATTATTTTTCACTGGAACTAGCGTTTCTTTATTAGATTCAAAATTTAACACAGATACCATATTTGTCGGTATGCTTGAAGTAACAAATTTGTTCATGATAGGTAAAGAAATATTGCGATTATGAGAAATCATGTTACTATCGCCATTACTATTACTATTATTATTATTATTATTATTATTATTATTATTATTATTATTATTATTATTATTATTATTATTATTATTATTATTATTATTATTATTTATAGAGATATTTATTTTATTCTTTAATGGGGATTCGAATTCTGAAGCTTCTTCTTCCTTTATTGAAATAGAATCTGACAAAGCCGCCACTGCACTTGCACCAATCCTGGCGGGTGAATGTGTTCTTCTATGGAAAGTTCTTCGTTCAGTGGTATTAATGCCAATATTACTAGAGTTTTTGAAATTATTCGATACTAATGGATCTGCTGGTGGAAATTTATATGGGGAGGTTGACTTTAACATGGATGCAACAGGTGTGATATTCATGTTATTATTAGACTCAACAGTAGTCGCGGTAGAGACAGAGTCTGAGGTAGATGTAGCGGTATTATTCAATTTATTATTTTTACTTATCGAAGAATCTAGAAACCCATTATTGTTGATCAAATGAATCAAATGTTGTGATGGCATCCCATAACCCTTGGACAGCTTTATCAGTTCCAAGCATTTATCAATGTTAGCTAATTTGTAATACTGTTGTTTTGTTTTCTCCTGCTCAATTTTCAAATCAATAGCTTTAGACAAGATAGGTTCAGGCAATTCGTTTGTCTCATTGATAACATCTTTAATCTGTGGGCCAAAGATAATCTCCAACAAAGAGGAGCTTCTAGAATGAGTCCTTGGATTAGCTCCTGGCTTATTAACTTTATCATCCATTCGACAAAAGAAAACAAAAAAGAAAAAAATAATAGTAACAACAACAATGAAAACAACGACAACAGCTGATAATGTAATATGAATATATATATAAGCTTTATATATTTAAAGAAAAAAAAACGCTACGTTCGAACGACAAACTTTGGCTGTTATCAATCCTTGAATAAAAATGTGTTAGAATATCAGCTTTAAATGCTACTTACTCTCTTATTGCGATCCCATAAGGAAATGAGCAAAAAAAAAAAAACTTCTATACCATCTCTTAAATACGCTAATATAATATAAATATCAATACTTAACAGAGCCCACTCTTCCCAGATAATATCTATCTTTAAAAGTTCCCATGAAATGTCGAATAAAATTCTTCTTGCTGAAAAGAAAAGAAAAAAGAATAGGGGAGGATTTTTCTCTTTTGTTAAATTCTTCCGCTTCGAGCAAAGAAAGTAACAAATTTCCCTTTTTGGATAGGAAACAATAGAAGCTCCGATGACTGGATATCCTAATTAGGAAAAGGATGTTCCCAAAAAGAACCCCACTATCAAATCAAACAGAAGACAGAGTAACAATAATCACACGATAAATTGTATTATACACCATTATTACATAGTAGTGTCTTGCTATTAACTGTAATCCTAGATAAAGTATATATATATATATATATTGATAAAAACAAACATTAATTTTTTTTTTAATTTACACAGTTTCTTCCTCAAAGACTGTTTCAATGGGCTTCTCCATAAAAGACGCATGTGTGAAAACAGTGAAACAGGAGGCACCAATCAACCATAGCATCGAGGATATTGGAGAAGCTAGAAAACCTAATGGAATAGCAACACATAATAGACCAGTATATAATTGAGAAGTAGTAACTGGACCGAATGGAGTATTCAAATCCGAACCTTGCAATCTGTTGATGCCCATAATACCACCTATGACTAAGATGATAACAAATAGCAATAATAGGTTGGTTAATAATGTGTAAATACTCAATAGCCCAACAATAAATGCATAATTGGAACCAAAGTATCTTAAGTTATAAGAAACTCTTGCTTGTAATTCAGAGAAGTTTTGTGGTTTAGAAAACTGTTTTACATTGAAAAATTCTTGTGGTGGACGTAGAGTGGATATTTTACTTTTTAAAGATTGAAACTGATTCTTTATATTTTCAACAGATAAGTTTTGACTGAACTGAGATATTTGCTGGTTTCATAATTATTTTATTCATTCATTTGTTATTTCAAATAAAGAAAAAAAAACATATATAAATAGATAATGATGTAATAATAATATATTATTATCACATCATTATTATTCTATCTATAATATTTTTTTTCTTTGTTTTCGTATTTGTTAGTAATATGAATTATCAGAAGGAAAATACCAGGAACAGAAGCAACAATTTTTTAAACACATACAGCTAAAGTACCTAAATTATTCATAGTGACTGGAGAAACGGATTAGTTGATAGCTTATATTAAATTTTTATTCTCTTTACTAATATTTTTGCAGGAGATATAACAAGAAAACGCCTCCCTAGAAACAAATTAAGTAATGTTTCCACTGATAATAATGTCTTATAAATTCTTATAACCTGGTCAATGTCTGTTTGTTTCAGCATTTATTTCCTTCTAAGCCTTGCGAAAAAAAATTTATGAAAATTTACAGAAAATAAATAAAAAAAAAATATAAACATAGCAAAAGTGCAGCAATAAAATTTTCTTTTTCTTATTTTCTTGAGGAAAAGGAAACAACACGAAAAACAAACAATCACAAAGGCAAAAGCAGAAAGTATATAATATGGAGAAAGAAAAGTGTGAGCGAACGAGAGAAAACAAATGCACTGGAGATAGTGGTGAGGGGGAAGTTTACAGAGTTGCTACCATATTATTACGGTATTTCCAGTAATAGTATATAATAACTAAATATCTATCTATTTTATGAACCTAAATCTTGCTTAACTAAAGCTTTACAGATTGGATGATATGTATCTTGAAATTTTTCAAATGTTTTTAGAGCTAGATCTCTGTCAACAGAATTTAATAATCTGTAACCTGGCCTAACGAACTTCATTCTACCTACAGTACCTAACCAATTACCTAGGTCGTTATAATATTCCTTTAGATGGGCTTTAATTTGGAACTTGAATACTTTAAAGACAACTTCTGCATTCTTTGATTTAACCACTTTCTCATTATCATAAATAGATAATAATGATTTAGCAGCGACTTGATAGTTGCTCCAATCAAATACGCTAGTATTGCTGTCATTTAACGCGTGACCGCCTTGAGTTAAAGTTTCAAGGAACAATACAACTTGATTAGCATTAAAATCCTTAATATCATCAACATTGAAGTGGTCCATATATTTCTTTGGTTCCTCTTGGCCCCATTCTTGAGCCCTTTGAATCCAATCATTGGCTAATTTATATACTGAGTCGGCTAAAGATGTATCAAATTGTGGTTTTGGTGGCATACCAGGTTTAAATAACCAAGTCTCCCAATCAACAGATTCCAAAAGATCTCTCTTTTCGGGAAAGAACTCGAATAAAGTGTCTAAGAATTGGAATGTGTCCAAAGATTTTCTGGAAAACTTCTTAAAATAATGTTTAATAAATGGGTCGAATTCCTTAACACCACCAAGTAAATTTTCCAAATAAAACAATAAATTGAAACCCTTTTCATATGGGACACTGGAAAAAGCTTCATCTGGATCGCATCCATCGTTCAAACATTGGACTAAAGTGGAGAATCTATCTGGGTTACTCATTGAATCGATAGAATTTTGCAAATCATTCCAGCCAATCAAGGCACTGAAGTGTCTAGTTGGCTCACCATGGATAGCCCCAGTAATACGCCTTTCCAAATAGACAGTCCACCCTTCATTCAACCAGAAATGGTTCCAAGAACAATTGGTGACCAGATTACCAGACCAAGAGTGTGCCAATTCATGGGCAATGACGTCGATGTTGCTCTTATCGTGTGCTATCAAAGTAGGTGTGGCAAAAGTCATGTTGGGAGATTCCATACCACCATATGGATATGAATCGACATTGATTAGGATGTCATAAGTACCCCATTCGTATGGGAATATGATCTTTTCTGCGGTTTGTATAAACTTTTCCACGTCTCCATCGAACTCTCTTTGGGAATCTTCTAACCTAAAGGGTTCAGTGTAAACAGTAGAACGTGGGCCGATTGGTGCATGTTCTAAATTACCTGATGCGACACCGACCAAATATGCTGGAATAGGTACTTTTTGTTCGAATTGATATGAGTACTGTAGGTCATCCTTTTTATTAATTGTTTCGTGAGTCTTAATACCTGAGAAAACGACAGGTAAGGAAGACTTGATGTTAGCAGTAAAAGTAGATTTGATTGATGGGGTATCGAAACATGGGAATAGAGATCTTGCATGGATCGCTTCCAATTGAGAAAACACATAAGGTTCCCCGGAGGTCTGCTTGGCGTTCAACCATTGCAAAGCAGTGCATCTCTCAGTTGTGGTGAAAGAAAGTTTTAATAAGATATTGTTGTTACTATCTTTAAATTTTTCAATTGAATCAGACTTGATAACCAATTGAGAACCCAATGGTTCGACCCTTGGTTTAAGTATGAAGTCTTTTACACTGACGTTGTTGAGTTCTACCTTTTCGATATTTAGAAAAGAAGTATCTAATTTAATTTCATTCTCGTTACAATTAGATATTTTAGTTAGTTGAAAGGTAACGTCACCTTTAATAATTTTTTGATCAAATAAAATGGATAGATCTAAAGTGGTGTGATCAACTTTAAAGGATTGATAGTTAGAGAGAGTAGAGTAATCGAACTCAGGTGATTGTTTAGGTCTTTTAGATTCCAAAAAGGGGGTCAATTTAGTCATTGTTGATTTAGATCTTTTTAGAATTAACGGATGAAACAATTTACCAAGAATCATTAGAGAGAGAGCCACTGAACAATTTTTGACCAATTCATCCATAATTATCCAACAAAGCAAATAAGTAATGATTTTTAACTTATTCTTTAAAAGTAAGACTAAAAGAACACAAAAAAAAGAGACGAATGACCGAAAGAGCCAGAAAAAAAAAAAAAAAGGAAAGAGTATACACATATATATACATAACTGTGTGTTGAATGGAAGAGAGAACGAAAAAAATGGAACAGAACAAGGTGAAAAAACAGATGAACAGACATAAGACTAGAGAAGTCCATGGCTCTATTAATTACATGTTATATCCACAACATCTCAACCATCAACATCCTCATCGAGATGAAAACATTATTCCGTATGTCACATTTTTTTTTTGTCACAATTTTTATTTGAACAATAAAAAACAAAACAAATACCCAAAGCGGATGCGAATATAACACCGACACCAAAAAAATAAAAACAAACCATCGAATGAGGGCAAGAACAGAACTATTATGGGAATGATAATATTTATTAGTGTTTTTTTCCTCTTCACCAATGGCCATATTTGTTTTGCAATTAGGGTTACTTTTTTATTCTATTTTATTTTATTTTAAACAAAAGAAATGCTGCAAAAATCATTTCATTTACGGATAGGGTTGAACGGCCTCCGTCCAAAATGATCATATGACACACCCCAAAAAGAGGGAAAGCAGGACAAATCTCAAATATATTCGTCTTTTCAAAAGTTTCTGTGAATGTATATAATTATGTTATGCCAATGAAAATATATTTTTAATAAAATTTATCCATGAGATAATGTTCATAACAATATTACTAACACCACTAACACCACTGCCACTAATAATATTACTATTACTGTTATTATCGTTACTATAGGGAATAATGAAAGAGGATAGGATTTTCCACTTATAGAAAGATACGATAGTGATTCTTAATTGCTCGAATAGTTTAATTAAATTTTGTATGAAATAGTTCGATATAACTGTGATTACAATCAACATAACAATCGATCTAAACCAATTTTCTTTGGAATAATAATAACAATCCAAATAAACATATCTGCATGCATTTATCCAACTATTATTATTATAATTATTATTATTATTGCTGTTATTGTTGCTGTTGTTGTTGATAATGCTACCACCATCATTATTGTAATCATACTCTACTACATTCATATTATCAGTATTTTCTTGTCTTATTATGGCATTTTCTGTTGAGAAATCGTCTTTGCCAACATTTAACACACTTCTATTTAATCGTATTTTTTGAAATTTATAAAATCTCTTACCGATACCATCTCCATCATAAAATCTCCTAGGAGTCTTACTGTTTCTCTTCAAATTATTCTTCAACATACACCATTTTCTAAAAAGAGAAGAAGAAGAGGAACTAGATCTCATCGGTACTGCATCATGATCATCCTTGCTATTTGTTTTCTTAGTTGTCCAACTAATCATCTGTAATCCATACTTTCTTGCATACACAAACAAACGCAGAGACCTATATACGTACACATGAATATAACCAATACATAAACACACGTAATATTATTTTCTTTTTCCTTTTACATTTTTTTTTCTTCCACATTACAATCCCTTCTACCTTTCACTATATTGTCGGATCAAATACATCCTCCAAATAAAACTTTTTTTTGTATTTGTTTTTTTTTCCTTTCTTGTCTCGATTTGCAGTGTTGTGTTGTCTAAATATTAAAAAAAAGTCAGGTACTAACCCTAAAGAAAAAATCACTTTTCCAATTACCATGAAGAAAAAAAGAGATCAAACCCTAAAAAAGTTCATCCTTTTGTATCTTCTTTAGGGTTACATGTTGTACCCTAGGGTTTTTTTTCTGGGAAAAAGATAAAACAAAAAGACAAAAAAAATAAGAAAAAGAAAAAGAAAAAGGAAGAGGAAAATCGAACAAGAAAGGAAGGAGGAAAGGCGAAAGCCCAAAAAAGAAAAACAAACAAACAAACAAACAAACAACAAGAGAATAAAGAAAATAATATATGGGATCAACTGCATGCGTTCTCCTTACACCTATTATCCTTGACTCTAGATCAGTTGAAATCAAATAAACCTGAACTTAACATAACTATAATACACTCCACAAAACATTACTACTATACTACACACACACACACATATATATATATATATATATAAACAAAGTATTACCCATCACTACACTATCACTCTCGCTCACATATAAACCATTATCATCAAGATAACAACAACAACAATAACAGCATATATATCTATCTATATATATATATCTATATATAATTCTATCCAAACTAATTTGTAAAGTATCATTATGTCAACTCACAACACCATGACCTCCGCTGTCTCTGACATGAGGTCACAACAACAGGCTAATCTACAACAATTACAAAACTTACAACAACATACAAGAAGTTTGACATCTACTAATACCACTGACTACTATTATCTACAACAACAACAACAATCAAAAATATCCCAACAATCTCAACTACAAAACTCAAGTAATACAACACTACAACAACAACAAGCTTCTGTTAATACAAACCAACTACCGCATAAAAACTCTCTAACTTCAACGCATATAACAACACGAAATTCTTTTCAAAGACAACGTGTTTCACAACAACAACAGGACCCAAGGTCTCCCTTAGTAGTAATGATTCCAACTAGTGCTCAGCCTACAGAGGTCCTTGCAGCAAGATTTTCCGCATGGAGAAGTGTCATCAAATCTTTGCTTATATATCTCAATGAAATTGCGTCTATCCAGGATGAAATCGTAAGACAACAGGTCAGACTAGCTCATGCTATCCAATTCCCATTTTTTGCTATCGAAAACCAATCCCAACCTACTTCTAATGATGATAAAGCTATCAATAAGTTTTTTTTACCCTTAGGAAACGGGTCTGTTCAAGATATACCAACCATCCTAAACCAATATCATGGAACATTGGCATCTGTCGCATCTAAAGCATCAAAAGAGTTGACTAATGAAGTCATACCTAGGCTGGAAGAATTAAGAAGAGACCTGCTAGTCAAAATTAAAGAGATCAAGACTTTGCAGTCTGACTTCAAAAATTCTTGTAGCAAAGAGTTACAACAGACCAAACAAGATATGAAACAATACATCGATTCTTTGAAAGAATCCAGGTACAATGCACCAAAACAAGACCCTTTTTTGACAAAACTCATTCTCGATAAACAGATCAAAAAACAAATCATGGAGGAAAATTATCTACATGAAGCCTTCGATAATTTACAAAATTCCGGTGCTGAATTAGAGAAAGTGGTTGTCATGGAAATTCAAAACGCAATGACTATATATGCAAGGCTGTTAGGCCAAGAATCTCAATTGGTTTTCGATATCCTAATATCTAAATTGGATCTCGGTTTCTTCAATAAGGACCCACAATTTGAATGGGACAATTTCATATCAAGGGATCCAAATTTCATTCCACCAAATTTACCAATAAGGAAATTTAAAGAAATTGTATACAAGTATCAATACGATCCAATGACTTATGAGATTAAATCAGGCTATTTAGAGAGAAGATCCAAGTTTTTGAAATCTTATTCAAAGGGGTTCTATGTTCTATCACCAAATTTCTTACATGAATTTAAGAGTGGTGATAGGAAGTCAGATCTAGTTCCAGTGATGTCTTTATCATTGAGTGAATGTTCAGTAGCAGAGCATTCAAAAAAGGATTCCAGCGAACATAAATTTATATTACATGCAAAGCAAAATGGGATCATTCATAGAGGTCATAATTGGGTCTTTAAATGTGATTCCTATGAATCTATGATATCTTGGTATCATAATCTTAAAAGATTCACATCTTTCAATTCAAATCAAGAAAAGGCAAAATATATTATTGAGAAATATAATTTAAATAAGGATGGAAAACCAAAGACTGATCTCAATAACTCGACTAATAAATTGACTAAAACTGCAAGTAATCAAACATCCCTGTCTACGACAATAGATGCTAACACCGTGAGGACACAGAACGAAAGCGGCCTAAGGGATAGTAACATTTCTGTTAATGATGAAAACATGTATAGCTCTACTCCGAGATTGGATAACACCACAAGAACAAACACAATCTCATCTATCTCTGAAATGACTGACTCACAGGCTCATGATGTTATACCCAGTTTCTACATTGAGACAGTTAATCCAGGCCAAAAACAGTGACCCATAATTACTATCCTCCTACAAATTTTTTTATTGCCTTCAACATTATTTTCCCGTTATTAAATTTTTAACTTCAGAATCCCTAGCATTCAAGAAAGTTATTGAACAATACCAAAAAAAAAAGATTATTGTAACAATTGTATCCATACAAAAAGTATTTTATTTTTATTTTTATTTTTATTTTTATTTTTATTTTTATTTTTATTTTTATTTTAATTTTTTATTTACTTCAATCACTACATTTTAGTATCAATATCACCATTTTTTTTCATATTAAATAATACAACTAAAGTTTGTTTCTAATATTATTTTAGAGAATGATTGTTAAGTTTTACATCTTAAATTATTATCTATATTCATAATGTTACTAATTCTTCCATTTAACATAAGCTGATCACAACACTAATAACAATTATAAAAAATGGTACCCTAATCATATTCAAATATAAAATTATGTATTTTTATCAATACACATGTATAAATATGTATATCTGGTAGTCGTTAAGATTATATATGTTTTATATACTATTTATTACATAATAAATCATTTGAATTTTTTCAGTAATCCTCTTTCTTCTAATTTATGTAAAACAATATTTGTCCATTGAATTTCAAAAATCTCATCAGAAAACTTCTCTACTGCTTTCTTTTCACCATGCTTAGATTTAATCATTTTACTCTCATCATCCAACATGTCTGTCAACAAAAATAACTTGTCTAAACTAGGGAAATTTTCACCCTTCACCTTATTGTAATCTGGATCAGATGGATCGACAAAGAAGTATCCAATATCTTTATCCACAATATCCAGATATGGACCCGCAGATGCATGTACTAAAGCAATTAATCCTGATGCAAGATATTCTACTACAGCAATACCGAAATGTTCATTCCACATCGCGTTGATACCATATGTAGAATTGAATAACTGTCTCTTAACTTCACTATATGGAATATCAGTTAAAAATTCAATATTTGGCTCTGGAATATTTAATTGCTTGCAATATTTTTGCAATTCAAATACATAATCTTTATCAGCTTGTGAGCGAGTGGATCCAATAAATTTCAATTTTAACAAATCATTCTTACTATTGTTGTTATCCGATTGTTTGCATCTGCTAATTAAATATTTAGAATATGATTTTATTATTAGATCGTGTCTCTTTTCTGGACGAAACTGGGCCAATACAATACCAACATTAGAGCGTGATTTATTCAAATTGGAATTAAAATCATTAACAAATTTCTCCGTAGAACAGGGAGGATAAATAATAGAAGATTCTGTTTGCTTCCATATACTTTTAACATGATTATTAGTCCATGTTGAGTTAGTAGTCACCACTGTCACATAGGAACCCATATGACAATAATAGGCCATGAATAATTTCCAATACCAATATTTCAACTTATTTCTTAGGCTTGCATTATTTTGTAATTTATCAAGCATATCTGTAGAAATAACTGGAAAATGGGTATACGTAATGATAGGAATTCTTAAAATATAGAACACCCATGGATAACCAAAAGGATAACCCATAGTATCACACCAGATATCAGGCGGACATTTCAATACTGCTTCAATTGTCAAAATGATAGATCCTAAAGCTTGTCCAACTAAAGTGAAATGTGGCCATGTCTTACTATCAACCAACCACCTTTTCTTTAAATATATAAAAACTATTCTACTTCTATCTAATTTATAATCGAACTTCAAACTGACTCCATCCAAAATTTGCTTTGGTGATGCATTAAGATCCCCCGTATAAATAATAACCACATTATTTAAATCATGATTCAAAGTGGTTTCAACAGCCTTCCACAAGACTTTTTCACCACCACCAAAGGCATTACAATATGGATGGAAAAATCCGTATAATGTCTTCTTTTCATTATGATTAGAAGTAGTATGTGTATCGTTTTGTTTAGAGATTGATATTTTATCATTTTCATACTGCTTTAACTTATTAATAACATTTTGAACCTCCAATGGATCATTAAGAAGACCCTCAAACCCATTAACGTCATTGAAGTTTGAATAGGAAGTTAAATTTATTCCCCAATGAGAGATTAGTCGTGATCTGACAGCTCCAGTTCTGATTCCAAATGGGGAATTCTTACCAATTTTATTATTTTTTAACCAATTGAGTAAAACAGATTTATACCCGTTACTTGGCTTGGCTAATGTCTTTCTAAATGAATGTGTTCTTAAAAAGATCAATAATAATGAGATCGTGGTTTGTAATATTAGTATAATTGTAACCCAAAGCATCATATATACTATGGATGTATTTGCATATTAGGTTTTCTTAAAATGTTGACTCTAACTCCTTACTATTCACCAATCCATACACTACTAGCAATATCCCTATTTGCTCCAATTTGATATATATATATATGTATTTACATGCACGGTATCTATATTATGACTTTTAGCTTAACAAAGTTATATACTATAGTAATGTACGTGATCCAGACGTGCTAAAAAAAATAAAAAACACATTTAACAAGGGTTAAAACTTTTTTGATAAAACCGAAAGTAAAACTCCTACTAAAAAAGATAGGGTTACATAAGTTTTTCAAATTAATCTATTATAGAAATTGTAAAATTAAACAAACTGGTACAAAAATAGATATACAAGCGTAAGTCCATTTTTAGATTATACATTATTCATTTACTGTGTAAAATTGCAATAGTAACATTCTTATTATTTTATATATCCTCTTCTCTCCCTCTTCTTTCCTAGTCAAACATAAATAATAGGTTTAATTCCAATTTTTTTTCTTTTTTTTTTTTTCTTTACTTAAAAATTGATGACACTCAGCGATATAGTTCTCTAAGGGTGGACGTTATCAAGTATCCTTTACTTCATCAATCCTTAATAGATAGCAAAAGATTTATTTTAACAAGGAAACATATAGAAAAAGGAAAAAAGAAAAACAAAAAAGTTGTACGAGCATATCTGTTATATGTATATAATATATAAATATATAAGTATATAGAAGTATATACTTATGTATCCTATATAGACCTACTGCTTCCGCATTGTGTTTACTTTTAGATACTTCAACTAACAGAACAGATGCTTTAACGTATAGGATGGATATGTAGTATTACCAAATCACCTACTTTCAAATACTCTGCTTGAGAGACATTTTCCTCGAGGAAAATGGAGAAAACCCAACAACACAATATGATGCACTACAATACAACACAGGCAACAGGCCGGAATTGAAAGACAAAGAAACTAATAGAAAAGACAAAAAAAAAGGAGGAAGAAAGCGGAGATTGGCAAATTAATTATTAGAAGGCAAGAACATGTGGACGTTTTGCTTGAATAAACAACTACAACCAGAAGAGACAAATGGAGTAAAGCCATTTCTCTTTCTATTAAACATTAATATATATATATGTATCTATGGTATAAAACATATGTTTACTATGTGTGAATGCCTGTGGCAGACAACCAAGTTATTTTCTTGATGTAGTCAGTTCTAATAGCCGTATAATAAACACTAATAACAATACAATCATTTTAAATATACTAATACAATAGTATACTAATACCGATAACAACAATAATAAAAACAACACTAACAATACGTAGTGTAACTGATGGGCACAAAACGTTTTGGAATAGCAAAAAAACATTCTGTGAATAATGAAGAGTCACAATGTAGGCCGTTACCTGCCTTCCAAAGGAGGCCACCTAGTGATACACCTATTGTCACTACCTCAAATACACCAACTGGGTCATATGAAACTACTCCAGCTATATCACCAGAAGCTAGTGCTATTTTTGGTGATCTAGAGAAAAACATTGATTCTTCAAAAATACAAATTAATGAAACTGTTCCAAATAATAACATTCTCCATAATGATAATAATACGTCAAATGATAATACTCAAAATATAATATCCACTTCGAATATTCTTGAACTGAATCGTACAGAAAATTCAACAACTACTCTTAATGAATCAGGTGTCCTGGATAGCCAAGATAAGGATAAACCACAATCCACACAACGAAGAGTCACCAGTACATTAAATGTCCCAGGACTAACTAAATCTAAATTGTCCCCAGATGGAATAATATCCAAGGCAGAAGCAGGTTCTAAGCTGGTTATTATTATGGTTGGCTTACCTGCAACAGGAAAATCGTATATTACAAACAAGTTGTCTCGTTATTTAAATTATTCCATGTATTATTGTAAGGTTTTTAATGTAGGAAATACCAGAAGAAGATATGCAAAGGAACATAAGATTGGAGATCAAGACTCTAACTTTTTTGATCCTAAAAACATAGAAGCTAATTCACTTAGAGACAAATGGGCGCTAGATACGTTGGATGAGTTATTAGATTATTTATTAGAAGGGGTTGGGTCTGTAGCTATTTTTGATGCAACCAACACAACAAGAGCAAGAAGAAAATTACTTGTAGATAAAATCCAATCAAGGAACGATCAACTAAACATTTTATTTTTAGAATCCATCTGCACAGATGAATCTGTTGTAGAAGCAAATATTAGATTGAAGTTGTTTGGTCCTGATTATAAAGGGAAAGATCCTGAAGATTCGCTACTTGATTTTAAACAAAGGTTGAAAAATTATCTTGAAGCATATGAAACTATTGAAGATAATGAAGATGTACAGTACCTTAAAATGATAGATATCGGCAAAAAGTTTGTATCGTATAACATCGAAGGATTTCTAGCTTCACAAACTGTGTATTATCTTTTAAATTTCAATTTATCATATAGACAAATTTGGATAACAAGAAATGGCGAAAGTGAAGATAACGTCAAAGGCAAAATTGGTGGTGATTCTTCATTGACCGTGAGAGGTGAAAAGTATTCGAAAGCATTATATAGATTTATTGACAAACAGAAAAGACTGTTATACGAAGCTGAATTAAAACAATTTGCCCAAAATATGAATAAAAATGAAGATTCAAGAAACCACACAATAACTTCATACAAAAGGAAAAATAAGAAAGGCCTCTATTTTAAAGATTTTTTTGTTTGGACAAGTATGCGTAAAAGAGCCATTCAAACGGGGAAATATTTTGATATCAACGAATATCCATTAAAAGAAATGAAAATGTTAGATGAGATAAATGCAGGCTCATTTGAAGGTTTAACCTATCAAAAATTCGAAGAAGCATATCCTGCTGAGTTTGAAAGAAGACAACGTGATAAATTAAGATACAAATTTCCCGGTATCGGAGGAGAATCATACCTTGATGTCATTAATCGTCTAAGAACCGTTATTGCTGAAATAGAAAGAATTGAAGATAACGTTTTAATTATTACACATCATGTTGTTGCAAGGACTTTATTAGGTTATTTTATGAATCTTGGATTTCAAGATATAACCGAGTTGGACATACCATTACACTGTGTCTATTGTCTAGAGCCTATGCCATATGGGATACGTTGGTCTTTATACGAATACAATGAGGAGTCAGATACCTTCCATAAAGTACCACAGTCTGAGTTAAACGTAACAAGAATAAAACAAATGGGATTAGTCCATAGAGAAAAACATTTCTCGTTAGTGCCCACAGCACCATCTAGTAGATCATCATCAATGGCATCTGTACCTTCCAATCACACCACATCATCGACTCCTTTACCGTCATCACTAGAGAACCAGAATAGCGAAATAGATTTTTCAATAAAACTCTCACATAGTCCTTTTTTGAAAAAAAGCGAGTCACCTTCTACTGGAAATAATAACATTAAAGATATTCCCCTTAGGTCTAATATAAACCCATTAAGAACAATAAATATCTTAGAGAGTAGTAGAGATGGTAGTAGCAGGTTACCCGTCAAAATTCCTAATTTCCCATCAACGGCATTTTCACTATTAAACAATGAGAACATAGCATACACAAATAATCCACTCAACAACATGACTAATATCTCTACCACCATTACTCCTACTATCACATGTGATAACGACAACGACAACGACAACGACAATAACAATAACAATAACAATAATAATAAGGATAATCATGATGATAATGCCGATATAGATAAGAAGTTAGCACAATCTCCTGTATCCATTATATCATCTCTCAATTCGACTTCTAGTAAAGCAGAAGAATCTCAATCAACAAACGATAATGTAGCTAGTAAAGAAACATTACATAATATAGAGCATTTACAAGATGAATTTGAACAGTTAAAGTTATCAAATTCCCAAATGTATGAGCGATTATGAAACATGTAAAAGGAGAATAAAACTAAAATGAGATAAAAGATAAAAATAATACATAGGGTTTTATAGATGTATGTTGTTTAATGAAATCCAAAAAACGAAAAATAAAATGAATAGAAACAAGAATTTCTCTTTGGTCTATTATATGCCGTTGAAGGTATATACTACAAGTCTAACAAGCTTTATGACTCTCTGTTTACTTAATCATAGAATATATTCTACTACTAATCAATTATATTTTATTATTGTTAATATTCAACGTATATATGTTATATATATTCACTAATGTCCTTACCTAATTTCTATAAAGAAGAAACCGCATTGTAAATATGATATTAATCATTTTTGCTACTTAAGCTAACCAACGAACCAATCTGTCTGCTCATTATAATAAAAACACACAGAGATGTGTCTATATAGTATTATCTATTTGCATACTATTCAGGGCTAGCCCTAGTAGCAAACCCTAATCAGAATACCCAACCGCTCCTTTATAGGGTTCAAAGTTAGGGTTTACTTCCTTTTTTTTTTATTTTTATTTTTTTATTTTTTTTCCTTAAAGAAAATCTCCAAAACAAACGAGAAAAACCAGAAATTTGGAAGAAAAAGAGGACTGCTTTTTTTTTTTTGATCTTTTCATTTTTTCGTCCAGCTTTCTACCGCTTTCTCTTTTTCATTCTTTCGTAAATAAGGACAAAGTCAGAGAAACTTAACACGGTGGCTTCTGCTGTTTATCTCTAAAAGAACAGGAGGAAAAGGGAATTTCATATGTATGAGGTACGCTTCAAACTGTTCATTTAATGATACATTAGAATCCACTGGACATCTGACGTTGCTTAAAATTCTTAGCAGTACAACCACAGGTCCACAGAAATAGTTATAAAACAATGTCTCATCACAGAAAGCGTGTTTATCCACAGGCGCAATACCAAATCCAACAACAACAGATAGCCACAGCTGCTGCAGTTCCACCTAGTATTGGTGGTGCCCCAGGAGAAACCCCAATTCTACACCAAGATGGTAATACTATGTATTCACAACAAGCTGCGTTCCAGCCTCAACAGAATGCAATGGTTGGCTCTACCCCGATGTTTACTCCTGCACAACAGCAATTAAATCAGCAAGTCGATCAAGCAACTTTTGCTATGGGAAACATGCAATTGAATAACAACAATATTAATAACGCTGCTATCCCTCCATATTCTCAAACTCAAATGCAAGGTCAACCTCAAGGAATATATCCAGTTCAACAACAACAAGGTTTATATCCAGGTGGCCAATTTTCTAATTCAAAACCAATGAACCAATTATATCCAATAGATCTGTTAACTGAATTGCCACCACCAATCCATGATTTGATTTTACCTCCTCCACCTCTAATGACCCCTCCAGAAAAAATGATTGTTCCATCCGATTTAGCCAACGCTTCCCCAGACTTTGTTAGATGTACATTAAATGCTATGCCAAAGACTAACAGTCTTTTAAAAAAATCTAAATTGCCATTAGCTATAGTAGTTAGGCCTTACCAACATTTACAAGACACCGTCGATTCTCCACCATTAACAGAAGATGGTGTTGTGGTCAGATGCCGTCGTTGTCGTGGTTATATGAATCCATTTGTTACCATGATCGAACAAGGTCGTAGATGGAGATGTAACTTCTGTCGTTTAGCTAATGACATTCCAATGCAATATAATCATTCCTATGATGGTAACCAGTTGAATCAATATGAACGTAATGAAATTAGATATGGGGTAATGGAATTTTTGGCTCCAAAAGAATACAGTGTTAGACAACCACCACCATCTACATATGCTTTTATCTTGGATGTCTCTCAAAATGCTATTAGAAATGGGTTATTGGCTACCACCACAAGGACTATTTTGGAATCTTTGGAGTTTTTACCAAACCATGATGGCAGAACTAGAATCTCTATATTATGTGTTGATAATGCTATCCATTACTTCAAGATCCCAAGAGACGACGAAGAAGGCCAAACTGTACAAATGATGGATGTTGCTGATATTGATGAACCATTCTTACCAAGACCAAACTCTATGATTGTTTCATTAACTGTATGTAGGAAAAATATTGAAAATTTGTTAAATAAGATTCCAGAAATCTTCCAGCACAACGTTATGAGCAAATTTGCTCTTGGCCCATCTTTGAAATCTGCATTCAATTTGATCCAAGGTACTGGTGGTAAAATCATTGTTGTTTCATCCACTTTACCAAACATCGGTACTGGCAAGTTGAATAAAAGAAATGATCAAGGTGTTGTGAACACTCCAAAGGAAACATCCCAACTATTATCTTGTCAAGATGGGTTCTATAAATCATTCCCTATTGATTGTTCAAAAGCTCAAGTCACTGTGGATGTGTTTTTGGCTAGCGAAGACTATATGGACGTTGCCACAATCTCTAATTTAGGTCGTTTCACTGGTGGTCAAACTCATTTCTATCCTGGTTTCTCTGCCACAAATTTCTCAGATGTTACTAAATTCACAAAAGAGTTTTCTAAGCATTTATCAATGGATATTTGTATGGAAACTGTCATGAGAGCTCGTGGTTCCATGGGTATTAGAACAATTGGTTTCTATGGACATTTTTTTAACAGATCATCTGATTTGTGTGCCTTCTCTACAATGCCTAGAGACCAATCTTATGTTATGGAGTTGAACATTGAAGAAAACCTGGTCACCGACTACTGTTATCTTCAAATTGCTGTATTATTGTCCTTAAATACGGCCCAAAGAAGAATTAGAATCATCACTCTTGCTATCCCAACTACCGATTCGTTAGCAGAAGTTTATGCCTCTGCAGACCAATTGGCTATTACAAATGTTTTTGCTCAAAAGGCCATTGCTAAAGCCTGGTCCTCTAGTCTGCAAGCTTCTCGTGAATTAATCAACAAGAGTGTTCAGGATATTCTTGGAACTTACAAGAAGGAAATCGTGGTCTCTAACACTGCAGGCGGTGCTCCATTAAGATTATGTGCTAACTTAAGAATGTTCCCATTATTAATGCATTCATTAACCAAACACACTGCTTTCAGGGCTGGAGTTTTACCTAGTGATCATAGAGCATCTGCATTAAATTTCTTGGAATCCGTCCCATTGCCATATTTTATTAAAAATATTTATTCTTGTGTTTACTCATTACATGATATGATTGATGAAGCCGGTTTACCAGATGAAAATGGTTCCATTGTATTACCCGAACCAATCAATGCTACATCCTCATTATTTGAAAGATATGGGTTATATTTAATTGACAATGGTACCGAGTTATTCTTATGGATAGGTGGTGACGCAGTCAATGAATTGGTGCAAGATGTCTTTGGTACAAACGATATTTTCCAAATTCCAACTGGTAAGAACGAAATTCCTGTAGTTGAAGGATCTGAATTCAACGAAAGAGTCAGAAATATTATTGCTAAAGTCAGAGAACACGATGATGTAATCACTTATCAATCATTGTATATTGTCAGAGGTGCATCGGTAAGTGAACCAGTTAATCATGCTTCTGCCAGAGAAATGACTTCACTAAGATTATGGGCTACTAGCACATTAGTAGAAGATAAGATCATGGGTTCTGAGAGTTATCGTGAATTTTTACAAACTGTCAAGTCAAAGATTACGAAATAAACCTATGTAGTATAATTTTTTTCCCTTCACCCTGTTTTTTTTTTACTTAATTATTTCATTTATTATTTCCAAATCATAAATCACTTGAACCATGTTTAATATCTATCATCAAGAGTAAAATATAATAAAATGAAACAGAAGTCATTATTTTTCTTTTAATTTCATCCTGTTTTTTTATACCCTTTAATCTTTGACTATTATATACTTACTTATATATAGGTAGCACTTACTTTGTATCATAATAAAAATAAATTACGTCTGTAACAGAAGTAATAGTGTCCGAAAATATTCTCTACATGTTGGTAAAGTAGAAATTATGGTGATATGGACACCTGGTAATATTTTTTCTAACAGCAAATGTCAAAAGCTTTTCTTCTCAACTACAGTAAATATAAAGTTCACCTTTAAAGAAATCTTACAATGTCTTAATCTGTATTTTTTATTTTTTTTTTCCACCAGAGGAAAGAAATACATTTTTGAGCAGTAAAAGAAGAAAGAGCAACTGGTTGAGATGATGATAGCTATATATTTTACAAAATATTACAGACATATATACATAAATACATACATAGGTATGTATACACAAATAACTTGATACCTAGTTGGTGTTAGATTAGGGAAATTGAACATAAATATAGAAGTATGGAACAACGTGTAATATCAAGGTCAGAACTATACAACAAAGAAGACAATAAATTAGAGACTAATGATAATATAATTGATTTCCCTCATGAAGAGTTAGAAATAGTAGATGTGGTGACAAATGAAGAAAAAAATGATATAGAAGATCCACACAAGGAAGATTTTGAATTCTTTCCACTTTTTGCTGATAATGGACTGACAAAAGTTACAATTGGAATAAATGAAAGGGTTAATGATATTTCTAAGATAGAAGAGTTAGAAGGGAAAACCAGGGACATTGTTGAATATGCCAAACAAGAAAGGAATACAGAATATTATTTCAGTCATTACACAAATAAAGAGATCAAACAGTTCGAAGAAGCTGCAATAAATGCTGGGACTTTACAAAAATATTCTTACCCAAGAACTTTATATGGAAAAAGAGATCGATACGTATTAGATATCAAAGAACATAATTCAAAGATAGATACAGAACAACTACGAACTAAAAAATTAAAGAGAAGAAGACCTAGTCAAAGGCAACGTCTTGCACGCAAATTAGGAAAGCAACATGAACAGGAAAGATTAGAATTAAAGTTATCGTTGAAGAAAAGATTCCGTAAAAGAGGTGGTAAAAAGAATAGAAAACCTAAATTGAATCCATTAGCTAATGCTGGCGCCACAACCACTGTCTCAACGTAACAGTAGTTGACCAATAATAACACTACTATATATGTATATGTATGTATGTATAGTTCTGGTTTACATGTAATTATGATAAAATAGATAAAGATTTTAGCATTGTTGACAAACTTGTGTTATTCCTAAGTTCTAAGTACTCATGCATAGTATCCTTTAAAATAGACTTATTCTTCAATAAATTCTTTCCAACTGGACCACCTCTATTAAACGATATTTCAAGCTCTTTTTTAAACAATTGTGATACTTTCATCCAATGAATCTCTTCTAAACTATGATTTGACGAATGAGAAGGAGAAGAGAAATTATTATTTATAAATATAATAGAAAGCAGGGTTTTTTGTGTCAAACTATCAATAGTTACCATAGATAACAAATCTTGTAAAACATTTAAAGATTCAACATTTGTAGTTACTCTCGATAAGGCTGATGGAAATTCTTTAACATTATTTATAGTTTTTATTAATATTTGAGAATTTGTAGTTATTAAAGATTCCATAAACTTATTGATAGAAAAATTGAAATCCTTTGGTGATAATAGATATAAAGATTGGGCTAATTTACAAATCAATTGATTAATTTCATCCAACTGTTGCCCCTTTTGTATTGGATGATTTAGATAATTACAATGTTGATATAGTGTATTTGACAAATTTCTGATCAATTGCCTTTGATTATTTTTAATCCAATCATTCTGTAAATTTTTGATTGTGGTCAATGAAATCAAATTAATATTTTTCCCCAAAGTTAACTGCAATTGATAATATAAAGAGGAAAGCTTTAGAAGTAAAAATGTCCTATTTTTATTATTACTGTTATTTTCTTCTTTTTCATTTTCTTTCTGTTTGTTGTTAGTTACAATAGAAGAGCCAGCACTCTTACTATTAGTTGTTAATTGTGGTGTTAATGTTTTTATCATGTTGAATATGTATAAATATAAAAGAGAGTCTCTCAATAGAGTAGATGTCTGATGGACTTTATTTAAAGTAGATTGTAACTTTTGAGACAATTCATATGGTTTATATACTTCATTATTCAATCTTTCATAAGACAATTCAACAAAATTTAAACTTGCCAATAGACCATTTGAAATGTTTTCACTGTTTTGTTTACTTTCATATATGTGATTAATTAAAATATTTGAATTCTTACTCAATACTCTTTCGTATAATTTATCAATTTCATTTAAATCGAAATTAATTTTTTTAATAGATGTATCTAAGTCAATTACATTATTAGAATTTTGTAATTCTTCACTGGTATCATTAGAACTACCCTTGTTTGTCATCAGCAACAAATCATTAGCAAATTTAACAGGGCTGAAAGGATCCTGTAAAACGTTATCAAAATCTTTAAGTTCATTCATGGCAAATTTATAAAAAACTTATCATGTATACTCTTTAATCATTCAATATTTCGTAGATAAATTAAATTATGTATAGTTTGCTGTAACTCAACTCATCTGATTTTCTCTTACTAAATCATTGACTTAAACATTATGCAAATAGTTTTTATAATGGCTGTTATCTATTGCATTACTTCTACTTTATAATAATAGTGAAAAGTTAAATATAAAAGAAAAAAAAAAAAAGAAGAAAAAGATATCAAGAAGGGTGAAAAGGAGTTAAAACTTTCATATATTTGATTCAATTCCAACACAAAGTGGGAGGAAAAAATAGCAGAGTGGAAGTTTATGCCACTACATCTATGTATCTTTCTTGTTTATCTATGTGTAAATAGTTAAAATGTCGCTTAATCTAAAAACCCATAACAATAATAACATCGATACTAACAGAAAATTTAACCATAACGGTTTCAATGATTTTTAGATCTATGAATAAATCTATATATATATATATATATATATATATGCATACAGATAAAATTTGCATACTACATGTACCTATACCAGTACTTATACATATGTATGCCATTCACATGTGTACTCTTATAATTTAACGTATTTCCATCTTGTTCAATACAAGTCTATCTAACAGTCTATTCCCACCAACTAACTACACCCATACCATCAGTTTGGCAACTACCCAATAATGCATATGGTGGCGTTCTATTTGTAGTTTCATCTTGTTCACCCATGTCATCATCTATTTCTTCATCTACCTTCGATGGATCCTTTGGCTTAATATCGATAAATATTTCTTTCTCCACCCTAAACCTAATCATTTCATTTATATCAAAATATAATTCGGTGTCTTCATCCATTTGCCATAGCCAAGCGGATTCATCAGGTTTATAGAAACAATTCTCAAACATCATACGTCGTGGGATAAAAATATCATTAAATAACCCACCCATAGATACTTGAATCCCATCGTTATTACATTTAGTGATCCACCCAGTCAAAACTTCACCAATAAACGGTTTGAACACTAACGCTCTAAATTCTACATTGATAAAGGATGCACCGTCACCAGGTTTGATTTGACCTTCGTCTATATCTAATATATCATATACAGTGATACATAGACCTATCTGAGGGATCACTTTGTTGGCATATTTGTTATTCAATTGATGTTTTACAGCTCTTAATGTGTCTTGATGAAATTGATCTGGAGCAATTCGTACAAGATCTTTAATATGTGATAATATGAACATTATTTAGATCTATACTATAATCTTAGTGCTTTTCTAAAGCTTTTGTTGAATCCTTTTTTTTATTGGATCAAATACGCTTAAAAACTTTTTTAGTATATACACACACTTTCACAAACTCATAGACTCACACAGTCATACACTTTTATTCAGACTATCCAGTCTCTACACAAATATGTTCAATACGGGTTCTATATTTCTTAATGCAGATCAACAATAGTTAACTTTAAGGAAAAAAAAAACATAAAAAAATACAATCGAATATTAAACATTGGCAGATCCCACAACCATCTGCACCTAATCCAGCCAAAAAAAAAAATTAAAAGCTTCTTTATTGTCATATTCAATACTTTCTATCACTGAAACTCTCTATCTCACTCATCTACATCTCTTTGATTTGCTCTAACAGAAGGGATCACTCTACCATGCCGTCTTACATGATATGAAAATTTCAAAAAAAGTAATATCTGCGACAAAAAATTTTTTTCCACTTTTTGCGATGACCCGTGATAAGTGATCTTTAAAGACACAATATTTGAAAGAATAGAAACACGATATAATAAATAATACCAGAACAACATATATGAATCATCACCTTCTATAGGAATGACGTGGTGTTCAAGCCTAAAGGTACAATTTTGTGAATAGTAAAATTATACAGAATATTCTGTGTTAGCATATACCCAACAACTTTCTAAAATATTCACGCTATTTTGTATTTTTCTTTCTTTCTTTATTTCTATTAACACTGAAAAAAGAAGAATCATAATTAATCACATAAATCAGACTTTCAAACATATTTAAACTTCTTAATTTTATATTCCAAAAACCATTGTGATTTTGTTTTATTTTATTTTTTTTGTATTTTAAACGTTGTTTATCAATCATACAACTACATTTAAAATATGTTTAAGAAGAAGAATACCCAAAAATTCGTTGTGGTTCACAGAGATCATGATGATCCAGACTATTATAATGATAACGAGGCAGAACATGTTTTTGTACCTGTCGATGATTTAAACAAAAAACATCAAAAAACCAAAAAGAAATCTTTTGCGTCTGCCTCTGAGGATAAAAATATTGCTTCCAATAAAATTGCTGTATCTCACGAACCTGGAAAGGCTGCATTATATGGGATTTCCTTTGACGATTCTAAGTATGATTATATGCAGCATTTAAAGCCAATTGGTCAGAATCCAAATGCCGTTTTTATCCCTGCTAAATTTGGTAGAAATAATAAAAATAATAAACAATACTTAAGACATCAACAAAATATTGAAGATGCAATTAGTGGATTTAAACCTGATTTAAACCCTGATTTAAGAGAAGTCTTAGAAGCTTTGGAAGATGAAGCTTATGTAGTCAATGATGATGTCAAAATGACTAAACGTGATGATAAAGGCAAGAGTTCCTCAACTGCTGAAAAATCCATCGAGAGTAATGAAGCAGATTATTTAGATGAAGAGGATGATATATTTGCTGAGTTATTGGAAGGAGGTGCAGCAGATGAAGATGAACAGGATTATTTATATGATAATGACGGATCCAATTTCTATCGTCAAGATGAATGGGATATTGAGGATGAAATGAATAATTATGAAAATGATCATTACTTAAATGAAGAAAATTCAGAGATCTTAGGCCAAGTCAATCAATTGGATGATTTACATATGATCGATTATCAAAATGATGTCAGAAGATTTCAAGAAGAACAAAAGAAAAATAAATATAAAGATTATGTTGAATCAGATAATGAGTTTTTATCAGAGGATGAAGATGGATTTGGAAATGGGATTAATGAAGAAAATGACACTTTGGGCGATCTACCTTCTATAAATAACAGAAAACTTAAGTCAGGTAAAAACAAACGTAAACAACGTCACAAGAAAGGTGCCATGTCTGACATATCTGGATTCTCTATGAGTTCCAGTGCAATTGCTAGAACGGAAACCATGACTGTGTTGGATGATAGGTATGATAACATTATTGATGGTTACGAAAACTACCAGGAAGAACAAGAAAAAGATGAAGAAAATTATAAACCATTTAATATGGCAGAAGAAAGGTCAGATTTCGAATCCATGTTAGATGATTTCTTAGATAATTATGAATTAGATATTAGTGGACGTAAACTGGTTAAAAAGGATCCAGAATTACAAAAGTATAAAGATGCAGCAGATAAAGTTTCTAAAGGCAAGTTATCAATGAAGAGAAATCGTGAAAAGCAACAACAACAAAATAAAGAAATAAACAGTATTTCAAATAGTTTAAGTAGTCTGAAATTTTAATTTTTGATAAATAGGCATATATGTATACACATCTACATACTTTTGATAATACCGTACTAATATTTATATATTATTAATTAACAAACATCAGGAGTGCATAAACCCTCTTTTGAATATCTATTTTTTATAAATTATTATTTAACTGTTCATTGCTAGTTGGAGTATATCTATATTTTTATATATTATATATGAATTCCTAAGGTATTAAGTGACAAAAAAATGTAAGATGTCAAAACAATTTTTATTTATGCCCATTTTAGTATCTTTTTCTTGAATTATAAGATTTTTTGGATCTTTGTTGTTGATATCTTTCATTATTACTATGTTCAGCTTTTCTTTTTAATGGATTTGCTATTGGTGCTTTAAATTCTGGAAATAGTTCTAAGTCTTGCTCCTTAATTAGTCTCTTCCAATCATAATTTTTTCTTAAATATTTATCCAATTGCCAATTTTTCCATACTTGTTTACCATAAATACTATTTTTTACCTTATCAGATTCCTTAACTAACGCAGCTGCAATTCTTTCTTTATACAATGTTAACTTACTAGTAAATTCCCATAGCTTGTCAACAATATGAGACCCATAGGCATTACATGACATATTAACCACATTTTTACAAAGAATATTTAGCAACTGTTTTCTTTTTATTGTGTCTACTCTTTTAACTTGTAGGACATGTTCCACTACATGCGAAAATATACCATGGTATGTCATCTGTAAAAATTTATCTTCAGGTAAATCTAACATACCCTCAATGGTGATTTCCAGAAATTTATCATCATAATCAATTAATTCTTCTAAGAATAAGGACCTTCTACGTTCTTCTGCTGTAGGCCAATCACCATCTCTTGTATTACCTAGAGTAGAGTCACTCAATTGTAAACAACTCTCTAAAATATTCTTCCTTTCTTCGTCATTTGGACCACTTCTATAGTATTTTTTTATTAACTGTTCTACTACTTGTTCTCTCAAATAATTATTTTCTCTGTTACTTGCATCTATAATACTTATAGCAAAATCCATATTAGAATTTAATATCATGTTTAATTCAGGAACTAAAGAGTTAAGGATCTCTTTAATCTCTTTACTCTTTAAAATTTTTAGTAAACTTTGAACTACAAATGCACCTGTGGTATCTCTCTTAGATAACTTTACAATACGATCTTTCATGTATAAATGATACAACCTTTCCACATATTTGATTCTAGCAAATTGAATGACATTTTCTAAGAAATGAGACCCAACTGCATCAGATAGCAAATATTCTACAAATGATTCTTCTTTAGGATCCCTTTCATCACCAACACAAAATGCAAGCCTCCAAAAAGAACGATCTCTATCAAAGATACCTTCAACTTGAATAATTAATTGAATCACTGGAGATGCAATCTTATCAACACACAATTCTCTAAATTTAGTAATTACAGTCATTGAAATATCATTACGTGATTCAACATGCTCTGTGAAATCTTTATATAAATCACTTAAAATATCGCGTAGTTGTAATTTAAAGGATTCCGGTGTCTGATATATTTTATTAAAATCTGAATTATCTCTTAAATCAACCATTTTACGTGCAATTTTTGATTTCTTGGAACGTAGAGTGGAATTGTTTTCAGTGGAGCTTGGCAACAATTTTGAAGATAGGATTAAAATTAAAAGACGTAAACTATGAGACGCATATTGATGAGTCATCATTTCTTTTAAATGTGGCTTAAATTCATTTAGCATAAATAGGAAGAGATTTTCCATTGATGGGACAACATTATCATCTTTATCATAATGTTCTAAATTATCATCAAAAGTCGGTGTCAGTAATTCTTTCTCCACTAATGCTGTACTTCTGACAAGTAACGTTTCCAGAACGTGAGATGCATATTTATGACATGCAAGGTTGAAAAAAAACCCATTGAATGTTTGAAATAAGAATTTTAATTGGGAATCGTCGCAATCAAGGATCAATCTTTCCATTAATTTAGAACATATCTGGGACGTAACCAGTTTCAATTCTTTCCCCTTAGCTTCTTCAATAATACTAGTAACAAATTGATGCTTCTCATCCATAGATTCGAATGCATCCACTGCTAACGTAGCTTCAGCCTGTTTAAAATATTCCAATTCTTCTCTATCCAAAACACCAAAAAATAAATTCGTAGCTGAACCAGCTGTGTCTAATTCTGTATTATTGTCGTGATAATCTACATTGACATCGTTTTCGGTGTTCGACAACGATTGTTGTGGAACAAACTCATCTTTTTTTTGTTTTTTTAACAGTTTTCTTCCTCTTGGTTTAGCCATTATTAATAAGTTGTATTTATTCTTTGTATTCGCCAAATTTAAACAGTGAAGAGACAAACTTCAATAGTTTAAGATCAGATAATATTGATATACAGATGCAGTTTGTATAAACAACACAACGGTTTCGTTTTATAGCTTCATTTTATCTGATCTCATCTCATCTCACCTCATCACTGTTCATTTAAACAAAAATTTTTCTTTCGCCTTAGAAAAATTGAAAGATTGAAAAAATAAAAAAAAAAAAAATTAAAAAAAATAAAAAAATAAAAAAAAAAACTAAAGTATATGATCTGTAAACAAATCGAGGTGACAATCGTAACCGAGTGTTAAGAGAAGAAGATCGATAGATATAGAATGAATGAAAGCAGTAGTCCTTGTATATTATCCATTAATACATCATATTAGAATTACTAAACTACCACAAGTGCTCATTTTAGTTTACAAAGTACATTTCTATGCAAATTTATGTACACATATATATATGAATGTCATTCTTTTTTTTGTTTTGCTTTTTTAAAAAGTAACGTAATATATGTATATATATAAACATACATAATAGTATTAATCATCGTGATCCCAATTTCCTGGTCTTGGACCTTGAGGCGGAATAGGACCACCTGCTTTTTTAGCCATAATGATTTGATCTACAGAAAGAACGGTACATGCGGCTTCTGTAGCAACATTGATGGCAAATTTCTTTGTAGCAAGCATATCATAAATTCCATCTTCTGTAATATCTTTAACTCCCCCAGCATACTCACCTTCTGTGTCAATACCTTTCAATAAGTTATCTTTATCATCATTTTCATTATGAGAAGCATATAAGTTTGGTAACACTTCATTCACATCTAAACCTGCAGTCTCTGCAAGAATCCTTGGTACTACTTCAAAGGCAAGTGCGAATTGTTTGATGGCTAATTGTAATAGACCAGGCGTACTTTCCCCATATTTAGTGATTCTTGATACTAATTCAATTTCTGTGGCACCAGCACCAGGTAATAATTTCCCACCATCCTTTTTCATCAAACCTTTAATTGCAGCAACACCATCATCAATAGCTCTTTCGATGTCATCTAAGTTGTTTTGTGTAGCACCTCTTAAGACAATCGTAGCTGTTCTACTGATTTCTTCATCCTTTTGTTTAAAAATAGTAACACGATCACCACCAATTTCCATATATTTAACAGTGTCGATAGTACCGATTTCCTCTGGCGTTGGGGCTCCTAATCTTGGTAGTGGAGTAGCACCACAGACACGACATATACGTCTTAATTCAAATTTACTTGGCACCTTCAATACAAGGATACCATATCTATTCAAATAATGTAAGGCTAATTCACCTACACCTGCACCTGCAACAATGCATTCAATACCCATATCTGCAATTTCTTTCATCATTGAATCGATTTGTTTTTCTTCACCCTTGGAGAAGTCTAACATCTCTTGGGCGTTATGTAAAAGTACTGTACCTTTAGTTTCAGTTGTGGCAATATCTAATGGACACGTGAAAACAGCCACCTTATGTTTCCTCTTCTCTAAAGATAACGATTTTATATGACCTTCAGGTTCACGATTAAAAACCATCCCCTTGACAACCGTGGAATCAGCCAGGCTACCACCCATAATTTTCACTACTCTAATAGAATCAACGTTGAAGAACGTAGTACCATCCTTTGGAATTACATGAGAAACAGCATCAGCAATTAAATCACTTAATAAATCTTCATATCCATATTGCTTAGAAGCAACAACAGGTTTGATAACTTTAATCAATTCTTTCTTATCGTTTTTATTTACGATTTCATCAACGACTAAATCATCCAATTCTTTTAAAACAAAATTCTTAGCCATATTATAGCCTTGTATAATCTCCACAGCAGAGAGTCCCATTGTAATCAATTTCTCGGAGACGTTCAATAACTCACCAGCAAGGATCATGACAAGATTAGTACCATCTCCCATATCAATCTTTTGTTGTTCAGTGGCCATGACTAACAATTTCACAGCTGGATGAACAATATCTAACTCCCGTAACATTGTGGCAGCACCATTAGTGATAAAGATTTTGCCTAAATGATTAACAATGATTTTATTTCTACCGCAGGGACCCATTGAGGTCAAACACATTTGGTGGATTTCACGAATAGCTGCAATTGATTTATTTATTTGACCATCAGCATTAGAGTAACTGTTGTAGCCTTGTTTAAACAACCCTGCATTAGGATTTTGTGGCAATTTTAAAGACATCTCTTCCTATTGTTTTATAATAATGTAGACTTAATTGAGAACACAACACAAAATAGATATGAACTGATCCAATTTTAACCTTTAACTAATTCTGTAAACTTGTATCTCGCAGACCAATCTATTATGTAATATTAAATTAACTTACTTCTTGGAGCATACACATACACACCCACATATACAGATATATTCCATCTCTCTTTTTCTTGTTTCCTGTTTCTTTACAAACAAAATCCATCGAAGTTTTTTTTATTCAATTTAGTTAAAAAAAATTTTTTTCATAAGGAAACTACCAAAATAGGAAATGATATCTGAAAAAGGAAACTGTGCAGTTATAACGATTCTAATGCCAAACCATCTTATCATTAGAACATATCACAAGTCATATTTAATTAAAGATGGACAATGTCCCTTATCCTTTGGTTTTATTTATTATCTGAATATTTAGATGTAAAAAAATGAAAAATATGTTTAGATAATGATATGTATATACACAGACAATGAACAATATGATATGATATTGCTAAGAGATAATGCAAAAAAGTCATTTATTGTGAAAATATCCAAAGGCTAATGGTCTGCCATGAGGTATAGAGCATGATGATAATCCCAAATATACAGATTGATAAGTCCAAAAGAAGAAATAGTTTGTTTGGATTCTGTTCTTCCTGTCGAGAGGCTTTAAAATGTAGGAGTGGCGGATGAATATAGATTAACGGTATACATGCCAATGATCCAACCAGGGACACAAATTTATCTAAGTCATTAGCACCAACCCATGCAATCGCTATTGTGACTATCACAACACCTGTCCTAAAATAATTTTTTAACCATTTGACACGTGGGTTATATTTCCCAGACAAAGATGAGGGAAATGTCCAATGTTCCAAGATTCTAATGGCAGGAAACATCTGTAAAGGTGTTGATAAAAGAATAGCTAGGGCGTATAACAGTTGAACTATTGCTGTATAATATGTATTCTGTGGAAAATTCAACAATACCACGGTCTCTACATTTGAACCAAATGCACAGTAACAAATTAGACCACACGATATGAAAATGATAGTGACTACTACCATAACACCAGATAAAGTTGATTGGAATTGGGCTGGACTCTTCATGGACTCCTGGATTGGGATCAACAATCCTATCCCTTCAAATGTAAAGATTGCAGTACCGATAAATAAAGACCATTGCGATTTATTGAACCACACCATTGCCTGTGATTGAATTCCATTGGTGATTACATAATAGCTTGAATAATAGTAAACGGAAATAAGTCCTAATAAGATAAATAAGTCTGCTATAAGTGCAGTTCCACTTAATTTAGCAATATTTCTAGTTAAAGCCAATGGGATGAAGATTAAAGCTTGCAACCATATATAAAAAGATAAACTTAGGGAGTTGGAACCGTTTGAGTTACTATCATTGCCATCGGTAAGATTAAATAATCCATCTATAACAACTTTCATATTTGTGGCAGTAAAAACAGTATACGCAGCAGAGAAGCCTACTTGTGATAGTGCAATAGATTGCAAAATCAATAACTTCATTTTATTACCATATAATTTTAACCCCATTTCACCATATCCATTCACACCAATTTTATCCTTGGTAATAATCAATAGGATGAAACAATAGTATGATAAAATTGCACAAAATAATAAACATAAAGAACTAAACCCCCAACCACCGTTATGGAATGCTCTTGGCAAGAAGAGGACACCTGTACCAACGAAAGATTTCAGTAGAAGTAAAATTGTCTTTAATGTTGACGCCTTATGTTTTGAAACTTTCTTAGTCCTGTTAACAGGATTAGATTTTGTGTTAGTGATCATAGGAATAATATATCTTTGTTTCAAATATGATGTTCTTTCATCTCTTGGTAACAGAGAAGAGCTTTCAGTTTCTGATTCAATAGCTTCTTCTAAGTCTTCAGGAGAGACATTAAAACGAGTATGAACGCCTAATCTTGTCTCAACTTCATCTTCCTCCTCCTCCTCCTCTTCTTCTTCTTCGTGTTCATTTTCACTCTCTGAAAGATCTTCCCCAGCAAAATGTGGGTATAAAGTTAGAAATTCTATAAAATTTCTTGTTATAAAGTTTGGTTTAACCTGAGACAAAGGCTTACCTCTTCTTTTGTGTATAATGAAAGATCTTCTAAACCCACCAGGAGCTCTGATTTCTTCATGTGTCATAATCAAAGGATTATTGAGATTCATATTTGTACTATTGTTGGAGTTATTAACAGAATTATTATTATTATTATGGTTATTGTTCATCGAACTTTGATCAATCGAGTGTGTTCTTGAATTCGGCATGAGTATCATATTATTGAAAAACTCTGAATTGCCTGATATAGCTGAAAAACTCATCGATCTTTTTCTATAGGAATTAAGGTTGGTTGTACCATTGTTTGTTAAATTATCACTGGTAACGTTGTTATTGTTATTGTTAATATTGGTATTGCTTGGTCTTGAAGATTGACTATTACAAGAATCTGGAATATTATTTATGTTATTGTTATTTAGAGTACTCACATTATTGTTATTATTATCCTGTACCCATTTATATAAATCTCTTGTGATATCACCACCAGGTGTTTGTAAACTGTTTTCAATATTATCATTCAAATGACGTGAAACGGCGTTTATGGTTTTTGGATCAGGGTTTTTGATATTGATTGACATTTTTTTACACAACAAGAACGGAAAATAGAATCCATTAACAATAAATTATCTATCACTGAATAAATAACGATGGTACTAATATTAATATTTATATTGATAATGATAGTAGATAAGAAAAAGCACACTCGGTCACTCTAATATCTTATGCCAATATTCATCGACTAGAATTAGCGGACACTAAAATTAAATAATATCCTAAAATAGATGATGATAATGACGATGCTGCTGTCGTTATTATTAAAGATAAAATTTCACTATTTAGGACAACCAATACACTAATGGACCAACCAATATGTCTAAACAGAATACCCTTGAATTCTTTGAAGTTGTACGCTACTACTAATAATAATCGTAATAATAACAATGATAACTACAATAATTAACTGTTAAAAAAAAAAAAAAAAAAAAGGAAAAAGAAAAGAAAAGAAAAGAAAAACAAAATTGAGTGTCTGGGCGGACATCACGTGCTTTAATGTCACGTGCTGTTGAGTCACGTGAGTTTCATCCAGACACCCAATTTTGTTTTTCTTTTCTTTTCTTTTTGTGAATAGTCAAACAGATCAAACACGAAGAAAAAAAAAGAATCAAGGCTATAGAAGTAAATCTCATCTTAATTGCTGTATCTATATTCTTTTGAACAGATAAAATACATTACAGATAGGAACAATTGGGTTTTTTTTAACATACATTTGGCTCAAGTGGGCTACTATTTGTTTGATTGATTATTTGTTTGTCTATTTGGTTTTATTTGCTTACAGACGTACTACTATTCTCCTTTGTTTGGTTTATTTTTGTTCATATTCTTCCATTGTTTTTCCACTTATACAGTTACTTCGAAATAGAATTCTATTTATTCGATATAATATCTCCTCCTAGTTTATTTAAATTCTCCTCTCCCTTCTGTTTCTCCTTCTCTACTTTTCTTCTCGATCTCTTCTTTATTTTATATCAGATTATCTGACATATATTAATCTAAAAAAAGAAAATATGGCAAGTCTAGAAGATTTAATTCCGACTGTAAATAAATTACAAGACGTTATCTATTCCTCAGGAGTAGACTCCTTAGATTTACCCATTTTGGCTGTGGTTAGTTCACAGTCTTCTGGTAAATCTTCTATCTTAGAGACTTTGGTCGGTAAAGATTTCTTACCAAGGGGTACAGGTATCGTTACTAGAAGACCTTTGGTATTACAATTAAATAATATTCCATCTAAAATTCCATCTTTCTCTTCCTCATCTTCTTCTCTTTATAATGAGTCAACCATTAAAAATATTAACTCTAACAGTAGCGGTAGTCATAGTAATAATAATAATAACAATAATAACGATAATAACGATAATAATAACTTTTCATCATTCTCCTCCTCTTTTTCTACTGGTGATGATGATGTTAAGAATGGTAAAGTTGAAGGTACTATCGAAGAATGGGGAGAGTTTTTACACAAACCTGGTCAGAAATTTTGTGATTTCGATGAAATTAGGAAAGAGATCGAATTTGAAACAACAAGAATAGCAGGCAAAAATAAAGGAATCAGTAAGATCCCTATAAATTTAAAGATTTTTTCCCCACATGTTCTCAATCTGACTTTGGTGGATTTACCAGGTATAACTAAAGTCCCCATAGGTGACCAGCCACATGATATCGAAAGACAAATTAATAATCTTATTCGAGACTATGTCGCTGCCCCTAACTGTTTGATTTTGGCAGTCACCCCAGCTAATGTGGATCTCGTCAACTCTGAATCCTTGAAGTTGGCTAAAGAAGTCGATCCAAGAGGCCAAAGAACTATCGGTGTTATTACTAAACTAGATCTAATGGATTCGGGGACCCATGCCTTAGATATTCTTTTGGGGAAAGTTTACCCTTTGAAATTAGGGTTTGTTGGTGTGGTTAATCGTTCACAACAGGATATCCAACTGAATGTCACTGTTAAAGAGTCTCTAGATAATGAAGACCATTATTTTAAAAGACATCCAATATATAGATCTATTGCAGATAAGTGTGGGACCCGTTATTTGGCGAAATTGTTGAATAAAACTTTGATGAACCACATTAAAGAAAAATTGCCAGAGATCAAGACCAAACTGAACAATTTAATTACACAGACCGAGAAGGATTTGATATCATATGGTGGTTCCCTATCAACTGATACTGAATCTATTAACTCAAGGGCTAACAAGGCGGGGATCATCTTACAATTAATAAACGTTTTTGCTAAAAATTTCATTTCCTCAATTGATGGTAATGTTATCGATATCAATACAAAGGAGCTTTGTGGTGGTGCAAGGATATATTATATCTATAATAATATATTTGGTAAATCTTTACAGACTTTGAATCCAACTTCCAATTTGACAACTTTGGATATAAAGACTGCCATAAGAAACTCTACAGGCCCTCGTGCTACTTTGTTTGTGCCAGAATTGGCGTTTGATCTTCTAGTTAAACCACAGATTAAATTATTATTGGATCCATCACGTCGTTGTGTTGAATTGGTATTCGAAGAATTGATGAAAATTTGTCATAATTCAAGCAATTCAGAATTGGCTAGATACCCTAATTTGCAAAACAGTTTAACTGATGTAGTTAGTGATTTATTGAGAGAAAGATTAGTCCCCACTTTTAATTATGTGGATTCCTTGATTGAGATCCATAGAGCATATATAAATACTAATCATCCAAGGTTTTTAAGTACTACAGAAGTAATGACCGATATTTTAAAACAGAGAGAATTGCAACAAAGAAAAAGTTTTCAAAAAAATTCGAATTTGAACCAAATAAGTAATAATAATAACAATACCGACAATCCCATCAATAATACTACTACTACTAATAATAATAATAATAATAACTTATTACAAAATAGAAATCAAACTTTAGATGATACTAATTTAATTAATGGAGTATCTTCATCTTTATTGAATCATTCACAATCTGATGTAAAGCCTGTTAATAGTCAAATTAATAAAGGCATTATCAATAAGGATACTTTTGATTATACCAATATGAAAAATATTATTAACACAGAAAAAAGTGATTTGTCTTCAAATTATAGTTCTACTCTCACGAATAATAATTCAGATAAGGAAACATTTTTAAATTATTTTTTTGGTAAAGATAAAGAGAGTGTGTCTAACAATAACAAAGGCAATAGTTTTACATCTAATATTAAATCCAAGAATGATATTGAATTTTCAAAACAAACTAAGGTGGAAGATGGTTCGATCTTTAATAATTTAACTCTTGACGATATTAATATTAATAATGTTAATAGTAGCGGAAATGCACCTAATGAATATATTATAAATGAAAATTCTTTTGATGATCCGTCTAGTCAACTAACTGAAAGAGAAGAATTAGAATGTGAATTAATTAGAAGATTAATTATATCATATTTTGATATTGTTAGAGAAATGATTCAAGATCAAGTTCCAAAGGCTATCATGTGTTTACTTGTAAACTATTGTAAAGAATCTATTCATAATAGGTTAGTTACTGAACTTTATAAAGATTCTATTATGGATGATTTGTTGAAAGAAGATGAAACTTTAACTCAGGAGAGAGCCAATTGTGAACATCTTTTACAAACTTATAAAAAAGCTGCTAGTCTTGTAAATAATATATTATAAGTGAATTTTCGTACCCTTTATTATTATTATTATTTTATTCAAAGTTATTAATCTCCCATCTTTTTTCTAATAGATATCTTCGATCTGTTTGGGGCTGCTTGTTATTCATGATTGAACATAATAATTTTATTTTAAGATCTTTCTTATCGATCTCTCCTCTATCTTTATATTTACACTTACAAATGTATATCCATGTATATACAACACTTTCCTCACTGAATAAAAAATAATTAGTATGATTGGCTATTAGTGTATAAATATTACAATATATAATGTATGATTCTAATCTCTAATATATGGTGTGTTATATAATTATTCTACTTAACGGATGCATGCATGCACATTTCTATTTTTCGATGATTCAGATTACTAGTGCCAGCATTAGTATTCTGAAAATAACATGGAAAGGAAAAAATAATTACAATTACAAAACGCTAAAATTGGGATATATTAGATAAAAGTCAAATATTCTATTTTTTAGGTACATGGATTGGGTTAGATATAGAGTTTGTTGAATATGCAGTTTCATTGAAGTTAACTTGACTACTACTGTTAGTTTTGTTCATGCTTGAATTATCAATAACGTTTAATAACTTAGAAGTTGAACCGATAGAACGATATTTTCCAGATCTCTCTCTTTCATATTTGGTCAATAATGGATGTTCTAAATCATACAAATTGGAGTTATTGTCAGTATTCCTGTGATCGTTATTATTATTACTATTGCTATTTTCGTTCCTTGCTTCAGTAATATCTGTAATAGAATTTATCGGTGTTATTCTAGATACTCTGGCCACCAGTAAACAACAAACAAAGATTAAGAACATGATAACACCGAACACCACCCCAAATGCAACAGCCACAATAGGTAAATTCAAATTATATTTCTCTTTATTGATCCAATCTAGAGATAATGGTCTATCAATTAAAAAGACGCATGCCTGTTGTGAGTTTTCTGTAGAACAACCTTTATTCAATATTCTAACTTCGTTACTTGTACCATTGCTAATCTTAATATATTGGTCAATCTGCGAATATCTTTTGCATTCCAATTTCTCATTAAGTAAAGTATTGAATTGATTATTACAATTCAAAATGTTTACCGTTTCATTACCTGGAATAATATGCAATTTAAAAAATTCCTCCAATTTAGAATAATTTGCATTAATATTTGAATGATCAAACGATGATAGACTTGGAACTAAGATAGAAAAGGATGTCTTTGAATTTTGGAAAATATTTTCAAAATTTGGTAATTTTTCCAATAGATTTAAAAATTTGTGGTTCCCAGAAGTTTTCAATAAATCTATTAATGATATTTTTAAATCTTTTGGATATTCTACATTATATGTTGGATGAATAACTCCTTGGTTGAAAATTATATCTGAATCCTTATAAATAATTAAATTATCTCGTAAAGAGCTGATATTTACTTCAATCTCAGACGGATTATTGCTACTATTACTATTATTAAAAGTTACAGATACCGGTACATGCATAAGGGTTGTAGTATTCATGATTGTTAAATCTTGTGATTCAGTGTAATATAAACCATTAATGATAAAATTTTGTAAAATTAATCGTGTGGCGGTAATATTGGCGTCAATATATTTATAATTAAGACCCATAGAATCCCAAGAATTGAAACATGGTAGAAACACTGTATAACCCTCATGATTTGGTTTCAATTCTAAATAATTCAATTTTCTTAGGAATGAGATAGATTTGGAACATGTATCTAGACTTGGAGGTAAAGAAAAAATTAAGTCATTTGGTAATGATAGATCATTGTCTATGATGTATATTGATGTATTGCCAATCTTATATGGTTTAGAATATAATATATGGAATTTATCATTTATTGTGTAACCTTCATCAGATTTAGTAATTTTCAATTTTTGACAGTTCCCACCAAGTTTTTTATTTGCAGAACAAAATGATGAATTATAGAATCTGTTATAAACCTCCTTTTTGCTTAAAGTTGGGAAATCTCTTTCTAATAATATTTCTGTCTCAGTGAAATGGTATAACAGTGTAGACTTTGTAAATTCAATCTCATCATTCAAGGATGCTTGTGGTAAGAAGATCGTAATTGGCATATTGTTATTTTTATTGAGAATGAACTTCTCTAACCCTCTAAAATAAATCTCTCTGACGAATCCAGAGCAATTTAAACCATGTAAATATTTCTCTGCATTAAAAGTTATCGATGAGTTTAAAAAATCAATATCATCGAAAAAATGGGCTATTCCAGAGTTGAACCTCTGGTTAGATAATTGAGTAATGGATTTATCTTTATGATTTAGGATTAATTGATGACCTTTCTCTTGGTTTTCTATATGTAGCAGTTTATTGTTTTTGTTATGCGTGACAAGATCAACAGACCCACCTATTATTTGATCAATAATAAGATTATTGAACAGAAACTCAATGTCTTTATACCAATTATTTTGTATCAAGGGATCCAAACCATCCAATTTATTGTATCTATTCAACAAATAATTTAATTCTATAGAGTTAAAATGTGATTCAAAACTAAAATCTGAAGGAATCAATATAGTTTTATTATATAATAAGGAGTCCGAATCGTATTTAGAAAGTAAGATTTGTAAATTTTGATTAAAATGGTGGTACGATAGATCATTTGTACGATTCTCGACTTTATCAATTAGATGGGACAGGTCTGGGGCATCAGATATATATTTTGAGATACCATGAAGGACTGCATTTTGCATGTTTGGAATTAGGTCAGGTTCCACTATCCGTATATTATTGTTAATAACAAAAGTATTTGCTTGGAAGCCTGTGTTGCTTAATACGAAGGGGAATTTGACATGATTATTTATTATGATTGTGGAGTTTATCAATTGGTCTGTGGTAATAACAGACTTATGAACCAAATAATTCTGAATATCGAAATCAGATAACAGATCCAAGTTTTTAATTATATCATCTTCTTTTGTTGATATCCAATCACCAACGAACGCAGAATTTATTGGAGCAAAAAGGGTAAAATTGTGTAATTCATTGAGATATGGTATAAGTTTCTTTTTTTGTAATATCCTAACAAATATTGAAAACGAAACATTTTGAGATAACAAATCCACTACAGTGGTAAACTTACCCAGATGATGGGCATTGACATTTTTAATTAATCTATTCTTTATATCACTCACATTTTTATCGTTTACTCCCTGTAAAGCAACTATTGAATTACAAAGAAATAACTGTATGAAGAAGAACAGGTAGATGAGGACTTTCATATGTTGAGTCATTGATACCATATTTCTATATAATATACTTAGTGGTCGTGCACCATCACCAATTCGGAAAACTAACCAAGTCTGGTGCAAGAATAACAAGTGACTAGACGGTAAGATTAACTAATATTCCAATGTTGTTGACACTAGTGAACATTATAGCAATTATGGTTTGTCAAATCGTTATTTTGGTGATTAATCAGATAGCAGGTCAAAAAAAAAATTGGCTACACATGATGACTACTATTGTTACAACAGGCATAGAAGGTTTTAAAAGATAACAGATAACTTAAAAAAAAAAAATAAAGAAAAAGAAAAGAAATTAAAATACAGTAAAATAAATGTAACATTCTTCTTTTCCTATAAGAGCAAATTTTTTTTGAGAATGTTCCATCAAAAGAAAAACAGAAAAAAACCAAATTCTTTCAAACTCGACGGCGTATTTTTGAAATCAAGAATGCTTAGGGCTTCCTAATATTTTTCAACCGTTTTTCCATTTTTTCGTTAGGGCTTCCCAGTTTTTTATTTTTATTTTCGTTTATGAAAAAAATTTTTTTTTTTTTTTAATCGTTGATCGAAAGCACTCGTGTTTCTGGAAATAAAAGAATGATATAAAGAAAACACATGTTACAATCGTGTTCACAACAACCGACTCACATCGCTACCAGAGATCCCTAGAAGGTTACGATCTTACGTTTAGTTGGAAGATAAAATAGGTAGCCATACGAATCAGCATTTAGAACCTGAGTTGGGATCTTTTTTTTTGTTCCAACTCTGACGTGGGGTTTGGAAGCAGTGACTTGGTATCAAGTCCTAGTAGACCGACTTTAAACCGAGGTGAATCCCTCATAGAATTGTTATAGATTGAATTGCAGATTATAGTTGCATATTGCACAGCTTAATACCATAGGTGGCGTGGGAGTTTTGCACTATTCATAATAGCACGACACTCATTTAATAATGTTAAATTTAATCGTTCCGCAACACCGTGAGCTTGGGAATCACCTGCATCGGTATAAACAATTTGAATACCGTTTTCAGAAAGAAAAGTTTTCACTGCAGAGTTGGTGTACTCTGTTCCCCGGTCAAACTGGAATTTTAATATGGAGGTATTGAATTGTCGCTCAATAGTCGCAATAAAGGACTTGAGGACATGTAAGATCGTTGCATCATCTTTTCTTTTTAGTAAATAAGTCCACTTAAACTTAGATGCTTCATCAGTGAACGATATAAACCATTCAGGTTTTGTAGCCACAATTACTGGTCCAAACAGGTCAGAGTGAATATATTGAAATGGTTTGAACACCTGCTGGTATTGTAGACGTGAACCAACAATATGTGGTCTTTTCCTGCTTTTTCTTTTGAGACAGTCCTGACACTGAAAGTTGTTAAGGTTGGACCAATCAACTTCATCTAGAGAGAGATGAAGGTCTTATTTTGATGGATGTATAGATTGATTGAACATTAACGTGACCCAAATGCGATGAATCAGATCTAAAGGAAATTTAGTTTTTAATGCATTTACGGATTTACGATTTGCAGTAGATGGAAATACAATATAATGATTGGATAACCAATGTATACCATTGTAGGTGTTAATGTTTGCTGTAACATCACCATTAGCATCTTCAATGGTGTTGAGACGCTCGTTTAAGAACAGATGGTGAGAATGGAGATCACTAGTAGATGAAATGGTATGATCAATTGTGGGTGTGTAAAAGGCATGAATTTTTATTTGTCTGCCATTTAATGTTTTTAAAATTAAATCACCCTCTTGATCGTATGGGATATCCATGTTGGAGCATGAGGTTATTTGAACAGATTCAGGATGAGAGTCACGAAGATTGTGCAACATCTCTTTATGTTTTACAAGGGTAATCGTAGTACCAGAATCTAGCATCATATAATATGCAGGATTTAGTGAAGTTGAAATAGGCCTAAGTAAGGTTGGATGGACTGGGTTATTTTGTTGAGGAGTAGAGGTGCTATTTGAATGGGTCTTAACTTGGCTAACCTTCTTGGAACGAGCTTTGGTGGATTTGGCTTTTGCTTTAGTGGAAAAAGAGACTGTAGTGGGTTTAACAGTTGAAGTGGTCAATGAGTTGTTCGTTTGCTTGGTGGGTAGGGATTGAATTTGGTGAACGCTGTTTTTTCGCGAAAGATTGAGGATTTGAGAAAAAATTTAGATTTGAGATTTTGGAGACTTGATGATAGTATTAATATTCCCGCTTACTAGAAGAGAAGATATCATTGATCGTATAGAGGTTATCACTCTTAAAGATGTGTTTAGAAATGGATTCATAAGTGCCCGTTAACGTATCAAGGATAGTTTGTTTTAAGAGGAACTCATGAGTTTAAAGATCCATTAGATATAGCTGATCAATTAAGTTATGAAGATAACTGGTAAATTGAAAAGCTGGGTAGCCACCATTATATTTTAAAGATCTAATGGTGTTGATAATAGTATTGACATTACTATGTTCAACATCGTATGCCATTGCTTTTGACGTATTACATCGTAGGGATGCATTTGTTTTTGGAAGCATTCTTGTATCCAATCTGGATAACTGCTCTGGGGAATAAGAGTACAAAACAAATGTATTAGACTTTGAGATTTTTCTGGCGTTGGATCTTTGACAGTGCAATTATGTAAGTCAGGAAACAAATCTTTCAAGCCCAAATCAGTCAAGTGTTTTATTAAAGAGTGAACCCAGGAGTTTAATAGACCAATACTAGAGTTGTAAAATAGGTTAGTTGGAATATATGGGCTATTTATATAACTAGGAGTACTAGTTTGTTCAGACAGAATGTTTACCATATTGAGAAATAACATTATTAGCTATTTGATGATTGTTGGTTAATAATGTCATATCTAGCAACAAAGGGACATAATATTACGATCAAGTTATTGAGTTTTTAGTAGAATATATGTGGCCATCCTGGTACAAGACTCATACGACACTTGTTCATAATATACTTTATAATCTTTTTGTGACAACATGCTCTGGATTGTTTCAATCCTTAGGGTAATTTTTTTAACTTACGTACTATGTTTTGTAGTCCTAAGTCTATTTATTTTTAGAACACCCTGTTTCAGCAGTATCCAATATATTAAATATATACAGATCTTAATTTTTAATGATAATTGTTAATTATTCAGAAGTGTATCCCCTTCTCAGTAGCACCATTTTGTGTTTCACATTTTGTATTTAAAGTTTTTTACAGTAATGGTAATTTTTTTTTCTTTAAATTGTTAAATCTAAAATAAAATATATATATTGAACTATTCGAAAAATCACCCAAGAAATGATAGACACCATTTTGAAAACACTAATTGTATTTAACAATAAGTTTACTGAATATTGGAATTAATGAATTTTGTAAGATATTAATTAGATAACTTCCTCCTTTATTGTTTCTCTTAAAATGGAAAAATAAACTAAAATATTCAATCAAAATAAGACAGAATGTGGTGTAATAGAAATTTTTCAAAGCTTTGTTAACAAACTGTATACAAAAAAAAAACTTTGAAACTATCCTTGATATAAATCATGTTTAATGGGATTTAAAAGAAGAATTTGAAATGCATGTGCAGTTACGAAAGGAAAACCATTCATTTAATATGTGTAAACCAAATATAGCAAAGGTAATTCCATTTTAAGATATAAAGATTCTTAGGATTTTTTTTTATATGTTATCAAAAGAGGACGTAGTTAGGCTAAATAATAGACAATGAATCTATAAAGAACAATAAGAATTACTTTCCTAAAGTTTTATGTGTTTATGCATGACTTATTTTAAATAGAAAATGTTGACATAGAATGTTCTATGATAAAATAGATAGAACAATAAGATTTTAGCAGACACTAAACGATAAATTGTTGAGTAATAATTGTTGAGAGGTCACCAAAAGTTGTTGAGTTTGTTTATTAAATATCTTACTGTTCGTAGAGGAAAATGGCTGAATGTTAACATATATAAAGCCAAGGATTTCATCATACATTATTTTTATCTTATTTACAATCTTTGTATATTATTATTTCTATGTTGTATATAGAGAAAGAAAGTGAAGAACTTTATTATAATTTTGCATACTAAATCTGTTTAATATAATATTGAGAATGTTTACTATATATCCAATGAATAAAGGCGCTCATTCTCAACAGAAAACAATAAATATATATATATAGTCTTATCGTCTGATATTTAAATAAATTTAAATATATATATATATATATATGTGCGTGTGTAAGCATCTATGGAGTTGAATAAAATGAATTAATAAGTCTTTGATTAAACAAATGATCTATCTAATTATATTGCATATAACGTGAAGTAGAACTAAATTTTTTGTAACCATTAATAACTTTATCCACAGCTTTTAAGAAATCCTTTTCCGTGGCTACTTTCCTTCTTGCACGAATAGCAAACATCCCAGCCTCAGTACAAACAGATCTTAATTCAGCACCAGTGGTATTTGGACATAACCTGGATATAAGCTCCCATCTTATACCACGCTCCACGCTCATAGATTTAGAATGGATACGGAAAATGTTTGCTCGTCCTTCTAAATCAGGTAAAGAGAATTCTACTTTACGATCAATTCTACCTGGTCTCAATAGGGCTGGATCTAATGTGTTTGGCCTATTAGTAGCAAACATTACTTTAATATTACCACGAGGATCAAACCCATCCAACTGTGTGATTAATTCTAACATAGTTCTTTGAACTTCGTTGTCACCACCTGCACCATCATCAAAACGTGCTCCACCTATAGCATCGATTTCATCAAAGAATATAATACATGCTTTCTTGGTTCTTGCCATCTCAAACAATTCTCTAACCATACGTGCACCTTCACCAACATATTTTTGTACCAATTCAGAACCAATAACTCTGATAAATGTGGCATCTGTCCTGTTGGCTACAGCCCTAGCACATAAGGTCTTACCTGTCCCTGGTGGCCCGTATAATAATATACCCTTCGGTGGGTCAATACCTAATGTAGCAAATCTTTCTGGAGAAAGTAATGGCAATTCTACAACTTCTCTTAACTTTTCAATTTGTTCTTTACAACCACCAACGTCACTGTATGTCACATCTGGTTTTTCTTCCACTGTCATCATTGTTACAGTTGGATCGATTCTTGGTGGTAGGGGTAATTCAATATGGTATTTAGATCTATCCACACCAACTCTCATCCCTTCTTCAATATCTGTTGGAGATACACGTTCGCCCAAACCAACAACAAACTTAGCAATTTGTTTCAAATTAATAACATATTTAGCTTCCTCATCATCTTCCTCATCATTAGCAGATGGTACATTACTACTAGTATTATTAGGTTGACTATTCTCATTTCCCTGATTTATACTATTAGTTGTGTTACCGTTATTATTATCTCCACTATTCCCCTTTATAATTTTTGTACAACGTGCAACTTGCAAAGGATGTTCCTCACTCAATCTTTGTCTATCACCCATTATGTCCCATAAATGAGATGGTGCTAACCCAGTATCACTCTCTTTGACGCCACCTTTCTCTTTGATTCTTGCCTCAATATCTTTTAAATCCTTTTCAATGGCTTTCAATTTACTTGCATATGGTGCAGCACCATAAGTTTTTAACACTTGAATGTCACCTTCCGTCAAAGGGACCATTTCATCCTTTTTCTTGTTATTTTGCTCTGTTTCATCTTCGATTGGTGCTTTATACTTTTCCCAGTCTTCCTTTGGTGGCATCGTTAATTAGTTATTTTTTTTGTTTATCTTAGCAGTTTAAGTTTAAATTTTTATTATTTGTGTTATATAGTTTGTACGTTCACCTTATCAATTATTTAATTAATGCAATAAGGATAAATAATGCTACTTGGCATGCAACTTTTCCAATATAATATTTTAAACAATTATACACAAGTATTTTATGATTCACTTTGTTGTTTGTACAAGATAATCGTATAATAGATAGTGGACGAATGTGACTTCATAAAAACACTCATCATAAAAGATTGTTTTCATCTAACAAATACTATAACCTTTCCATATCCTTGAGTTTCTTCAAAATTTTCAGTTTTCTTTATTCTGCAGTTTTTGCCACCATCCAAATTAATCAAAGGTTATGGGCGAAATGAAAAGGGAAAGAAAAGAAAAAAAATCACAAAGAAATGAAAAAAAATAAAACCCTAGGTAACAAGCCCTAAACCAACCCTAACTTACCTGATAGCGTTGTACAAAATTGAGGAATTGGGATTCAGTAATGACAAGAATACTTAATCGGGATCCAGTAACTAGTTCACTTGAACTCAAGGTTAGTGTTTCAGTTTTAAAAGTTTGTCATGGTGACATAATTGGTTTCATGTTCTGCACTAACTTTTCATTTCTTTTATGATAATATACAGTAATACATAAGGTGCAGACAGTATATATATATAGAGGGGAGAGAGAGAAAGAGGATGTACATATGTATGAACATGTCTGATTACACTTTTAAAATGGGCTAATAACATACAATAGGAACTGCTGCATCCTCATTTAGTTATGGTCTGTACTTTTTGTTCTAGGTGGGTGGCGCTATTATCTAAAGATTTTAAGGCATCTAAGTGGATATTTAGCAATTTCACTAATTGTGCATTGTCATCTTGATTACTAGTATTAATGTTAGTTACTTTGTTAAATGTATTGCTAACATCATTAATTTCTTTAATTAATGAAGAAAGGTTCAAAGATAACGAATTCAAATTTTCATCAAGCAATTCTGCTGTTTGATAAGCTTGCTGTCTCTTTTGATCATTATTATTACCATTGACATTAGTCGATGTATTACTTGTTCCAGTGGATAATATATCTACTAATAAGGCCTCCGTCTTCTTTTCATAATTATTAAGGAAATTCTCTAATTCATCTTGTTGTCTTTCAATATATTGTAACGATTGATCTATCTTATTTTGAGTTTGTTCTGTAGCCAGCGAACTCATATATAATTCATTGATTTGTTCCCCGCCTTTCACAAGTAATTCATCCCATTCGTTGATCTTTTTAGAATACGCTTCAAAATGATTAGCAGAATTGGTTAATTGATTTGTCCATCTAGTAATTATGTCATCTAAGGTCTTATTATCTAATGATACTGGTTTCATTTCAACTGTTTTTGGATTCAAAGTTTTATTAGCATTTGTTGTAGTACTAGAAGTAGTGTCAGTTTTCTTATCACTATTAGCAGTAGTTGAAGTGGTATTCTTGTTGTCTTCTGTATCTTTTTTAGCTCCAAAGGAAAACCCGGTCTTTGTGGCGGTGGAACTAGGATCTTCCTTTTTAGCACCAAATGAGAACCCAGTCTTTACAGGTTCAGTGGTCTTCTTCTCAGCAGCTTCATCTTTCTTTGCTCCAAAGGAAAATTCCGAAGATTTGACACTGTCGGTCTTCTTTTCATCTTCAGTTGCTGGCTTAGTGAAACCAAAGGATAACGATGGCTTAGCAGATGTTTTAGAATCAGAATTTCCAGTCATGGAGAATAATGGTTTCTTTTCTTCTATTGTGCTTTTAGTAACACTATCATCTGTTTTCTTTAAAACATTTTCAAAGGAAAAACTACCAGATGGTTTATCAGTTTTTGTAGACTCATCTTTCTTATTGGAATCTGCACCAGCACTAGTTGTAGTAGTAGGGATTGTAGTATTAGCAGTTGTCTTACCAAAACTGAATGTTGACTTAGTTGGTTCGTCTGTCTTTTTTTCTTCTGTCTTTGAAACTCCACTAAAGGAAAATCCTGTCTTACCAGTTTCATTTGGTTTATTAGTAGATGATGTTGATCCTCCAAAACTGAAAGTTGGCTTGTTTTCCTCTTTTGAATCATTTTTTTTGGTATCAATAGACGTATTCACAGAAGCGTTGCCACCAAAACTGAATGCTGGTTTAGCAGGATCATCCTTCTTTTCCATCTGTGTAGTAGATGAAGTGCCAAAACTAAAAGCTGGTTTAGCAGATTCCTTTTTCTCTGTTGTAGAGGTAGAACTACTTGCACCAAAACTGAAAGCCGGTTTAGAAGAATCATTCTTTTTCTCATCTTGAGTAGTAGTTGAAGCCCCAAAACTGAAAGCTGGCTTAGCAGATTCCTTTTTCTCTGTTGTAGAAGCAGAATTAGTTGTACCAAAACTAAAGTCTGGTTTAGATGTATCAGTTGATGTATTATTTGTAGCAGCACCAAAACTAAACGTAGACTTAGAACTGTCAGTGGCAGCTGTTGTCGCAGTAGTATTGATTTTGTTATCTGCAGTTGCACATGTGAGAGCAGAGGCACCAAATAATGGTTTTAATTGTGTTGAGTTGGTTGAATTTGAAGTGGAAGTATTTCCAAACAAAGATCCAGTTTTAGTACCAAAAGTAGATGTTGTGTTTGTAGCTATGTTAGAACTTGTAGCTGGTGCAGTTTTTGATAGGTTACCAAACAAATTACTACTAGATGTGTTGGAAGCATTATTATTATTATTAGTGGTACCAAATCCACCAAACGATGGGGTAGCGGAAGTAGTGGAAGTAGCACTAGCAATAGTGCTTGCATTATTGAGATTGTTTGTAGCAGTGTTTGTTCCAAAGCCACCAAATGCCGGTTTATTAGCAGTTGAATTAGAACCAAACAAAGATGTGCTATTTGAGGTACTGCCAAAAGTAGATGCTCCAGCAGTGGAATTATTTGTGTTATTGTTATTGTTACCAACAGCACTACCACCAAATAAGGATGTAGTACTACCACCATTATTTGTGGTAGTGGATCCAAATGGAGAAGGGTTAGAAGTTCCTGCATTGGCATTATTTTGGGTATTTAGAGAACCAAAAGGAGATTGGTTTGCCGTACCAGATGCAGCATTAGATCCAAATATATTATTTCCAGTAGTAGTAGTAGTAGCAGCAGCAGCACTGTTATTGGTTGTATTGTTCATTCCAGTACCAAAAATACTTCCGGCAGCAGTGTTTGAATTGTTAGCATTGTTGCCAAAACCACTGAATGCAGAATTATTGTTTGTATTATTAGTATTGCCAAATGCACCAAATCCAGTAGATGTAGTACTAAATGGTGAATTGGTATTATTATTGTTGTTATTATTGTTTCCAAATGCTGAGCCAAATGCTGAACCACTACTGGTACTGCTATTATTATTGTTGGATCCAAATGCAGATGAAGAAAACATTTCACAAAAAAAATATAAAAAAACTAATTAATGGGGTGTTCCTATATATCTATTTATACTAATAGGTATGTTCTAGGATAATTGTTTTCTTTTTGAATAATCAATGTAGTATTATCAATAAAAGTAGCAATAAAAGATAAAATTAAAAAAATGAATTCTTTGTAGATAATAACAATATATATAATGTACTCTTGTTGGTAATACTTTATTCAATGATATAATATATTATAAAACTAGGAAAATAGAATTGGATGGGATCGTTCTCTCTCTTAATGAATCTCGAACCCTAAATTCTGGATGTCTATAACTTTGTTCATCTTTGAGTCTTCAAATGTTCAAGTTTCTTTTTTGTATTTTTATTTTTATTTTTATTTTTTAAGTTTTTTCAAAATTCCTTTTGACTTCATTACTTAGTTCGAAAATACATAACAGAAAATCATCGAGCAGTAGCAAAACTATCTAGAATTACGTTAAATATTAGTCTCTACTGGTTTTAGTTTATTAACTTTGAACAAAATAAAAAAAGTCATACTACATATACATAAATAACTGTAACGTTGCATTAATATATGTACTATTAAATAAATACTAATATATAAGTTAAAGTCTGATAACTATTTTAAATCTCCTTGTTATTTCTGCTACCGTTGAGATTCGTCAGACTGCTGTATATTCAGATGTTTTTTGTTTCTTATTTTTTGTAAATGATCCAACACTTGGTCATATGCTGCACTTATAGCTTCATCCTCCTGGCTGTTAATGAATTTATCAAATTTGTCTGGATCTTGTGGGATAATATCACTCAATTTTGCATCTACTTCAGTAGGCGAAGCAGCATTATCAACCTTATTAAAGATCTTTGCTGTTTTATCATGAGATCGATTTGAATTTTTAAAAATGTGATGGAAATGATATCCATGTTTATGCAATTCATCAATGACACCAATGACAGTATTTATATCACTTTTCAATAAGAAATCTTTGATTCGGTCACTATCCATTGATTTGGCTGCCGTAGTCAATGCAATCTTCTGCTCGTTGGTGATATCATGAGGTATCTCAGTATACATAGTACTTCTCTCCTTATCACTTGAATTATTAGATGTGGAATTATTTACATTAGGTAGTGTAATTTTAGGTGCCACTAATTCAGATGGCGTCTCATCTGTAAAATCTACAGTATCATCTGCACTATTAAAAGTCTTTTCAATATTTTCACTTCCAAATGGCAACAACACTGAATGACCAGTTTTACCAAACGTGCTGGAAGATAAAACAGATGTCCTATTCTCAAGTAAAGAGATATCAGAAGCATTCTTTTCATCATTATTTGTGCTTTTATTAGCCAAATTTCCCGAACTTGAGTCGGTGGCTATTTTATAGTGTCTTTGTTTTAATAATTTCAGACCTTTTTCCAAACTTGCGTCTATGATACATAATCTAATTAAAGTTTCTTTTCCCTCTAAATTCAATTCACCCTGAAGTCTGATTAAAAATAAATCCATAACAACTTTTTGAATCTTTTCACGGCCTTTGGTAACTTTTTGGATAAATTCAGAAACCATCTTATTGTAATCTTCTCTATTCTTATGAGACCAGTCCTCAGTTAATAAAGTGGTTAGTTCATCTTGTATACTCTGTAACTGTTGTGAATCATCATCTTTATTAGCTCCTTTGTTACCATTAATAAAATTTGGTTTACTTGCCTCATTACTTTCTTTCATTCTAGCTAATTCACTCTGGATATTTCTCATTGCATATAATGACAACTGCTCCTTAATGTTATCAGGAACATAGGCCCAATCAAGATCGATGGTAATTAATGAAGAACTTTTCTTAACTGCTTCAGTCAAAGCTTTACATGATGCAAGATCCAACTCAGTACCTATCAAAGATATATGATTTAATTTTCTGCACAATGGTAACGCTTCAAATAATGTAACCATAGCAGTTCTTCCTAATTTGTCATTATCCAAATGTAATCTAACTAAATTTACAAAAACAGGTAAACAATCAACTAAGGTCGGTAAGCAGTATGGAAAAATCTTTGGATTATTTGAAAGATCCAAATACTTCAAATTCTCCGAATAACACATTATACTCAGTAACTTTAAAAATTCATTACTCTCACTTGTATCATTTTCCTTCACTTCTATATTTGTACCATTCAATGACAAATACTTGAAAACGTTCTTTTCACCTTTATTATTGATCTTATCCCATAATGCATCACAGAATGGTGATAATTTACCTTGTAAATCATTAAAACCAATATCCAACCCAGTAACTTTAGAATGGACTATCCACTGAGCCAGGATAGCACATTGTTGGTTAGACAATTCATTATATGCCAGACCTAATCTAGTAGAATTCACACAGGCTATTTCAATAAAAGTTTTGAAGTGAGTTAAAGACATCTTGGCACCAGCCAAAACAATTTCATCTATACCATCTCGAAATGCGATAGCAGCTGTCAATAAATCCCAATCCATATCAGATCTGTCTTCCATTCTACATTCCATTCTTGGTAATACATTCTTTAAAGATGACTTTGATGGTTTTTGTACATTCGTTTTAATATTTGGTACCATTGTCAAATCCAATGCACTAAGGGATTTACATTTAGATACAAATTGTGCCAGAATTTTCCAACCTTCTTCATCTAATGGTGTGTTTCTTAAGGACAACTTTTCAAAAGATGTTTTGTGAATCAAAGAACTTAAAATGATTCTTAGCATCTCAGCAGTCAAATGAACACCATCTAAAGTAATACATAGAATGGGAACCACACCAATAAAATCACTGAATGAAAGGACTTCCACCATTGAAGGACGTGGGTTACGCAATTGTAATGAGGAGATTGGGTCTGTGGAGCCTGGCTTTAGTTGTTTCAAAGTTGCTGGAATAGGTAAAATTTCCCTTAAATGACAACATCTTGTATATACAATGTCATGGGGTATTTTCAAATCTGGTGGAGGAAAAATAGATTCCTTATCTGGATCAATATCGTTAGACAATTGAGACGTATGAGACAACAGTGAATCTAAAGAATTAGAGGATGATAAGTTATTAGAAGACCGCCTACTAACCATTGGTTTATCAATAGTAAAGTGAGATGCACTTTGACTAACAACAACTTCTTCTTCATTATTGGTGATAGTACGACATAATTCATTAGGCGCTGCCTGTCCTCTAGCTTCTGCTGCTGCCTCTGCTGCAGCCAATTTAACTGACCTCATTTGAGGATCTGTATCATCCATGGAAGCTTTCCCACGATCTTCTAAATCATTATTGTCATTGTTATTAATTGGTTCCTCAATATCCTCCTCTGGAACTAATAGTTTCAATTGACCAGATCCACCAACTACAATACCACAGCTTGATTCTTTCATAATCTTTCTTCTTTCTTGAGGAGTTAGTCTATGGATAATAACAGCACCATTCGGTTTAACTTCCACTTCACCCTTCCTTGGATTTTTAGAACAAATTTGTTGGGGTGGATCATTAAAATATGTGTTGGCGGCAAACGTAACATGCTTTAGAGGTTTTTCATTTTCTAGACCTGGAACTGTTACAGCCTTTGAAGGATCAAATTCTTCTTGTTTTTTAGGATATATTTGATTTTTGTGCATTGCTGAGACATTTGATTCGGAATCCTGCGAAACTATTTCATTACCAGAATCATTTGAAGCACCATATGATGTGACCCTTTTCAAAAACGCACCAAATCTCTTGGAAGAGGATGGTGAATTAGATGAAACGGATGAAATTGTGGATGTACTTGTATCAACTTTATCCAATCTTTTTTTAACTCTATCTATTGAAGACAAATATGAATTACTGTCATCGTTAATCTTATCTGTATCGACTGAACTCTTCTTGAGTGCAGATGGTAATTTGGATTTTGCAGGATGAGATGGCAGGGGTCTACCTCTAGCATCAAATCTTTTAGATTTCTCTATTTCGTTATTTGATGCTTTATCATCATCATCATTATCATCATCACCATCATTACCTGAATTTTCTACTAAATGTTCATTAATCGTAAACATGGCCCTTTTTGGTTTAGTATTTGTGATATTATATGGATTTTTTTCTTTGAATGCAGCAATAGAGTAATTTCTGGCTTTATAATATTCTAGAAATTCTGTTAATCTGGGGTCATTATTATCAGAATGGGCATTGGGTAATTCATTTAGATTTGTTTCGCTTAAGATATCAACACTGTTTGAGAAAGAAGTGGTGGAACCATCATAGTGACCATGATGGTGATGGTGATGATGATTTGAGTTATCAAATCCGTCTGATATGGTCTTAGATCTAGTTAATGGGTTTAAGCCGGAAGGAGGAGTTGTGATGTTTGGAGTTTGACTGGATGTAGATGTTTTGGTGGTATTATTTACAGGTAGAGGGTTTACTTTAGGCAAAGGATTATCAGAGTCATTCCTATCAGTATTAGTATTAGAAGAAGGAGAAGAAGTAGAATCATGTTTCAATTTAAATTGAGAAGGTGGAGTGGATGTAGATTTTCTTCTACTGAATAAACTTCTGAAGAAGCCCAATTTTTTTTCATGTTGTTGTCGGGGTGGTTCTTGTGATTGTTGCATCTTATGTGGTGAAGAACTAGCAGCAGATAACGATTTAGTTCTTCTCAAAGGAACATAAAAAGAATTATTTTCTGTATGGTCGTTGTTCCTTATGTTATCTTGACTTTTGTCTAAATATTTAGCTTTGAATAAAGAGGAAGCTGTTGTGATGTCAGACGTGTTATCATTTTGTTGTCTTGGACTGCTGCCATTTATTTGGGTAGAGGTAGACTTAGACGATGTTGATAAATCAGGATTAGTATTTCTTCTATGCAATAATTGTTGGGGATCATTAGTCGATGATATATCTGTGTTAGCGATTGGATTAATGCTTTCGTTTATTTTTTTAGATATTGATTTTTTAGATATTTTCTTTGAACTGATGAACCAGTCCACATCCAAAAAGGGGATATTATGTTCTTTGAAGTATGTTTGAGTTTCTTTAGAGTCCATTTTATTATAAATCAAATGAAGAAATGAATAAGTAAAAAGAATAATAATAACAATATTAATGATAAAAGAACAGAAAGAAGAAAAAATAGAAAGAATTGTGAGATTGGTTGAGTCAATAAGGAAATTAAGTGTTACAACGACACACTTTTTTTTATAAATATTTATTTATTTTTCTTGCTAGTGTGAAGAGATAATATTATATACATATATAGATATATATGTGCTTTTGAATGTTAAAGTGAATTCAAATGATCAAAAATAATACATAGGGTTTCCACAAAACATACATATGTTATAAAAAAGCGCACAAATGAGTTGAAGTAGGGGAACGACTTTCAAATCAATAGAACCAAGATATGTTTTTTCATAACAAGAGAAGGTATAGTGCATCAAATGGCACACAACCTGCAGCGAAGAGAAGATCGAAAAAATGATTGATCATATACTCTTTTTGAAACAAGTAAGTGTTTCCTTATTTTCTCTTCCTTCTTCGTCTTCTTCTAAACCAAATTCCTTTTTTTATGTTCTCTGGTATTTCCCCCTTTGTAAATTTAGTCAAACGATCGTTTCAACAGTATTTCTTTTTTTTTTTTTGTTTTGTGTTTTCCCCTTCTTGCAAAATTTTTTTCCTTCCCCTTGAGAAAAGACGGTTGATAACGTGAGGAAAACAAAACAAACATAGACAATCGGTTTTACTATAGAACTATTGTTTCATATGAGAAACACAATACATGCAGCAAAAACAATACGTTCGTAAAAAATATATAAAGAATACTCAAATAAGTCGAATATTTTACTGGATCTATATATAGAAAATATAACCTCTATCTTTGTTGCCCACAAAGTATATATCTATAATAAATCCAGTTATACTTACTCCATTGCTTCTATTTTCCTGAAGATACGTGGCACTTTATCATCTATATAATCATGTGTTGGCACGTATGCTAATAGTTGAGAACCACTTGCTACTCTAATTAATAGCAGCTGCTGCTTTATCTTTATGTTGTTATGTCGTTAAACTTTAAACACATATTTATATGAACCACAAAACGTTGTAATTCCACTAATACCTTTATTTCTTTAAATAGACTAAGAATGTTAGTTTATAGTCAGAACAATCGTTGATAAATACAACAATAGATAATTCTACATAAAATACAATACATCAATATGCAAGTACTCATATACAAAAATAAATATACTTTTTCAATCATGTTATACGAAATTTTCATTGTATAATTTCTTTTTTTTTATTTTTTGTTTTGTTGATAATATCCGCGGAACTCATGTATTTTTCTTTCGCTTTTTGTTTTTTTTTTCTTTTTTTTTTTTTTTTGTATTATATTGTTTTTTCTTTGTTGTTTTATTCTGTTTTCTTTCAATAACAAATTTAAGACAAAAGAAAAAAGAAAGGGTGAGGAGAGCAGAAATAAGGCTGGCGTTCGAATTGTCCCGCTTTCCATTTTCTTTTGAGTTGAGTCCTGATGTTCTCTTCTCTATCCCTTTATTTCTTGCCTGCCTGCCAGAACTGGAAAACCCTGATCTCGAGAAAGGTTCATGCAAGATCAAACGACATCTTACAATAAAAGCATCGATTTATATGTACGCATGTATATATATGGATCCCCTCTCTTTATGATTATTTATATACAAGCTGGCAAGTGAGCAATAGAAAAAAAGAGAAAATAATTTAAGAATAGTGATAAATAGCATAATTATATATGAGTGATTATCTATTACAAAAAGTCATACAGAAATATCCAAATAGGGACCAATTGATCCAAGAAGGCATATGGGAAGGTAATATATATAAAATTCAATCAAATTCTGATTCTGATCCTGATTCCGATACTAATTCTAACTCACTATCATTTCTAGATAATGACAACTGTGGTAATCGTGCATTTACTTCATTTGATAGACGTACTAGAGGATGGATTTGGAAGACTTTAGTGTTGACTGTCTTGGAAAATGAGACTAATTTTTTAAATGCGGGATATCTTAACAATAATATTGATCTGTTACTCGTACCTATCATATCATCCAATTATTCTAGTAACAATACCAATACACATAGTATCACCACCACGAATCATCATAAAAGAATTAGTTCTTTAGAGTTACCAATTAAGAAATTGTCACAGGGAATAAGAAGGTTAACGCCACATGAAACTTACATACATCCACTTCGACAATCTTCAAATCAGCACCATCATCACGATCACAATTATAACTCTAATCGCATACATTCAATTCATCAGTATGATAATCATGATGATGATGATGAAACCGATTCTTTAAATTTGCAAGAAACTTTGGAAATTATTGATTTGGATCTCTCACGCCTGATTATTGATGACATATTTAGGGAACCTAAAGTTAATGCAGAAATGAGACAAATTCTGTTCAATTACTTAGTTCATCTCTCCTTACAAAAGAATAATAATAGTACACATATCATGACTACTGGTAATACCAGTCATTGTGGTATTGGTGGTACGTTAAATAATATCAATGTTTCCATTAATAATAATAATCATAATATGAAATATGATCATTTAGATTTGTATAGTTTGAAATATTATTATAAACAAGGATTCCATGAAATATTGGGCTTGATTTTTTTACAAATATATGATCCTGTTACTACAAATAAAGAATCATATATGAAGAACACATTAGTTGTATTTGAAACTTTAATGAACCAAATCGAACCGATCTTCTATAATGAAGCAAATCTGATTCAATGGGAGGAGACAATTTTTGCTAGAATGTTAGAGCAGTGTTCACCAAAGATTTACAAATTGTTTTATAATGAAACAAACACTGCGACAACAGAAAATAATGATATTACAAGAAACAGACATTTCAACATGATTTGGTTAATTAGATGGACACGATTATTATTTTTGAGGGAATTGCCGATGGAAAAAGTTTATATAATCTGGGATCATTTATTGACTTTCACTTTCCCCATAAAGATATATATGGCAAGTTTAATAGTGATGATTATTTTGCATTTAAACGATATTTTATTATCTGAAGTGGACGATGAAGAATGTGTAGATAGTGACGATTTAATTGAGATCATGCTACATATCAAGGAGCAGCCATGTATTATCAATTTGAATCCAGTAAAAGTATGTAAATTAGCTGGCTCTTTAACACAGATATGGTATTCACAAAACTTTGACAATATAAAGTCCCTTATCATTGATAAAATCACCAAAAAACAGCAACCTTCAAAAATTGACCCATATCGTAGAAGGATGGAAGAGAAATTAAGACAAAGAGTTCAACAATCTTTAAAATAAATGAATAAATAGATAAGTATGTTATCAATAAATAAATAAATAAATATTATATACAAATTAAATAAAAAAAAAAAAACATTTAGCATTGAAAAAAATAGCAATGAAAATAAAAGAAAGAATATGAGATATTGAACAAAATAGAATATTTGAAAATATTAACAGTTGAAAGATGCAAATAAATAATGAATGAAATAATGAGCTATTTCCTCCTCCTTTCATACATTCTTATTTTTACTATTGACAGTATATTATAAAATAATAATAATAATAATTCTTTTTTTTTTATTTTTATTTTTTTATTACATTATTGTTAGTAGTTATTATCAGAACCACTTTAATAAGACCTAATAGCAGGTGGAACGGATGGACATTCATTTTCATCCAAGGTTTTGTAGATAACATTTCTATATTTCAAAGTAACTGGATCAGAAATATCTTTATTCCAAGATAAAGTATGTTTCATCCAGTTCTCGTCATCTCTCTTTGGATAGTCTTCTCTGGCGTGAGCACCTCTAGATTCCTTTCTTGCAGCAGCAGATACAGCAGTTTGCTTAGCACAAGTCAATAAGTTTTGTAATTCTAAAGTTTCTACCAAGTCGGAGTTCCAAATCATGGATCTGTCTGTGGTGCCCACATCTTTGAAAGAATCAGCGACGGCGATAATATTGCTTACACCTTCATCTAAAGTCTCCTGTGTTCTAAAGACAGAGACGTCCCTTTGCATAGTCTTTTTCATCTTCATTCTAATTTCAGAGGTTGGTCTGGAACCGCTAGCGTTTCTTATTCTATCTAGATTAGCAATAGACTCTTTACCGATATCGTTTGGGAGAGGTTTATGTGGTAAACCGGGTTGTAAAGTATCACTGATGGTATGAGCGACAGCACGACCAAAGACGACTAAGTCTAATAGAGAGTTAGCGCCTAATCTGTTGGCACCGTGAACAGAAACACAAGCGGCTTCACCACAAGCGAAAAGACCTGGGATGACCTTATCTTCACCGGTCTCTTGGTCAATGGTCAAGGCTTCACCAGTCCACCTAGTTGGAATACCACCCATGTTGTAATGGACGGTTGGTAAGATTGGGATTGGTTCTTTAGTGACATCAACGCCTGCGAAGATGGCAGCAGTCTCGGATATACCTGGTAGTCTTTCCTTCAAGACACTTGGTGGTAAGTGAGAGAGTTGTAAGTACATATGGTCCTTGTCTTTACCGACCCCTCTGCCTGCTCTAATTTCCATGGTGATGGCCCTTGAGACGACGTCTCTGGAAGCAAGGTCTTTGGCGGTTGGTGCGTATCTTTCCATGAATCTTTCACCTTCAGAGTTTAGTAAGAAACCACCTTCACCCCTTGCACCTTCGGTGATCAAACAACCGGACCCGTATATACCGGAAGGATGGAATTGAACGAACTCCAAATCTTGCAGTGGGAAACCGGCACGTGAGACCATGGCATTGCCATCACCTGTGCAGGTATGGGCTGAAGTACAAGAGAAGTAGGCTCTACCATAGCCACCGGTAGCGATGACGGTTTTGTGAGATCTGAATCTGTGGATGGTTCCATCCTCTTGGTTATAAGCGATCACACCGACGACTTCACCATTATGGGTCAAAAGATCCATGGCGAAGAATTCAATGAAGAAGTTACAGTCATGGTTTAGAGCCTGACCGTATAGGGTGTGTAACATTGCGTGACCAGTTCTGTCTGCCACAGCACAAGTTCTGTAGGCTTGACCACCTTTACCGAATTCCTTGGATTGCCCACCAAAGGCTCTTTGATAGATTCTACCTTCTTCATTTCTCGAGAAGGGCATACCGAAATGTTCCAGTTCGATGATGGCTTTTGGAGCCTCTCTGGTCATGTAATGGATAGAGTCCTGGTCACCTAACCAATCAGAGCCCTTGACGGTGTCATACATGTGCCATTTCCAGTTATCTGGATGCATGTTACCCAAAGCTGCGTTGATACCACCTTGAGCGGCAACTGTGTGTGATCTGGTTGGAAACAATTTGGAGATACAAGCGGTCTTAAACCCAGCCTCAGCCAGACCAAAAGCTGCTCGAAGACCGGCACCACCGGCACCAACAACAACACAGTCATATTCATGGTCGATAATGTGGTAGTCTTTGCTAAAACTGCTGCTGCTACTACTGCTGCTGCTGTTGTTTGGTTGAGCCAAATTGTTAAATGTGGTTGTGGAGAAAGCTGCTCTTGTCTTTAGAAAATTTAAAGATAGTTTAAATAAACTATTTCTATGTGCATGACACCTTGTACGTAAAGATAACATTTTGTCGAATGATAAATGTTATAGATAATAGAATATTAATTAAATAGAATTTAGTTAGTTTATTATTTTTGTTTTGTTTTGTTGTGGTTGGTAATTATGTATATGTTGTGTTGAGAGAGATGTTCTTTTTTGCTCTAAAGGGGGAAATCTATATATTTTTCTATGTATGGTATGGTATGGTATGTATATATTTGTGAAGTGAAAGATATGAGAGGAAGGGAAAGAAGGAACCTACCTTTTTTATTTTATTTTATTCTAACTTTGTTGTTAAAAAAAAAAAAAAAAAAAAGAAAAAGAAAAAGAAAAAGGAGAAAAGCAAGAGATAATGTTGGTAGTGCTAATACTGATACTAATACTGATAATATTACTACTACCACTATTAGTCACAATAGTAATAACTTGTGTATATATATTCTTTTCCAATTAAAAAAATTAGAAGGAGTGACAAGGAGAGGATGAGAAAAGAGGATTGTGAACAAAGGTAAGGAATAACGAAAAACTGACAAGGGAACAAAATAAATAAATAAATAAATAATACATAAATAAAAGTATATAAACAAGAAAATCAAACAAATAATATTCAACAAGGTCGATTTATTGGACGAAGCAGAACAGGGAAAAAAGTGAAAAAAACAAATCGAAAAAAATGAAGGAAAAAAAGAAAGTAAAAATAAAAACAGCAAAATTGAGAGTGTGACACCAGTAGGAACACAGCATAACACAACACAACACAACACAACACAACACAACGACAACACGTCAAACAGCACAACAGTAATATAATGTAATGTAGGATTTACACAGTGGAGACGACAATAAGTACAGAATGTAAGTATAGCAACGTATTCTAACATCAAGTGTACTAAATGACTTCTCTTTCTCTCTCTCTCTCTCTCTATATATATATATATATATATATGTGTGTGTGTATTTGCGTGTGTGTACGTGTATTTATAATATAACTTGAGAGAACATCTAGGTAAATCTTCTAAATCTTGTGAAATGTTCTCCAAGAGGTAGGGCAAATATGAAGAGCTGAATACACACAAAGAGCGTGTTTTGTGTGTATTGAAAGAAAAAGAAGAAAAGAAATAGTAGAATAGAATGATGTTACTTTCTTTTGTTTCTTTCATTTGTTTTTGGAGAATTAGATTATGCTGCAACCCCTAATTTTGTTATTTTCTTTTTTTTCTTTTTCCTTTTTTTTTTCTCCCCTTAACTAGAAATATCTCGGGGTTTTTTGTTTTGTTTTGATTGGTGGACGGGACGGAATGAGCTGGGACGATCAATAAGATGTGTTTGTATTGATTGATTCTTACTTCCTCTTCTTTTGGATCAAAACAACATGAATGTGAAACTATTTTGGTCTGTTATTTTCTTTCTTTTCTTTTCTTTTCTTTTCTTTGATTGGCATCCCCCCTCTTATTGTTTCGTTTTTACTATGTGGGCGTTGTTCCATTGGTCCGCCGTCCTTCAGTGAAAGAGGAGAGGAACCCAGAGAACAATCTACAAAGCAATATACATCTCTCTTTCATTATCTTATCTTATCTTTTCTTGTCTTTACTATATATTTGAAGGGTTTTGGTAAATAATATAGAACAAACACATGTTTTTTCCCCGTACTAATGTCTATTTATTACTACACGTATGTATGGGAAAAGCTTACAGTACAAACTTACAAATTGATAAATTAAAAGCATTCTCATGTTCCATCGCAACAAACTTTTCTTTCTCTGTTTGATGTACAGGTACCATATATATATACCTGAAACTTGTTTTTCTTCGTAACATATCGTAGAAATCGAATAGACTTGTATGTATATTTATTTATACGATTCGGGTGAATATAAAAAATAAAAAAAAATAACATTAAACAATAATCTTAGAAAAAAAAATAAAAAAGATGAAAAAGAAAAAGGAAGGAAAGAGCATCAAATAAAAACTTGTCTAAATCGAATAGAGAATTATATATATATATATATATATATATATATACCTATCTCTCTCCCTATCTATATTCTATACAACTAATACAATATCTAACTATTTATTAGTCACAATTCGATTAAGATGGGTTATAACATTGCTATGATATGCGATTTCTTTTATCCACAGCTAGGTGGTGTGGAAATCCATATATACCATCTTGCACAAAACCTAATATCTCTAGGTCACAACGTTATTATCATAACACATTCATATCACAACGAAAGATTAGGTGTACGGTACTTGACAAATGGATTGAAAATATATTACACTCCCTTATTTGTCTTACACAGAGAAACTACTTTCCCATCTGTATTCTCAATGGCTCCCATCCTACGACATATCATGTTACGTGAAAGAATAGATATCGTTCACGGCCATGGTAGTGGGAGTGCAATGGCTCAAGAATCTCTGGTACATGCAAACACTTTAGGTTTAAAAACCGTGTTCACTGATCATTCTTTATACGGGTTCTCTGTCCTAGGCTCCATTCTATTAAACAAACTGTTGTTGTTCACCTTGGCTAACGTCGATAGAGTCATTTGTGTCTCTAATATTTGTAAAGATAATATGATTGTTAGAGGTAATATGGATCCAGCTAAACTCTCTGTTATACCGAACGCTGTAATTAGTGACGAATTTAAACCTTTGAACTACAACAACAACAACAACAATAATAATAATAATAATAATAATAATAATAATAATAATAATAATAGACATCTCTCTAGCCCCGACCCTGACTCTAGTACCACATGGGTTAATGACATTAAATTGAAAAAGAAGAATGATGGAACTGTCACAATTGTGGCCATTTCTAGATTGTTCCCCAATAAAGGTGCAGACCTAATCATCCGAATTATACCTCAAATCTGTCAATTACATCCAGATGTCAACTTCATTCTGGCCGGTGATGGCCCTAAGTTCGTTGAATTACAACAAACAGTGGAAAGCTTTAGACTGCAGGATAGAGTCACCCTACTAGGTGCTGTGGCCCATGAGAATATTAGAAATGTCTTGTGCCAAGGCGATATCTACTTACACACAACTTTGACTGAAGCCTTCGGCACTGTGCTTGTCGAAGCAGCGTCTTGTGGCTTATTGATCGTCACAACACATGTCGGTGGAATCCCTGAAGTGTTACCAGACCATATGACTGTCTACGCAATGGAAACCTCTGTTTCAAGTCTGGTCGATGCAACCAATAAAGCTATTGCTTTGTTTAGATCAGGCAGTGTCGATACCTTCACTTTCCACAAAGAGGTCGAGCAAATGTACGACTGGATGGATATTGCAAGGAGGACTTTGAAAGTTTATGATCAAATAATGAATGACACTTTATCAAATGATAAAAATTGGTATATAATGTTGAAAAGAGTATACTATAGAGATAATGGTAGGTGGGCAAGACCCTTACTTGTATTATGTTGTATTGTAGAATATTTGTTATTTACAGTACTCGAGTTTCTTCAACCTGAGTCTTCCATCGAAAAGGCCCCCAAATGGCCAGTTCACCGAAAATCCAAGTCATAGAGTTCATTACCATTACTAATAAGAACGATGTTTCTGTCTCAGATTCCAAGATTATTGATACTTAGAATTCTTTTATACTATTCTTCACAATGTTGTCATATCTTTGGATTTTATTGAAAACTTTATTGTCTTTATCTTTGTTGATTGGAAGATCATGTAGTATTACCTCGTCCACCAATTTAGAAAGATTTTTCAATAATCGGTCCATATTTATATCCAATTGATCAGTGTGCAATAGAGAACTATGGTCCAATGTTTGTTTCTTCTCATATAATAGTTCATCCTTACGTAACCATTCTAGCGGTTTATTTACCGACTTTTTTTTAAAATTATCGGTTTGCATCTTATTCAATACATTGTCCTTTAAATAATGTATCTCTGTTAATAGATCCATTTTATTAAGCTCATCAATAGTTAAAAAGTTATTGATCAATTTTCTATCCTTAATTATTTGTATATTATCAAATTTCAATTCTTTTAAATCCTTTTTCAGTTCATTTATCTCATTAGTATAATTCCGTACTTTTGAGTTCTCTTCATCTAATTTTGCAGTTAAATCTTTTATCTCATCTTTTAACTCAATGTTTATTTTGTCTCTAATTTTGGATTCATTAGCTTTTTCTGTTAAAACATTGATTTTTAACTGTAATTCATTAACTAATTGTTCTTGTTCTGCTCGTTCTTTCACAGCTTCTTGCATAATATCATCATGATATACAGTACAGCTATCACTATCTGATATCTTTTTGATTTTTGGAATAGTCATTGTTGATAATTCATAGTCTGTAATGTTGGTGACCATATTAGTGTTTTGGTTAATCATTATTTCTATTTCAAGTAAATAATTATTAAATTTATTTATTATATTAATGAACTCCTTACCATCATCCTTTGGAATACTTATTAAGATTTGAAAAAATTCTTCTATTATAGACTTAAATATATTTATTTCAAAATCATCAGAAAAAATTTTAGATTGATTCCTAAAGATTCCTAATAAACTTTCCAATTTCTTATTTATATTGGAAATTTTATCATATACGTGATGCATAATCTTTTTATCGACAGTTTTCGATAAATTTGTTAGTACTTTGGGAATTATATTCTTGAAAATATCATCAATTGCAATAACAGAAAATTCAAGTTTGTTATTAGAGTTGTAGTTCTCTGCAGCATCAGAAGATAAAAGTCTCGTCATCGTATCAAAAATAATGTTAAGATGTGAATCATTTAAATGAACTACGTTATTTCCATTCAACAAACAATTATTCCAATCCTTAAATAAGTTAACAAGATCCTGCAAAATATTATTCATATTCATTTCATAAACTAGATTAATGTTGTCTGTTCTTTTTAAATAAGTTGCAATACTTGATGTTATTTGCAAATAAAGATTCAACTGAAAATTAATTTCTTCTTCCTTGTTAAAATTTCTCCAGCTTAAGATAATTTGAAATATTTGGAATTGAATTAAAAATAAATCTAGCGATATATTATCAGACTTATTTAAGATAAATTTACCAATTTTTTTATATAAATTCATTCTTTCAATTTCCCTTTTTAAAACAATGTTTTGGTTTTTCAAATCAGCAATTTTATTCTTTGAATTATTAAGTTCATCAGTAACTATAATTGCCTTTTCATATTCTGATTCCAAGATACTGATGGTAAGGTTCAATTCATGCTTCAGTGCATCCATTTCAGATTGAATTTTGTCTTGATTTGAATGTGCGGATTTTAATTCCTCAATAATTGCATCCTTTTCACTTAGTTTACCATTTAATTCATTAATGTTAACAGTTAAATCATTGTTTGTCTCTGTTAAATACTGTATAATATTATCAGATTGATCTATTGAGTCTAACCGTTCTTTTAATTCTGTTATTAATACTGTACTATGTTTATTTTCAAGACTCAATTCTGAAACTTTATTATTCAATTCTATATTCTGTTTCACTAGATTAGTATTATCCTCAAGTGATTTCTCATATTGTCTAATTACATCATTGGATGAATCTTTCAAATTTTCAATTATTCTTTGAAACTGTTTATTTTGAGTGAATAATTTCTTCACATCAATGTCATTCAAATTTATGGGACCGTTAGAATCATCCTCTAAAGTTTTCCAAACTAATAACTCTTGTCTTAAATTAAGATTCTCTTCCTTTAATTTCTCCAATTTATCCATTAATTCATTTTCTTTTGAGAGAAAATCAGTTTCATGTAAACTTAAATTATTGATTGTTGAAACTAAATCTTCGATTTGTGACTCATAGGATTGTTTAATTTTTTTCTGCTGGTTAATTAATACAGCCAATTGATTAGTTGTTTGATTTAATTTGGATAACAGTTGGCTTTCGGCCTCAGTGATCGATCTGATCTGTTCTACCCTAGTAAATAAGCCATGGTTCAAAAAATCTTCTCTATCGGCCATATTGAAATATCGAACTCCGTTGACACTTCCATCATTCTTCCCAATTTTATTATCTAATTCTAAACCAACCCAGTATCCTTCAGCAAAATCAGTTAGCCCATAGAATTTAACAGTAGCAAAATCATTGATGGTGCCCCCTACGAACACTCTATCATCTAGTTTAACCTCCATTGAGACATTTCTATGACCTCCTAACAAGATAATTTACTATTTACTTTTTTTTCTTTTTCACGTATAAGTAGCATGTTCATTTTAGATCTTTATTGCTTATCCAACATCCATACTTGCTCATGCAATCTCTGCTTATACTTCTTCATTCTTTAATATTTCTTCTAGTCTCTTGGCTTTTATCTTTGAGTAAAATACCTAATTGATCGGGTTTTGTAGAAATTTGGGCTTTACTCTTTGTTTTTTTTTTAAGATTGAAAAAATTGGAAAGATCGAAGAATTTGACATACGAGAGGGGTGAAGATACATTTGTTTAGTTCTTTAAATGATTTAGTCATTGGTTGATTGAGAACTCAGTTGCTAGTTGAATTATCTATAAGTTACTACACTTTTAGGCAAAGTTATAGCTACACTTTAAAGTTTTGAATAAATAAGAAATAAGTACGATTAAGGAAGAAGAAGAAGGAGGAGGATAAAGGAAAACGAAAACAATATGTCATTTAATTATAGGCATATTTCGAAAGCAGGTACCCGTATCCTTGATAGAGTAAATAATCCAGTAGATAAATATGCCAAATCTAAAGAGGCTCAAAGACTGCAATCATTGCCTGAATTTATGAGACCAGATTTACCCATTGTAGACGAAGCCAAGAGATTCAAAACTGAACAAGATTGGAAATTCTTACCTGGTGATAGAGTAGTCATTGTCAATGGTGAGCATAAAGGTAATATTTGTGTTATCAAAGGTAGAGATGAACACACCAATGGTTATCTTTTAGATGAAAATGGTCCTAGTAAACAAGTTGTTGTTCCAAAGGAATATTGGCAAGAGGGACAAACCTCTCATGTGGTGGATATTCCAAAAGCAATGAGACAATGCGATTTACGATTAGTCGCTGATGTTGAAGATGAATCTGATCCAAGCAAACTTAAAACAGTTGCCATACAGAATATTGTTTTTAAGGGTAAATACTATGATGAAGACTATAAAAAAGTTTTACCATACAGATGTGTTTTTGGTCAAACAGATTTAGTTATCCCATGGCCAAGACCTGAACCAATTGAGGATGGAAGTTTAGCAACGGCACCAGAAGTCACTAGAGAACAAACTTTTTGGGTGGATAGTGTAGTTAGAAATTCTATTCCAAATAATGCATTCTTGACAATACGGAATCCAAAATCTAAATATAGACGCGGTAAGATTACTGCTAACGATTTGAAATATTTAGTTAAACCAAAGATGCCAATGACTGAATCTGAGAAAGTTGCATTATCTATGAAAGATCAGTTAATGAATGTTGAGAGACCTAAATTGACAGAGGAAGATAAGATACTGATTAGTGAAAGGGTTAAGAATTTCCTTGAAAGTCAACAAAAGAAATAATTAATAACTGCCAAAAGTCGAAGAGTTTGTAATAAAACATAATAAAAGAAAACCATGAATGATGTTTATAATTCCACATACTATACACATACAGTAGTTGTACCTGTAAATAATATATAAAATTTGTATCCTAACTACAGTAATAAATGAAATAAACCATATTTACATGAGTATTGTATAAGGTATTGATATACATAATTAGAAAACCGTGCAAGTTTATATCTGGTTTCAATTAATCCTTATCGTGTGAATGAGTTTGTTAGTAAGTAGATGAGATGTTTTTACGGTTTCAGTGCCAGCTGATTTTTATTAAATATCCAATCCCATCTTCCTTTCTTATGAAGAATTGCCAAAATAAATACTGCAGGTAATTGCAAGACACTAGCTAGCATTGTTTTTCTAGCATAAAGATTAGCTAAATTCATCCCTTCATTAAATTTTATTTTATCTTTCAAAATCCCTTTTGAATAATTATATCTTTGTTGCCAGTAAAATTTAAAAGACCAGTAGGTTAACCATAGATTAGCTAACGAGGAATCAATCGCATAGTATGGGTCAGTAATATCATAATAGACCAATGCAAAACATAATGGAAACATCAAAAGTGAATATCTTAAACATACTCTAGCATTCAATTTGGGGTTCTTCCATGCAGTCATGACATAGCCAGCGTTTTTATATTGGTTTCTAATACTATGTGACAAAGCATTAAAATGTGGGAATTGCCACGCATATAATAAACCAGCCAGGATCCATGCCGCAGGGTCGGTCAGTGAACTTGCCGCACACCAGCCCATTAATGGTGGAATGGCACCTACAATAGCTCCAACCCAAGTATTGATGATATATTTTCTTTTTAATGAAGTATATATCCAAGAATATAATGGGATATTCAGACCACCAAGTAATGCTACGGTTGAATTAACTCCATAATATAAGGAACTCACACCGAGAACTCCCATAACAGTAGCAAATAAATAAGCTTCCCTTTGTGAGATTAATCCTCTTACCACAGGTCTCGCCTGAGTTCTTATCATTTGCCTATCAAATTCAAGCTCCCTCCCCATATTGATTGCGTTAGCTGAACTGGAACATAATGTTGTACCAACTGTTAAACTTAGTAGTTGTAATATTGAAGCAGCATTAGGTGACAATGCATAAGAACAAATAGCACTTAACATGACTAAGATAGTTAATCTTGGTTTACTTAACTGTATGTATGGAGTAATATAATATTTTTTTAACATCGGAAAAGTTATAGGACCCTTCTTTAATAATTGAATTTCCTTATATTTATCAGTTATGGATTGTCTTGTACAAGTTGTTTTATCAACAAATTTAATATCAAATGGTAAATCTGTAGTATGGATTGAATCATAATTAGTAGTATTAGTGGTAGTCTTGTTGGATATTGTCTCGGTGGTTTTGATAGAATTTAATTGAGTTTCTTTATTTGAGGAATCAGTACAACGCAACGATAGGGCAAATTCTTCTAAATTATGTTTACTATTATGCTGGGATGAATCGTCTGTATTCGCAGTGGTGGATTTGGAACGATTTATCTTTTTGGCACATATAATATTTGGAGTGAAGTTAATCTCTGCTGTGTTTGCATATAAGTCCTCTTGATGGTTTTGTATGAAAATACTATTTATTGATAAATCTTTTAAACCTGTCTTATTAGAAACTATTCGACATCTGTGGAAGTTTCTTAATCTGTGCCAATTAGTCCTAAATAGGAGTATATTTGATCTGTAGTATATATACCCACACCTTTGTATCATCAAAAAGAGAGAGGAAAAAAGCCAATTGCGAATTGACAAAATGAATTTTGCTCAAAAGATTAATGGAGAAGAATAAACTAAAGCTATAAAGAAGAAATTTGATGTATATGTAAGTAGTATAGTTTGAAACCGTTTAATGCACCCTCCTTAATTTCTGTCTATCAATAGCGATATAGAAAATAGTAATAATAATCGTATATCACCTAGTTTATATGTTTGTAATCACAGTTCTATACATGTATTTTGTTACAGACTTGACAAAAGTTCTTGTGATTCAGCAGATATAATCTAAGTAAGGTTGGTGCATCCTAATTGTGATATGTTATTATTGGTTTCATACTAGTTGGTAAAAATTTCAACAAACTCCTGAACTGATTAAGATTAGGGTTTAGGATTTCCTTTTTAATATCTCCATAAAAATAAAAGATATTTTCTTTTTCTTTCGTTCTACAATATTAGGGTTTCATTATAAATTCCTTTTTTATGTAATTTTTCTGCTTCTTTAAGAAGACCTAATTTTTTGATTTATTAACTTTCTTTGTTTCTTTTCAGAACAAATAAAGACAGAACTAGAGACAAAGGCACAGTCATACATATATATGAACACAGTAAAGAAAAAAAGAAAAACCCACAGTGATAGATGATATATCTTTGTATATTATAATGGATCATATATATGTGTATTAAATATATAAATATGTATATATCATTTCGTATTATTCTAATGGAAGATAGAACACAGATATAGTAATAATTATTGATCTTAGTTAGTAAGTGACATCACCATATCAATGTATTTTTCTATTTTATAGTTATCTTATTTTTTATTTGTATCACCTTCTTTATCTTTATTATGATCTTCATTGCTTGAATGATTTAAATTATCCGTTCCATTATTATTACCAGTAGAATTGGTATCAGTTTCACCGTCTAAGGATTCATTTTCTTTTTTCTCTTCATTTTTTTCAGATTCTAACTTCTCTTCTTGTAATTTTTTATTCTGTATTTTATTTTCAATCAGGTTATCGAATGCTATAATAGCTCTAACTAAATTACTAATATATATGATCATTAATTCATCATTAGTTTTCATTGTAAGAGCCTTTTGCAAATTATTATGATTATTATTGGTAGCAATATTTGGAATGTTATCTTTTCTTGCATCAGAATTTTCGGTTCCAAATCCAACTAATTCGTTGGAATCACCTAAATTGGGCAATAAATTGAAAACATCTTGTAATTTACCTAAAATTGTATGGTTGACAGGCAATTCTTTCTTAATGACTTTATTCAAATAACTAACAATATCGTTCAACTTACTTTGTAAGCCTTTTAAAGATTTTAATTGATTGGTTAATCTAACAGAAAGATTTCCAGCTGCTTGGTCTCTAACATCTCTTAAAAGATGTTCAACACCAATTTCTTCAGCTTCTTCAGCTTCAATACTACATGGCAAATGTAAGAAAGTCTTCTCTGTGGATGTCCCATCATCTTTTACTTGCTCAATTGACATGTATGCATCAGTTGGTAACCCTACCCCTTGTTGTTTAACATCTACAATTAATAGTAAGGGATTATTTCCCACTGCATATTTTTTGAATAAATCGTTGATTTGTAAATCTGAAGCTTTTAATTTAGGTCCACTGTGATACCAACCAATAACTCTCTCTTTAGCATTAATTTTCTTGCACATTTCGGTCATATTTTCTATATAGTTTTGATCTAAAAACCAAACATTGTCATTTGAATCATTTTCTTCAAAAGGCAAAGCAAATGAGTTTTGTACTCTAATAACCTGTTCACCATTGATATCTGGTCTTGATGGCGCATCACCTAGGATAACACCAACACATCTTTTTCCTTCAGGGACATCAATTCTTTGATAATGGTCAAGGATGGAAAGCAAGACCAATGGGGCAATAGTGACTCTATCGAATTGTAGACTTGTAGACATGTGCGATGTAGAGGGGGGATGTGGTAAATGACAGTTTTTTGTTTTTAATTACTTCCCTGTGATTATTATAGCTGAATTATTGGGCTCTGGCTATAAGTATAGGCAAAGTTCAGTTATATATGTGTCTGGAGAGAAAAATCCTGCTACTCCGCATAAAAGGTTTTTTCAGTTTGTATATCAAAAGTTGAAATCGCCACTGTTCTCATCTTTTTTTTTTATTTTTACTTTTCCTTTCTTCTATGGATTATTTTCATTCATAGCACACACAAACAAAGATGTTGTTGCTCGAGAAAGAAAGAACAAAAGGAAGAATAAAAGATTTAGATGTGATGCATTCAAACATGTCCAATAGTGTATATACAATAAAGCATATCTATGTACATACATTAGATAGCTTATAGCGATCATTAAAATATTGAAGGAATATATAAGAAAGAACAGGTACTTATTATCTATTTATATGAGAGGAGCGTTTTTTTTTTCATTGATATTTGCATGAATGGTGTGAATATAAGTAGCTGGGGAAGGGAGGCTAAAGAGAATCAGTAGGTTGATAAGTTGATACTTTTGTTTCATTTTCTTTTATATATTGTTTATACTTTATAAGAAGGAATATCACCCATAACTACAGTATGATGGTGCCCCTTAGCTCTTACTGTCTTGTGCGTCTGCGAATCTATTGTGCAGTTATCAATCGATTGAACCCATGGATCTGCCATTATTTCTTTCATTGTCGGTCTTTCCTTTGGATCAATAGCCATCATACATGATATTATGGGCCTACATCCATGTGGCAGCAATCTAAATAGACTGTATGGTCCATGTAGATCCTTTGGATGTACTTTTTGTCTTAAATGATCAGGGAATTTAATCTGCGATGGATCTTGTCCCACATTACGTAATTGTTTTCTTTTCTGTACTAATTCTTCATGTGTACGTGCAGAGGCAACATAATCATGTGGCTCATTGTCTGGCATCAAAAAGTTTTTGAAACTTGGATCATTGGCACATGGTTTCTTCCACGGAAATCTTTTGAGTATCATACAACAATATATTATGGCTAATGACCATACGTCTACTTTTGATGGATCATATTCATCGCTTGAAAAACTGTGGGAGTTTCCATCGTTACAGTATAATTCAGGTGGCAAGTATGGATCACTGCCCATTACACCGGTAGCCATCCTCTTCTTGGGTTCGAAAGGGTAATGAAAGACAAAAGCAGATCCGAAATCAAGTAATTTTAGGATGCCATCCTTTGTCATACAACAATTATCTAATTTTAAATCACGATGGGCGACACCCTGTTGATGTAGGAAATCCACGGCCTCCAATAACTGTTTAAAACAACAATTGATTTCGTATCTAGACATTTCATTGCTCATTACAACATCAAATAAATCAATAGGTAAGAATTCCATGATTTCGTAGTATAGATAAGATGAGGCATTACTTGAAGAGTGAGAGTGAGAATTGGAATGAGAGTTGAGATGTTGAGAAGAGGTAGGAGATTCGTCCTTTGGAACCATAATAAAATCTAAAATATGTACTATATTTGTATGGGTCAAGGAGGAACCAATTAAATATTCCTGATTACAACGTTTAAAATACTGTGCCTGAGTTTCAGTCGAATGTTTTGGACTGAACTGTTTAATAGCAAATTTGACTTGATCTGATTGTCTAGTGATGATATGGACAGAACCATTTGCACCAGACCCCAATAGTTTGCCGATTTCACCGTACCTATTTTTGATATCTTCCAATTCCAAGACAGTATTGGTCTTTGTGGTGATTTTCTTTGATTTTTGTTTAGTCTGTTCTAGAGGAGCAGAAAGAGTGAGCGTTGCGTTGGTAGTAATGTTATTTGTTGAAGAAGAAGCAAAAGGAGAAGATCTATCCTTGGATTTATTGATAATAGAGGGTTTAAGGAATCTTTTAAGTTCATTAGAGGCTATAGTATATGGATTTAAAGGGAAGGAGGAAGACGGAGAGGAGGAGCCCAAATGATGAGAGGTTGAGTTTGTTGAAGGTTCATTAGAGTTATTGTTTGCAGCAGGAGATTTTCCAGATGGTACATGTTTTATGCCATGTAGGAGAGATTTAGAGAAACTATACATTTTATTACTGGTCTTTTTATTAGCAACTTGAGAGTTGGTCTATATAGTTGCAACAGTTTTTTTTTTTTTGAGATTATGAAAGATAATTTATGACAAATTATATTTCTTGAAGTCTTTGAATAATGAGATTAGGATCAAGATTGGGATTGGGATTAGGATTTCAATGGAATACACAATTAGTTTGACCTATGACTTCGATTTGAAATGAGGAAGGAAGAGAGGAGGAGAGGGAGGGATGGAGAGAAGGAGGATGATATGTTAAAGACGGAAGTCAGATATTTAACGGGGGAAATTTGATTGCAATAGAAAAAATGAAAAATAAAAAAGGAAAGAAGATAAGATAAAAAAAAATTACAAAATTTATATAATAAAGTGATGCTCAATGAGGTATATTAAAAGTACTGAGAAGATAATTTGTGATTGTTAGTTTGTTTTAACATTTCATATACATAATAGTTGTGTCTTGAATGTATTAGCAATGATGTATCTTCAAATTATTTTTGTGTAAAGATAAACAAGATATATATGTATATGTATGTATGTATATGTGTGTATATGTGTGCTTAATTAAGAGGGTATTATTATACAGGATGAGTCATTAGCAAGTTATAGAAAACTAAAGTGTAAAGATAAGTAAATAAATAACGGTGATTGTCAAAATATCCATGGAATCTGGATGCAATTGTAATGGACTTTTTTTATTCTTAGCTTGGTTTTAAGATTCCGATCTTTTTTTATTCCATATACTATTACATTCCTCTTTATTATATCAAGTTGCTCAATAAATCTTACACAGCTATGGAAAAATTCTTTTTACAACAGTTGACTCAGTCAATGCTAGCCAATTAATACATTTATCTTATTTTGCAAATATTTTCAAAAACAGATGAAAAGGACGAGGAAGTAGGCTTAGAAGTAGAAGTGAAAAGTTAACAGAAGCATGTTAGTCAAAGGATATTGTTACTCAACAAAGATATTTATGTTACTGCGTTTTTTTTTTTCGTTTTTTTCGTTTTTTTTTTTGTTTTTGATGCAGTGGAGCCCCCGCTTTTATGCATTTTGGGTATTGTATTGATCAAATTTTAGTGGTCGCGATTTCTTTTTTTTTGTCTCTTTATTCTTTATTCTTTTCGTCTTATTGTGATAAGGCAGCGTGACTAGAATAGAGCATTTTATATATTATTGATATATATATATATATATCAATATATAGATGAATTTGTATATGATAAAAACTTATAATCTATTTGGTTTGATGTTAAATAATATAAAAGAAAAATGGAAAAGTAATATATCTTTAATAGTCTGCCTTATCCTCTCTGGATTCTTCCGTGTCGAGTTTACGTCTACCACGACTTTCTCTTAATAGGGATATCTCTTTAGTAGCAACTTGCTTCCTGACTTTTTTAGTCATTCTTGCTATCTCTTCTTCTGCATTTACTGCATCTGATTCTGCATATTGTATAACTAGCCTACGACCTAATAAATGCACACCTTGTAATTGATCTATTGCATTTTCAGCTTCCTTTGGTAATAAGAATTCAACAAATGCAAAACCTCTTGCTGATTTATCGAATTTCTTTGGAACACGAACTGATTTCAATTGACCAAATGAATTAAATAATTCAAAGACATCCTTTCTAGTAGCTTCAAATGGCAAGTTCTTAACAATGATCTTGCCACTTTTAATCTTCCTCTTAGAATTACCATTCGTGTTATTACTACTATTGGCATGATTAACGCCACTTTGTCTGTGTGATAATTTTAATTGGATTCTATGGCCATCAATCACTTCACCGTCCATCGCCGCTATGACGGCATTCGCTTGTTCTTTAGTTCTAAATTCAGCAAAACCGAACCCCATGGATAGGGTCTTGCCTGGATGTTTCGCATCTGGTTTGGTCTTCACTTGTGCAACAACAAATCCGTTGAAGTTTTTAAATCTATCATTTAACTGGGCAGTCGTGGTAGAAAAGTTTAGGTTTTTGATAAATATAGAGACTGTTGGTCCATGAATAGTATCGTCGTCATCGTCAGCGTCATTATCATCATCTTTATTATTATTATTATATAGCTTAGCATCCTCATTTGTAATATTATTAATGTTTTCTGATTCTGGTGGGTTTGCAGATGACCTTTTACCTTCCATGATATCGTCTATAGAAAACTTAGATTCCACTGGTGCCACAGAGTCTTTTTCAACTGACTCATCTTTCTTAGCAGCCCTTGTGAAACAGTCCTTTGGACCCTTTTCTAAATAAAGTATACCATCTTTAAATCTTTTATATGCTAGCTTTGTAAATGCAGCTCTGGCAGATGTAACATCTCTATATTGAACGATAGCAATGGTACCAGCCGGTGGCATTAGGAATCTTTCTAATTTACCAAATGGTAAGAAAAGATCGCTTAATTCCTCTATTGTTGTACTATATGGAAAATTTTTAATCAAGATGACAGTATCATCCCTTTGTTTAGGATCTTTCAACTGTTGGAATTTTAACAGATCAACACCTTTTTCCTCAAAATATTTCCTAACGTCACCAATCACATGTGCTTCAGCTAATGCTTGTTTAACGGCAGAGCTTGAGTTCTCTGGGTCAAGTAATTCAGATTTCTGTAAACCTAATTTATTAGCAACGCTGCTTAGTACGGCATCCTGATTCATGTATAAGGAGTTCCAAGAAAACGTTTGTTTCGATGCATTCGCCTTTCTTTTCAATTCACGTTGTTTCTTTAATGGCATATTTTTCAAATCAAATTCATCTAACCGATGAGATTTCTTAGAATCTGCTGGCAATATATGTAATAATCTACCTTGGAAAATTTGTTTGTCTAATTCAATGTATGCCTGTACTGCATCGTCTGGGTTTTTGAAAAGAATATAAGCAAACCCTTTGGATTTGCCGGTTCTAGTATCTAACGCAATGTGTACTTCTTCTAGTTGACCAAATGGACTAAAAAGATTCTCAAAATCCTTCTCAGTTGATGTGTATAATATGTTACGCAAAAATAATCTACCAGTCTCTCTTATTTTCTCTATAGCTATTTCTTCTGGTGATTCGGTAGGTTCTTTGGATGTATCTTCATTGTCTACTGTTTCTCGTTCATCTGCTTGCTGTCCTTTAGTATCAACGTTTTCCACTGGTGCATCTTCACCTTCTCTGATTCTAACTCTACGTTGCTTAAACCAGTCTAAATCTGAAATTTGTTCGTCTCTAGCTAGATTATCTTGATCATCATCATTTTTATTGTTATTATTTACTTCATTAATAGGTACTTGATCAAGTGTCATCATAGGTTCTTCTTCTTGCTTGTCTGTTTCATTCCCTTTTTTGGCATTAAAATCTTCATATTCACCATCACTCTCTTGATCTGATATTCTTTCCATGTTTTCATCATTATTGTTATTATTATCTTGCATGGCTAAAGCATGGGCCAGAAGAGAATTTCCTTGAATTTCTTTGTCACCATCGTAACTTCCATCTGTTATCTGTTCTTTACTACTATTGGTACTATCACTATTTTTTTCTGTATCATAAGTATTATTGTTCATACCAGCAGTTTCCCAAGATGTGATTTTTGAGCTTGGTTTCATTGTCTCGATGAATTCTTGCAACTGTTTATTCTTAGCAATCTCAGCATCAATTGAATTTTCATGGATCTTGGCCTTTTTATTATTGTGTTTCTTAGACTTATTTTGTTCTTCCTCCAATAGTTTTTCTTCTCTCTCTCTCATTCTCTTATAGGCTTCTCTCTTTCTTTCCTTCATGGATTGAGGAACCCTGGGATCAGCAAAACTTTTTGCCATAGAAACCTCTAATTTAGAAGTGTTGATGTAGGATCCATTGAAATAATTGATTGCATCAAATGCGTCTTCCTCATTTTTGTAACCAATAAATGCAAACCGTCTACTGTTTCCCTTTCTATCTCTTAAGATTTTACAATCTGTGATCAGATCTGGTTGAGAAATATTATATTTTTCAATTAACCTTTTATTGAAATGATCTTTTAATTTATCATCTGTTAAAAAAATTGGTAATCCCTTTATAATAATACGAGACATTTGTCTATAGTATGCACCGTTTTATCTTTTTTTTTTCTTTCCGATACAAATTATTTCGTGATTGTTAAAGGGATCAAATAACATATATTACCACCTGTTCCATGTATTCATCTACATATACAGGTTTTAAAAAAACGGACTATTATAGATCAAATAGATAAAGTAACTATTCAAAGACTTTCGATGAGATGAGATGGAGTAAATCATTAAACAAAATACAGAAGGAAAAATTTTTTATTTTTTTTTTCTTTTTTTCACAAATCGCATAAAAAAATATAACAAATATCACAATTAGTGAAATGGGCAATTTTAATTTCCTAAAATAGAATATATTACAGAAATAGGAATGTGTTAATGTGCAGTACAGTAATATGCTTTCAGATTTATTTTTCAAGTACTCTTTATATGTTGGCAATAGTAACATCATTTCAAGATTGATATTTAACATTATCTATGTTAGTTTCATTATATAGCAAGCCGTAAATGTGCCTTGCTGTACTGTCTATATTATTTTACATATCATATCATATTGTATTGTTTTTTACTGTATAGGAAATTGAGTCTTTCTTTTTTTTGTCTCGACAAATTTGAAAAAATTTTTTTTTATCTTGTGGAATTTTCACTTCCGACGATTTCCAAAAATTTAAGTCTTCGAAAACAATTAGAAACTTTAAATGTTAAACAGTAGACACTCTCGATATAGATATTTTTATTGATACCGTTTTCTACGCATATTTGCAAAATACGTAACTTTTGTTTTCTTTTACCTTCTCGAATACCCCATCAAAGTGATACAATCTTAGCTAAATGAGTGATTTAGACAACCTACCACCAGTTGATCCAAAGACCGGTGAAATTATCATCAATCCATTAAAAGAGGATGGTACTCCTAAGACTCCTAAGGAGATCGAAAAGGAAAGAAAGAAGGCCGAAAAATTATTGAAATTTGCTGCTAAGCAGGCCAAGAAAGCTGCTGCTGCTGCCAATAATAACAATGGTCAAAAGAAGGCTAAGAAAGCTAAGAAGGAAGCTGAAGTAATCCCCGAATTTGTTGATAAGACTGTTCCAGGTGAAAAAAAGATTTTAGTCTCCTTAGATGACCCTGCATTAAAAGCTTATAATCCTACCAATGTCGAAAGTTCTTGGTACGACTGGTGGGTCAAATCTGGAGCATTTGATCCAGAATTCACGGAAGATGGCAAGATTAAACCAGCAGGTTTATTCTGTATTCCCGCTCCTCCACCAAACGTCACTGGTGCTTTGCATATTGGTCATGCCTTGACTATCTCCATTCAAGATTCCTTGATTAGATACAATAGAATGAAGGGTAAGACTGTTCTTTTCTTACCTGGTTTCGACCACGCTGGTATTGCTACTCAATCTGTTGTCGAAAAACAAATATGGGCTAAGGAAAAGAAGACAAGACACGATTTTTCTAGAGAAGAATTCGTAAGTAAGGTTTGGGAATGGAAAGAAGAATATCATAGCAAGATTAAGAACCAAGTTAAGAAATTAGGTGCCTCTTATGATTGGTCTCGTGAGGCATTTACTTTGGATCCAAAGTTATCAAACGCTGTTGAAGAAGCTTTTGTCAGATTACATGATGAAGGTACTATTTACCGTGCTAACAGATTGGTTAATTGGTCCGTTAAGTTAAACACCGCCATCTCTAACTTAGAAGTTGAAAACAAGGACGTTAAAGGTAGAACTTTGTTAGGTGTGCCAAACTATGATGAAAAGGTTGAATTTGGTGTTTTGACTTCTTTTGCTTATCAAGTTGTTGGCTCAGACGAAAAATTAGTGGTTGCTACTACTAGACCTGAAACTATTTTTGGTGACACTGCTGTGGCTGTTCATCCAGACGATTCACGTTATATCCATCTACATGATAAATTTGTCCAACATCCTTTCTTACCAAGAAAGATTCCAATTGTTTTGGATAAAGAAGCTGTTGATATGGAATTCGGTACCGGTGCTGTTAAGATTACTCCAGCACATGATCAAAACGATTACAATACCGGTAAACGTCACAATTTGGAATTTATTAACATCTTTACTGATGATGGTTTGTTAAATGAAAACTGTGGTCCGGAATGGGAAGGTATGAAGAGATTTGATGCCAGAAAAAAAGTTATTGAACAATTAAAAGAAAAGAACCTTTACATTGGTCAAGAAGATAATGAAATGACCATTCCAACCTGTTCCAGATCTGGTGATATTATTGAACCTTTATTGAAGCCACAATGGTGGGTTTCTCAAGAAGATATGGCTAAGGAGGCCATCAAGGCAGTGCAAGATGGTCAAATCACTATCACACCAAAATCATCCGAAGCTGAATACTTCCATTGGCTAAATAACATTCAAGATTGGTGTATATCTAGACAATTATGGTGGGGTCACCGTTGTCCAGTCTATTTCGTTAACATTGAGGGTCAAAATTGTGATAGAGCTGGTAACACTCATTGGGTTGCTGCTAAGAGTTTAGAAGAAGCTGAAGCAAAGGCTAAAGCTAAATTTCCAGGTGCCAAATTTACTTTGGAGCAAGATGAAGATGTTTTAGATACGTGGTTTTCTTCAGGTTTATGGCCATTCTCTACTCTAGGCTGGCCAGAGAAGACTAAAGATATGGAAACCTTTTATCCATTTTCTATGTTAGAAACTGGTTGGGATATTCTTTTCTTCTGGGTAAGCAGAATGATTTTATTAGGTTTGAAATTAACTGGTTCTATCCCATTTAGAGAAGTTTTCTGTCATTCTTTAGTTCGTGACGCTCAGGGTCGTAAGATGTCCAAATCATTGGGTAATGTTGTTGACCCACTAGATGTTATCAGTGGTATTAAGCTAGAAGATTTGCATGCTAAATTGCTACTAGGTAACCTAGATCCAAGAGAAGTCGAAAGAGCTAAATTAGGTCAAAAGGAATCTTATCCAAATGGTATTCCTCAGTGTGGTACAGATGCTATGAGATTTGCGTTATGTGCTTACACTACTGGTGGTCGTGACATTAACTTAGATATCTTGCGTGTTGAAGGTTACAGAAAGTTCTGTAACAAAATTTACCAAGCTACTAAATTTGCTTTAATGAGATTAGGTGATGATTACCAACCACCTGCCACTGAATGTCTTTCTGGTAATGAAACATTAGTTGAAAAATGGATTTTGCATAAATTAAATGAAACTAGTAAGATTGTCAATGAAGCTCTAGATAAACGTGATTTCTTCAATTCCACTAATGCAATTTATGAATTCTGGTACTTAGTCTGTGATGTCTTCATTGAAAACTCCAAATATTTAATCCAAGAAGGTTCTGAAGTCGAAAAGAAATCTGCTAAGGATACTTTATACATCTTGTTAGACAATGCTTTGAAGTTGATTCATCCATTCATGCCATTCATCTCTGAAGAAATGTGGCAACGTTTGGCAAAACGTTCTACTGAAACTGCTACAACTATTGTCAAGGCAAGTTACCCAGTTTATAAGAAGGAATTTGAAAATGTTGCTGCTGCTACGGCTTATGATTTAATTTTGAATGTTACAAAGGAGGCTCGTTCTTTATTGGCAGAATACAACATTTTAAAGAACGGTAAGGTTTATATTGAATCCAGTCATGTTGAATCCTTTGAAACGGCTAATTCTCAAAAGGATTCTATTGTTTCTTTGATTAAGGCTATTGACTCCGTTGAAGTTGTCTCTGATGCTTCTAAAATTCCAGAAGGTTGTGTCTTAAAGGCTGTCAACCCAGAAGTTAATGTTCATCTATTGGTCAAGGGTCATGTCGATATTGATGCTGAAATTGCCAAGGTACAAAAGAAATTAGATAAGTCTATTAAGAATAAGCAAAACATTGAAAAGATTATCAATAGTAAGGACTATGATACTAAAGCAAACGCTCAGGCAAAGGAGGCCAATAGGGTCAAATACGACAATACTGTTGCTGAAATTGAAGGTTTAGAAGCAACAATTGAAAACTTAAAACGTTTAAAGTTATAATATCTTAATTGATTAGGATACTTTTATCTATATTTGTTGTTTTATTATTGTATTTGTTTTTTTACCATATATATAAATGAATGAATAAAAATATAAAATTAAAATTAATGTATAGTTATGATATTTTAAAGCTTAAGTTATGCAAAATTAGGTGTCTATATGAATAGCTGACTTTGGGTATGGATGGTGCTTATTTATTGATGTAATTTGGAGTATATACAAGCAAGTTATTTGGCTTACCCGAATTTCTCTGAAATTTTCTGGTATGGTCCTGTGATATTTTTTTTCCTTAAATTCAACTTTTTCGACGTAGACAAATGGTGAAAAAAATTAGAAAAGAATTTACAAGAGAAGAAACCTTTCAAACTAGTTGTGAGTCTTGGAGCTTAAATGGATAACTAATTGAAAATAATTGATTTAGAGATTCTCCAATCAATAATACATTCTAATTGAAGATGGCTGAACCCAAGGAAAAGTCTACAGAAGTTACTGCTAGAGATGTGTTATGGTATATCCCAAACAAGATTGGTTACATTCGTGTAATCACAGCTATTTTATCCTTTATGACAATGCAAAGTCATCCATTACTGACCGCTTTTCTTTACAGTACATCATGCTTGTTAGATGCGTTAGATGGTACTATGGCTAGAAAATATAATCAGTGTAGTGGGTTGGGCGCAGTTTTGGATATGGTTACCGACAGATCAACAACTTCCGGATTAATGTGTTTCCTTTGTATGGCTTATTCTAAATATGCTGTTATTTTTCAAACTTTGTTAGCTCTGGATATTTCAAGTCATTATATGCATATGTATGCTAGCTTGACTGGTGGAGCTAAATCTCACAAACAAGTTTCAGCAGATTCTTCTAAGCTATTACACTTGTATTATACAAGAAGAGATGTACTATTCACTGTTTGTTTTTTCAATGAAGCATTTTATGCTGGTTTGTATATGATGCATTTTGATCAATATTACACTTTTGGTAAATGGATCATTTTTATTAGTACTCCACTTTATTTGTTCAAACAATTCACTAATGTTCTTCAATTACAGAGAGCTGCCCTAATCTTAGCTAACATTGATGCTAAATTAGCTAACTCGGTTAAGAAAGAAGGTAATTAATTGATTTAGCTTGTTGATTTGTGATTCAACTTTATGTTAAGACAATTAGACAATAATAATAGTAGATAAAATACTATTTAATTGTTCAATAATTTATGACGTTCTATATTTATCCTGTGTATTTCTTGTGTTGTTTTAATGTGTATGTTTATGAAAAGCCTTATAATAAATATTTTATATTATAAAGGTTCTTTGTGATTTTGATGTAATTCTTTACATGACAAATTATTTGTTTTTTCTTTTTTTTTATTTCTTTTATTTGATTATTGCGGGGTTTTTTATTTTTTCTTTCCTTTTTGGTACTCGTGTTAGCTTAATCTCGAAGTTTGAGATTGTCAAATTTCGGGTGATTCTTAGAAGAACATTTGATCATCTCGATCTTCCTGCTCTATATAAGAGGGTTTATATTGTTCCGCAATAACTCGAGCCTTCTTTATGCACATCTTTTGACAGATTCATCGCTTTGTGAATTCAAAAATTACATAAAATAATGATAGGTTTGTGTTTTTGTTACTAATATATCGTCCTTTGTTGTTATAACTAACACATACTTCTTTGATTTTTTTTATTGAAATGAGATTTTTAGTTGAGTTTCTAGTAGGTTTTCCACAACCTACTTTGATAAGAGATTATGTTATTCCATTTTTATTGAATCATAATTTGATTACTTCTAAATCAGTTTTGGATAACCTGCATACAGTTTTATACACATCATTGTTTTATCATATTGTTTATTTAATTGGTGCTTATATTGTATTTCCACCTTTATCAAAGCTCAAGATCGATTATGATGTGAATCATGCAAAAGATAAAGAAGCTAGATCTCAAATAACTAATACTCGTGAAAGAAAGATTCAAGATTTGTCTATTCAAGCATCTATTCATTTTATCTCTTTTTTGCAAACTTTAGTGGTTTTATACCTTTCTTTCGTCTTCTTCTTAAATTCAGATATCTCAAGTAAAGAAAACTATCCAGATTCAGATTCAAGAATCTTTGGAGAAGTTCGTGAAACTCAATTAGTTTGCATGTTTGGGTTAGCATACTTCATATGGGATGCTTATATTTCTTCTATTCACTCCACGTTGGCATTTACTGTCCACGGTATTGTTTCAACTGGTGCTTATTACATTGGTTTGAAACCTTATTTACAATATTATGCTCCTGTATTTTTAATGTTTGAGCTATCTAATCCATTTTTAAATATAAGATGGTATGGATTAAAGTTTTTTCCATCAAATAATAAAATCAGCAAAATTGTATTATTAATTAATAATTTGATTTTAATGATAATTTTTTTCTTTGTCAGAATTCTATGGGGTTGGTATCAAACTTTTATGTTAATTTATGATTTTTATACAGTGCGTAATGATCCAAGGTTTCTTTTGATTGACACTATAATTGTGGTCATTTGTAATTTAACCATTGATGTACTAAATGTCGTTTGGTTCTCTTTAATGGTCAAGACTGCAATTAGCCTAATATTCCAGGCACCAGGGAAAAAACCTAAAAAATAAACAAAGTTGAAATGGAGAAATAATCATATATTAAACCATTTATTTTATTTGTTTTGTTTACTTTATAGGTGGAATAACAGTATTTACAAAAATTGTATATAATACTTATACATGTATTTCGTTGTTCAGGATATGATATTTCATAACTTTCACTTGTTTTTGTATTTATTGATGATAGAATTTCGAAATAACTAGGTAATATTAACAAAATTCCGTCACTGTCATGAAAAATAAATCTGAAAACAGGAGATGTAAAAAAAAAATAAATAAATAAATAAATAAAAAAAGGTGGTCTAAATATTAGTAAGGACAAGAAGAAACTGATTGAATATGGAGAATGCAGAGAAGAGTTATCGAAACTTAAGAACATTTGTTTCTTTCATGACAAGAAAAAGTATATAATAGTCAAGCATTTATTTATTAACTGCATTTGTTGTATGTAAATATTTACAAAATTTAGTAGAAGAAATTATAGACATAGACATATATGTAGATATATAAACATTGGATGAGCAGAATGAACAAAGAATTGTATAAAAAGTTGTTAATTCCAGCGAAACATAAGCCGATAAAAAGAAACAAGTATGTTATTAAAACTACGACATCACCGCTAATAACGAATTTTGAAAAATGGAGTGGTAAGAAAATCAAAATAAATAGGGATCAAATTGAATCGATTCACTTACAAGAAAATATCTTTGCAAGGATTTTGGCCTCTCCAGTTAGGTTTGATCGAATTAGTAAAACTAGATTGCCTAATTTATTGTTGAGTCAAGTTAGTTTAGATATGAAAAATAAAAAAATTAGTCTAGATCAAATGAAACACTCAATTGGACAACATTCTTATATATTAAATTCATTAAATCTGATTCATAAAAACATTAAAGCTCCAGTAAATGTGGTTCCATTACACATACTATCTTCAAATAAAATTAATTTATCTACGTTAAAAATGAATATTAGTGAACTATTAGAATCATATCGGGCAGAAGTTATAGAAATGTTAACAAAACAGCTTACTGGATTAAAGCCTACCCCGAATAGTGACGTTAAATTAGTCTATGACAAACGTAACGTTAAAAAAACGGTATTTTGGGGAAAAGATCCAAATGGCAACACAGTGCTGTGTTTTAATCTATCCCTATTGAACAATTATGAGTCTTTGCATAAAGCCTGGAAGCAGGATTCGATAACCATATTCTCAAAAGAAAACTTGAACTTGTTGATCCAAATTTATAGAGCATTAAAATTCCTCGAGTAGACATGATCTTTGTATTTGAATATGTATGTACTGAATGGTAAACTCGATAATTTAAAGATTGGTAAGGGAATATTTATGCATATCCATTATTTATATATATATATATATATTTTCAGGAGTTTTTGCATTGTTCTTTTTGCAGATGTACTAAAATAGGTAGCTTTCTATTTTGGGACAAAGAGAATGTTTGTTTTTCCTTTTTTGGGGTATTTTCTATTTAATTTTATTTTGTGAAAAATAAAAGATATTATAATGAAGGAAATTAATATATGGAAGGTTTTAAAGAATCTAATGAGACTTTTTTTAAGATGAGTTACATAAGACGGTTGCACTTCAAGGGTTTTAAGGATTTTATTCAATTTCAAAGTTATGATAAGCTGTTGTATTGAATTTTATTTTGTTAGTAGTTGCTTTGACATTTACTTTTCAGTTTTCGGTTTTGTTTTGGCGTAAATTATCCTTTTTCAAAAATAGAGAAGATTTAATAACTTTTATATACTAATTGATAATATTTTATAAACTATTAACATATCTGATCTCTAGTGGATAACTTTGTATTTTCTGATAAAGAAGTAGGAATTTTGTTTTGTTTTTATATATGTTTACTCAAAGATCAAGTAACGAACAAAAAAACATTTAGGAAAGAGACAAGATCTATTGATTGGTTTGAAATTACGAAATGTTGTTAGAAATCGTCTCTTGTAAATTATTTATTTTTTTTAAAATAATACTACTGTTACTTATAGCATATGTATTAGTTCAAATATTTTTAAAATGGCTGATATTTTTTTTAGTACGATTTACAAATATCCCACTAGATTCCTTCTCATATGGTTATATATTTGGGTTGTCAATCCGACGAATAAGTTTATCATCAAAGTTGTTTAAGTTGCACATTGGAAGAATATCTCTTTCTTTAGGTTGGTCTTCCACTATAATATTTCACGATGTTGATCTTATTTTATTGCAAAATAAGAAAACTCCCATAGATGGTAACAGTCACAGAAACATTGGTTGGAAATTAAAAAGATTATTTAGTCAGAAGAATAGTGATAATGAAGATTATCTTTATCAAAGGAAAATTGTTTTCCAACTAAGTAATAGAAAATTAAATTTTATTAAGAGGATTTTTGGGATTACCATTTTATTCCGTAGAGTCAATATAAATGTACATGATAATATAAAAATTAACATACACATGACATCGTTATCATTTGTGGATGAAAATGACAAGGATATTGGTGTAGATATTTTCCTTTATTATATCACGGATCTCAATAATGGTGGGAGCATAAACCATGTTGGTTTAAATGTTAAATGTCATAGTGAAAGAGAGAATATAGTTCTTCGGAAACTGAATCATGATAACAATAATAATAATGTTTTTTTGCTTTCCAATTGGAATTGTAGTTTTAAATTGGGTGATACATCACTTTATATTCCATTAGATAGTTTTGAAAGCACATCAAAAGATGAATTAGCAAAAACTAAAGATATCGAGATTGAAGATACAGGATATAAAAAGCACTTTTTGTCTTATGAGACAGTTAATAATTTTATTAAATCTTTTGATTTTTTACTTAGATCTTTACATTTCATTGATATCAAAGTCGAAAATTTAAATTTGCGCTATGGTCATAAGTTTTCCATTAATATTTCTAGTATTCAGATGTATTTGGAAGCAATAACAATTCTCAATAATACAGTTTCAAGATCAATATTACCATCAGAATGTTCACCGTGGGGTGCATACGAAACCTCTATTTCTACCAATGCACTTGTTATAAAGATAGACGAAATATCTATTCTGCATGTACCTTTAATTAATTTAATTTTCACCACTAATATACTATTGCATTTTATTGAAAATATCCCTTTATCAAAAACAATTTTTTCCTGTCATATAAATATTATTAATCCATCATTATTTGCCACTTTTAAACAAGTTATTCTTTTTATTGAGTTTTACAAATATGCAGCAAAAAAAAAATCATCCTATCCGAAAGATAATTTAACAAATAAGACTTATAACCTGATAGATAAGAGTTTTATTGAAAATTTGTTATCCTTAGAGTCATGGCCGATTCTTTCACTAGAACTAAACATTTCTAATTTTAAATCTATTCTCCAATTGCCTAAAAATAAAAATGTATCCTTTAATGTGTCAGATATTCAGGGATTATATGGACGGTCAAATAAGCACTTTCATCAAAATATACCAAATATTACGGTTTATAAAAATGATGCATCATTTCCTACTAGTCCACAGACTTCACAAAAACTAGCCAACTGTATTAAAGTAATTGGTACAGAATTATTTTACATGGAATCACCAAATAATGAAGCATCACTTGCAGTTCCGATCTGCGGTTTTGAAAGAATTGATGCTTATATTCATAGGTTAACTTCTAAGAAATTAAGTGTTGAGTCTACACTAAGACATTTATATATATCTTTAAACAATTTAGCTGTATTAGACACACTAAGTGACACAGTGGGGAAATTATATAAAGTGGTATTACAGGTACAATCTGAAAGACCTATCACTGTGAGTCAGAAAACAAAGCAATCACTTCTAAGCACCCTCTTGAAGTCATTTCAGTGGAATTTGAGGATCAGGTTTAAAGATATTACATTTTCAATGGTTTTAGCTAAATATCTTCCTAGATTATTAGATTCATTAGAGGTTAATGGTTTTAATTTGGCAGATGTTCATCGTGGTATTAAACTTACATTTCAAGAAATTTTGCTGAAAGTTGATGGAAATGGTAAACATTTGTTAGTTAATGCTGCTACGTTATACAGAATAATGGATGATGAAGAGCACAGAAGCGTTACTGACTCAATTATTAATCTTTCTGATTTTGGTATTAATATTGATAATAGGAATCAAATATATTTCAAACTACCTACGATGTTGATAAATTTTGATGTTAACATCATTTGGTTGACATATTATATGTTTAATATCACATCTAATCATTTACCAAGGAAGAAGGCATCTCAAAAAATGGCAAAGAATATGAAAATAATAAACTTTTTGCGAAGAGTAAATGTCCATATTGGAGAGATTATTATGCATATTACTCTTCCTCAAGAAACACCTCTTTTGTTAATAATTAATTCATTGGAATATGAAGGGATTAATAGCTTATTATGCATTGAGTTGTTGTCTGTTCAAGTTGAATCAGTTTATTTTACAAATTCTCTAGTCTATGTTTCTTTATTAGAAGTTGATCAGATATTTGTTGATATTTCTGATTTTATTGAAAATAAGTCATTAGTTTTTAAATCTAAAACAATCAATGTTCATACAGAGTATCATTTCAAGATCTATTTAATCACTGATAATATTGTCACATTGTATAAATCATTTAAACAAATTAGATGTGCCTTTGCAGATACGAGTAGATATGTAAGAGTATTCCCAAAAGAGCAAAAGCCTATTGCCCTACCTGATATCCAAGTGTTATCAGAGAGGTTCTTAATAGAAATTGAGGATGATCCATTTGAACAAGAGCTTGGTCTGATTTTTAAAGTAGGTGTATTAGCTCAAAGGGAAAGACTTCGTAAACTAGAAGAATTTGATAGCCAAGTCCAATTGCGTAATTCCCCAGAAAATATATCACAAAATAGTTTACTTTCTACTTTAGATGAAGGTGGGCGCCTGATAGGAAACACAATATTTGAAGTGACAGCTTATAATAAGTTAATGGAACACTTTTCGACATCATGGATTACAAGATACAAAAAAGCTAAATATGTTTTTCAAGGTATGCCAGGTAAAGTGCAGGTATATGAAAAACTAGGTTTAAAATATTTATCTTATTCGAAAGAACAAACACCAACTGTGGCCAATTTGGTTATAGAAAATATGCATTTGCGGTTTGGTATACCCTCTTTCCCCATTAATTTATACAACGATTTCCTATATGAGTATGGTAAAGGGATTCCAAAAGATACTACTTATACTCTGTTGATTTTGATGGGCATTACTTTCAAGACTGACCTTTGGGAACTAAGATTACGTGACTACCCATTACCTGTTTTATCTTTTCCAAACACGACTACTAAAGGTGATGTTGCATTTTCTGAACAAATGCCAGATGATTTAGCTTTATACACAGTTTTTGTTCCTTTCGTTAAATCAACTTCTAGGGGTAAATATAGTGAGAACAATACTATATATGGATCACATGTTATAAGGACAATGAACTCTATCAAAACATTTGCCAATTGCAGAACTACTATAGGTGCAGAAAAGCCAGTATGCATAACGTGGGGTAAATCTCTCCAACCAGGATTTGAATCTCTAATGATCTGGTTTGATTATCTTACTAAGCCGAAAATGGATCCGTCTCCAAAATTAGGTTTTTGGGATAAGTTTAGATTTTTATTTCATGGGAGATGGGTTTATCAATTTCTTGATGATACAGGTCTTCATTTGAATATAAAAGGTGCGTATAATCCATATGAAATTGCCGATAGTGGTGCTGGTTTGACGTTTTGTTGGAGTGGTGATACTGCAATGGACATTTATGGTTCTTCTGACCCAAAAGAATTTTTAAAAATAAATTCGAAAAGATTTGAACTTGGGATACGTGATTTTACTGTGACAAACAAATTTGATAAGATATTAATGAAATTGAATGGGGATGTTGTGTGGAAAATGGGACTACTTTTTGAGAAGGGAGATTTTAAGAATGCTGGTGAAACTCCGCGAGAGTTACCAGTGCGTCCACACCATACTATTCGGTTAGTTAATCCCAAATCAGTTAGTGATATAAAAGATTATGATTCTTATGCTGGCTTTAGAAGTTCTTTCATCCATATGTCTTTTGGTGTTTATTCTTCCCAGATAGGTTCTTCGAACAGTATATACCTAGCTCCTCAATCTGTTAGTCATTTTCTAAGGTGGTGGAAACTTTTTAATACATATACATCAGGACCTATCCGACAAGGACCACTTTTTACTGAGGCTCCTCAAAATAAAACTAAGTTTGGTAGGTCATTATTTACAATCAAGTATCAATTAAAACTAGAACCACTTACTGTTTCTTATGTATATCAGCATATTTTAACAAAGTATGTTACAAAACATGAGTCTAGGAAGGAATTTACAGGGATTAAAGGTAGATTTAATTCACTAAAGATTGATCTTCATCAAAGAAAATTAAAGTTGACCCATAAAAATGCAAAGTTAAATAAAACCAAGCCAGTTTGGAAATTTCGGATGTCAAGCGGTGAGATTGATTGCATTGAACCTGATATGAGAGTGCTTTCTACTATATTTGATAACACACTAATAGAGAAAATTCTATCACCGTCTTTAAGAAATAATGATTATACATTTAATGATAAGACTGATGTAAATCTTGATGAATTACGTGAATCCGAATGGTATGACTATGATGATTACGTAGATCTGAACCAAATATTATTGACAACGGCCATTCCTATTAAATTGGAAGCAATTCCCTTGTTATATTCTCCCAGAATTTCGTATTTTAGAAATCTAAATGAGAAAGGAATAATAGTGAAGTATCCGTTTGGGGATGAAGATTCTCATAATTGTTTCATTGGACGAAACCATCCAGAAAGAACTCAGGGAAAGTTGGCACATGAAAGAAAATTGGAAATAGAAACTGAACTTAGAGATGTAGAGTTTAAAATTGATAATTTAACATACTCTAATGAGGTTATTGAAAAGGTGGATCAAAACGTTTTAAATAATTTATATGATAAAATTGAAGAACTTAAAAAGCGTTTGCATATTATCCATAGTGTTCTAAATGATTTGAAATTATTGGAAACAATGCATGATAATTATTATGATAAAGATACTGGTGAGAGTAATATATCTTCTCTGTCAGAATTGAGTTCTGAATCACATGGTACATCATTACTTCGTACAAGTACTATAGAATCTTTTTTGTCTATGAGAAAAGCTTCCTCAATCGATATGGAATCAAAATATGACAATAGATTTATTGTACATAATATTCAGCTAATTTTAGATAAGCGTCTAAGAGATCTTTTGCTAGAATACTTTTCGAATATAGGGGAAAGAAAAGCTATCCGTTACGCAATGACATACAAATCAGTAAAAATGTTTAAGGAATTATTGGGAACAGTTCTTCGGAAAACTAGAACGTTCATTAGTGCTAAATCATGTAATTATGAAGACGATTTACTCCCATCTAATATGGAATTTATTGAACAATTTGATGAGATTGTTAAAGAAGTTCCTGATGAAAACTTTGACGCTATTGATAACTACTTATTCAGATTAATTTCCCCTCAAATCCAGTTGAGATCTCAGAAACAAACTGATGCTGCTGTTATTTTATTGGCTAGGGATATTGAGATTGGTATTATTGATGTTCTTCAAGTGACTGGTAGAGATGGTAAGAAACTTTCCATGGATGTTGACACAATTGTTGAAACAAGATATTGTTCCATTGCAAAAGATATTCAACTGTTTACACTATTTAAGGATGATTTTGCATCTCAACAAAATCTTTCATATCACAAAATGGGCTATGGTATGGAAAAATGGTCAGATTTCTGGCCACCTTGGATACCTTTGGAGATGTGCTTTGATGGAACTCTAATGGAAAATTATATGTTTTTAAAAAGAAGGTCGATGTTTATGACATTTACAATCCCTAATCCATTATATTTTGATAATTTAGATATTGCTGGATTTTCAACAGATTCAAAATGTAGAATAGGCTTTCCTGGGTTGCTTTTAACATCCACGTCTCGACAATATAATACATTTTATTCTATTGCAGAAGAGTTATTAAAATTTGACTCTAATAATGAAGAAAAGGTGCAAAAATTGACAAAAACTTTACTTGCAGATGAGATTAGGAATAATTTAGATAAGTTGGATGTTTCTGTAATTTCTAAAGCTCAGGACAGAATAAGAAAATTATTTTATACTAGATCATTTTTAAAGGTTAATAATCCATCGGATTATGCTAAAAATTCACAGCTATTACTTCAAGAAATTGAGACATCTTTATTGCAATTGACAGTATTGATGAAAGCGATAAAGCAAAATCATGATAGACTTGAAAATGTTGGTGATAATGTTAGACAGATGAAATGGCAAGTTGAGACAGATGAACTGCTTTGGGAGTTATATGATGATGTTAATTCTCCATTTGTCACAATTGGTCTTGGTCCATCTGTTTACACAAGAACAGAAACGACTCAAGGATTGGTGACTAGTCAAATTTCAATATCATCATTACAATGTTTTAATTTACAAAAGAATGCTATTTTTATAGAACTTTTGGCGCCATTTAGAGATGATCCTTTGTACAAAGAGAACGAATCAATGGTTAAAATTAAATGGATACAAACTCCGCCAGTTGCTGGTATATCTAATTTAGAAGAACTTGTGATTTCACTGCAACCTTTCGTCTTTAAAATGGACAAAAAAACAAGTGATAGATTAATGAATTATTTATTTCCAAAAAATATCAATAGTTCTATAACTGACTATACAAGTCCAAAGTTTGGCTTGAAATCTAATAGTGAATATCACACAATGTACTTTCCACGAGCTGGTGTTCATAAATCTTTAAGTATGAATGATGGTGATAGTATCTCTATTGAAGAATCTAAATATATTGATTCGTGGGATTTGAGTAGCCACACTGTTGGTTCAATTTCTTCAAAAGAAAGCAGGCAACAAGCTTTCAGACAAAAATTAGAGGTTACAAACGCATTTCTACAGCAAAACGATCAAATGTTTAATCAAATGCTTGAAAGAGCTGGTTTATATTTTAATATTAAGTCAGTAGTGATCAAAAGAACAGTTGTTGTAGTTTCTTATAAGGGTTCCAGAAGGATGTTGACAGATGTTAAAAATTTAACAGTTAAAGTTCCTGAGTTGCATTATTGTGATAAACTATGGTCAAGAGATGAATTTTTTGCTGCTTTGAAGCATGATATTGTAAAGATTGTTATTCATCATTTGGGTAGTATCATTGGTAACAAATTTATTCCTCATAAAAAAGAAAACAAATCAAAGATTCAGACAGAAATATCACAAATCCTAGATTCATCTAATGATAGATCTGAAACAAGATCAGTATCACTTCTGGAATCTGTAGCTTCAAATACACATAGTTGTCTAAGCATTAAAAGGACGCATAGTGTTTTGTCTCAGGATGAGAGTATACAACCATTTTTCCCAGAAAGAAAAGGTTAGAAAGTATGGATAATTGTAAGTTGTTATGAATAGGTATTGTTGGGTTTTTGAATTATCTAAATATATATATATTATTACAAAGTTTGATACAGATCAATTAATATGTTAGGCAACATCTTGAGTAATATAATAAAATATAGATACAAATGGACACCTGTAATTTATAGAGTCGTCACTGCTAATTAATAAATAAATAATATAATTCCTATTGTTCCTATTATTGATATCTCTAGATAGAGCCACATAAAAATAATAGGAATATTAATGCTGGTAACTATCTCTGGTACATTTTCTTTGAAACTGGAGGACCCTTGAATAAGTTTCTAAGTAGTTTGACATCAACGTCAATCGAATCATAGTTCAAATACATATACAGCCTGGATCTAGTGTTTGAGCTATTTTAGCCCTTTTTCTTTGGGATTAAATATTTACTTGAAAGCATGTATTTTAAAATTTCCCAATAGATACAGCCTCTTATGTCATAATTAAAGATGAATTTATTTATTTAAAATTAATAAGTTGTAGCCCCTTTATTGTTTTTGCAAATTATGAAAAACCTTTTTTTTGAAAAATATTAAAAATATATATTTCTTTACATAGTATGATACTACATTATTTACTTAATCATTTTTGATCAACATATAATATAGTTTATTAGACACAAGGAAGATGATTAACAACACAAAAGAATCAAAAAAAGAAAAAAATTAACTATACACCTTATCAGCAAGTCTTCCCCATTAAATATTAACTGCTAGAGTTCCCTGCTTTCCATTAACTATTTTTTATAAGAAGAAAGTTTGGAAATTAATTATTAAAAAATAAAGTTGCCCTTCCTAGTTGTTATTAATAATTTTTTATAATATCACCTTCCCATAAAAACTAATTACAAAGTCCACATCGTTACATTTTAAGAGTAAATATCTGCAAAATTTTTGCTCTTATTTGAGGAATATTGATCACTAATAACACCAACATAAAGGTTGATACTTGTCATATACATAAACTGAAGAAAATATCAATATTCTGAATATAACAAACATCAAAGCCAAAGTCATAAAATGTAACAAAAGACAAGAGTTGCATGGGTTAAAATAAATAATACAGTGTTAATATGAAATAATAAACAAATCTTCAATAAAAAAAATTTGTCAGAAGCCTAACAAGTATCTTTTTTATTTGGTAGTCATTCAAATGAAAAAACATTTTTAATATATATTGATAGGGACTGGTATTAAGACCTACATTCTCCTTAATATAGTGTACATCATGTTGATTCATTTTGCAAATTTCTTTGAAATAAGATAGTAGCTGGTGTCTGTATATACTTATTAAATTTTTACCAAAAAAGATATTCTAAAATAAATTAATAAGTAACATTATATTACGAAAGTTGCTTTTTTTCAGTGAAACCCTTTTATCATAATTTATGTACATCCAACATAAACCACTTTAACCTAATATAAATATAATCTGTTATCATCTATCTTTTCCTTCTTCTACCTAATTATGAACCATCTTTTCACAATACTATTGATATACAATCAACTAAACATGATGATACTGTATAAGAAATATTAGAAAAACAGGAAAGGATAACTATAACCTTATGAAGTTAATATTCCAGATGTATCCATTCTTGATCAACATTTTTCACTTATTATACTTAAGTATATTAAATTAGGATAAAGGGAACAAAAAAATCTATACTAAATAATACGTATTTTTAATACTTTTATCCACTGATTTCCATTCTCCTTCTTATTTATAAAAAAAATACGTTTTATTTTCTGTTTAACTTATAGATAGATCAGGATTTGTCAAATGTTCAACTAACATGGAATAGACATTGGAGGGAATCTTAGGTAAAAACCCTATACCCACTCTAATAATTTCATTAGCATCAAATTCTGGCAAATCCTTTAAAAGATTCATAGGTGAATCTGCTTTAAAGATTTTCTTTCTTATCTTTACTAACATACCGATTATAAATAATATGTTCATATGGAAACCATAAGCAAACATAAAGTCCCATAGTTTACACACTTGATCCAAAGGTTTATTACAACTTGATAAAGTTAAAATAGATGGCATCCCATATATTTCAGCCGTCAGCAAATTGTCACCTAGAAATTTACTTAGTTTTGGGTCAATTAATTTCAAACAAATATCCAATAATTTAGCACCATTAGCTACACCAACTAGATTATTTGTAATATATGTAGGCACCAAAGAATAACATAATGTTGAAAATAATCTAAAAGCCATAGGTTCTGAGGGACACGTATACAATAGAGGAGCTAGAAGAATATTCATGCCTTGCACATATGTAGTAATTTTGAATCTATTTTCTGTTTCTTGTGTTTGCCAAGCAAAACATGATAAACAACGTATTAGAGCTTCCTCTGATACAATTTCTTTAAACGACTGATCTGTTTGAAAAGTCCTGCCTGTATCATTTTTAATTTTATCATATATTGGGGACTGAGGGGCACCTAATTTCAACAACTCTATGTACTCATTAGTACAATTATCCATTGAAGTTCTTGACAGGATAGACCATATATAACAACGCAATCTTCTCAATTTTTTTGCTGATTCCACAGGTAGACCTTCACTTAATATTAAGTAACGTAGTTGTGATAAAGATGAATGAACCAGAAGAGGTGGGTGAAATATAAAACTTTCAATGGTTGATTGAAACTCCAGTCTCATATTACTAATTTGATGTAATATTTTATACCTGCCTGAACTCCTGCTTTGTCTCTATTACGCATCTTCTCACGTAAATACATAAGATTTTCTCGTCAATTAAAATTTGGTTTCCGCTACCATTCTTTTATACTAACTAAATCACAAAAAAAAGGAAAGATTTTAATAAAGAAGTTTACATATAATAAATATATATATAACCACAGAAGGACACATTAACATGTCTACGAACACAGAATAATTCATGTTGCAACAATAGAATGAAAAAGAGTAATCAGAATAACCCTGATCTATTAAAATACGTATTCTATCTGAGGATTATCTAGACAAAAAAGACCCATCAACAAGCAAATAGCTTTTATAATGTACATCAACTATACATGCTTTATGCTATTTGAACAAAGCTAAAAAAATTAACAGAAGTAAGGCATATTTTACGAAGTAAATTTTATAGCTAAAAAACAAGAACCACCTTCTTTCCTTATGTAGGTTAGTGATGAAAATGATTATTAATAAGCGGAAGAAGGTGTCTTTATTATTATTGTTATCATTGCTAATTACCAAATGAATTGCCTACTTCCAGCTAAACTCAAATGCTAGTATTGTATAGATTACCAGTAAACGCTATTCAAATTGAATTGAGCTCTATCATTGCTTACTAATTCATAAATCCACACATACTTAATATCTTTCAACAGTTATTTCTGTAAAGTATAAATAATGACATCTTTACACCACATAGAAAATTTAGAAATCTCGAGAAATCTTGAGCTGATAACTTTAGAATAAAAAAAATTTTTTGGTGTTGTTCTTTTTTTTACTTGAGATTATTTTTTTGTATTTATAGTCATCATATCAACAATCTATTGAGCAGAGCTAAAACCTTAGCAGACTCTTATATCAGAAAGAATTTGTTTCAAAATCAAAAGTGAAAAAAACCAGACCAACTGTTTAATACTATAAGACAATCCTGCGATCACAGTATATATTATAAACTAACAACTATACACGATGTCATTAGAAGCCATTAAGTTTGATAGATCTAATAAGAAAAATGTTTCTGTCAGGGTTCTTGACCAATTATTATTACCATACACTACCAAGTATCTATCAGTTTATACCATAGATGATGGATACGCCGTGATCAAATCCATGCAAGTTAGAGGAGCCCCCGCTATTGCTATCGTGGGTGCTTTATCTGTCTTGTTAGAAACCCAATTAATGTTGAATGACCACTTCGTTAAAAATCAATACTTCTACGATACTTCAAATTGGTCAAATTTCCAAACTAGATTCCTTGAAAGATTGGACTTTCTTTTGAGTAGTAGACCAACTGCAGTCAATCTATCTAATTCTTTAAAGATTATAAATATGTTAGTCAAGAAATCTACTAACATCGATGAGCTGAATGATAAAATCTATCAATACACTTGTCAGTTGATTGATGATGATTTAAATAATAATATTAAGATGAGTGACAACGGTGCCAAATTTTTACTAGACTCTTTAGCCAAAGAAGGATTTGAAGGTGAATTTGCTGTGTTGACTATCTGTAATACTGGTTCTTTAGCTACTTCAGGTTATGGTACTGCATTAGGTGTTATTCGTTCTTTATGGAAGGATTCTGTATCTAAATCAGAAAGAAAGGTCAAGAAAGCTAAGACCGAAACAGTTGAACCCAAGGCTAGAATGACTCACGTTTACCCATTGGAGACTAGACCATACAATCAAGGTTCTCGTTTGACTGCATACGAATTAACCCAAGAGAATATTCCTGGAACATTAATCACTGATAGCTCAATAGCATACAGAATTAAAACTTGTCCTATTCCAATTAAGGCTGCATTTGTTGGTGCTGACAGAATTGTTCGTAATGGTGATACTGCAAACAAAATTGGTACTTTTCAATTAGCTATAATATGTAAGCAATTTGGTATAAAATTTTTTGTTGTTGCTCCTAAGAGCACAATTGACAATATAACAGAAAATGGTGACGGTATTATTGTTGAAGAACGTAAAGCTAATGAATTTAAATTAGTCACAGGTACTTTAGTCGATCCAAATACTGAAAAACCAATGTTATCTGAGAAAAATGAACCGATATCTGCTAAGGTTGGTATAACACCACCAGAAATTGATGTATGGAATCCTGCATTTGATATTACTACACACGATTTAATTGAAGCTATTATTACTGAAGAAGGTGTCTTTACCAAGGATGTCAATGGAGAATTTAACCTGGAATCATTATTTTAGACATTGCATATTTGTTTTCCTAAAAATCTGTTGTTGATATATTAGTGATAGTTCCATATATATATACTATAAACAGCAATTATTGTAAAGATATCAATGATTTAAAAGCATCTGGAAAAAAACAAAAAAAATCGTGAATATAAAATAGGTTACTTAATGTAAATGCAGTTTACAGTCTATATTTTTTTACATATACGTTAAGATTAGCTGAATTTTTTCTTTTTCTTAAATCAAAGGTCTTCTCAAAGTTTAAAATCACACAAAATGCCTTGCTTATTGTAATTTTAACCTATTGACAACTATTCTAATGATCAGTAAAACCTATTTACCGTTTATTTATTATGTAAGAATACACACATACAAATGCAAATTCATTGAATATATTCAAAACTAACTTTCTATATTTGAATGAGTTTACAGAATTTTTTTTGAGATAAACACTTCCTATAGTCTCTACTTTAATCTTTTTTCATTTCTATCACTTTTCTATGTATTTTTACAATTTTTATTCTTATTATTGTCGTTAGTAACTGAGATTGTTTACATAAAAAAAAAAAGAATAAAAATATCCCAAGATATCTCCACTGGGTTATAAATTAAATACATATAATTTTATACATTCTCAGTAACGTGAATGAATACTATTTTTATAATACGACAACCCCAACTGCAATTTTAAAATTTTTCTTACAAATCAATTTCTTTTAGAAAATTTATAAAATTATCTAAAACCACGAACTTATTCTCAAACAGTCCTTTATTCTTCAATATCTTAATGTAATAATATCTAATATGTAAATATCCCATCAAAACAGAAGTACATCTGATTTTCTCCTATAAATGGGTTTCCTAAGTCTCTGATAAACACAATTGCAAGAGATCCCCTTTGGCTGCTCCAAGACAACATAGTGGGGTTGTTTACTAATAAAATATAATCGCTGCTTACTATACCCAGCATATCTTTCATATAATATATCAAAATATGTCAAAATACATGTATTCATTGTAAAACGCTTCAACTATTCTTTTTATTTATCAGCATAAAAAATTGAACCGGTTGCAACATTTCCATTACTCAAAATGGTAAGAAGAGATCAATTTTAGATCTTTTGTTGATATAATTTCTTGTTTTAGAAACACAGTCCAAATCAGGAACATTTTTTCTCTTTTCTGGTATTTTGAAAAAATTCAATGTTTTACTATTTTAGGCAAAAAGTAAATAAACGAAAGACACAGTAATTATTCTTGTTTGTTTACATGTTCGTTTTTTTACCATTTTTAGTTTATTTTCAATTTATTTTTTCAAAATATTCAAAGGAATGTCCTTCAAATAATAAAAAGGCAAGCTACGTTTATGGATTGAACAAAAGGAGGTGCTCAATAAAACTTTTATAGTAAGTACTCTTTGTATTTTTTGTAAATATGTTACCAAATAGAGACAGTACTAACTGAAAATTTTGTTTCCTTCAAAATGTCTTGAAACCAAGAAATAAAAAGTTAAAAAACAAATTACAGCAATTAACTGTATATTTTTCATTTATTTGTTTGTAGATGCATTTAGATTTGTTTCACTTGACATTAAGAAACTGAAAACTTGATTTGAACACTCTTAGTCTTGTTTTACTTTAAAATTTACAAATAAAGAACGTTCACTCTTTTGTCCCACTTTCTGTTCCATTTTTTATTGTTGTTTGTACAGGGATTATTATCATTCTCACTGTTGCAACTCCTCAATAATCCTTATATCAATTCTATTGACATAACTTTTTTGAAAAGCTTTATATAACAAACTCTCTTTTTAACTTCCCCAGAAGACTTTTCTAAGGACTACTTTCCTGTATTTCTGCCACTAAAAAAGTATAGAAAAAGTAGAACTACTAAGCTAGTTTTATATTATCACTTTGTTTAAATTCCTTTTTTGATTTATTTTTATTCATCAATAAGCTAATTGGAAGAGCTACTATTAAATTAATCTAGCTTATAGTTGTCTATTCTTCCTTTCGTTTTATTCTAAATATTTATACCGGGTGAAAATCTATTTTGATCTTTAATTTTACAGTTGCATAATATCTTTTTAGTCCACTTTATAATATTGCTCTTTTGTTTTTTAGTATAACCTACAATAACCATACTCTTCTTTTACTGTCTATCTCATAATAAATTCAATAGCAAAATTTTTATTTTAGCTTTGAAATGGGTTCGTCTGATCTTTTAGTGAAAAATTCAGGTAAGAATATGAATAACAATGGTGATATAAATATAGAAAACACTTCAACAAAATTATCAAAAAATGTTCAAAGACTCGCTTTGCATAATGTCACAAATAAAACATTACAACAAGAAAATGTCTCAAATCATAATTTGAAAGCAACTTTACTTAATACAAAAAATAGTCTTGTAACAGTACCTTCCTCAAATGCTAGGATACTTACTCGTGCCAATATTCAAGAAAATCCAACTCTTCTATCAAAACAGAAATATGATATAACTAACAATAATACCATTTCTAATGACCATTTAATTACTAATGACCAAAAAAATGCATATATTGACGACAAAGAAAACCAAGTTCCTTATCAAACAACAAACACTCTTCTAACCAACTCATCCAACCATAATGAACATAATAACAATATAGATTCTTCTAATAAAGAAAAGAGTCATTTTATAAATTCACAAGAGTTACAACAAAAGTCGTCCTCTACACAACAACCGTTAGAAGTTGATGGAAGTAAATATGATGATAGAAAGAAAAGACCAATCTCGACAGTAGTAGAACATGAAGAACCCAAAAAATTCAAAGTGTGTAATGAAAATGGGGAAGAAGAATATGTTTGGGAAGACTTGGATGCAGAAGATATTAATGACCCATTTATGGTTAGTGAGTATGTTAATGATATTTTCAATTATCTTCATCATTTGGAAGTAGTTACTTTGCCAAGGAAAGAAGATCTTTTTAAACATAGAAATATTAGACAAAACAGAGATATTTTAGTTAATTGGCTGGTAAAAATCCATAATAAGTTTGGGTTATTACCAGAAACCTTATACTTGGCAATTAATATTATGGATCGTTTTCTTGGTAAAGAATTAGTTCAGTTGGATAAATTACAATTGGTAGGTACATCCTGTCTGTTCATTGCATCTAAATATGAAGAAGTTTATTCACCTAGTATTAAGCATTTTGCATCAGAAACAGATGGGGCATGCACAGAAGAGGAGATTAAAGAAGGCGAGAAGTTTATTTTAAAAACTTTAGAATTTAATCTTAATTATCCAAATCCAATGAATTTTCTAAGAAGAATATCAAAAGCTGACGACTACGATATACAGTCACGAACTCTAGCTAAATTTCTTCTGGAAATATCTTTAGTGGACTTCAGGTTCATTGGTATTTTACCATCCTTGTGTGCAGCAGCAGCTATGTTTTTATCTAGAAAAATGCTGGGTAAAGGAAAATGGGATGGTAATTTAATACATTACTCAGGTGGATATACGAAAACTCAACTGGCTCCCGTATGCCATATGATGATGGATTATTTAACAAGTCCAATAGTTCATGATGAATTTCACAGAAAATATCAATCGAGACGTTTCATGAAAGCATCAGTCATATCTGTGCAATGGGCCTTAAAGGTAAGAAAGAATGGTTACGATATTATGACTTTACACGAGTAAAACCAAAAATAAAAATTGCAAGTATATTCTTGGACAATATAGGCACCCGTTTCATTCTTCATTTTTTTCTCTACTCATTTATTTCCTATTCTATTACTCAGATTTCCACTAAGGAATGCTTTGATACCCTGTACAATATGTCTTTCCACACAATAGGTATAGAATGTGGCTGAACTATAAATAATAGATTAGAGAGCACATACATGTTGCAATTTTAATTATTGTGCTTACTAAAGTTTATTCATAAACAATTAAATTAAGTCAATTTGGTGGGAACCACAATAAAATGTATTAATATGTTAATGTCATCTAAGAAAGTTACAAAATACACGTAGATACATACACCAAAAAACAGCATTATAGTCTAATTATTAATCTGGTGTATCTATGTGTATTAATGTATAGAAATCATAACCTTTTAAAATCATGTAAAATCAATAACCAGACAATTATTAAAATTGAATTTTAATAATTTAACTATAATAAATAATATTTATAATGCATATACATAATTAACTAATTTATTAATTAATTAACAATACTTTTTATTTTGAAATCAATTATTTTAAATCCAAGAACTGTGCGAGGTGAGTGGCGTAAACAATTGAATGATGGAACTTTACTAACGAATAGAATGCAACTATACTTAGTTTTTTCCTTAGAAAATCATATTTTCTCTAATAAATAAAGTAATGACGTTAAACACAAGATAGTATATGTATATTAAAATAATGTTACAACGAAAATAGATTTTCAAAATTTTTGTGAATTTGTAAACTGCACCATTCATTAACCATGCTCAACACATGTCCATATCTTTCAATGTTCTCATATTTTACTGCCAAATATTTAATTGGCGCCAAGGGCGTCACAATATCCTTGATCAAATCAACACAATATTTTTGAAATTGCATGTCCGTTAATGGATTTATATTACCACTGTAATGTTGTAATGTAGGATTCCATAAGTCATTATTTCTTTTTGTTATTCTTCTAGCAATATACATAACCATCGCAGCTAATATCGATGGTTTAACACCAATAAATTTAGAGGAACAAATTGAATATTCAAGCAAATATTTAGCAATATTTCTTGTCTCTGTGTCGTAATCATCTGCTTTAGATATTCTCCTAACAAAATTCAATGGATTGGGCCAACCTAAATCAAATTTTAGAGTAGACAAAATAAAGAGTTCTGCCTTTTTTATACTTGTTTTAGAAGCAGCACCTGCTGTAATGTATGCATATTCAGCCAATTTCGGCAAATGTATTTCTTCGTATTTGGCGGCTATAAATAGAGCTGTCACTGCAACTAATTGTAATTTATCTGTTCCTACTTTTGTTGTCTTAGCCAAAAATCTATCCATTATATTTATAGCCAATAGCAAAGTTTCTGGAAAACATTGAAATTTTTCATGAACTTCAATTAGCCAATCAACTAGAATAGCCCTAACAGAAGGCCTATAATATGCTTGATTTGATTTTATGGTATAATTACGTTCAGGGACTGTGGCCTTCTCCCTGGAATAAAGATGAGCAAAAATATCGTTTGTGTATTCTACCACTAATAAAACATCATCCCTTTCACTAGAATCTAGATCCTTCCACAATTGTACAGGTTCTTTTACAATATTAATAGAACTAGTCCCTTCTTTTTCCTGTGAAACTGGATTCAAATTTATATCATCCTGATCAGTATCTTTCAGAATCTTTCTTTTTTTCACTGCTGTATATATTAACTCAGTCCCCTCTCTACGTATTCTACTTTTAGAGTCTTGTAGTTTTGTATCTTCTGTGGACTCATCTCTATATATTTGTGGACTAGAGTCAGAATTGGGACCAATGTCTGAAAGAACTGTCCTCTTCCTTCTTAAAGCCAGCTTATTACCCCCTTTTAAACTCATATTGGGCACTGATCTATTCAACTGATTCTTTCGATTATCCATTGCAACATCTTGAGACTCATTATTTTGCTGTTCTAGATTACTACTCATGCTTTATATTGAAGTACAATTCTAACTATGAAATCAACAGAAAAGGAAAAAAAAAAAATACTACTTATAGTACAAATTTTTTCTAGCTAAAAAGAAGATGAAATTGTCAGGGAGTGAAAAAGGTTGAATAGATTGTAACAATAAAATTGTGATATCTTTTTTTTGTATTCCAATAGTTAAACAATATATGTCTTAAATTTTGAAGATAGTAAAATAGAATTTATGTGAAATTCCCAATTGCTCGTCTATGGAACAATATAACTTTAGTAAAGAAGAAATTGTCAATGTTTTTTCAGTTGAATGTACAATCAATAAGATTTCGTCCCAATTGTTACTCTGTACTTTACTTCAAGTACTTCACTTTTACTTTAAGTATCTCTCTGCTTATAATCCAAAATATTTCAAGATCGCGTCACAAATTTCATATCGCGTATACAAAAAAAAAAAAAGAAAAATCTTCGAGAGAAAAACAGATAAACAAATAAACAAACAAATAAACTCCAAGTTTACGCGTCATTTGATTGCTTTCTTTCGTGAATCAAACTTCTTATATTTCTATCTACTGCCCCCCCCTTCATACCAATACTCTTATCGATAGCTATCAATTATTCGCAATAATTATATAGAAATGCAAATAGATTATATCAGAGAGAAGAAGAAACTGAAACTTACTTGCTTATAATTAGGGATCAGTAATCAGATTTTTTTATGACGATGACAATAACGATAGCAATAAAAAATATATGTATAACATGTCTTATATATATATATGTGCGTGTATGATGCTCAGACATATAGCATATATTATTATTTACAGATTCTAGTTGAATCTTATTTTTCTTTTCTTTCCTTCTCTTTCTGTTTCTGTATTCAACACTGTAATATGTCTCACAAAAACAAAAATAAACAAGTTTATGTTACTATAGACCTACTGAAGACACGTATTCACTTACTTAGATCATTATTGTTATAATTATTATGGATTGATACTTTTTGTAGCATCTTCCTGTTGTTTATCTATATCGTCTAAACTCAATTGATCATTAATTCTTATTTTAGCATTCCCTTCCTGTTCTTCTTCCTCTTTCATAATTTCTTCTTGTTCTTTTAGTTGTTCTAATTTTTGTTTTGGAGATGCATTATCCTTCCTAACCACATTTACCTTAACTTCATGATACAATTCGTCCGGTAAAGCAGTAAGGACATCACACAAGGAATCGTATAAAGATTTTTTTGAAGAGGCAGCACCATAGTTGTATGATGTGGCCATAATTAATAAAGTTGATGGGATCTTATCCTTTAATCTCATGTTCAACCAGACACGTAAATTCTCCCTTAAAACGGAATCATTTACATCTTTTATTCTGATACCCCTTGACGCACAAGCACTGCGCAATTCTTGTGAATTCAATTGTTCTGCATCTTCGTAATAGATAGAGAAGTCGTCCTTCTTTAAATCCAACATTTTATATCTGACACGATAACGCAAAATGACATCTGTACCAAAAGGTTGGATATTCATATATTTAGCAAGAGCAACTAAGTACGGTCTTGTTAAGTTATCCAGAACTGTATCATCTGTGTACAACCTAGCCACTTGAATCAATTGTTTGCGAGATTCAGGTTCACCATTCTCTCTGACATGTTTATAGAAATCATTAAAGATCTGTTTCTGTTCCTCAGTTATATTGCTTGGTTTAAAATGTGATTTATTTTCTTTAATCACTTCGGCTACCAACTCTCTTGTCTTCCTTAAATTTTCTAATTTAGACTGTTTATCCTTCTTGGATTCATATGTGGAAGGTAACAAATTGGGAAATAATTTTAATGCCACAGGTAACAGTAACTCAGCAAAGGGGATCAATACAAATGCTGCAAAGGGAACCAATCTGACAACATCTCTAGTAGTTCTCTTAACTTGAATCATTTCTCTACGAGTCAAGGAATGTCCGGCAAGCATTTTAGTAACTAGCTTATAAGATATTTTCATTTCAAAACCCAACAATTTTGTACCATCCCAATAATGAGACGCCTCCTTTTTGACTTTTGTCCATAATGATGGTTTTTGTACTTTAGTTATCAAAGTTGTATTACTCTCTGTCTTTGAATTGACATCACCAGAAGACTTCCTTTTCTCATTGGTAGTCTTCGTAGAAGTAAATCTAATAGATCCAAATGGGTATGTATTCAATATTTTATTCAATAATATTACATCAACCAATTGTATTTTTTGACCTTTTGATCCCTTTAGTAGATCTCTATTAATTACTGATACAGATAACATAAGATCTTATCTAATTTTTTTTCCTTATTTTTTATCCAACTTCTTTTTAAAGTGTTCCAAACCTAGTAGTAATTGTACTATATGTGAAATGAAGGTTAGATTACTTTCTTTTTTTTTTTTTTGGTTAAGACTCGAATGGACTGCTTAGCTTAATTTCACCCCATTCTTACTGCCAAAACAGTAATTATATACAATATTTCAATTTTATTTTTTTTTTCACATCTTTGAACATATTGTCAGCTTCTTTACGTATTATTATTATGATTATTATTATTCTAAATTTACATGGGGATAAGAAAAAATCGATACTGACTTTGCGAAGTCAAGCCACAACAATAGCGCATCTCGTTTTTATCTTTCCCGACAGCGGTCTTTTTTTCTATTTTCTTTGTTTTTCCTTTTTTTGTAAAATTTTCTTATTATTTTTTCTGGTGTTTTCTGTGTTGAGCCTAGAAACTTCGTGCATGACGTCGATTGGACTGATTGGGAAACCAGCAGACAGTATTTTAGGGTTGTAGTGATAGCTTTTGTATTTATTTACATCAAAGATATTTTTCTATTAGGGCTTAATCTTAAATTTCTCTAAACTTTAATAACTCCAAATACAGAGCAAAAGAGAGAAAAAGAATGAGAGATTCATTTGGAAAGCTAAACATGCTTAATTGATATTTTTCATTTCTAGCTGAGACTTAGAATTACATATGTAATCAATCAGAATACACCATTTTAATATTTTGAAAAACATTTAATCTGTATCAAATGACTGGATTCTGATATCATTTCATATACTACTTATTTTTTTCTTTCAGTTCATTATGTTACATTTGCAGCGTGATGCCTCTTACACAATTAAAATCAAATATAAATCATTGATATGAATTTCGACAAAATAATAATAATATCGAAACAGAGATGTTCAGAATTGCCTATGAAGAGTATCAATATTTTTTACAAGAATACATATTAAGTAAGAATTAAAATTACATCAATATAAAACAAACATATATACTTATTTTTAATAGAAAACAGTGTATATAAAATCATAATGTTATTACAAATTTACAGAAAAAAACACATAAAAAATATTTTCTTTTTACTTTTCTTATTTATTTATTTTCTTTTTTGGTTACATTTAAAATCTTTATTTTTGTTGAGAAGCAGCCAATTGCTTGTTTCTATTTGCTCTTAACAATGTCTTAAAACCATTACATAATTGAACCACACTTGGATAATTATAATTGACTAAATAGAACCCTGTATTAGTTAACTTAACATTCCATGTGTATAATGGCTTCGACGAATTAATCTTGAAATTAATGTAAAACCATCCAGGGTGATCGTAATTTAGACTAAAATAATAAACAGATTTATTTGGATTGACTTTAGAGTAATCTTCAATGAATTTTCTAACATCTTTAGCATTGCCACGTTTAAATTTTTCATTAGACATCATCTCATTCAATAATCTAACCTTATGTTGTAAATATTCCACAATCAGTTGATCCAAATCATGGTATCTTTGATTATCCACAATTAATACTCTACCTAATGCTAATGGATTTTCTTTATCTAACTCCTTAATATCTATATGTTCGAATAGATCCTTATCCAACTTCCAAGTAATTGTTAAATGATCGTCACCACGACTAGATTGTCTAATCACAAAATCACCACGTTCCTTACTTCTTAAATAATCCTCTGCTTGCTTGTGATTGAATGGGAAGTAATATGGATGATTAATAACACGATGTGTTCTCTTTTCACGTGCTCTTTCACTAGTAATTTTCTTTTCTTCCTCCATATCCTTCATTTCTTGCTTCAAATCCCATATAGATGGATCTTTGCTATAATTAATTGGAACATATTTATGCCTAATATCATTTTCTAATAACGATACTTCTGCAGATATATTCGGATAATCAATATAAACCACTTTAGCAGGATACACTCTACCAATTTCATAAATTTCATTTGGTGGTTTTCTATACTGCACACCAGCATGACGTTGTGCATTAACAGTACAATCTATACCTGAATTTGTAATACACTTAATATCATTATGCCAGAATCTTTCAACTCTAACAGGAACTATACAACCTTTGAAAAATGTCTTATCAGTTTCACCTGTTAATGCATAGAAAATCTCTTCACCTTGTAATGGATGGAAATCGTTTCTCAACTCTTCAAACCCATCTAACAATTCTAGCACGATAGTACTCAAATTGTTTAATTTTCTTTGTCCTGTTTTGGCTTCTAATTGCTCTGCATATTGTTCCAAATTTAATGACTCTAACTTGGTCCTACGATCCGGATCCTCTCTTAAGTACTCAATAAAGTCACTCATTGTACCTTGATCTTCCTTTTCAGCAATTACATCAGGATCATATTCAAGAGCATCAGCTGCCACTTTGGTAGCTAAATGATAATCTTCTGGATGAATTCTTGTGCTGTCTAATTGATCATATTCTAAATCTTCGTACCTTTGTTTCTTTTCATTCCATGAAACGTACAGGAAACCTGCACAGTTCATGAAAATCGTTTTATGCAAAATATTATGAGTAATTAATTGTTGACGAGCCAATAATGGTTCATTCAATCTATGTAAAGATTGAATAAAATCTAAAGATTTACGCTTACCAAAACCTGCGATGTATCTTAAACACTTGGCATAATAATCGTTATTTGTAGCTTTGTTAATCTCAACACCAACCAAATTAACTATATCCACAAATGCAGTTTCCAATATTTGTTCAAATATGTCCCTTGGTAATAATGATTGGAATGGGTGTATACTTAAGGATAATAACTCTTCATTAGTCAAATTAGCGTACTCTAATAATGGAGAATGCATATAACGAGCTAAACCAATACAATATTTAACCAAAGGTGGTTTATTTGGGAATTCATCAAGAGCTCTTTTTGAATTTTGGTAACGAAGGGCGACCTCATCTTCAACAAAAATAACAGGGATCGTATGACCTCGACTGTCAACAATTTGTTTCCTATGGATTACTTCTTGAACCCTTTTGTAGAATCTTTCAGTTTGAGGATTTGGACCATTAATACCAATAGCATTTGGTTGGCAATTTTGGATAATTTGATCTAAAACATCATCAAAGGCTGTTGGGCTTGCCCTATCAAAAGGATTCTCAGTAATCTTAAAATCTTTAACGAAATCTGTCTTACGATTCACAAAAACAGCAATAATAGCATCCGATCCAAATCTACCTTGCCCACATGTTAATGTCAACACTCTAGGGATTTTTGGTTCTTTCAAATTTGGAATAAATGGTGCTTGATCTAGTTTAGTCATAAATTTATGACGTACTATTTTAGCCACTTTCTTTTGGCATAATTTGGTTAAATCATCTTTAATTTCACGAGATATATCCACAAAGATAAGTGATAGTGCTTCTCTAAAAGCTTCCTTTCTAAATTTATTCCATTCGGTTGCTAATTCTGACGTATTAGTAGTCTCTAGTGCAATTTGAAAAAGATGTTCTATATATTGATCCTGAGAGGACATGTGTAATTTGATGTTCATTAAGTTCAAGGATTCTGCCTCTAGCATACGCAAAAATACATCTGGATCTCTTGCAAAATGTAGTGGAGTTCTATTTATAGCATATTTGATATCTTCATATATGGAACCTCTTTGAATTTCATTTTTACCCTTCTTAGTTAGCACAACATCAACTAAATAGTATTTATAAAAATCTGATCTGGCCTTCTCTCTTATCTTAATGTTCTTGGACAATTCTAATGAGTAATATTTCTTAACAGTGTCAATTGCTAATGCCTTATTCAATGTAAATATTTGAAGTTCTTTGGAATTTTCGTCAACAATGTTACTTATTATTTCTGCTGGTTTTAAGGATGCATGATCTTGAGGTGTATGAATTTGGTGTTGAGCACTAATGTTGTTGCCGACTTCTTCAGCACTAATACCAATCTCTTTGATAGCTTGATACAATGGACTTGCCTTAAATTTTTCATAGCTAGAACTCTTTAAATGTCTTTTACCATTGTGTTCTACTTGATTCATCATACTGGAGTTAATTTCTTTAGCATATTTAAATTCCAAATAGGCATGAATATCTTGTAATGCATTTAATTCAGCAACTGATGAAGAATTTTGATTTTGGAAGTAATCATCTACATTTGAATCATGAATGTTCAAATCATCGTAAAACTTCTTAACATATTTCTTTTTATTAATAATACTATGGAATTCAATATCTAATTTAACAATTTCCCACAAATCATCTTCTGATAGAGCAAATCCACCAGGTTTTCTGGATGTAATATAATTACGACGATATGCATATATGAATGGCACCTCTAAATTATCTTGAGTAACAAACCTAATGGAATGACCAATAGCCTCCTTAAATTCACTCAAGTCATATGAAGGCTCAAAATTTTTATCAACAGCAATCTTATCACTAATCCAGTTCTTCTCTAATAATTGATCCTCAACTGATAAATTACCATAATTTGATATACCAGCTCTAATCTCTTGATACCGCTCTGGTATATCAGTTTTTCTAATAACCATGTCTTCTTCTGTCAAAAGATTTTCCTTCAAATCTTCTAGATCAAAAATGTCTTGTAACTGAGATTTCTTTGAAGTTTTAACACCACTATCCTCATCTTCAATTTCTCTTTCTTCATCTTGTATATCCTCTGGTAAAATTCCTTGTTCCAATTCTTCATTTTCAATTTCCAGAGCCCAATCATAATCATGTCCATCACCAAATATATCGTACATCTCATCAATTTTCTCAGATGACAAACCTAATATTTTTGTTGGTTGTTTCAATCTTTGTTGTTGCTGTAATTTTCTTTCTTCTCTTCTTTGTTGTCTTGTTTCTTCATCCTCGTCTGAAAACTCGTCTTCTTCAATGAAGTCATCTAATTCATCTAGGATACCACCTTTACGAGTAGTCATATGTCTATTATCAACATCATCCTCATCTTCATCATAGCTATTCCTTCTGTTCCTAGATAAATCTTCTTCTTCCTCTTCATCCATATCGTCAGCAAAGATAGAATCTAATTGTGAAGTCCCTGTTGCCGTATCTCTGTTTCTATCACGAGAACCAGATTCGCCATCCACTCCATCATTATCCTCGCTTCCAACTCGTTTTAACCTTTTCAATCTGCTTGAACTACTTCTAGATTCGTCCGTAGATCTTTTTACACCTGCATTTTCCATTAATAGATCTAAATCGTCTTCAGATAAAGCGTCCTCCATCTCTTCTCTTTCTCTATTTCTTTTCTTATGTTTGCGCTTTCTTTTATTACTCACCGCACCAGACCCAGTATCGCCTTCGTCTTCTTCATCATCATCAACAATAAACCCTTCTTTGACTTTACGAGCTTCGTCTTCATCATCATCTAAATTATCGTCCTCTTCAGAAGAATCGAATACATTTTCCTCATCTTTCTCGTCACTAGGGATATCATCATCGTCGGCATGGTCAATAATTTCCTGCTCCTCGTCTCGTTTTACTATTTGATCGTCGTCCATGTTCTTTTATTTATGTATATGTATACTATATGGAACCAAAAGAAAGACCCTTAAAGATTATATTAATATAGTTATGTTAATTTTATTTCACTGTTATAACTAAGGGTAATAGTAAAAAAATTAAAATGGGTAAAAACTCTCTATATGTTGCAAGTATAATTTGAACTCTCTATTTGAAGCTTAACTAAACTGAAAGAAATTGTAGTGATCTAAACCAACATTATTGAAGTGCTTTTGATTAAATTTATTTTAGTATAAATTTTTCACTCTCTTTAATTTCTAAAATGGAACAAACAAAAAAATGAAAGAAAAAAAATATATAAACTCCAAAAAAAAAAAAAAAGAAACGACTGAAAAGGAGGGTAAATAAACTAAACCCTAGGTCTTGCCATTATTGAATTACTAATATATTTTACTAATTACTACGAATATCATTTTTTTTTCCTTAAAGACACATAAAAAGGATATAAAATATATAATATATAATATATCTGAAGCAAAAAAATGTTGAACCATAGTCTTATTTGATGTAAATTTTTACAAATATGGTACATATGTGTATATAGATGAAATATTATTATTATTACTATTGACGGTGGTTTAAGCTATACATATGTATATTCATGCATCTGTGTCTGTGTATAACAAAGAGCTTTTTTTTTACTTTCAGTTTATAAGTGAAAAATTATTTATATTTATCTGGTGGCACTAAATTTGCATCCATATCATTACTTTGTTCTTGTAATTTTATGGTTTCTGACATATTACGCTCCGCATTTCTATCATCGTCCTCAGTTTCATTATCATCATTACAACAGCAATTAGTCTCTTGATTACTATTACTATTATTATTATTATTATTATTATTATTATTATTATTATTATTATTATTATTATTATTATTATTATTACCGCTATTTACTGGAGCAATGCCTTCATTATTAGTAGCTGGGATATTATCATCCTTTGCTAAATTTGTAACAGAGATACGTTTATGCCTGCCACATTTACAATTATTGCCACCACCACATTTATTAATTCTATCCAATTCTCTTTGAATTTCCCATCTATATAAAAGCAACGTTTTACAACGATTAAAAAATACTTCAGATAAAGACAACCCTGTTATCACAGCAAAGACGTAAGTCAATACAAATGACATGGCTGCAAGCATCAACATGTAAATAATCATTGTTGATGTAAATATTATTATGACTCTGATAAAGTCATGAATTAGATCATTTAGGTTAGGAGCAAAAATATCAAATAACAAGTTTGGCATTTTTGGTAAAGGCCGTGTTAATTGTAAACCATTATTATCTTGGTACACTTGTGTAACATCCGAATCATATTCTGTTTTCTGACCATTGGAGAAAAGTGATGAGTTATCATCGTTATCGTCAAGAGTTTTGTTAATATTATCACTATTATTTTGTAGAGATAAAGCACTTTCCAGCTTTTTTGTCTTATTCCACTTCTTAAACCAACGGATCTCAAGAATCCAATTCAAAAATAACAAAAATTTATAGCAGAAGGCAGCCGCTAAGATAAGTACAAAGATACCAAAGGCATCAGCCTTGGTATTTGCATATAATTTTTCAAATACAACTGGATATTTAGCATATTTTCTAGTTAGATAATAATTCATACCCATATGTGAACTCATATCCATGCTCATATCCATACCTGTTGATGAAGTTGTAGTGCTGTCACTGTTGCTACTAGATGAAGAACCACTTTGGCCGTATGTAGATCTTGATTGCATGATCATATTCATTGTAGAACTGCCCATGCCCATCGACATTCTAGAATGATCGTGACTCATTGAGGACATGGCGGTTACCATAGTAGAAGCCATTGTTGTTAATGTAGTAGATACAAGGGAACTCATTGTCATGCTTGAACCACCATTGTTCATATGCATAGCACTATTATTTGTAGTCATATTTTAAATATTTAATACTTTTTTATAATCAATTCTTTAATAAGGGGTGATATGATACAAATGAGAATGTGGTTTTACTTCTTATAATATGATGGTTAGAAAAACTAACAAGAAGGCAAAAAGAAAATAAGAAGAAAAAGTATATACTATAATAAGTTAAGGTCCACTCAACAGTTATATATATATATATATATATACGTTTACGTATATTTGTAAACGGCTTACACAGAATATCAATGCATAAATTTACTTCTACTGCATTCTATCGGTTTCTTGATAAAAGGGATGGAATTTCTTTTAAGGTGTGCATATCTCTGATATCTTCAAGCAAATTTCAGAATTGTATTTTTTTTTGTTTTTCAAAATTTTAAAATTTGCTCGAGCAAATTAACTCGGACTATGGAAGGAGAGAAAGAGATTCAGGAACGGGACGGCTAGTCGAGAGAAACCAACTCTCTTATAGGGTGCTGTTTTGAGAGCACCTACACACACAAGCACATATATGCTAGCCATTTAGTGTTGAAGAAGAGACAAATATATTGAATAAAAAATGCTAAGTAAAATACGGGGGTTTTTGCTAGTTTAGCTTCTCGACTTTTGATAATTTTTCAACCAATAATGCGGAAAATCACCATCTTTATGATATGTTTTTGGTGATTCTAATTGATTTAACGGTGAAATATTTTCTACATTATATTGAGTAACATCTGCACTTACAAAAGAGGGCAACCTTCTATTTATACCTACTTGTTGAACTATCTGTGACACAGATTGTCCAAATTCTTTGACTAAAGCATTGCAAAATTTCCATGTTTCACCTCTTGAAGAAAAATATTTTAACAATAATTTCATTAAAGTTCCTGGGGACCCATTTGATTTCGCAACTAAACTTTTTAAATCTTCTTGTTTTATTGTAAACCCTTTTAATTTTAAAAAAGTTTCAATTTTTAAATATAATTGCTTCTCAGTAATCTCTTCCTTATGTAATGGACTCCTAACCCAGATCGATATTTTACACCTACGTCTAGAGTTAGGACTTAAATGTTCCTTGAAAAATTTCATATATTCTCTTTTGGATAAATCTTTCACCACGTTTCTATCTACTAACTGGTGTCCTTTAGCAAAAGTATTGTCACCATGAACAATTTGATTAAATATATGACAATGATCTTTTAGTTTACGTCCATTTATTATATCACGAGGCCCATGACTAATATCTGCAGGAATCTGTGTCATCAAATCCCTTGGACCACATGATGTTTCTTGAACACTATCATTATCTTCTTGTTCAATCATTCTGGCAAACGGTTCTAAAAATTCTATCAAAAATTGTTTTGTTGTTAACTGTCCCAAAATGACAGTCTCTAAAAAAATTAAATACTGATTAATTTGCTTCTCCAAGGTGTCAGGATCACTTGATGACATCACAGTTACATGTATTCCTATAGTATCTATCAAAATCCTCATTCCACCTAAAACCACATATCCTATCTGTTTTTTATATCTAAGATTGGGAACTAATGTTAAAGACATAATATATTCTGTAAATTTAGTCAATGTATAAGCATATGAGTCATAACGTCCACCTGTTTGTATAAAGTATACTACACTGTTGTTACTATCTCTAGCTTGACTAAGGTACTCCACATAGTCATTTGTACCTGGAGATAATCTTGCTGTGGAAATAAATTTTTGCTCTGATGGTGTATCACACTGGCTCATATTTAAGTGATGTGTTAAGTTGTTATCCAACAAAAAATTAATTTTATCTACTATATAAAGATTGTTACTTTGAACAAATAATTTCAAAAATGTATTATTCCCAGATCTTTGTAGAAATTCGTTTAAAAAGAATTTAAACTGATTTATATTACTGTTGGCTAAAGCCTCTAATCTATCTTCCACAGTCCACATATTTCTTTCCATGACAACTAAAAGCCCCATAGAGGCAACTTTTACAGGTATATCGGAAAGTGCTTTGATGTACTTTTTTTCCACTGTATTTTTGGCATTATTAAATATTTTCTCACTAAGTAGTTGATCATTATTCATATTATTTAGGGACTTTATAGTATTGGTAATTTCTTTAACAATTTCAGGTAACCCTTCATTAAAGCCAGAAATAGTAAAACTAACTTTGACTTGACCCTCCGGTGATGCAGTAATTTCATAAGTATATCCTAACTTCAAAGCAGGATATAATTTATAGGATAAAAATAAATCTATAATTATTACAAATATTTCCAAATAAATTGTATTTGTGACACTAGGCGTTAAATTTAATGATAACAGTTCAAAACTTACAATACTCTTGTTGTTATTGTTAGTCCTTAATTGATTATTATTACTTGAAATATCTTTATGATTATACATATCATTTAATGGAGACACCCACATTTCGTAAAATATTGATTTATTAATCAAACATGGTTTTTGCTCTTCTCTGGAATCTAATTTTAAATTGAGTTGCAAAGTAGAAAACCGTGAACGTAATGAGCACTCTCTGAACAAATTTTTTAAACATAAAATCTTAGAGATATAATTTGGCAGAAAGATATTTGTTTCGGATAGATATAAATTAGAATAATTATCTGCTATCTGTAAACTGTATTGTAATATTATTTCTTTGAAAGATACTTTTTCTAGTAAATATTGAAATCCATAATATGGATCGGTGTCAAAATGTTGCTTCTTATTTAATAACATAAATGTAAGATTCTTAACAGATACATTTAAAAATAATATTTTTAAATTATTTGCATTAATAAATTCCTTTAGAAAACTTTGAAAAGATACTGCTTGTTTATACCACCAATCTGTAACTCCTGATAGATCATCAATCTGCTCAGTATTAAGATCAATTAACATTGGTGACATCTGGAATAAGTATTCTAATTTTATCTCTGACAAATCTGTTTGTAAGAATTCACTTAAATTAGAACAAAATTCTAAAGCAGAAATTTCTTCCTCCTTATATAAATAATTGATATAATCAATTAGTGTAAATTCATAAAGGAGAGAAGCAATTTTTTTGGTATACATTTTAGATATTAATTTTTTTGTATTTTCTAGTATTCCATAAATTATATCTAAAATATGATTTGTACCAACTATTGTTAGTGAAAACTCTAATGTTAAACCTAAGTCATTAGTGGTAAAGATAGATCTATATGCAATACATTCATCTATCCAACCTTTTTCTTTAAAATTATAATAAAATGATCCAATTGATTCATCTCCAAATAATTCACACCAAATTAAGCCAAATACTTTAATTTGCTTACTAGAGAAAATTGAATCCTTGTTTGACACAGGAAATAAAAATCTAATCGTAGGGTGTTTATCGGAGTTTATAATAATAACATTTGGATCATTTTTTTTAAAACATGGTGTTGCTTTATACGTTTTACTCCATTGTCTAGACAAAATGTTTGATTTTTTAATCTTAGTAATTCTTGGTATATTTGTATTATGCGGTTTTCTCAAGGAACCTAATTTAGATCTATTTTGTAAGAATGGATATGCCTTAATGTTACCAAACTTGGTCACTGCTAATTTAGTTAACATATTTACAGATTGAGGTCCTTTGATTACCAACGTCATATTTGTAGCAAAAAAATTTTGATTAAAATATTCTATTAATATAGATTTTAGGTCTGAGCCACTTATTTTACTTAAAGAAGTAATATCACCAGTTGAAAACTGGTGAAATGGATGTTCTTTATAGCTTAATAGACGTGTACCATGATAAAATATTTTGTCAATATTGGAAATATTACTGTCATGTTCACTTTGAATGACATAAAGTTCTTTATTCAATAAATTAGTTGAAAATAATGGGTTGGTAAAAAAGGATGAGAAAATATCCATAGCAAGATCAAATTCTAATTCCCCATTAGTATTAATATTTGACATTTCAAAAAAGAATGTTGTTTGTTCACCAGTAGTATATGCATTATGTGTCCCATTATTTTTGGCCAATATTTTATGATACAGATTTGGATCTGGGTACATTTTTGAACCTGCAGCAAAAAGCATATGTTCACAAAGATGAGCCACACCTGGTGTTCCTTTAGGATCATTATGACTTCCAGTTGCTACAGTTAGAGAACACACACTTGACAAGTCATCAGGATCAGAAATTAATAAAACAATAAGTCCATTAGGAAGCCTACATAATTTATGACCTCTGTGACTGTATGAAAAAGGAATTTGGTACTGAATATCAATATTTTCAATTTTAGACCAAAGAGACATAATCTTTGGACGTTAGCTATCTTAATATGTTGTGTGGTTGTTTAGTATCCCAAAGTTTTGGAACTCTTTTTCTAAATTAATTATATTAAATGTCAATCAACCTTTTATATGTATCTTTATAATCCTAAAAACATGTAAATTACCAAAAATGGAAAAATCTGAAATTATGAAACTCTAAGTATTTGAAGATAGAAAATAAAAATAAAAAAGAATTTAAAGTGGAGTAAAAATGATGAAGAAGATCATAGTATTCAGTAATAAAAAAGGAACAGCCATATAGTAGTATGACTATTGATCTATAAGAAATAAATATATTGTTGTCATTTTTTCTTTAATTAAGTTTAAAGTAAAGGGGGAATTATTTTTTTTAGATATACCAATACTTAATCTGTACAGATAATTGACTTAATATAAAATATCCTTGGCATCACCTATTCCCACAATATATTAGTCCTTATTTTTATAGCATATTTTGTTTTATCCTTATATTTTATATATAGATATTTTAATTAGGATAGAGAAGTTTGTCCTGATTATTGGTAATTAAGAGAATAGCAAAAAAAATCAGAAAATTTTTGTCTCTAGATCTATTTCTAATAAACAAATTATAGATATTTTTGTTTATTTCTTATAAAATCATATGAAAAAAATAGAAAAAAATATGTACTATTATGAAGCCAATGTTCATTTGGGGGAAAGAAGTGTTTTTATTCATAGTTCATTAGAATATAAGGTTTATTCTAATGTTAGAAAAGAAAGATTAACCCTATTTTTTTGTTGTCGTTTTAATTAACTAATCAGTTAATTAATCAAATATTCTATAAGAAGTTGTTTATTGTTTGTTTTTTTGTTGTTTTTTTTTGAATCTAATTTCATAAGGACAGGTATATATTTTTATAAAACATTTAATGGTAACTAGAACATCAAAAAAGATATATGCAATCAAGAGAATATTTCGTTTTAGTTTGTATCAATTGCTAGATGGTGTTATTTTGTTAACATCCACCCATCTAAAGCTTGTCAGACCTGTATACAAATGAAGCAGAAAATAAAATTAAATCTATGCTTAATGAGTCGTGAAATTAGGCCCTAAAAAGAGAAAAGCGAATGAGAACGACAAAATCCGAAGTGCCTCGGCCGAACATTTAACCATCAAAACAGAGGAGTTCACAATTATTATTACTTTAGTTGGTAAATATTTCTGTATAGGAGTGTCAAAACTAACTTGGAAACGATGATCTATAAATGTTCGGCCGAATTTGCTTCTTTCGTTGTTCTCTTATTTTTCCAGCCATAGAGTAGAGAAAGTTATAAAAGATTGCTTACGTTTGGTGAAGCCTGAGTATTTGGAATATGTCGAGATAACAAACATAGGACGGGGTTTTTAAGAAAAAAATTATTTATAGAAGATTAAGAGTCTTATAGTACCCTGTGTTTTATTCTAAAGAGCTAACTGCTTTTTCTCCAATAAATTATCCATATATCACTATAAACAGGTACACTAGAAACTAAAAAAAAATGTCTCGAACCTCAGATATTGTTAATGATTTAAGACAAATCCAGACTGGTTATGGTTTAATGAGTTTAACTTGGAGACCAGAACCAATTCCAAAGGACATTGCGTTTGTTTCTATGAAACGTGTTATAGATATAGCATTAGAAAGAAATACCAAAGCATTTTTCAATGTAGGTGAATTTTATGGCCTAGATAAGATTAATTTAATATTAGTAAAAGAATTCTTTGAAAAGTATCCAAACTTAAGACAACATGTTATCATATCCTGCAAAGGGGGCGTTGATGACAAAACTTTATCTCCAAAAGGTAAATATGCCAGTGTTATTGAAAGTATTGAGACTTCTCTAAAATATATTGGTGGCTACATTGATATCTTCGAAGTTGCTAGATTAGATACATCTATTTTAAAGGAAGGAGAAGTATATCCATATGAATCTTTTAAAGCTTTAGCTGATAAAATTGAAGAAGGTAGAATTGGTGCCATTTCTCTGAGTGAGGTGAATGAACTTCAAATTCGATCCATTCATAATGATTGGAAGAAATATTTGGCATGTGTTGAGGTTGAGTTATCCTTATTTAGCACTAATATCTTATATGATGGTGTTGCCAAAGCATGTAGTGATTTGGGTTTGGTTATCATTTGTTATTCTCCATTAGGAAGAGGGTTATTAACTGGTCACATTACACCATCTTCTACTTTCAAACCAGGTGATTTTAGAGCGGTTCTTAAAAGATTCCAAACCGATTCCTTGATCAAAAATCAGGTGTGCATTGATTTCTTGAATAACATTGTTAAAGAACGCCCAGAAGATCAAAAATGTTCTTTAGTTCAATTGGCCCTTGGTTGGGTCAAGTATTGGAATAGTAGAGAAGAATTTAAAGGCGCTAAATTCATTCCAATTCCCTCTGGATCTACTGTAGATAAAGTTAATGAGAATTTCAATGAAGAAAAGGGGAAGATTACAGAAAAAGAATTTGAAAAAATAAATGAATTTTTGAAAACGTTTCAAGTTGCTGGCGATAGGTATGAAATGGCAATCAATTAAAGTCCTCTTTTAAGCGAATGGATAGAATTCTTTATGATATATATATATATATAGGTAGTCCTATCGGTAATTATTTCAGACCAAGTTTTATCCATATGGGGATATAAAGCAACAACTCTCTTGATATTGTCAGTATTACTTTGTTCTCCTACCCTTTTGTATATATTTACGTATGTCTTATACTTAAAAAAGAATAAAAAAGTAATGGTATATGTAGTTTAAAATTGTGTTTTTACATAGGAGAGATCGTTGATACCAACTATATAAGTAATAAATATCTATAAATATATATAAGTGTCAATGTGTTAATGTGTTAATGTACATAGGTGTTTTAATATTTTGTACTGGGTTTTTTAAGTCTACGTCTCATTATTAGAGAAATAATTAATATTATACGATTCAATTTTTTACTTAATTCACCTTTAAAGGAAAATAAAAGACCTTGTACAAGAACACCCTTAGTTAACTGAGGTAAAAGTCCTCTCCAAAGTCCCTTTAAACCTTCATTTTTCAAAAGATATAATAAAACTTGTTGGAAATTTTGATATTGTGAACCAACACTTTGTAAAGAAGCTTTTGCAACAATTAAAGGTTGAGTAATGATAGTAGAAATACATTTGGATATGACACCTAAGATAAAATTTTGTAATGGAGACATTGAATCGGTGCCCAATTGCTCGCTAGATCCAAATATGATTTTTTTTAATCTTTGATATGCTGTGTATGTTATGGAGGGATTTAGAGTTAGCATAAGCCCAACTTTTAAACCCTTCCAAAATACTTTAATGTCACCGTTGCTTTCTTTATATAAATCTTGAACTACATTAGTTATTCTTGAATCTTGTGAATTTTTAGTGGTCTGTTGTCTTGTAGTAATGACAGCAATTGGAGTAGTGAATATTTGTGACATTGTGGCAGCAAACACACCGATTGTTAATTCTTCCAAAGTAGAAATCTTCAAAGGTTTTGAAATACTTTGTAATTTAAAGTTAATATACTTTCTCCTTATTAGAGTATACCAAAAGAAATAACAAAAATTCATAATAAAAGTACCAAAGATAGAAGTAGCGCACCCTTGGTAAAGCCCTTTCAAACCTTTTGTTTGAATAATGTGTTTCATACAGTCAATAATATTTTTGTATTGTTTATGATCTGTCTTAAATTCTTCATCTTTTTCTTTGTCTTCCTTATATAACTCTTTATGATGATGCTGGGTTTGGATTAATGTCTTGGAGAGATCTAATGGGTATACAACAGTATTCGCTAAAGCAGAGGCAATGGCACCAGTAATTGCAGATTCCAAAGTAGCCATTTTTTCTTTATGCTTACGGTAGAGTGTGATTAAAAAGTTATCAGCTCGTTGTTTGAATAGATATTATATCTTAATGTACTAGGAGAGTAAGGTCAAGGATCAAAACTCGTTGTAGTCGTAATCATTACTTTACAACTTAAAATATTATTGCTTTTCTTCGTTTTTTTTTTGTTATACTCTTGAATATCTAGAAAAATAATCTTTTGGATTTTAATATTTTGAGAGATAAAGAATAATAAAACATAAAATATACATATATGCATATATTATGAAGGAATTTTACTATGTGTTGACGAGTTATTAGCTTTAAAGCTTCTTTTGCTGGTTGAAATTTAAAAGAAATAATACGTCAAGCTAATAGATACATCAGGTTTCATCTCTGAAAAATAAAAAAAGAGATTTATTATATTATGGTCTTGCAGATAATTTTATATCATGAAATGGAAATCGAGATCATATTTCCAGGTAAAATTTGAAAGAGAGAATATAATGTACTCTTAAAGTATATTATATGTTCACATATATAGAGAGAGAAAATAATAGAAAGGAGATAAGTGTCATTGTTACTAATATTAAAATCCATTAGGTGAATTTCTAATATTTTTACAGAATTTACAGAATCTGGTATACAATATGCCTAAGTCTAATACTGTCACTCAGTTCAGTAATATTATAGTCATTCATAAGCTTTTTAGAGTATCCTAGCCATTTCCTAGTTGGTATTGTGCTTTTCTTTTTTTATTAAAGTTTGTTAGTGTCAAAAAAATAAAATGTTTTATTTGTTACTGGTTTCAGTAAATTCACTAATAATGACCAGTTGTTTAGTTTTCCAAAAACTATTGTTCATCAATATGCTCTTCAAAATTCACAGATTAGGTATCAGCAATAACAACAAGTTCATTCTTAGTTTTTATTGGAAAAAGAAACAAATAATTCCCTTTGATTTGTTTGATCAGTCAAATTAGACATTATTAATAAATAATTATACCCAACTCCTTGTTATTTGTTGTTATTGCGTCTCGTAGGTAATCACAACCAAAAGTGAGATATATTTCCTTTATAAAGTACTTAAAATATAGTAATGACAAGTTATAGATTTAGAAGAGCAAAATGATTAGATAGGAAAAAAACCCATACTCTTGATTGATTTAAATAAAATTTTTATAGGGAAGAGGCACAATACTTATGAAGAAATGGTTTGACGCTTTCACGTGGGCCATTAGTGACTATTATATTACTCACTAGTAAGGATGCTAAATAAAAACCTTGAAGGCATGGGACTCAATAGTATTTACTAACAATGTTTCTTAAGTGAAATTTATCTTTTATTCTATTAGCTTGCTTTCTTTCTATCTGGTATATTAAAGATTTTAGCATAAAACTAAAATATAACAAGCCATAGAATATAAAAAAATAAAGAAAAGTTTTTTTTTTATTTCTTTGGATTTATTAGCAGATATTTTTGTCTTGAATAACTCTTTATGATATTAATTTTGAGTTTTAGTACAGTAGTTCTAGCATATAATGGCCACATTACCCAGATAAACATAAGAGAAGCTTAGATATTTCCCTGTGTATGTATGATTTGGTTAAAAATTATCATAGTAGATACGATTAATTTTAAAAGACAACTTCATGTGGATAACATTTATATTTTCTACCGTCTGATCTTGTCGATCTCCCTTTATCTCTAGCCATTCCCTTACGCATATCAAATGCATCTTTATCGTCATTACATTTTTTTAAATCACTTGGATAAGGTTCTTTGGGACCATTGTAATATCCAATAACACGTCTATAGACTGCATATCCTAACTTTTCATATAAATTTATAGCCAAATGGTTATTACACTTCACGAACAAGTCAATAAAATTGACTGAGTGTGGATTATTATCGGTAATACTTTCGAGAGTATTACATAGTTTAGAAGCTAAAGAGATCCTTCTAAATTCAGGTGCTACTGTCACAGCGGTGATATGAGAATGCCATTCAGGACCCTTGCCCTCTGTTTTTCCCATCATATACCCTGATATGGCATTATTGACTTCAACACTTTTAAAAAATAGGTCAGGCCACAAGATCATATATTCTGCATAAAAATCTAAGGGAAAATTTTCTGTTAATATATCTAGATTAACATTGTTTAACTTTAGTAAGTCTGTAGCCTCGAATGGTTCATAGGAGGACATGATGAATGCTGTAAATTTTGTTACTCCTACGTACTCTTACACCGGTGTGTCATTGGCCACGTTTTAAAGATCGTTCATCTATAAAAAATCTTGTCTAGTTTTTATTTCTAATGGATCTTGTTTTTAAAGATATTTGTACTTTTTATTTCTTCTTTTTTGTGATTGAAAAAGATTGAACAAGAAAAATGCTTACAACTTTTATGACTACTACAATGTTACCATAAATCCGTACACCCATAGAGAATTTATATTATTTTTTGTATCAAGATAAAAAATTAATCATTGCCGTTTTAGTAAGAAAAATGTTGAAAAACGAAAGCATGAAAAAGGAAGAGATTTTACCTTCTCCTCCCTCTTCGGTTCTGCAAAAATTCTTACAGATGACATGAAGTCTCCCTTTTCAGTAATTGGGTTCTACGTGGCTCTAGGCCTGCTCTTGGAAAAACGACTAACAGACTATTTGCTATTTGCGTCCTGAGCTTCTCAAGGCATCAAGTGGGAAGAGGAGTGAGAGAGAGAGAGAGAGACGGGGGAAGGAGTGCTGGTTGAATTTACTTTACTGAGAGGGAGACGCCAAGGGGCCCGTATAATTTCTTTCCTGCACTCCCTGTTATCTCCTGTTCCACTTCAGTATCTGCTTGGCTGATGGTATAGTGAAGTGACTGTTGACGCAAGAAGTCAATAGGTGGATGGATTGGGCCGGGCTGAGCTTAGACTGGTCCAGACTGGTCTAGGCTAATCTAGGCTAATATTGTTTGTCCTCAACAAGTCTTTCCTCAAACATGAATGGGAAACTTCACCTGAATGGACAAACATTCTCGATGTCTTTGGAAAGTAGGAGAGAGACGAAAGATAGAGTCCTCCATCTTTATTACCTTTCTTACTGTGTGTAAACAAGCATCCACCCTCTCAACCATCTTTGGGCATTGTAGCGAGTAGGGATGTACCGTATCCATATTCTAATCACCATGTAATATTACTAAACTCTTCTCTATTTGAGAACAACAGTATCTTATCACCTCTTGATTTAAGAATAGACGTCGCTTAAGGTAATTGCTGTTTGTTGCTTTGTTCAAAACGCGAAGAACCAGTAAGAAGTAAAAAAAACCAAAAATGGGTAAGGGTAAGCCAAGAGGGTTGAATTCCGCTAGAAAGTTACGTGTCCACAGAAAGAACAAGTATGTATTACAGTAATATTGTCGAACTAAATTGCAGTTTTTTGTTTAGCCTGAATTGTTATATGTATAGTCAGTTTCATAAAATAGTGCTAGCTGAATGTCCATGTATGTTAATACTTCACCACAATAGTATTTGACAATATAGAAATATTAGATTTTGTTGTAAAAAAAGTAATGGATTAAATAAAAAAAAGAAGACATAATAAGAATAGTATATTTATTATTTTATTACTAGATGGATATGTGTGACTGTATATGAAAGTCAGATATAGCTTGTGAAAAAAATGATTATTTGACTATTGATGAGTGCTTTATTTTTTAGATTCAATCGTTTAGGTTAATAGCCTAGAAATTGCAAACAATTTTTTTTCTTTCAAATTGTTGAACTAGTTACTAACAAAGGTATGTTTATTCAATATTATATGGTTTTCTATTGTTTTTCGTCTATGCATCATATAATAATAAACATCTATCTGCTTTTGTTGAATATATTTTTTAAAACAGTCGTTGGGCCGAAAACAACTATAAGAAGAGATTATTAGGTACCGCCTTCAAATCCTCTCCATTCGGTGGTTCTTCTCACGCTAAGGGTATCGTCTTAGAAAAGATCGGTATTGAATCTAAACAACCAAACTCTGCTATCAGAAAGTGTGTTAGAGTTCAATTGATCAAGAACGGTAAGAAGGTTACTGCTTTCGTTCCAAATGATGGTTGTTTGAACTATGTCGATGAAAACGACGAAGTCTTATTAGCCGGTTTCGGTAGAAAGGGTAAGGCTAAGGGTGATATTCCAGGTGTTAGATTCAAGGTCGTCAAGGTCTCTGGTGTTTCTTTATTAGCCTTATGGAAGGAAAAGAAGGAAAAGCCAAGATCATAAGCGATGACAACGCCGTTTTACATTTCTATATATTTCGTATCCCCCGTATTTACAAAATATATATGTACACATATATAATATAAGTATAACGTAATAAAGCCATATACATAATATTACAGATCGTTTACTACACAGATAAAAATAGTATATATGGGCTTGTATTTGAGTCTGTAAGGTATGAAGGTGGTTTCGTAATATTTAGATTCCTGATAATATGGCATATGAGAAGTAACATATTTAATTTACGGTAATAATGAAACATTCGTTATTAAAAATTGATTAATTATATACATATAAGTATATATATTGGTTATGTGCTGTTAAGATTAGGATGCTATAAAAATATTGTATAGTAGTAATCCAAACAAAAACAATAAGGAAAGAATGACTATAATATATAAGATTGCTTTTTTTCTCTTTTGTTCTTTCTTTTCAAAAAAAATACAATAAAATAAAAAAATGATCAATCTATTGGTCACTTCTTCTTACTCAATCTTGAAGTCAATCTTTTGTATAAGTCACTATTATTTAATGTAGAGCCAACACCGGTGGTTCTTGCCGTAGTATTGATTGGAGCCACATTTGACACTGGGGCATATTTATAATCAGTAGTGGTCTGCGCAGGGGCAGCAGCTCTACCTCTTCTTGCAGCAGCTTGTTCATACAAAGTTTGGGGATTGGACCTTTTATTGTTTGGAGAATTTCCAATGTTTCTTTTCTTCCTCTTTGCAGAATCCAATGCATTTTTCTTTCTCAATTGTTCTGAGTCGAATTCTAATTTGGTAATTCTTAAATCTCTATAGTTATCAGAAGCACCAATGATTGGTCTTGTCCATTCTGCAATCAACTTCTCAGCCAGTCTTGCTAGTTGTGGTTCAACACGCTTAGATTTGGTGTAGAAGATCATGACCCTACCAAGACCACTTTCTTTTAAATGTTCGGTTTTTATTGGCAGATTATTGATGGCAGAGAATAGAGATTTTTGGATTTCAAAGGATGGTAAAGAACCATCAGGTAAGGGTTCCAGCCATATTCTGACACTTTGTAAAAGGTTATTATCTAAGATTGTATCGGCCAAGTTTGCCTTCGACAGAATCTCTTCCACTTTAGGCAACAATTTGACTTTCTGGATGGCTATCAAATTTGTATCACCAGTCTCGATTCTCTTATTTAATGTATCAATGTCCATTTGTGCAGCAATATTCATTTCATCTTTTAACCTAAGGATTTTTTCGTCCAAGTATTGTTCCAGATCATCCTCATCCTTTCTTGATCTTTTAACTTTAGGTTTTTTCAATAACAGGTCCAGTTTTTCTTCTAATGCTTGACGAGACGATATAGGTTTGTTATCTAATTGAGTCTCGTTTGTGTCAGTGGCAGTAGGAGTATTCATTATATTCTGATCAAGTTTGGCTTCCTTTTTTTCATCATCATCATCGTCATCATCTGCATCAGCGATATGCCTACGATGTCTTTCTATTGTATTATCTTGATTTTCTATAATGGATTGGTTTGTATCAGACATATTATTTTCTAATTGATCGGGGCTTGTGTTGTCATTGTTATTGTTATTGCTATTGCTATTGCTATTGCTATCGTTAATTTGATTTTCAGTGAAAGCAGGGTCTATATCAGAATTATGTATAATGTTGTCAGTGTTGTTATCGTTTGTAATGTGATCGTTTTCTATTTTAGAAGATTGGATATTGTCACCACTCTTTGTATCATCCATGCTACTACTCATTGTCTATTAAATTATTGATATACTATTTTGATTTTGGTCTTGATATTGGTATCTGGTTTCTAGTTTTTAGGACAGACAGATTATATATATAGATATATATGAAGAGATCAAAAAGAAGGAAGGTACGATGCAGTTGACAAATATATGTTAGAGTGATAGAGTTCCAGATATATGGTCCAAACAGTATTTTCTCCGAATACAACGTTTAATCAGTGTCACATATCATCTCTCACCACTACCACACGCTACCACAATCAACCGTTTTCTTTGTTTTTCTTTTTTTATTCTTCTTTTTTTGAATTTTGCAAGAAAAAAAAACCATAAGAAGGACAAGGGTGTGTGGGTGTTTACTACCCGTGTAAAGTGACATTCATGGTGGTGTCTGGGTGGAGGAAGAGGAAGGTTGCTGTTTTCAAAAAAAAAAAAAGATCCATAACAAATTTCCCTCCAACAAGAAATAATAATTATAATAATAATGTTCAGTGCATGTCTCTACGCTTCTCCATCCTTACTGCTGTACAAGGTTCATGCACTATTAACACACCAGTAGTTTAACACACACGTTCACACTTGCACATATAGATATATAGACGGGCACATAATGTTTGGGATTCCACAACAAGAGCCATCCGAAGAAGAAAAAAAGTTACGTCAAGAAGCAGCCAACAGTACTCTAAAGACTGCTGCTATACTTGGTACGGCGCTTTGGTTATCTCCAATTGTCTGGAACTTTGTCAAGAAACAGTGGCATTGAAGTGTGCATACATTTCTGTAAAAAGTATCTGATTCACTTTTTGTTTTGTTATCTCTCTCTGCACCTGTCTCCGGTTTTGTCTCGTTTAATGTTATTTACTTGTATATATGATATATATATATATATATATATATATATATATGGATGTATAAATGTATAAATGTTTATCTGCATGTAATTATTTACTATTGATGTTTTTGTTTGTTTGTTTGTTTATTTGTTTTTTGGTTACATATCCTTTGTAAATGATTGTACATGTATTTATTTATAGATCAATAATTGAGAAATATAACATAAACTGTTACGATATAATAGCTGTTTGGAATAAATATATATCACAGTGAACTGTATCTTGTATCTGCAGACCTATGAAAAAAACAATGTAATTATTTAAATCCACTTATGCATCAGATTATATACAAATACATACTTATATATACATATATGTATATAGACGTATATGTATATATATATTTCTACTGATTTTCTGTTTTTGCTGTTTTTTGCCTTTATTTATTTGTATGTTTGTTTGTTTGTTCGCTTTTTGTTTTATTAATTTATTATCTTATCAATAGTTTGACTATCTTTTTCTATAATGGTATTCAAATATGATATACCACGCTGTTGGTTACTTAAAATATGTGCAATTTTATCAATATCATTAGTATCTTTCTCAAATTGATTTAAATTAGATGAAGATTTCACATCTGTTATGGCTGATTTCGATCCATTCAAATTATCTGTTTCACTCGATGACTTCTTACCCCCTTGGCCCTTATGATTCTCATTAATAATTATCAAAGTATTATCTAACTGGTCGGATATGGTCTTTGCACGTTCTTTCAAAACACTTAGACGAGCCCACAATTCGTTTGTCTTGCCTAATCCTGCAGGATCTTCTGATCGTTTCAATAGATTTTTAAATTGGTTCCACATTTTCTCCTCGCTGATACTCATAGGTAGTCCCTTGTTCTTCAATATAGCCAATTGCGAACCCAGTTTTAAAATACGTCTTTCAATTTGAATATTCCTGGACTGGACTTTGAGGATCCTTGCTGCAGTGTCCAATTCATGCCTCTGCTGTAATTGGGTGTTTTTATCTAACATTTCCTTCAGGATCAGTCTAATCTGCGCCACATTTTCGATCTGTAACTGATTCCTCTGGTTCAAATCATCAAACCCGTTCAATTGGATGGGTATGACGTTGTAATTGCCTCTTGGTTTGTTTTCCATGGCTAGGTCCCATTCTTCTTGGATAATGTATGGAGGCTTCGTGTATAGCATAGATTCGGTCTCGTTTACTTTATTGTAGACAAATGCACGCAATTTCGACTTGAAGGATGTAGGGTTCCAGGATTCTTTGCACTTAATGATCTGCTCTTGGATCTGTTGTGGGTAATTGGCTGTGGTTTGCTGCTGTTGTAGGGCATAGATAGATGGTTGGTTGTTTTGCGGTAAAAGGGATAAAGAGCTCTGTTGTGGGAACTGCTGTTGAGTTAGACCGATGTTTGTATTTATGTTGGTGTTTGCATTGGCGGTAGTAGTATTGTTAGTTCGAGACCAAGCGAAGGATGGCTGGTTTGTTAGAGCAGGCTGAGTTTGTTGTTGTTGTTGCTGTTGCTGTTGGGATCCGAATAAACCACCCCCAAGAGTAGGTGCGGTTGTGGTGGTATTAGTAGGCTTTGCACCAAACAATCCAGTGTCGCCACCAAACAGAGAATTAGTGGTAGTATTTGTAGCTGGAGTCAGGGTACTGTTAGTGGACCCAAACAATCCACCCCCAGGAGTAGTGCTGGTAGCAGTAGTACCAGCTGTAGACCCAAATGGTTGCGATTGTGGTTGTGTTGGTTGACCAAACAAACCTGTGCTGGTGCCTGTGCTGATGCCAGTATTTGTCGTTGTGTTTGTGTTATTGCCAAATGTAAAACCTGAACTCATTGGACCACTGGTTGTAGTAGTATTATTGTTATTATTTGTACCGAAGTTGGTTCCACTTCCAAACATGTTTGTATGATCAAAGGTAGTAGGGAGGGTAAGGATGGAAAATAATCTCAATTGGAACACGGTGTTTTTTTTTTTGGGAACAGGACAAATAAATCTAATCGTTATCTATATTTATGCAACAAGACCAAACCCTATTATCGTCATCGTCATCGTTATCATCGTTGTCACTACAATATAAACATCAATTCTACAGTTTTCTTATTCAGATTTTTTCACTCAAAGAGATCAAACAAAAAAAAAAAAAAAAGATGGAAAAAAAAGGATGTATCCGTGTAAAGTGATGTTTGAGATCGATGTCTATCTAAAACATTGAGATGAGACACATTTTGTCGAGAAACTGTAGGGAGATGTTGTGTTGCTGTTCTCTTCTTTGTGTTTGAGGATAGATGATCTATCTATCTATCTATACACATATATTTGTGGAGGGAGGGGAGTACTTTGATTCGTACAGTCCCAGTGCAATGGAAAGAGAGATGAGGCTTTCTGCTTCCCTCTCCCTACCCTCCCCCCTAGCATATTTTTTTTAGTGTTTGTAGAAATATTACCATGATCACTATAACCAAATATACGCTACTTTGTCGTGGTACTCGTAGTGTTATCAATTGTACCAGCCTCATAACTCTTAACTCTCACTCTTACCCTCACTCTCACAGAGTCTTAGCACCCAGCATTTGGTGGTGTGTGGGTGTTTATGACGTCGTGGTTTTCATTTTATTTTGCATCTGTAGAAGACAAACTGATTGATGGATTGGTTGATATACATATCCAAAATGTGATGAGGAGAGGATGAGGAGAAGTTATGAACACCTACATGTGTGTAATATCGATTATTCCATATTATCAGATGTGTATATATCTATATACATATATGTAAACAGTATTCCTCATATTTTGTGAGTGGTAGATTATCTGTTTAACATAGGTCTTCATTATATTTTACTTGTACCTCTTCCCTCCCCTCCCCCCTCATCTCAGCGACTTTAACTTTTGAGACTGGGTTCGTTATGGCACCAACTTTACATAGAGAGACTATATTCGAAAATGGTGGTAAGACTTTGATTTCAATAGAACAAACAAATTTTAACATACTTTATGCATCTAATAAAAATTCTTTAACCAAGATCTTACAGGTCGACCATCCTGAAATCGAACCGGATTTCATGGACACCCTGTCTAATCTAACCGCTTTGAAATCTGTTTCCGATAGCACGTTCATAATGACTAATCTTAATGGTGATGCCTGGCTCTACAACTACAAGGATAACACTTCCAAAATGTTACTCAGAACTGCACTACCTTTGCGCGATTGTGATTTGATCTATTCCGGTACCACAGCAATCTTTTCAGGCGACGACTTGGAGTTGAACCTAGTTGACTTAACTGATGGCAATAAGTTACAGAGTTTGGCTGTCACCGATCAGGTACATCAATTGTCCTACAATTTGAGGACAAATATGTTGGCTGTATCACTAATTAATGGTGAGATCCATTTTTTTTCTTTGACCTCCACTAAACCCAATCAAGTGAAGGTATTGAATGGTTATATCCCAAAGGTTAGTTATAAAGATAATCTAGGGGTCTATGGTGGTTCTACAACTACTACTACCTCACAACAGGATACAAACGCAAATGACGACGAGTCAAAGGTTGATGATGATGAGTTTTGTCCGGAGAACAGGATCTCTACTCGTGTTGCTTGGTCCCCATCAGGTCATAATTTCGCTGTCCCATGTCTTGACATGACAGTCAAAGTGTTTAGTCTAAAAGATTACAAAGTGTTAAAAACTCTAAACTTGAATCAACCTGTTTCAAATTTAATTGATTTGAAATTCGATCCTTACAACGGTCAATTTCTTGCATCTATCGATTTGAAGAACTATTTGACTGTTTGGGACTGGAAATCTGGCGAGATTGTATATGAGAAATCCCTGCATGTTCCAGTGACTAACATGCTTTGGAGAGTGGACACTACTTTAGAGGATAAATCACAGAAACATTTGCATTTGATTATTGGAACTTGGAAGGGTTCATTGATTACTATACAAAAAGTAGCCGAAATCGCAGTGAATCGTGAATTCTCAAATCTTGGACTGGAGAATTCTAAATCAACAAAGAAAACTTACAATGGATTATTTGTGGATTCTGAAAATTCAGATATGGAAGGATTGATGACCAGTGACTATAATGATGAAGAGAAAGATGACAGAATGGTACTGGATGATATGGCTCAAGAAGGGGAAAGAGAAGATGATGAAGGTATGAGGAATTCAGACTCTGAGGTTGAATTCCCTGAGGGACATAGCCCCTCAACAAAGAAAAGAAAATTGTATGATGATGACAATTATCGTGCCATTGATAACCTTGATGCTAATGAAGATAATTTTATTGAAGATGATGACGGTGCAGGTTATGTAGAACAAAGTTATAACAAAACATCATCGTCAACCCGTTATTCAAAATCAAATAAACGATATAATTTACCAATTTTACCAACTATGAATTCAAAGGCTTTTAAATATAGACCAATATCACCTGGTGGAACTCCATTCGGAACAGGTGAAAGAAGATATTTGACTATGAATACAATAGGTTATGTGAACACTGTTTGTAATAACGAACAATATAGTGTTACTGTTTCATTTTTTGATACTGGTAGATTCAATGAATATCATTTTGAAGACCTCTTTGGGTTTGATGTGTGTTATTTAAACGATAAAGGTGTACTTTTTGCTCAATCTAAGACAGGCCAAATACAGTATAGACCTCATGTCACAGTCAACCGTAATTGGACAAAGATAATTCCTCTTAACAAAAATGAAATCATTACAACTATCGCGGCTACTCCAAAGAGAGTTATTGTAGGTACTTCATTTGGTTATGTTCGAACCTTTAATCAGTTTGGGATTCCATTATCTGTTGAAAAGATGTCACCTGTTGTCGCTTTGACTGCATATGAATATAGAGTCTTTTTGGTTCATTTTTCCAAATACCATGGTGTGTCATTTTCATTGTATGAACAGTCACCAGAAAGGACAGTATATTTCCATAGGGAGTCCTCACTACCCATCCCATTACCTCAAACTGCCATATCGGCAAATGCAGAATACGTACATTTGAACTTTGACAGTTTCAATCCAATGGGGATAAAAAGTTTATTTTTCTCTGAATATGGTGATCCCTGTATATTTGGAAAGGATGATGTTTTATTAATTTTGAATAAGTGGAGACGGCCAAAAGAGAGTAGATGGGTCCCAATTTTAGATTCTAATATGGAAATCTGGCGAATGAGTGGAGGTAAAGAATCACATGATATTCATGTATGGCCTCTTGGGTTGACTACGACTGCCTTTTCATGTATATTGGTTAAGGGCAAAAATGTTTGGCCCATATTCCCTTTACCATTGCCCACTGATATGGAATTAAGAATGCCTGTTTTAGTTAAAAAACAATTATGGGAGAATCATTTGGAAAAACAAAAAGAAAGAGAATCTAAAAGAGAGCAAGATGGAATTGATGCGGTGACAGAAAATAATGACGATAATAATATTGAACTACCTGTTGAAATGCAAGCTGAAGAAGAAAGTGTTAGAAATAGAGTATTAACTGAACTATTAACAGAGACCATTGAGAATGAGGGAGAATTATATGGAAATGAAAACAGTATTGTAGCTTCATTAAATCTTGCATATGATAAAGCCATTTTGAAATTAATTGCAGTAGCATGTTCTAATCAAGAAACAGAAAAAGCATTATCATTAGTGCAAGAATTGAAACAAGATGCGGCTTTGAATGCAGCTGGTAAGATTGCACAACGTGCTGAGATGATGACATTGATGAGAAAAATAAATGAAATGAGAGAAGTTAGATTCGAGCGTGAAATGGGTAATATGTAAATATATATATCTTTATAGACCTATAAATCATTATTAATTTAAGCAGCATTGGATCAGATTCATTTTCAAAATCATTTCAATTGATTTTTATATACATTAAATACGACATTATAATCTATGGTATTATTTTATGTGTTTTCAAAATTTAACACAAAAAAAATGAGAAAGTCGAAAAATAAAATAAAAAAAAATGAAGATACAAAAAAAAAATCTTGAGATGAGATGAAGTCTTTAATAACTTATATATACTGTATTTGATTTGGTGCCACTGCCAGAGATTAAATTACAACACTTTAGGATAACATCTTTTGAAGTTGATAATAATACAATACAAGCAATGGCGAAAAGAAATAGAGAAGAAAGAGAAAGCTCTCATCCTCTTGCAGATGAAGAAATCACAGATCCTTCTTCTAATGAAGACAGTGAAATTGAAGATGATAGGAATTCTGCTCTAAATAAAAATAATCATGAAGAATTAGATTCAGAAGAAGAATTTGAAGGTGAAAATCCTGCTGATAAAAGAAGAAGATTGGCCAAGCAATATCTTGAAAATTTGAAAGCTGAGGCAAATGAAATTGAACCAGTTGATAATGTTTCTATGGATGATAAAACAAAACAAATTTTAGATGATTACAATAATTTTGATGCAGCAGATTTAGACAGAGATATCGTTGCAGCAAGATTAAAACAGGATGTAGCAGAACAACAAGGTCGTGTCTATAGGTTTATTGCTGATAAATTGTTGGCTAGTGAAGCTAAGACTACTTTCACTCGTGTAGGTGACAAATGTTTAACTGGGTTAGCCTGTTTTCAACCAGAGTTAAATAAGTTTGAAATTGAAGAAAGGTCAGGCAAGTCGAAGAATAAAGGAAAGTTCTATGCTTATACAGTTAGTAAAGATTTACAATTGACTAAATATGATATTACTAACTTTGATGAAAGACCCAGAAAAATGAAATTTGTCAAAGGAGGTTCCCAATATATTCCAGAAGGTACCCATGAATTTGAAAATACTACCGAAGGACATTATTCAGAGATATTGACCGTAGCAGCATCGCCAGATGGAAAATATGTGGTCACTGGTGGTAAAGACAGAAAATTAATTGTTTGGAGTACAGAATCTTTAGCACCAATTAAAGTTATTCCTACTAAAGATCGTCATGGTGAAATTTTATCGTTAACATTCAGAAAGAATTCAGATCAATTGTATGTAGCATGTGCAGATTTTAAGATTAGAACATATTCTATTAACCAGTTTACTCAATTAGAAATTTTGTATGGTCACCACGATGTAGTGACGGATATATCAGCGTTAGCTATGGAAAGATGTGTTACAGTGGGAGCTCGTGATAGAACTGCTATGTTATGGAAGATTTCGGATGAAACTAGACTGACATTTAGGGGTGGTGATGATGCAGATAAGTTATTAAGGAAATGGATGAAAGAGCACGCTGTGGAAAAGGAGGATGGTACAGTTGAATATCCTGATGAATCAGAGGCTCCAAATTTTGTTTCAGAAGGTAGTATTGATGTTGTCTCAATGATTGATGACTCTCATTTTGTCACAGGTTCTGATAATGGTAATTTGTGTTTATGGTCAACATCTAAAAAGAAGCCTATCTATATTGAAAGGGTGGCACATGGTTATATGTCATCACCATCTAATAATGAAATCTCTGGGGAAGCTAATTCTGAAGTGAGGACAAATCAATTACAAGGAGATAAACTGGCACATCCATATTGGATAACCTCGGTATATGCAATTCCTTATTCAAATGTGTTCATATCAGGATCTTGGAATGGTTCATTAAAACTTTGGAAAATAGATGAGACATTAAGATCTTTCAGCTTGTTAGCTGAATTAAATGGTTGCAAAGGTGTGGTTAATAAGATTCAATGTGTTGAGTCAGGCAAGCATGGTAGAGAAACTTTTCGTATATTAGCTAGTGTAGGTAAAGAACATAGGTTGGGCAGGTGGAATACACATATCCCGGGTGCTAGAAATGGTATATATTCAGCAGTTATTGCACAGACAACTTTTTAGACTACCATTTTACGGATATAAAACATATGATGTATAGAGGAAAGATAGCAGTCGCACTAATAACAATATATAGATTTATTTAAACAGAAATAAATGTTTTTTTGTGTAAATTAATAAATAATCAAAGTTGTATGTTAATGGAGGTGTGAATAATAATAGAAGACATTTCTATAGAAAATTGAGAAAAATATTATTGATAGAGTAGTAATAACTTATACACCTTTGAGAAAAAACTCATACTATTGAATTAATGTTCGATATCATTTGTGATTATGTAAAATTGTGATAACGTAAAATCTTGTTTTATATGAATTTTATACTTGTGGCTAGCTAGGTTTTACTATAATTTTATCATACTTTCTTTAATATTTTTTTGTATATGGAGAAAATAAATTGAGTCTAGACTTTAAACGTATAAATTTTGTTATTGAATATTTTTATTATTTATTCAGAATAATATATTTTACATTTTATAGAATTGTTTACTGAGAATGATTTAATTATCAATGCTTGTTTAACAGGAATTTCTAATATATTTTTTTAAATATAAATTTTTAAAAAAATGTTTTTTTCACAAAATGTTGCAATTTTAAAATCTTCTAATTTATTATTAAATATTTTGAGATACACAAAATATATTTATTAAAAATACGATTTAATTAAAATAATAAAAAAAATCTTATACCATAACCACACATCACATTACATCAATACCATTATATTAAAATAATTATAATCACGCTCACTGTTGTAGTTTGGTGTGGTGAAGTTCTTTGTGTATTCCAGGGAAGCGCAAATAATATTAATAGTAATCCAAATAATCGAGACAGTAATCAACTATAGTCGATAGTATAATTACTAAAACGGTCTTATATATTAAGCGGCTTATATCGAGCTAATGTACTTATTCGAAGTTACTTGACTTGTTACTTGCTTGTTTTTTTATTTATGTTTATATATAATATATATATTATTCACAAGAAACGGTTATGGAAGATGGTCTTTTATCTCCAGAAAACGTTGTCCTTTTATATGTTTTCTGGAGCTCGATCGATTATTCAGGTTAGTACATTAAATTAGTACATTAATAATCTGACTGGTTCAATCCTAAAATTTATTACATTAATTTAGTGGATTAGAACTGCATCCCAATTCTCTAATCATGGTGATTAGTAATACACGTGGGACTTAATAAAACAATAGGTAAATTCTAGATTTGCCAAGATCTTATGTAATCCAATCTTTTTATTATGCAGCATCTAATGTTGTAGCACATGTATGGCTTATTAATACACTAATTGGTTCTAGATTCATTCAGGATCTTATGTAATCTTGATGGTTATAACTATTCTATTCCACAACACTCACTAACAGCGAGTTGACTCCATGGCCAAGCTGGTTAAGGCGTGCGACTGTTAATCGCAAGATCGTGAGTTCAATCCTCACTGGGGTCGTTTATTTTTGTTACGTCAAAATGAAGGTTGACGATATTTTTCTAAACTTTACATTTTGCAAATTTTACAAATATAGATAAAAGCAGGAGTAACCAAAATAGGTACAAGAGAACAACCAAAAAGAAGAAGAACGAAGAAAGCAAGGAACAAGGAACCAAGGATTACCTAGGTTTAGATACACAGTACATGAGTGTATACTATTAGGTTATCTTAGATTAGAGATATAGATATATAGATATATAGAAATATTACATCTAGAGATATAGAAAGAGTCTATATCTTATATCTATCCAAGTGAAATATTATTGAGATCTCAACAAGATTAACCGTTATCAGAAACACATAACCTAAAGGTTATTACACGTCATCTTTTTGTTAGAGTTGTTGTAATATCCCTGATATTACAGTAAGTAACAATTTGAACTATTAGGAAAATATCCAAGAGATTTCCTGTACAAAATATCTTTCCTCTCCTTCCAATCTATTTTTTCTAATTTACTTTAAAAACTTCAAACCTACATATGTTATAATTCTAATAATAAGAAAAGCATATATACCCCTCTTTCATCAGTTCTTCGCCTTCTATATAAACCTTCTCAATTATTGATGAAATCATAAAGAAAGGCTATCATAAACACAGTAAAAGAGTTAGAATAAATAAAAAAAAAGAATAGAACTTCTGTGCACTATTTTTTTAATTTTCACGTTAAGGTTTTCTGTATTTTACACGTAAAAATATGTATAATGAAGGTTTTGGAAAACCTTGTCTAGGTTCTTTAAATAACAAACCATCTTATTAATACTTAAATAAACATTAGATCCAAAATACGAATACACTTCTAAGTGGATTTAAAATATCCTATTATATATGCTATCTTGACTTAAAATGCTCTGTTTTTTCTTGTTTCTTTCAAATTTCACAATCTTTCCAATGTAACGTTTCTAAGTATTATCAATCCCTATAGCTAAGCATATGAAAAACAATTACAACTCTCTAAAATGTTTAATTAATAATTATTTTTATTTAATTTCTTTTCTATATATTTATATATATTTAATTTTAATAATAAGGTTATTAAGATGAATATATGATAATTACATGAGTTAGGCAAAATAGAAACCTAAAGTAAAATAAAACATTTCATACATTTGCCCAACTCTCTATAAGAATAAATAATGCAAAGAAAGGATAAATGAATTCTGTGTAAATAATCCCTATCCTAGAATGAATCCAAAAACAGAAATAAAAAAAAATCACAACAACAACGATAACATTGTTTTAATCTCATCGTCTCTGTATAACCACACAAAATGGTTCCACAACAATTATAGTTTTCATTTCATGTTACAATATTTGAATTAAGAGGTCATCTCAACTTTTTCAGATAAACGCTCATCAATATTATTATTTTGTGAAACAGATGTAGTTGTATCTGCCATAATAGAGTTATCGTCAGTGTGTTCACAATCTTCATCTTCTGTTTGTGTTTCTGCAGAAGAAGAATGAATATTATCTGTATCGACCCCCCATTCATAATAATCTCTTCTAACCTCGACGTAGTCGTATGCAAATTCACCAATTTGATCTTCATCTAAACCACGAGCCTCTGCATCTTCATCGACACGCAGTTGAATATATGGTATATGTTCCAAGACAAAACAGATCAAAGCGGTCACCACGGCACAATAACCCGACACGGCAGCAATATATGCAATTTGTTTATACATCTGCTTCCAGTTATGTGTTAACCAACCACCACCGTGAGAAGTAGTTCCATCCATACCAATGACCCAATCTGCACCAAAGAGAGCATTAAAAAAAAGTCCGACTACACCAGCTACACCATGTTCAGCCAGTAAATCTAAGGAATCATCAACTTTCATATAATATTTAATCTTAGTGGCAAAGTTACAAACAAAACCTGCAATAATCCCCTGAATCAACGAACCATAAAGAGTAATACACCCGGATGATGGAGTGGCAGCCACTAGACCACAGATGATACCTGAACATAGACCAACAGTAGACCATTTTTTTTCAGATCTATAATCTAGTAAACACCAAGTCATACCACCTGTTACGGCACTAATATTTGTGTTGAAGAAAGCGTAGGCTGATTTAAGGGATGGTGTCAATGTAGACCCACCATTAAATAAAAGCCAACCAAACCAAAGTATACCTGTGCCCAAAGTGACCATGGACACATTGTGTGGTCTGAAATTAATAAGTAGATTTTCTTTACGTCTACCTAAAAAGTAAGAATACACAAAACCACCTACAGCAGAGACTATTTCAAGGAATCCACCGGCCCAATCAAGGACCCCCCATTGATAAGCCCAACCGCCTGGAGCCCAAATCCAATAACAGATCGGACAATACACTATAGTAGCGAAGATAAAAAGAAACACCATATGAGGAAACAATTTCCCTCTTTCTGCAGTAGCACCAGAAACAATGCTTAAAGTTACACACATGAACATCATTTGGAAGGTAGCAAAGGCGATTTCTGGATACGTATCATCTGGGCTAGCTTTACCATAAACATTTCTAAAACCAAAAGAATTCAAATCACCGATAAATTTATTATTTGTGGCAGTTTTACTAAATGCAAGAGAATAACCCCAAAAATACCACTGTAACATTCCAACCAGAGTGGCCATAAGTACTACCCATATCAAAGCCAAAGCAGATTTTCTTCTTGCTAAGCCTGAATATAAAAAACCCAGACCCGGTACCATGAAAAAGACTAGTGCAGCAGATATTATTATAAACCCTACAGTAGCTTCATCGTAATCTTCTGTCCATACATAACCCTTTGACATGTTTCCTTTGTTAATATTCTATCAATCAAAAAGAAAATATGTATGTATATATTTTGTGATACTATTAATTATGAAATCTTTAATTAATTAATTAATTAGTGTATTAATCTATTAATCTATCAATTTTCACCTAATGAAGGCGCAAATTTAATTTGATATGTTGAAGATATGTATATATATATATGCTAACAATGGAGTAAGTTCAAAAAATAAAGGATGAAAACCAGAGAAAAAAGCACTAAAAGAAGCACCCCAAAAACGTATATATATACTATGCTCTTTTTTGTATTCTCAGTAAAATCTAATACACCTTGTTATTTCTTTAACTCAAGTGAATAAATATGCAAATGAATAAGTCATGTGCCTTCAAGATTGTTTAATTGAATAAAAGGTATGAGTGTATGTGCAAGATACATACAAACACCAAGGCACGGTAGACTGAAGCAAAACACATACGTAATATGAAGAGCAGAGAACAGGATTAGAAGAAAGGGGCAGATATATAATTAGAAGAGAAGGACTAGTTATCAAAGAAATCCAAAAAAAAAAAAAGTTAAATGAAATAAAGTGAAATAAAATTCTTTGGATAGTTCACAAGATGACTAGAAGTTGTCTAAAATTTAAATCTTTCTATTCCATTTTAAGTATACAATTGAATATTACTATTTTAATCAACTCATCGAGAACTCCTTGCAACAAAAAAAAAAGAAAAAAGAAAAACAAAAAAAAACTTCGAAAAAGAAAAGAAGAGAGGAACAAAGTGATAAAATAAGCCAATGCAACAATACGTGTTATCTATCTCTTTATCTAAAATTTTTATCTCGTCTTTTCTATCTCTCTCTATCTCTTTCTTTGTTTATCAGGAGAAATTTGATAAACAAATCAGGTTGAGTTGATAAATCTTTCCAATAGTTGAGTAATTTAATCTTTGTTTATTAGTTTAAGTAAGTAAGCAAGTAAATGTCCGATGTCAAGAAAAATATAAACAAAAAGGAAAAAATAGAAAAACAGAAAAATTTTGAAATTCATTGTGTTTGCCTTTTTTTCTTTTGTTTGTGCAAAGTAATTCTTGCATTGTTTCTTGTGTGTTTTTTTGTTCGGCAAAAAAAAATAAAAAACTGGACTTTCTATATTTGCAATAGTTAAGGGTTTAGATTATTGCGGAAACGATATGATTTTACAAAAAAAAAAAGAATTCATGATTAGGGTTTTACATCAGACAAGAAAACTCTTGTGAGTGTTAAGTGGAATGAAATGTTAGCAAATTTAAGTGTCTGTGACATTTGGAAACAAACTACAGATAACAATGTTTACATTTAGACAATTAAAAAAAAAAGTTACGGTTAGGCTGGTGGTGTAGAAGTGTTGGATCAAGCCTTAAAACAAAAGGTTCTACTAAGTTGTTAGGGCTATGTTCCAAAATTTAAAAAAAAAAAAGGAAAAAAAAAAAAAAGAAAAACAAAAATGAGCTGGATACATAATTAGGGTTCTGCAACTAAAATAAAAAAAAACTACCGTATATGTATATATAATTTTTAAATACTTCGTCCTTTTTTCCTCCAATATTTGTGTAATATCTGTTTTATTTTCTTTATCTTATCTTATCTTATCTTTTCTTATCGCAAAATGTTTTGTTTGCATCAAAACAAAAACAAAAATCAAAACAATAACAAAAACAATAACAACAATACAATAGAGTAAACAACCAATCAATACAAAAGTTCCTTGCGACTACATCCGTGCACCCCATTCTGCAATGAACTGTGCCTTTTGAGCCGCATTTAAAGTTCGAGCAACAGGGGCCTGGCCACCGTTCAATATTACACGTCCGTGTGCCGTGATACTGGAGGTACTACTGCCGCTACCACTATCGTATCCCACAGCCACATCAGGTGGAGTGATCTTACATTTGGAATAAGGTTTGGTAACGTATAACAGAGTCTTGAAAAACTCAAATCCACTCTTGGGGACTGGTACAGTCAATGTCGAGGGAGTATGTTTGATCTGACACCATTGAATCAAATTCTTAATATCTTTTCCATCACTGCTACTATCACCGTTACCTTTATAACCTCCAATCTTGTCTCTCATACTGGCGGTTGCAGAAGTGGTAGTAGATTTCCTCTTTTTCTTTGCAGATACAACATCCTCACCTAAAATAAACTGTTTTAATCTTGCATCTTCTATTTCAAATGGTAATACACTTTTACCATTGGATGTAACTCCTTCTGGGAACATAAAACATGTATAGTTGTCACATACATCCTTCCATACATCTATCTTCTCCCCGTATTTAGCAATATCAGATTGAGCCAAAGTGTATCTAATGAAACTCCAGATCCTCATACCATAAATCTTATTCTGAAATGCCACCAAAAACAACACTGATGTGTCTTGTGCTATAATACGGCAGACCAATGCATCTAACACACTTGTGTAATTACATAGGTAAAGATTTCCACGACGTGGATAATCTGTCTTTCTACTAACTGCTCTCCGTCTCTTACCTTGTACTGTAACATCTACGGAATAATTGAACACTAATTTCATTAATAAATATATCATTGATCCAGTAAAATTACCACCAACACTGAATACTATCAATGGTAACAAAAGAACCATTTTGACAATAAAAATCGTCCATTGTACAGTCTTGAATATGGATCCATGTTTGCTTGGATGTATTGGCATGAATGGTGATATACCAGTGCCTCTGTCTCTATAATTTGTATATTTTTCCATCTTTCTCTTTTTTTTTTTCCTTTCCGTTCTTCCAACTCCTACGTCTATATCTTTGTGTGTGTAGTATAGTACTATAGCCAATCCTAGATATACTGGTTAATCGTCAATCCTATTTAAAACAAATCTAATTGGACATTCTTTTTTTTTTTTTTTTTTTTTTTGATTATGCTTGTTTTATCAACAGAACAAAAACATGCACTATATTAAAATATAGATTGGGCTGAAAGGTTTGAAAGGGTCCCTCGAAATAGCCCTTTTCTTTTTTTTTTGCTTTTTTTTTTTTTTCCATTTGAACTTTTTTGACATATTTTCTGTTTGGAAGAACCATCGGATCTCATAGATAAAAAAACAAAGATAACACAAATAATCTCATTATGCACAATATTTAAATTACATAAGTTACAGACGACTCTCGTATTAGTATCACCACTGGTCTCCATTCTTTCAGATTGTTCTTCATTTTACGAACTGGATTCTTGATATTCAATCATCAAATAACTATGCCCTTTCCTGATGTCATTAAGAGAGGTGATGATTTCTTTTACCAATATCCAAGAGACACAAAATGGTGGAAATTTCTCCATTATAGTACCAGTGTTTTTGTGATTGGTGTTTCTAAAATTATATTGAAGGTATTTTATAATGTTAAAGTAAACAATTACCCCACTTTGGAAAAAACTTTAAAGAGATCCAAGTCCGAAAAACGTGGATTAATGACTATTATGAATCATATGTCTACTGTCGATGACCCATTTCTTTGGGGTACCTTTCCTATGTCATTATATAAATCGTTATCTAATATTCGATTTTGTTTGGGCGCCCATAATATATGTTTTAAGAATAGATTTCTGTCTACCTTTTTCAGTTTAGGTGGTGTCTTGTCCACTGAGAGATTTGGTAAGGGACCATTCCAAGGATCGATTGATTGTAGTATTAAAATATTGAGCCAAAATAGTAATAATGAAAACAAGAGCATAAATAAAAAGACAAATAACTACTCTTCTTGGATACATGTCTATCCTGAAGGTTTTGTGTTACAATTACATCCACCTTACAATAATTCAATGCGATATTTTAAATGGGGGGTTACAAGAATGATCTTAGAGGCATCCGAACCCCCAATTGTGGTACCTATTTTTAGTACCGGGTTTGAAAAAATTGCACCTGAAGATGAAACTATTCCAACATGGAAACATTTTATAAAATCATGGGGTACTCATATAAATGTCACAATAGGAGACCCAATTGAAGATTCAATTATAGAATCTTATCGTCGTGAATGGCAAGTTTTAGTATCCAAATATTCAAAACCTGATGACACTGATTTAAATGATAAGTTAAAATATGGTGAGGAAGCCCAGGAATTAAGAAGTAGATTAGCATCTGAATTAAGATTAAAAGTTTCTGAAGTAAGGAAATTGAATAAAAACTTAAAAGAAGAAGATCCGAGGTTTCAAGATCACAAATGGTGGAAAATTTTTACTCAAACAGAAGGGAAATCCGATCCTGATGTTAAATTTATTGGTCAAAATTGGGCAATTAGAAGATTACAAACATTTCTGGACATAAATAAAGAATCTGAGGAAAATACTAATGCAGTTTCCAAAGAAAATAATGCTACTAACAGTAATAACTATATCACTCAAAAGAAAAATAATTAATGATTAAATACTCTTTCATCTTGTATCTATGCGTGCCTTTTCTATTATTTATGCAAAATATGTATCGATATTATCTTTATAGTTCTATATGTATCTATTAATGATTATAAATTACCAACTTCTCTCCCCCCACCTTTCTCTTTTCATAAAAATAATTCGTTATTTCCCAATCTTTGTGGAATTAACTTTTGATGCAAATCTTAATGAATTTAAAGTTTCATTTAAATGTGAGTTAGATGGTGATATATTAACAAACATTAATGTTTTAGAATTCCCTGTCAATGAATACTGTAAAAGATAAGTTAATTTAGAGTTTCTGAAAGGGACATGTCTTTTACCATTTCTATCTGGTACATTTAATGCATGGATAACATCGCCAAGACAACTCAACGATCTATTGATATTTTGGGTCTCCCTCAAACGTTCACCACTGACTTGTGAAGAATGTATTCTCTCAGAACCCGCCAGATCGACCAAGTTTAATATCCCATGGGAATCCTCGTTAGTTAAAGCATTATGACCATATAAATGAAGTATAAATATACTATGGGAACGGGAAGAATGTTCATTTGATTCAGTTGAAGCAGTTGATCTTAACTTAGTGGCCTTTTGCAAAATTTTACCCACTGATTCTTTAGTATCCAATTGACACGTCGTTACATTTGTTATTGTAGTTGTTTCATTCTCATGATCATGTCTAATTTCACATTTACTATTACCACCATTATTATTATTGTAATTATTATTTTCAATGTTCCCGTTCCGTAAAAGATCTATAATATTTTCATTATATATTTCTACAAATTGACATTCAATTTTATATTTCCAACCACGTTCCTCTAAATTCTCTATCCAACTAAAAATATGTGATATTGTAGAGGGGATAATACCATCACCAGGGTTTAACATGGTGAAAGTCTTACCGGAACCAGTTTGTCCATAAGCAAATATACAAACGTTATAACCATCTAGGGAACTTTGTACTAACTGCCCAACCTCTTTAAATACCTCTGAGTTATCCTCATCAATATCAAATATCCTATCAAATCTAAACTGTTGTGGAATATTATTACTATTACTACTATTACTATTACCATTACCATTACCGTTATTATTATTATTTTCATTAGGTGATTTTATAATTTCCATAACTTGAACCCCATTACTATCATCAAAAGGCTTAACTTTTATATAATTAGTGTTAGGATCTTCAATCTTGGGCAATGGAGGACGGATACGACAAAAGACTCTAATATTACCTCTTAATTCTTGTAATTCATTATGTAAAGATCTTCTCAAGGATTCCTCTTTCATCAGAATATCATTTATCTCTTTCAAATCATATTCTGTTTTCTCAATATATTCTTTTAACTCTGTCTGACGATCCTCATTTTCTTTTAATTTAATTTCTCTTTCTTTAATTTTCGCTTGCAAAAGTGATTTTTTGTCTCTTCTTTCACTCAAGATTTTTTCTAAATCAACAACCTTCTCATTCAAATCAGTTATTTTTTTTTCCAATTGAAGCTTATTTGGTTTCAAATTCTGTTCAATATCTTTTTTAATGTCATCTATCTGTTTATTATAATTAGTATTAATTTCGATATTATGATTCCATTTGGCTTGATATTCATTTAACCAATCTTCTTTCAATTTATCATATTTATCATTCAACTCCATTATCGATTGTGATAAAATATCATCATTATTATCAATTTTTGATTTAATATTATTAACCTCTTTAATCAAATTATCTCTTTCATCCTCAAATTTTTTAATTTTAGTTGACTTCACGCTTTCTATCTTTTCCTTGTAATCATTAATCAACTTATTTATCTTTGTCTGATTCTCGACTTCCATCTGTTGTAAATGCAATTTATGACCTTCCTCCAAAAATTTCTTGCGAGATTCAATTGTATCTTTCAATTTATTTATCTCATTTTGCTTGATCCTCAATTGTTGTTCCTTAGTTAATTTTTCATCTCTCAGTTTATCCCATTTTAACTTAGTTTCATTAAACTCTTTCTTCCCCTTGATAACAACATCTCTTAATTCATCCAGTTTAGCCTTTTTTTTAACCAAAGTATCCTGCAATTGATTCAACTCTTTCATTTGTTCATTGTAAAAAGTGGATAAGTGGTTCACTTTATTATTAAAATTTGTGTTAATAATGCTATTGTTATTATTGTTGAGAGCCACCCCAGACGACTTGCGCGATGCAGATATCATTGGCTTGATACCAGTAGAAGTAAGCATTGTCTGGCCATCTAAGGACCTCCTATCCAAAGTACTTAACTTATTAGAAAGCTTGCCCATATTATACGTGTTATAATCATGGCCACTACTATTGTTGGCAGCGGGATCTAAATCTCTTCCATTGTCATCATTCAAAGACACACCAAATATATCATTTTGTCTATAAAATTTTGGTGAGGGACTTGTCGTGTACCGTCTCTTAGCATAAGATTGATGCCTCTCTGGGGTTGTTGGTATATCATCCATTTTGTAAACCTTTCTCTTTTTGTGTCTATATCGACCTAATCCTATATTTTATTTATATTATTCGTACCTCTTTTTTTTTTACCACTAAGTAGTCCCTTAACAAATGCACAGAATACACACCTCACCCCCCACAAACACACTGATACACACACATAAATATATACTTTCGAATACAAATAAGAGCATCATCACCATGTATGTGGCCAAGATACTCATTTACCAACATCTCAGATCAGTTTCACCCTCTGCAAATCTCCAACGTCATAGAAAAATCGAATTCTAGAACACTCAGACATCCTCAAACAAAACACGTGATAAAAACAGTATTGTGGGTGTTTGGGTGGTATCAGACCAAAGCTTTTTTTTTTTTTTTTTAATCTACAGAGTGTCTCGAAAAACAGCGAAAGCAGAAGAGGCATAAAAAAAAAGTTTACTAGTGCAATAATTAGAGATGAGATGAGACAAAATAGTGTATGGTGAAGTGATATGACATATGAAGTGCTCTATTAAGACAAGAAGTCAAGATTAAGAAGTTTTTTGTGCATTTCTGTTTGTTAAAATAGCAGTAGGAAAAGAAGAAGAACTGTATATTAGTGTGTGATTGGGTTGAAGTGGAATCTGTAAAAGTTTTTAAAGGTATAATTAGAATAAATTAAGAAAGGAAATAATGACATCTAAAGGAAAGTTAACATTTTCAAAAACAGGCAAAACAAATCTAAAAAAAAGAGCTAGAGATAATTTTGAAGAGAATAATGACGACAATGATAGGAGTAAGACTGCTACTACAAATCAAAGTAATGAGTCTGATTCAGCCATTGAAAGCAATGAAGTAGAAGATGATGAACAAAATCTAGCTGATGTTTCCTCTTCTGAAGAAGAAGAGGAGGAAGAAAAAGGGTATAGTGAAGACTTTGAAGATGATAGTTTTCCAAGGAAAAAAAAGTCCAAGAGAAGTAAACATGACGATGGTTCTAAGGAATTCTCCAGCGCTGTATCTGCTATTTTATCATCACATTTGAAAGCATATGATAGAAATGATCCTATCATGGCAAGAAATAAGAAAGTTATTAAACAGAATGAAGCTGATAAATTGGAATTAAAAGCAAAGAAAGCTTTACTAGCGGAGAAGAAAAAATTACTCGATAAGGCAAGAAAGAGAAATATCTTACCCCAAGTACAGGATACTAACGGTGAGGACATTAGAAACATACTTGAGAAGGAATCAAAATTAAGGAAAATTGCTCAAAAGGGTGTTGTCAAATTGTTCAATGCAATTTTATCTACTCAAGTAAAAACAAATAAGGAAGTTTCTGAACATTTAGGTGGTATCAAAAATAAACAAGAAAGAGAACAATTAATTACTGAAGTGTCAAAGGAAAAATTCTTAGATTTGGTAAAAGCTGCTGCTATAGAAGAATAAGATATATATATATATAATATAGATACTATTACTCTATCATTTTAGAAAAATCATTTATTTATTGTCACCATAAATCTTATATACATATAATGCATATATACCCACTACTCTTACTTAAAACAAAGTTGTTGAATTCATAGTTCAATAATATTATTCTTCTCCTTAATATTTAATTGTATAATAATATTAAATATATTGATATAATTATTTATAGTTTTATTAATATTTATACGAATCATATTCTTATCTATCACTATTATTATTACAAATTATTATGTATTAACTAAAATCCTAACCCACCATTAGAATAAGCCATCGGTTTTACATCTGGATGTGTTACATGTTCAAACAGTTCGACACATAAATCTTCATCATCATTTTCATTAACACCAACTTTACCTTTGCCTGGCACCACATGAATAATAGCACCTTTGTTACCTTGAGAATCACAATAGTTTGGTGCACTAAACACAGTTATTAATTTCTTATCGTGTTCGAATTCTACACCATTCATTCTCACTTCGTGGGATCTGAAAACTTTCTTTAAATTATTCCTCTCTAAATATTGGACTGTAATATCTGGACCAAAAGAATATCCTAAACCACGTTGAGATGGACCAAACCCTTTAGCCACTTGTGGATCAGCCCAAAGTAAGTCCATGAACAAACCTTCCCTTGGTGGTTGTTTGAATCGATCAATAGATCTAATATCATCAAGTGTGGATTCTGTATCCTTTGGTAAACCTCCATGCATTACCAAGTAATCGTCATTTATTAAGGTAGCAAGAGGCAAGCTTTCGAAACTCTCAGAAAACATGTCAAATATTCTTTGAGAATATTTATACTTACATTCATCCTCAAAGCCGTACATTTTGTTCATATTATCAGTCTCATGGTTACCTCTATTCAGATAAAAGTTCTTTGGATATAAAATCTTCAAACAATAAAATAATATAGCCACCTCACATGACCACGAACCACGATCTACAAAATCACCATTAAAAAGGTAAGTGTGTTGGGGAGAAACTTTACCGAATTTTTGGAAAATGTTTAAAACATCATAAAATTGACCATGTGTATCACCACAAACAGAAATTTTAACATCATCCACTCCTAATTGTCTTTCATCTTTATCTTTATTTGAAATTTCTACTAAAGTAGGTTCTTTACGAAATAATCTTTCTGCATGTGATATAATAGCAGCCACATATTTCTTAGGTAATTGTTTCCCCTTTAAAAACAAACCATTGATCATAAATGAAACAAAGTCTTGTGACATATTCTTAATTTGAATCCCATCATTCTCATTCTTTTCATTTTTCAATTCTTCAAACTCTAATTTCATACCATCATATTTAATTAAATCTGAATTGGCATCAAATGAGCTTAAATCAATTGTCTTACAAAAATTAACCTTTCCTGAATCGCCACCACCGATAGCCTTTTTAAATCTTTCTTCTCTAATAAACCTTTCACACATAGCCAGTCCTCTCTTTGCAGTAGCATCATTAGGTTTAACATTTAGCACAATGTTGAAATCTGCTCTAGCCTTTCTAAACTCTAGTAAACCAACTTCAGACATACCCCTTCTATGATAAGCCTTAATATTATTCTTATCCAAGTTAATAGCCGAGTTACAATCATTGAATGCACTTTGAAAATTATCCATCTTAATATGGGCTAATGCCCTATTTGAGTAAAAAATGGATATTGTTGGATCCAAATCGATGGCTTTAGAATATAATTCAATGGCTTTAGGAAAATTTTGTTGCTTTATAAATACATTTCCTTCATCTTTAAACTTTAACGCAGCTTCCTTATCAGCTGTAGTTGGGTCAGTCATGATTCTTAACAATGGGTAAGGGATACTACTTCTATTTTAAATCCTCTACCATTGTCAAGTCAATAATAAAACAAGGAAAAATACTATAAGCAAATAATCTTCTTATCTTTAAAGAATCCAATCTAATGACCTTAACACATTTTATATATAAATTTACTATTATCTCAGCTTAAATCCACAAATCATAATAAAATAAATTTTCGCTTTTTTAGTAACTAGAGCCCATCTCAAAATGAAAAAAATAAAAAAAAAAAAAGAAAAATACAAAAAAAAAAGATGCACAAAAGAATTGAACAGAGGATATAAGGAATAAAAAATCTTTCTTAGAATATAAATAATAAAAGACTCCTCCTTTCTCTTTTATTATTATATGGAGATGATGGGTGGTTGTAGTTGTATAGCCTGTAAATAATAAGATACAATTTTTCTTTTATTTAATATATATATATATATTTGTAGATCTATTATAAGTTATTTTCCATTTTTTTATTTATTACTTTTACCATGCAATGTTTTTTAGATATGTAGTAGTAGAATCGGTGGTTGTTCCAAATTCATGTTCATTCAATATTTGATCAAATGTCTCAAATTCTAATGTAGGTAAAATCTTCAAATTTCTTGATAATTCTGCATTAACTAACGAATCATAGCTCCAATCCAAAAAATCCTCCATATTATAGTGTAACTTTCTGAATGGTTGTTTAAATATCTTAGCCAATGTAGCTACATTTGGATGATAATGGTCCATTAAAGTAGCCAATTCCCACAATGACGATTCAAATGCATTTGTATTTTCTGGATCAGTAGAGTTTATATCGAATGGGTCCTTATATGAATCGATATTCTGCTTTAATTCTAACCTTTCTTCGTCTGTTAGAAATGGAGACGAAATATACTTTGGATTGTGAATCATGATCATACAATTAGGATGTTTTTTTAAAAGGTTATAAATAAATGGGATAATAGTAACCACAGCAGCAGGTGGTGCATTTAAAGAAAGCCTTGCCAATTTTTTAATAAAGGAAGCTACCAAATGAACAGAAAGATGTGTAGAAGATAAAAACAATTCCATTAATCTGAAAAATCTTGGTCTATATTTAACATGCATTAAATCAGGTGTCAGTAGTTGATACAGCTTTGAATAGAAATTTGGATACTCTAGATTTGAATGCTGCATTAATTGGAAAAGACCGTTAAGTGCCAAAATTGGGATTACGCCAACAGATTTATCATTTGGTGATACTTGTGAAAGATTGTAGGAATCTGTTAAGAAGTCCATTAGCTTTGTTGGAGTATGCAATAATGGAATAACTCTTCTATGAAGTATCAATAAGATACTCTTATATTGATTGAAAGATAGTTCTTGATTTAATTGAAACAACCAATTTTTTTCTACTAGTGATTTAAATTGTGATACGTTATTGACACAGTTTGGTGGTTCCGATACAAACACTTCAAATTCGAATTTGTTCTCGTTATCTGTATTTAAACCACCACAACAATGTTGGTCATGATTCATTAAAGTCAACCATTTTGCAATGTTATTTTTTCTAGAAAGTTGAGGTTCAGACATGCTATTGTTACCATCAGTATTATTAGAACCATCGGCTGTTTCAGTGAAGGTATCGAATAGTTTATTTAATTCAGATTGTGTATAATATTGAATATCAGCATAAGGCTTATAGTATTTATTGATAAATTCCAAAAGAATGAAGTTCTGGGATTGGCCAGTTATTGGATCCAACTCATGGTCGTCAACATCTGATTTCCAGAGAGATATCATCAAATTTTGTAAAGTTTTATTTGGAAAGAATGGACCTTTAGCAAAATGTTCTGATTCCAATTCAATTAGTTGCAAATAAAGATCCAATGCATCTAAAGCCCATGAGGTTTCAATACGAAGGTCGGAAATGATGGCCAGTAATTTTAGTTTAAAAACGTTGTACATATTTCTACACCAATTAATAAATTTAATCAAGGGTTCATTTTGGTTTTGAGTGCTTAGATTTTTTTTCAATAGCACCAATTCATTTCTTTGAAACAATTTTTTAAAAATTTGAAACAATGAAACAGTTAAGAACCTTAATCTTTTTTCGTTTTCTAAATCGTCCACTAGTTGCGGGACTTGATCGTTGGTAGAGGGGATTATTAATTCATTAACTAATTTAACAATATTATTGTAATAGGTTTTTTCCTTTGTTGAAATAATTTGTTTAGTAAAAGATTTGATTTCTTCTATCGAAAGAACCATTTCTTCTTTTCTGTCTATTTTCTTATTTATTTATCTAATTATTCTTTTTTCTTCTTTGTTTGTTTGCTTGTTCGTATAAATTTTACGCTAGTATTTTATCAACCACTAAGATGTGGAGCAAAAGGAGCAGAAAAGTAACAAAAGAGTATTTACTGCATTTACCACGTAAGAGTATTTAATATTGTCAGGTCAAAATGAAGAGATGATGCTCATCTCAAAATTTTTAATTTACAAGAAAGGAACAGAAAAAAAAATATATATTCGTGCAGAACGTGAAAAAAGAAAAAACCAAAAAAAAAAAACCAAATTTCCAATATACCACATAAACAAAATAAGAACGATAAAAAATATATATATATATAAAGAAGAATTCTACTTAATCAGTTTAACAAGTATTACAACCGGCAAAAGATACATACATGCATACATGTATGTTTCAACGTATAAAAGAACTGTAGATATAATACATATTTCTTTTCTTCTAACGAATGAGATCTAACTGTTAATTTATCACTCATTAACAAATTTTTTTTAAATCGTTCCCTCCTCTTTTTTTTATTTTTTAATTTTATTTTATATTATTTATCTTAAAAAAAAAAAGAGAGAGAAAATGGTATAGAAAGGTTGTTATTAGAGGATTAATGAGCACCTGGTATCAACCAATCAAAAGATATGAACACTCTTATAAATTAATTGTAAGAAGTTTAACAGAAGAAAAGAAAATCAAAAATACATTTTACACATACACATAGATATATTTATGTATATGCATATGTATACTCCCAGTATATTGAAAGGTGGTTCTCTATTCCAAAGACTTAAAGAAACTGAATATATATACATATATATATATTAGTAGAATCAAGTCAAGAAAAAGCAAGAAAATCAGTAGGGAACCGTATATGCTATTAAGGAGACAGAAACCGTCTTACACATACCAATAATGAACAATGATAATTCTACCTTGACGTAATTTTCTTCTCTGTATAAAATAGATACATGTGCAGCAGGAATAACCAGAAGGGAAAACAACGAACAAACAAACAAACAATAACAGAGTGGGCCTCCTCTATATAATACTCTTATAGCAGAAAAAAGGGTACGTTATCCTTTCTTATATATATTGAGATTTGAAACTTAACATCTTAATAAAGGTAGAATATAGGTTCAGTGTATTGGAGAGGGAGAGAAGAGGAAAGGTTAAGAATATCATTATTATCGTTATTATTATCATTATTTTTATCATAATCAAGTCATGGTGAAAAGAATCCATTGAAATTAAATCAAGTCCAATCTAAAACAAACAAAAGAAAACAAAAGTAACAGAATGGCCAGCGGGGAAACAACCCCGGCCTGTAACCCTATAACCCTGTAATCCTGTAATCCTGTAATCCACACACCCACACATCCTTCTACTTTTTTTTTCCCCATCCTTGTGGACCACACCGTGTCCTCAAAAGGATAGACAAACTAATACTGGAAAAGAAAAAAAAGAAAGTAAGAACAAAAATTGAGTCATCTCCATCATTTTTTGCTTTTCATTGCAGAACAACGCTGGAACAATGAAGGAGGACGGCAGAAATTTTTTTTTTCTTTTCAAAGATAAACATAACATCCGCACACCCAACCCTCGAGGCATCAAAATTTCATTTTATTTTTAAATTCTCGCTTAACATCCGCTAACTATTGTTGTGGCTATTGTTTTCTTGTTTTGTTGTTTGAGCAGTTGCCTACATTATCGAATAGATAAGCATTTCTTGTTTCTCGAATCAGAAAAACTTATAATCTGGTAAGAGGTAACAATAACAATAATAGTGATAATAGTGTGATAGCGATGATAAATAATAAATGGTAATAATAATACACGAGGCCATTGAAAGAAGACTGTTTATACACAACTATTCAAAATTACAGATACTTTACTCTTCTTCTTCTTCTTCTTCATTGAGTTCAAACAAAGCAATGAAAACTTGGTCCTTCAAGAACGGTTGATATTCATATTCACTCACATATACTCTTTATTTTTGCTCCCCTCTTCTCCTTCCAGAATAATCCATTTCTTTGATTACAAGATACGTTTTTGTCTGTGTAGACTTCAACTCATTTATATATATATTTATTTTCTTTTTTTCTTCTTGCCTCCATAACTTGCTTTTTTTTTTTTTTTTTTTTTTTTAATTTCTTTATTTTACTTCATTTTATTTCTTTAAGTTCAACCTACTTCTCTTTTCACTGCCTATTTCACTTATATGCTCTTCTTCCGTCTTGTTGTAACGGATCCCAAACTTCTATAAGACCTTTGTAAATATATATCCTACCACCGCCTATTAAGAAAATAAAAAAAATGTGTGGTATCTTCGCCGCTTTTAGACACGACGACATTTTAAGCTTTAAACCAAAAGCTTTGCAATTAGCTAAAAGAGTTAGACACAGAGGCCCAGATTGGTCCGGTAACGTCATTAAGAACTCTACTATTCTATGCCATGAAAGACTAGCCATCGTCGGTGTCAACTCTGGTGCTCAACCAATCACCTCCCCATGTGGTAACTATGTCTTAACCGTCAACGGTGAAATCTACAACCATATCCAATTAAGAGAACAATGCCCAGACTACGAATACCAATCTTTATCTGACTGTGAACCAATCATCCCAATGTATTTGAAACACGATATCGATACCCCAAAGTATTTAGACGGTATGTTTGCTTGGTGTCTATACGATTCTAAGAAAGATAGAATCGTCGCAGCAAGAGACCCCGTCGGTATCACTACTCTCTACATGGGTAGGTCTTCCATGAGTCCAAAGACCGTGTACTTCGCATCTGAATTGAAATGTCTAACCGACGATTGTGATGACATCATTGCCTTCCCACCAGGTCACGTCTACGACTCCGAGACCGACAAGATCACTCGTTACTACAACCCAGAATGGTTAGACGAAAACAGAATCCCAACCGAACCTGCTGACTATAAGAAGATCAGACACACTTTAGAAAAGGCCGTTAGAAAGAGACTAATGGCTGAAGTCCCATACGGTGTCTTACTATCTGGGGGGTTGGATTCCTCTTTAATTGCCTCCATTGCTGCCAGAGAAACTGAAAAGGCTAACAACGAATTAGATGTTACCAGATACGACGATGAAGAACCACAAAACCATTTGGCTGGTATCGATGACAACGGTAACTTGATGTCTGCTACTTGGTCTCGTTTACACTCCTTTGCTATTGGTTTACCAAATGCTCCAGATTTAAAAGCTGCTAGAAAAGTCGCTAAGTTCATTGGTTCTATACATCACGAACACACCTTCACTTTACAAGAAGGTCTTGATGCATTAGATGATGTCATTTACCACCTAGAAACATATGATGTCACCACTATCAGGGCCTCTACTCCCATGTTCTTATTATCTAGAAAGATTAAGGCCCAAGGTGTTAAGATGGTCTTATCCGGTGAAGGTTCCGATGAAATCTTTGGTGGTTACTTATACTTCGCTGCCGCTCCATCTGCTGCCGAGTTCCATGCCGAATCCGTCAAGCGTGTCAAGAACTTACACTTGGCTGATAACCTAAGAGCCAACAAGTCTACTATGGCCTGGGGTCTAGAAGCAAGAGTTCCATTCTTAGATAAGGAATTCTTAGATTGTTGTATGAACATTGATCCAAAGGAAAAGATGATCAAACCAAAAGAAGGCAGAATCGAAAAATACATCTTAAGAAAGTCATTCGATACTTCTGACGAACCAGGTGTAAAACCATACTTACCAGATGAAATCTTATGGAGACAAAAGGAACAATTTTCTGATGGTGTCGGTTACTCGTGGATCGATGGATTAAAGGATACTGCAGAAAGAGTCATCTCCGACGAGATGTTTGCATCTCCAAAGGCCCACTGGGGCGATGATATCCCAACCACTAAAGAAGCTTACTGGTACAGATTGAAGTTCGACGCTTTATTCCCACAACCTACTGCTGCATCCACTGTCATGAGATGGATTCCAAAGGCTGACTGGGGTTGTGCTGAAGATCCATCTGGTAGATACGCTAAGATCCATGAACAACACGTTGAAGCATAAACTTTTCTATCTGTAACCCTCACAAATAATGTCGTTCTTCATTTTTGTTGTTCTCTTTAATTTGTGCATTACATTAACTTTTCTAAAAGAATAGGAAGAACTCTTTCTTGGTGTTCATTATACACGCTAGGTTTTTTTTTTTATCTTACAAGTAACCAGGTATAGAATATTTTTGTACTTGGTTTTATACGTTATAAATTTATCTATTTTATATATTAATATTAATAAAAATAACATTAATAGTGTATGTATTGTTTTTTTCCCCTCCTAACAAACTTTTATTTGTACACATATTTATATGTTTAAAGGATTAGAAAATGAGGCATGTCAACAAATACAATTTTAGTCACAAGAACTACAATCGTATTATTCGTGTTTAAGTAAAATTATTAATAAATCATTAAAAATATACGTATTATACAAATAATTACAATATTATTATTATTATTTTAATATGTACAAGCATTTTTTTGAGTTCTTTACGACACATTATTTTAATACAAAAAAGGGTTGTTCCATAATGCAAATTTTATTAAAAAGTAAAACAAAAATGTTTCTAAATCTTGTGATGGGTATACCTTCCTCTAACTATAATTCTTCAGTAAATCTGTCACTAATATTACAAACTATAGGCATGCTTGTTTGTTTTTCTGTATTGCATGTCAAATAGACCTTACCCACTCAGGTTACCAAAACTAGAAACGTGAAATAAATCATAGGACCATCAACAAAGGTATATTGTACTTTTTTTTCCTTTGTTGAATGTCTTGTTAACTGTAAAACAATTTTTAATTATCATTTTGTCATTTAATTTTCACTTCACTAGTAGATTTGCTCGAAGACTGTGATAATCTTTGTGATGTAGTCTTTTCCACTTCTAGCTGTTCGACTTTTGCATTCAACACCATTAAATCATATCTTGTGATTCTCTCATGCCTTAATTTTTTTTTGAATTCAATCTTACTAAAAATAGCCTTAAGTTTCTGCATTGTATTGCTTCTCTTCTCTACCATTTAATTCTAAAATCCTTTAATCATTCACACAAAAGGCGTTGAACTGATATGTCTGAACATATGCATATATATAAGTAGATGTGATATTTAAGTAAGAAAATGTTCAATATGTGTCTAATGTACGAAAAGTTATGTTCGATCAATATTTATCGTATATATATATACATTTGTGTGTAAGTAAGTGCTCTTATATTTACTTGTGTTTAATTCAGTTAACAATAGTTCAAACTGAACTGCCAACCATATTTGATATTTGAATAATATTGCTTCGTGCATCAAGTATTCTAAGTCATATAATAACAATACAAAATAAATAATATATATTGAAGGAATCAGAAACAATGCTACCATTAAGAAGAGATAGTTACACCACATTAACAGATGTCAATAAATTGATATTTCGCCACAATCCTTAGGTACCTAAATCAATCATCGTACTCAAACTAGGAAGATTAAAACAGTATAAGAATAGGTGGAAGGAGGCACTGCATCGAACCAATAAACAAAAACAGAAAACAAAGAAAACAAAAGAAAGAGACATAAAGCAAACCTCTATATTAAGCACTTTCTATTCATGTTAACAAGAAATTGGGCTTAAAATGGTTACGAGCTCCTGTAAACCTTCGAGTAAATCAAAGCCATCGTATCATAATTAAAGCCATTTTTTGGTATTGTTTTCTTTCAGCTCTCTTTATTATTATTATTTTTTTTTTTTATTTTTTCATTTTTTTTATTTTCGGACCTAATCGATGATTAGGGCTTGTTTGAAAATGGATCTCTCAAGAAAGGCAAAATTTTCTTTTTAAGAAACGCTGTGCCACCTTTAAATTGAATGTTGGGATTTGGAAAATAGCAATAAAGAGAACTGTAAGTAGTAAAATAAGTAAATATTAACTTTCCAAAAGAGAATAACATACTAAATAAAATAGAATTAACTTCTTTCTTTAACAAATTTTTTTTTAAATTTGTCTACTTGTTAAAATATTAATTAATATATTATATATGTTGTATAGTTGATTTTCCTCAAACAATGAACAATCTATTTTTTTAATTACTTAATCAAAGAAAAAAAATTTTTATTTACATTTGCTATTGACAATTTGGACTATTTTTATAACTGAAAAGCTTAAAATCCTCTTTACAAAAACAAACTAACAAACAAACTTATACAACCTAAGGTTTAAGTAAATAGATGTACTAAAAGATAAAAAAAATCATAATACAATGGTGATACATAATATAGACAGCATCATCTAATCAAATGGCATGACTTTTTTTTTATTTTTTAGTTCTTCTGTGAAATTATTGAAGGATACTTTATTCATCATCATCATTTATTGTTAGAGTGTCTAATAATTTCATACTAGTTTCTAATTCTTGTACACATTGTCTATAGTGAACCAACTGAATATTTTGAAATAATTTCACTAGTGAAATGAGTTCCACACTATCGGTAAGCTCCGTCATTTTCTCTGCAGCAGCAGTAATATTAGAGACAAAATCATCTTCTAATTGTTCCAATAATTTATCTTCCTCAGTTTCTTCTTCTTCTTCTTCTTCTTCTTCTTTTTCATCTTTTTGCTCTTGTTGTTCTTTTTCTGTTATATTCCCTTTATCTTGTTCTTTGGAATTTGCAGTATCCTTATTTTCAGACTCAATTTCCTTTTCACTTTCAGATTCAACCTTAATGGATTCTTCTTTTGCCTTTTCCTTCAATGAATTCTTCATTTTTATTTCGTGACGCATAGTATCAAATTCTAATCTTGATTCTTGTACTTTTTTACGCAATTTCTTAACGGTTTTAAAATCAATTGCTAACATATCCGACAATTTTTGGTTAAATTCTTTGACAATCATAGTATTCATATCATTTTGACTTTGGTCAATATTTTTATAACATTGACACCAAGATTGGAACGCTTTAATCAAATTATTTAAATCTTCGTCTTCTTCATCCTCTTCATCTTCTTCATTGTTTGTCTTACTATCACCAGTGTAAGTCTGTTCCTTCCTTTTTTTTGAGTTGATAAATATTTGTTGTGAATCCAAAACTGCTTTACTTATTGCAATGGCAAAAGATCTATTAAAGATAGAAGAGTTGATTTCAACTAATTTATCATTGGAACAATTATTGACAGCGTTGCTAGTCTCTTTGCTTCCTGCATTTTCAAAATCTTTTGATTCTTTTTCATTATTTTTGAAGTCATTAACTTTTTGATCCTGTTCATTCCACCAATGGTTTAGACTCTCTGTCAAATTAGGTGGATAATCGTACCCTTCTAATTCAAAAGTCCTAGTGACCAACAACAATCTATTCAAAACTTTTTCCAAAGCATCTACTTTTAATTCTAGTTGTTGATAGTCCTCGGGTAGTTTAGATATCTCATCTTCAGGGATGGCCCCGACTTTTTCTTGTAAAAATCTTGTCGTTTTTTTAATTTGTAACTTGGTTTGGACGTTTGGTGACAGTATGGTATTGTTGATGGTCTCTTGAGCAGACTGTGCTGCTGTTGTGATTGTGCTAGTTAATTTATCCAAACTGAAATTGGAAAACATATCTTAATAAATTTTTACAAAGTTCTTGGAATTCGTTTCTTCCTTATTGGAACAATTATATAATATGTGTTAAAAGAACTGTAAATAGCAGAAACAATAACTAGAGAGTATGCAAAGAAAGAAAGAAGAATTACTGTTTACTGGGGTCCACCAAAGTTAATACTAATATATGCATGTATCCATGTATGTATGTATGAGTTAACCGAAGAAATGAAATTTTTTTTACAAAGACATGCCTTTATCAATGCAAACATGTACCTGTGTGGGTTATTTTTATTGATATCAGCAAATTTTTCACTTAATGAATTCTTATGTCTTTTACAAGGAGAAAAAGAAAAAAGAAAAGGAAAAAAAAAAATGCAGCCTTACCTACAAACACATGCCAATATATAAATTTGTTACAACAGAGAATGGAGACAACAACAGCAAACACAGATATTACACACACACATACACACACACGCATAGTTTATATTAACCATTAAACCTTAGTATAAAGATAAACTAATCTAAATTAAATAAAACTATATATACAAATTAATTCTACACATATTTGATTTCCTCACTAGTCTCATATTCAAATGAATCCGCATATTCAGGATTATGATCATTTTGATATATTTGTTGTACAAATGGCGGTTGTGATAACACTTTCCTTAATGTGGATAAATGACTTAACTTATTATTTTTCTTTTTATTATAAGAAGCGACGTTAATAAATATTTTTCTGGTTAGATCGTTTTCGTAATATTTATTTAATCCATCGATTTTTTCCTTTAAAGAAATCAATTTCTGATTAACCAAGTCAATGGATTTATCTAATTCATTGAATTTTGGTTCATATTCTTGTTGAAGTTGATTATTCTTTGTATTTTGACATAATTTCCACTGGTTATCAATATATTGTTTATTTTTCAATTTTTCTAATTGAATATTATCAAATATTGGTTTTGAATAAAACTTGTTGTTGTAGATGATTATAGATTCTTTATTTTCTGGGGTGGCCCATGGGTTATTATCAAGGGATGGAAAGGCAGACGATGGAGTAGTTTTCTTCTTTTGATATGTGAAAGTGGGGACTTTTGGCAGATTATTCAAGTGGATTGGCTTGTCGATATATTTATAGTTTGGTTCATCAAACTTGATAACCTCTTGTGACTTTTTGTAGTATTCTAATTTTTTTTCTTTTAATTTTATGTCGTTTAATTCTTTTAATTGCAAATCATCTAAAACGTTTAAGTATTCTGGATAATGAATCTTATGGGAATGTCTTTCGTATTTTAAAACTTGTAACCATTCAATTTGGTCTTGAGTCAAGTGAGATCTAAATGGAGATATGTAGTTTGTGTTTGTGCGACGATCGTTTTTCAAAGCTGAATAAGGTACAGTTGAATATAAGAAATAATTTTTTATTGGAACTGTTGGATAAATTTCATTATAGATTATCTGATCGAATATTTGATCTGCTTCTGTAGTCTCAGAGTGTTTTAACATATTAAATAACAAGAATATTTAAATTTTTTTTTTTTGCTTTTTTCTTTTCTTCGTTTCTGTTTCTCTCCTGTAATAAGAAGACATATATATATGTATATATCTTTGAATCAAGATAAGATTTGAATTATATTGTCTAAGGAGAAGCAAAGGAAAGGGGAGAAAAAGAAAGAAAGGAAGAAAAGAGAGAATATATATATATATTTTTATTTAAAGTTAAGTGTCACTACTGTTATTGTGAATCGTTTATTGAAGTCCTCTTATCTTCACCGCGCCATTCCAGTGTGAAGGGATGCATGGCATAGTGTAATAATATTTAATGTATATATATACTTATCTACATATCTATATCTATATCTATATATATCAACACAAATGCAATGTTCTGTTGGCTGTACTATACCCTTGTGCTAAAATGATAGATACGTTTTGTCTAAGTATATATTGATATATACTTAGATAACTAGACAACAAAGGAAATTGTTAGGGGAAACAATGATATTCTCATTAATGTTATTATTTTTATTATTATGGTGATAAAAATAAAGAAAAGAAAAGAAAAAAGGGAAGTAGCAAGACGAAAAAGGGAGACCTTTTATATTTTCCACGGAGTTTCAATTTCGACGGCCAATATTCAGTTACGTAATTGTACTGACACAATTGATTTATTTCTCGTGGGTCCTGTCACCCCCCTTTTCTTCCTTTTTTTCTCTTTTTTTTTTTTCTTTGTTTGTTTCTTTATTTCGTTCATCACATCATCACTACTTCTTTTGTTTTTCCCTTTGTTGTATATTGCCACCATCTGTCATAGTAACAATAACTCCGAAAGAAACAATATAGAGCAAACAAAGAGAAGAATCTCTATTGTGTGTAATGGGACATATGTCCACATTTCTCACATACAGACATAAATAAGATTGTAATTCATATAATCAAAAGTCATCAACTAAACTAAACAACCTTTATTTTCGTGGATTTAAACTTTTTTTTTTCTTTTTAATCCTCTATCTTTAAAGAGAAGAAGAAGGGAAGAGGGGGGAAAAAGAAAGCGGAAGAAAGAAAGAAAGAGAGGGTTCAAATTAGAACAGCAACCATTTTGATATGTCCGGAATTCCTAAATTCAAATACTTTCATGCTATGTGTATTTTCTATCTCCCTTAATATTACGTCTATATAAATGTATAAGTATAAATGTGTATACTTATATTTTATTAACTAAAGTAATACATTTATATATGTGTCTGTATGTAAGTATGTCTGTTTATGTATATATATAATAAATCCTTTTTTATTCTTTTTATTTTATTTTATTTTTTTTTTTAGTTGTTGTTGTTGTTGTTGTTGTTGTTGTGTGTGTGTATATAAATATATTCTATATATATAACAAATAGTATTCTAATAAACACTTTTTAACATAAAATAAAATAAAATTCGTATCTTTCGATTTTTTTTTTTTCCTTTTTTTATTTAATTCAATAAAGATTGTTGTAAGTCTATCCACAATTACTACCAGGATTAAGTAAGAAAAACAAAAAAAAAACAACAACTACAACTACAACTACAAATATAAATATTGATAAATATAAAATTTAGTAATACAAGATGTTAGCCCTTGTTGACAATATTTTACGTTTAATTAATTTTATTTTCATGGTAATCACCATTGGTTTAGTTGCCGCTTTATTGAATACATCAAATCATAATTCAGGCCGTGTCAACTATACAATGTTTGCTGCTGCTTACGGTATAACCGCAGATTCAATATATGGACTGTTTGCTAATTTCATAGAACCTTTGGCTTGGCCAATCATACTAGCAACATTAGATTTTCTGAATTTTGTGTTTATGTTGACTGCCGGCGCTGTACTTGCAGTTGGTATCAGAGCACATTCTTGTAGAAATAAAGAATATTTGAACAGTAACAGTATTATACAAGGATCAGAGAACCGTTGCAGAATGTCACAAGCTGCGGTTGCCTTTTTCTTTTTCTCAATGGCCATTTTCTTGGCTAAATTCATTATGAATGTCATCAATGCTTTCACTAATGGTGCTTTTGGATCTCCAATGTCAAGTCCATTTGGTTCTAGATTCTCAAGAAGGAGAAGAACACAACAACCAATTGGTATCGCCACAGGTGTTCCTAATATTTCTCAAGTATAATTTAAACAACAATAGTGTACAAAAAGATTAAAAAGATAAAAATAAATTAATGAGAGGAGAGCGCTTAAAGGTTGATGGAGAGTAGAAAATAATATTATACATATATAAATATAATGCGCTGATTACCTAGTCATTCCTTAGTCAAGACCAATTCAACAATACTCTGATATCCCTCCCCTTCTAATTCATTGGTTCCGCTTCTCTCTCTCTCTTTTTTTTTTTTTTTTTTTTTTCTATTTTATTTTATTTTATTGTATTTTATTACAGTATACCATCACACTTTCCCTTTGCTTCTTTCTCCCCTTTTTTAATTCTACCTTTTTTTTTTCTTTTTGTTTCATTTGTTTGTTTTTTATCTGATTTTTGTTTCCCTTTATTCTTAATAAATAATTGTTCTTCAATCATTGAATATTCAACTTCTATTCTCTTTATTTCCTCACCTTCTATCTCTCTTCTCCCCTCTTTTTATTATTATTATTATATTATCATTATTATTATAGTTAATTCCCTTTGTATTTGTCTTTTTATATGCAATTTAAATCTAATTTTAATATATAATTCAATATTTATTTCCCTTCCCCTATCTTTTTTCTTGTTCACAAATTTGGAATATGTATATATTATATGTAATTTTAATAATAAATAATATAAAATATTAAATATATCGTCATACATAATATAATGAAACGACTACTATGCACTTAAATCTTATCATATACACGAGTAATTTATCTTTAGAGTTTCTTTTTTTTTTTTTTTTTTTTTTCAACTTCTATCAAATGGTTTTAATTTTGCAATTACTTCACGTGGTATTCCATTCCATTCTGGATAGCACTCCATCCCGAGACTTGACACACTCCACCAATTAAACGGTAGTAGACTTGAGGGCACTTTTGGTCCGTATTTCCACGTACCATTAATGCCTAACGTTTTAATACCTCCTTGATTGTTTTCTCCAAATAAGTATTTATTTATTGTCTTTTTCTCTTTCTCTTCTCCACTGTTTGTATCATTGTTCTTTATACTAGAATCCATAATGTTATTATGATTACTAATATCACTAGTAGTTTCACCTATAAAATCATTCATTATAGTTTGCTGATTCTTCTTATGTCTAAACAATGGATTTTCTTTCACTGGATACATTACTGGCCTATATCCACTATACATTATATCTGTATTCAACTCTGGTGTTTCCAGATATTGAGTCATTGGTACTCTTGGTAATCTTTTCCAGCTTTTACCTGGCTTAGGAACATATCTATATGAAGCTAATGCTTTCTTTTCGATCATGACTTTTATTTAATAGTATATGATTAATTTATTATTATTATTTGTTCATTTATTTGATTGTATCAAGATTTAGACACCGGGGGTATTCTACTTCTAGATTTACAAGTTTTCTATTTGATCTTCTCATACACATACACATACACGTACACGCATATATATATATATATATATATATTATATATAACAACACTATAAACATCCACCCCCCTGTCTCCACTTCTACCATTTCTTGATCCTTGCGACTCTCATCCCTCCGTCTTCTTTCCACTTCTATTTCAACATATGGGTTTTGCGGAGTTAAAAAAAGAAAGATGTGCAATGTATACAGCCAGACAGGCACGTGCCTGCAGCTTAAACCAGAAAAAAAAATTAAAATAGCAATTACGTAATAACGGAAATAGAAACGGAAAATTAAATAAAAAATTATTATTATTATTATTATTGCCCCTTTCCAAGGATCCTTATTTAATAACAACATTATATAAAACGTCACACTTATCTTTTATACCTAATAGATAATATCCTAATGGATTGATATTTTCATCTTCTAACACTTCAGATATGTGAAGATACTTTTCTAATGATAACAATAGCGTCTCTGTATCTCTTGAAGAATCCTTCCTTATATGTAATTCTTTCCAATGATTCGTGGTGCTTATAGGTAGTTTCAACTTATCTGTTGCATTGTGTTCTAACTTGCAATTTTTTGTTATCCAGTTTAAAAATAACTTATGTCTTTCTTCTAATGTATATTTTTTATAGTAAAATAATATCTTCATGACAAATTCCCTTTGTTCTTTCTTATCTGGTATTATTTTATTTATCTTAAATTGCTTCCATAAAGGTTTTTGTTCCCTTTTAATATCTTCAAAAATTGTTTCCCTTTTTATAGTAGATTTAGATATTATATGTGACAAATAATGAAACCTAGTTGGTATCAAATCATCATCATCATCTTCTTGTTCTTGTTCTTCATCTTCATCACTATTATTAATCTCATCTTTACTTGAATTCAAATCTGTGTTGACTTGAAAGTCTCCACACCACGACTCAAAAACCATTTCTCTATCATTATCATCGACAATAAGATAAAATACCGGATCTTTGGAACATTTATCCATTTCAAATGACCATAAACTATATGGATTTAATTTATACCTCGTAAACATTTTCTTGTATTGATTAATTATAGATTCATCGAGTTTACTGCCACTGAATTCATCCTCAATCTTCCTTTGTTTATTTACATGCTCATTGTCTTCTATCTCGTCATCTTCACTCGAAGAATAACCTGATATGAGTGTATCAATTGTTGATTTACTTTCAGATATTTCTTCCACATCCTTTGCTTCCTCTTTCTCTTCCTCTCCCCCCTTTATCTGTTCTTCATGTGTTCCTGTATCATTTTCACCAGATTCTTTTGGGTCTACCAAGATTTCATTATTCCATTGGTCTTTGATATCTTGAATTTCTTGTAAAATCTTCTCGTAGACATAATCGGCACCTCTTGAGGATATATAACCCCTAGATATCCCAATCAATAAAACCAATAAACTTTTATCTAATTGTTCCAGTAATTGCAAACTATCTGGATCATTCAATCTTGAATACAAAACATTATTAAATAGCCAAATTTTTTCACCACTATCATATATTATCAAATACCAATCATTTAATAAGGGGATGGAAAAAACCGCTTTCTTAGTTGTTTTCTGGGTTCTAAATGGATTTATCCAGGTGGTTGTTTTTGTTTCTGCGTTGTAATAGTATTTGCGTCCATTTGGTGCTTTATATTGTCTCCATGGTCCTGTACTCGACATTTTCTCCACACACACTATAACTTATTTTAATATGCAATTATTTATACATACTTGTTAATTCAAATATGTTGAAGGATAAAGTAAGATATTAACTTATTGCTACAAACATGATTCTAGATCATGTACAATTTTCAATACATTAAGTTGATGTCATGAAACTTTCCCCAAGTATCATCCTTTTCCAATTGTATTATTATGTAATTAGAGAACAAACGTCAAAAAAAAAAAAAAAAAAAAAAAGAAAGAAAAAAATTATTTTTCTATTCCTCAAAAAATGTAACACAACAATATTCCTTTTAATAGAACACCACATATATACATCTATATACACACATATATATAGAGAGCAAATATGTAGTCATAGTAGAATCAGATCCACTAGCAATGAAGTCGTGATTAAAATTATCATCACTAATAAAATCATATTATTTTGATCTCTTCCTCTTCATTTTTTGTTTCTCTTTCTTTTTCAATGTCTTTTTATTTAAGAAGAGTTGGGTATGTATATATGTATATATATATGTGTGTGTGTACATATATGTTTAAATAATGAATCAACCCATAACTAACTAACAAAATTGGAAATAATTATCTTTTAAAAATAATGTAATATTTTACTCCAACATATGCTTTTCCGCCCCCCCTGTACAAGCAATGTTTATTTAGAACATTCATTGCAAGTAACGATATCCCACTCGGATACCAAACCCCTAAATTTCCTTCATTATATTGGCCAGTTGGTAATGAACGATATAGCTTGGCCTATCTTTATAACGTGAGTGATATATGGAAATTCACGTTATACTGGTGTTTAATATTAAATGGGATATTCTATTTAGGTGCAGCCACATGGGCAATAATATCACAGAAGAATCAAAATTATAGAAGAAATAACTACTTGTATAATATTTGCTCAAAAAATATACATATCTCAGCAACATACACTAATAAAAAACGCAACAACAACGGTAGCAACAATGAAAGGAGCAGTACGTCTACTAATCATCATAACGATAAGAGAAACAAGAAGAATAGTAACAGCGCTAATAGCAGTAACAACAACGGAATAAAGCTACCTATTATAATATTGACAGCTTATATGGTATATGCAGGAATCCGAGGATTTGTAGTCGGAACAGTGATGGGATTCCTTATAGGAGCCATCTATAGAGCTGGTTTATTTGCCATGTCCACTTGGATTCCACTATGTTGTGCTGTAGCTACCGTATTATATGATGTGGTAATGTCGTTCTTAGACGTTGGAAAGATTATATAACAATGCATACATATGCATACACGCTCATATATATATACTGTAGAATAAATATCATAACTCAATCGATTGCAAGAAACAAGATGCTTCTCTTCTCGATCGTCTGCATCTCTCGTTCCTACAAATATGGGAATATGGTAGCGCCTACTGTAAAACGAGGCTTTTCCATGCTTTTTCAGGTTTTATCTTCTGCACAGATTTGACAACAACAATATAAAGAGAGAAAGAGGAGAAAGGAAAAAGAAAAAGAAAAAATAAATAAATAAATAAATGGAATGAATAAAATGAGTCTCCAAAATAACAACTGTTGCATATATTCACATCTGAAGATCTTGAGTAGTCTTTTATGACTATACAAACTTACGACATTTACTTTTCTATATATTGTCTCAGCCTATAACCATTAAATTCTATACTACTTGTCCATCTTCCTCCCCTCCCTTCCGACAGATAAATATCCTTTAACACTACTACAGAATGTCCAGTGCATTAATCAATAGATCATTAACAAACGTCAGAACGGAATTAGAATTCTTAAGAGATTCTAACGTTATCTCTGAACAAGTCTATAATAACATATTAGACCAAATTCCAATTAAATATGATCCAAATCAATCAAGAACATCTATAAATACTCCTCCTCCTCCTCCACAAGCTCCACCTACTAATGCTACTGGAGAATATGTAGAAGCTTTATATGAATTCCAACCACAACAGAATGGCGATTTACATATTAGACCTGGTGACAAAATTGAAGTCCTAGAAAAATTATCTCCAGAATGGTTTAAAGGTAGATGTAACGGTAATGTTGGTATGTTTCCATCCAACTACGTTAAACCTGCCTTTTCCAATAATACATCAATGGTAAAAGCTGAACCACCTCAATATTCACAATCACCACAACCACCACAACCATCCCAGCCACCTCAACAAATGCAATATCAACCTCCTTTCCCACCTCCATCCACCGGTTATTATCAGCAACCTGCTCCTCAGCCTCAGCAAATTGTTGTTCAACAAGAACAACCACAAAATACTGGGTCTTCTCAATTAAAAAAGTTTGGTAGTAAATTGGGTAATGCTGCTATCTTTGGTGCTGGTGCCACTTTAGGCAGTGATCTAGTTAATAGCATCTTTTAACATGAAAAAACAGTCATTAATTACCTTTTTTAGTTTAATTTAATTTTATTTTTTTGTTGTTAATATACATACCCTTATGACTACATCAAAATGTTGGATGATTTAATCCTGTTTATTATCCATATGGTTTTACGCAGAAACGAAAGGTTAATCAAAAATTTATAAGTTTTTTTTTTTAATTACATCATTTATTTGAATATGAAATATTTCTATATACCTCTATATGTATAATTGTTAACACACATATATACATAACAACTTATTTGTCTTTGCTCCTATTTTTATATCGGTTCTTATTAATGACTCTCTCTCCTTTTTATATTTTTCTTGCTAAAATAATCTACCATAATAATGATATATTCTATTTATAGTATTAAGTTTCATTTCATTTGTGAAATCATTGTTTATTAATTCAAGAATATCCTTTCTCCATTGTAATCTTAACTTCTTGGGTAACAATTCATAGCCTAGTCTATACAAGTTAGATATTTCCATAACCAATAACCCTAAATTAAAATAATATGAATCATCATAATTGTCAGTTTCATTTCCAGAATCTTCCCTTGTTATATAGTTATAATTCAATAATTGTTCCACGTTGTTTAATGAATCCTTAATTTTCATTCGTAATGCTTTTTCATGAGACCAAACATTGCCCCATTTAATTAAACTATTTACCATTGATCCAATAGAATAAATCAAAAGGAATGATGGAGACAAGGCAATCATACCAAACAGCAACTCTTGTGATTTCAGCATTTTATCAATTCCATTCATAGCAATAGATCCATCAACTTTCATTTTTTGAATTTGTATTAAAATCGATCTAATAAGCTCACCAGTGAAGATACTTTTAACTGGATGTGATAATTGATTCTCATATACAGTCATAAATTGGTCCATTTGTCCCATTTCAATTTGTTTGACAATATTATCAACAGCTTTATTATTAATAATTATGTTACTAATATCAGTATCTGCTTTACTTGGATCCTCTGTGAGTATTACACCATTATCAATCAAAAATTTTATAATCATTCTGATTAAGGAGTCTTGTTCACTTTGTAAAGTATTTTCAGATACCATAGCAATCATAGTAGATTTATCATGTCTAATGGTAGCCAAGATACGTTTAAAAGGCAACCAAATCCAGTTATGGATTAAGCTATTTATTAAATCAATAACATTTTTTTGTATAAAACATTTCAAATCAAAACGCGACTCCCAACAATATCTAATTACTTCTGGACCCCATATCATTGAAGTTACGAAGATTGGCCAATACCTTGTTATGAAATTCAATTTTTTATATGGAATTATATCCTTTTTTTGGTAAAAATGAATGATATTTTGTACCATCATATCATTTGGTGTTAATTGTTTTGATTTGAATCTATTTAAATCTATCGAGCCCTTATTAATCAACGATATCAAATAACCCAATTTTTTAGTTTGATTATATAGTTGAAGTGAATTTGAATCGATGATACTGGATAATTCGTTGTTTATTAAGTGCAAAGGTTGTTGCCAGATAAAGAATTTAATTATTTTAAATGGATTCAATTTTATAAAATCTTTTGGTATACCAATGAATTGACGGTTTTGAATCATAAACAATTTCATCATTTCAGGTTTCCATAAGGTAAACTTAGTGAAAAATTTACTATTGTAGTTGATATTAATAAGATGAGTAAATCCAGCCTGATTCAAATTATTCTTACATAATTTAAATAGTTTAGATACACTTGTTTGGATCAAATAAATGAATTTATTCAAATTCGATAACTTAATTGTAGTATAATATGATTGATCATCATAATCTCTTGGTAAAACAATCAACAATTTATTTAATAAAGAATAGTAGCATAGAACAGTGATATATTTGATAATAATATCAAATATATTTTGTTCAATAGGAGAATTTAATTGATTAGCCATATTTGTCAAGTCTAATACAATATTCTGAATATGGTTATTATAATCAATTTTAAATAGTTTAAGATTTTGATTATCATTTTTAATATGAGATTCCAAATTATCTACTATTGATTTGATTTCATTTAGTCTATCTTGCAAAACAGACAAACTATCTGTCGATATCTCATTATTTAAGGGCCAATCTATACCTTCCAAAATACTAGATAATTCATTGTTAACCAATGAAATTTGATTGATTATGAAATAATCGTATAACATAATAAATCCATATATCAATAGTTATACCTTTTTTTTATTAACTAACTCTTAATACAATAGAATGCTGTTGGAAGTCTACATTAAACATATATATATATTTTGTATATAGCAATTAATGCGAAACATATATTAATTATCATTTAATAAAATATATATTACTCTTTGCATAATTTTCACAATAAAATAAAAGAAACAGTAGAAGAATATAAAGAAAAAAAAAAGGAAAAAAAATGCAGTTTTTCGAAAGAGAAAGAGAGAGAATTCTTAACAAAACTCTTACAATAAACTACAAAAAAATATAAAAAACAATATTATATAGATGGTATATTACAAACATAAGAACATTCTTAACTACAATTAATACCAGATACAATAATTTTGTTTTTATTGTATTACTACACCAATGCAGACTACAAAAAAAGTTTACTATATTGCTAGATTGAGTTCTTCGGTGACCACTAATGATGATATCACTATCATTCATAATTCCTCAAATACATAAGTTACATTACCAAGCAACATTCATGGGGACAGTATTACTCCAGTAATCCATTCACCATTTATTTACTCACGTGCCTTAGAGATCATAAACCACCAATGTTTTCATCTAAATATTCTTTCTAGAAATAAAATGAATTAAGTTTCCTATGGTCTTGTAGATAATGTAACATGTCGCATTATCTTCCTTCAAATCTTTTGCTAAGATTTGTCACTTGTACATAACATACTACAATTCTTCTAATTAATATAGATAATGCTGCTGCTGCTACTACTGCTACTACTATTTTTATTATCTTTACCATTTTTAATATTGTCATTATTTTTATTTTATATGGATTTCCCAATTGGGAAAAAAGTCATCGAGCATTTTCTAGAATGTTCTCTTCTACTGTCGTTTTTTTTTCAGCTTTCTTTCTTTAATTCTTTAATTCTTTCTCTCCCCCTTTATAGAGAAAATATTGAGTCTCCAGAAGAATATTTAATATATGGGTGATAAATTTTCTTCTACCTGGTGGAATGTATCTTGGATTTACATCATCATTAATCGGCCAGTCCAGTTCTCTATGTAGATATATAGATGCAAAAGTACAATTGTCAGCTAATTAGACATATCAATTCATCAAGCTGAGGTAGAAAGAGGAGAAGGAATAGCTCAAGTTAAACGAAAATAAGTATTGTTACATCTAAACATAATACTCTGTGCCAATACCACAATTTATAATGACCTCTATACAATCTTATGTTCACTTCTCACCTGATACAAACTTTAAATCATTTCAGTCTTTACAAAGGAAAAGAAAGATTGAGTATAATACATATGATTATAATTATAGTGATGACAATCACAACAATAATAACAACAACAATAGTGAGGATAGCAGTACGATTACTGATGATTATTTAACCAGAGGAAAAAGAAAATGCAATAAAAATAGACAGTTGATCTATAATATTAGAACTCTTTCGAATTGGCAATATATTTGTTACATCAAAAAACCTGTGCCGTTAATAGATATTGAAAATACGATTAAAAATGAATATTTAAGAGTCAAGGAATCTATCTATAAACCAAACTATCATGTTGAATATGATTCAAACGGTAACCAAATTTATGTTGAGGATCAAAGTAATTCAGATGTTTTACAAGGCAAAATCTGGCAACATTTAAATTTCCGTCAATTATATTCTAATTTGGCTGAGATTCAATATAATCCAAGTGTAAACAAATTTTCAATAGAAAGAAATCTACTCAAATTTAATGACGTTTACGAAGTACCCTTTAATGATATTATTAAAGATTATAATATAATTCAATATAGACTGGAACAAGATAACTCTACTGGTAATATCAACGCAGTAGTGGAGATCTTTATAGAGACAGAGAATAAAAACGTTGATCTGTACAGGTGCAGTAACAAAATTAGTGATAACAATGCTGTGTATCCACCCATACTGGAAGAAGTGACAGATGCAATGTTTCAAGTATGAATGAAGAAACATAATTTAATGTTTTACAATGTAATCATATTACGGCCATTGGAAGATTTAATATACATCCATATGTACAGAATGAGACGGAAAGAGACGAAAGGAGAAAGCCGCGAAAACCAGAATTCCGGAAATTTTATCACCGGATGTAACAATATGTGTCTTTGAAATTTTTCCCATAGAATATTTTGTGGGGAAAAAAATAAAATAAAATAAGAAAATATAAGTAAATTAAGTATATGTATATTCCTGAAGAAAACCTTTAAAATGCTTTTATGAACTTACAGTACTGTAAATTAACATTAATAGATCGTTGTATGCACAGTATTGGTCGTAAAGTAATAAAGCAATCATCAACCTCCACACTAACTATCCATTTGTAATTTACATATAACGAAAAAAAAATAAAAAAAAAATAAGATTGCTTTTTCACCTGACGCTTTTTCTATTTTATGAATTCTTGTTCCCTTAAAAAAAGAGTGTGTTTTTTTTATTTTTAGAATGCCGCCATTTATTTTACCAACAAACGGAAAGATACCGGAATCAATAAAACCGGAACATCTTTTTTGCTTCACCAAAAAACCGGAATAATCAACGGGTGCTTCCGTGCAATTTATTTATGGTGTTTATTGATTTATTTTTATTTTTTATTGATTTTTTTTTTCCAAGGAATGGCTCGATTTAGGTCTTGATATTTTAACAAACAATAGTGACACGAAAAATACGGTTTTTGCAGTAATACTTTTCGTGGCATTTTTACTTTTTTGGATGAGAGAAAAAAAAAAAAAAAGAAAAGAAGAAAACGTGGTTTCTTTATTTAAAAATTTTTTTTCCTTTTAGCAAAATTTTCTTAGCCTTCTTTTCCTCGAGGTTATTTCAATTTATTCATCCTTCTGTCTTGTATTCTTGATAAAAATAAATAAAAATAAAAATGAAAAAAAAGAACAAAGCTAATTTTAATATTTTTAAACTAATTTCATTTCTGGGAAGTGTCCACTATCTCTGTGTCGTTCTCCTTTTTCTACTTTATCACCTTTTTCTTGGTCTCAAAAAATCAACAATCAAATAATCAAATAACCGAAATAAAAAATAAATAAATAAGAGATATTCCGTAGAAAAGTAATTAAACTTCAAATAACATTTATTGGATGAGACTTAGTTCTATTTTTCTATTGGTTGCAGATAAAAATTAACATATACAGAGAGATTGATCAAAATAATAAGTGGTTTTTGTTTTGTATTAGATCACAACTGTTTCTATATATCCCATTATATCTAAATACACCGATCACAGTTGGAAACTAAAAAATAGGTTATTTTGCAAAACAAACAAACAAAGCAAGTCATATACATATTCTATTATCTTCAATAATATTGTTATAATTATCATTATTTATTCTTTGTTATATTATTTCACTAAAGATTCCATCAATCCAAAGAAGACAAATATTAAAATAAAATCAACTACAAAATTATTCTTTTTTTTTTTTTTCCTTTTGAGTTTCTATTATTTCATAATACTTTTGTTACACATTTTAAGTATTAACTCACAACACATACACCCGTAAATAAGTAATTATGTCGAGGAGAAATCTAACTAATTCTCACATTAATTTACATTCAACTTCGCAAGATAATTTGGATTCTATAGAGAACAGTTCTCCAGAATTTGGTTTAAATCATACAAATATTAACGACAACAATAATAATAATAATAATAATCACTATAACAATAATAACAGTAATAGAAACAGCGGTAACCCTTTCTTAGGTAGTGATGAAGAAGACTATGATATAACAAGACACAATCCTCAATCTGAGACTTCCTCATATAACAATCAAGATAAATCAAAGGCTCTACTTCAAGATGATTCGACCAGATTCAATTTCGAAGATTCTACCGCTCACAATATCTCTGATTATAAGGGCTATTACTCTAGAAATGTAAGTGGAATAAACGATTCTAAATTTAATACAGATTATGACTCGACCAACAATAACAACGTCAATCAAGCTAATAATCGTATATTACCACAAAGCTATTCTACAAACACCTTATCAAATGGTGATACGTCACCAAATTTAAATCTGTCCAACAATGATATAATGTCTCCGCCCGCATTTGACAGATATCCTCTCGTTGGCTCTAGAGTAGCATCTTCTACTAATCTAATAGTCCCTAATAATGGTTATCCAAATAATCATAACGATAAATTCATTTATTCAAATAGATCATCTCCAAGGGAAGGTTCTGGTTCCACTTTTTCATCATCTAACAATCCATTTACTGCGGAACATGATTTTTCTCCATTCGGTGGTTATCCTGCAACATCTTTCCCATTATTGATGGATGATAAAGAAGATGATGACTATTTACATAATCCAGATTTAGAAGAAGAGGCAAGATTGGATAGACAAAGGTTTATGGATGATTTTAAACATATGGATAGAAAATCTTTTGTCGGTTTAATAGGTATATTGACCTTATTTGCAGCAGGTATAGTTATTTTTATTGTCCTACCTGCCTTAACATTTACAGGTGTCACAGATCATCGTTCAGCTGGCCAAGTTATTGAATTATTAACCCCTTATCAATATCCTCAACTAGCAGCTATTAGAACCACATTGGTAGACCCAGATACTCCAGATGATGCTAAAACAAGGAAAGCAAGAGATGGTTCCGATTGGCAATTGGTTTTCTCTGATGAATTTAATGCTGAAGGAAGAACATTTTATGAGCATGATGATCAATTTTGGACCGGTCCAGATATACATTATGACGCTACAAAGGATTTAGAATGGTATACCCCAGATGCTGCTACTACCGCTAATGGTACTTTGCAATTAAGAATGGATGCTTTCAAAACTCATGGTCTTTTTTATAGATCTGGTATGTTACAAAGTTGGAATAAATTATGTTTTACGCAAGGTATCATTGAAGTATCTGCCAATTTACCTAACTATGGTCGTGTCACTGGGTTGTGGCCAGGTCTTTGGACCATGGGGAATCTAGGTAGACCTGGTTACTTGGCTTCCACTCAAGGGGTATGGCCTTACTCCTACGAATCATGTGATGCTGGTATCACACCAAATCAAAGTTCACCAGATGGAATCTCATATTTACCAGGTCAAAAATTAAATGTCTGTACATGTGATGGTGAGGATCATCCAAATCAAGGTGTCGGAAGAGGCGCTCCAGAAATTGATATTCTTGAAGGTGAAGTTGATACAGCTCTTGGTGTTGGTATAGCATCTCAATCTTTACAAGTTGCCCCATTTGATATTTGGTATATTCCCGATTACAACTTCGTTGAGATTCACAATGCCAGTATAACAACAATGAACACATATTGTGGTGGTCCTTTCCAACAAGCTGTTTCTGCAGTAACAACTTTAAATACAGCATGGTATGAGTTTGGGCCTCAAGGTGGTTATTATCAAAAATACTCTATCGAATACTTAAATGATGATGAGGATGGTTACATTTCCTGGTATGTTGGTAATAACGCAACATGGACGCTTCATGCTACCACTTTACATCCAAACGGTAATATTGGTTGGAGAAGAATTAGTAAAGAACCAATGTCGATTATTTTAAATCTTGGTATTTCAAACAACTGGGCTTATATTGATTGGCAATATATTTTCTTTCCGGTTACAATGTCTATTGACTATGTGAGAATTTATCAACCAAGTGATGCTATATCTGTTACTTGTGATCCTGAAGATTACCCAACATACGATTATATAAATGCACATGCAAATGCTTACCACAATGCAAATCTAACAAGTTGGGAAGCTGCCGGTTACACATTCCCTAAGAATATTTTGACTGGTAATTGTAAAAGTTCGAAATTTTCAGGAAAGTAAAACATCTTTTTACTTTACTACTAGATTGGACACAAATAGGCATACATTATCGTACCCAATCAAAATGCTACTATAAAAAAAAATATTTAAATATCAAGTTGATCCATCAGGAATTTATGGATTTGATTGTGGTACTTCTGCAATTGGCATATATACACTAAAATAATTTCATAAACATTTTATGTTTTATTTTTAGCTTACTGCTTTTCTTTTACCGTTGGTTATTGTTGACATTATCGTATAATCAAAGTGTTACACAAAGTAAACCGTTTGTATATAAGATACATAAAAATTGATATATGTACTACAAATTTATTATAAACCCCACTTCACGTATATAATAGTTTTATAGAAGAATAACGTTTTATTAAATAAACTTTTCAAAAAAGTGTATATGATATTTGTTTAAATTTGACATGAGAATGGTTCAATTTATTAAAATAGCCTGTTTTATGATTTATTAGGTACATTGTCTTCTTCGCTTTAATTATTTAATAAATAGTTTTTTTATAACATCCTCTTATTTCATGAATCAAGAATTATTCAATTTTTCATTTTGAGATTTTTTTTTTGTATAGTTAAAAAAAAAGTACATAAACATGCATCAACCTTGATATAAATCTGAACTAAACTAGTATCAGAAGAAATCGAGGTACAAAGCTTTCTAGTTATGCCTGTTGACACAATTTGAAAGCTACACCATTTTTTTTTTTATTAGATACCATAATTGGAGTTGATATTTATTTATATTAACACATCGTCTGTGTACTAGCTTAAGGTGAACTTTACAATATGAGTTTGTTAGAATTAATTCAGACATCTCCAGATAAAAGACATACCCTTTTTACCTGGACAACGACAACTTTTGGTAACATATCTAACATTTCACAATATGGTCAAAACACACTTCCAGAATCAGCATTACATAAATTAGATAATGTCACTTCACAATTTGAAACTTTTTTGCAGTATTTAACAACAGCACAAGAAAAAGAACAGCTTGACTCGCATTATATCTATCTTCGACTTTCACATGTATATTGTATGTCTTTGTGTCATTTGAAGCGGTCTGCATCTGGAAAAATATTTGATGGGGCTGAATTATTGCTTAAAGTATTAGGAGAGGAATATGTTTCCTTACCTGATGCTGCAGAAGGATCTTTTAAGACTTCAAAAAAGAAGAAAAGTTCTTCTAAGAAAAACTATATGTATACTCCTGCTAAAGATTTGGCTGCTGTGACATTGGGTCAACTTTTTGAGTTGTTTCCTAACGAATTGACATCACTAATACCTTTAGTTCATTTGTATACATTTAAAAACTTAAAGAAATCAATGGAGAAGCCTAAATATCGTCATGCAACATTTATGGTTTCTCTATTAAAGTTATATAAGGTTGTTATTTCTCACTGTGAAGATGGTGCCATGGATCCGCAATATATCACAAAATTTACAAAAATTTCCAAGACTATATTTGAAAGCATCTATGAAAATGATGAATCATTCCCTGTTGATGTTGTCAGGTTGATCATTGAAACGTGGGGTATACATTTAACTCATAAGACATATCTTAAGGACAATTCATCTAATTTACTAGATGCAGTATTTAGTAAATTTCATGATTCAGAATTAGGTATTTACGGTTTTATAAATGATAAGACAAGAGTCAGTACAGCTAAGATTTTAGGTGATATTCTATTTCATTATTTACGGGTTGCTCAAATAATTTCTTTAAAGGATGTTTATAAATTTTATGTCAAATTCTTTACTTCTGCCAAAATAAGAGATGTAAGATCAGCTTGTTTTGAATCTATCATTCATTTCATAAATTTGAATATATCTATTGATATAAATTTTTTGAATGAAAACGGATACATATCTTTTCTGGAGAATATAATTCATATATTCAATGAAAAGAATATTCAAAATTTAAGAATGGGTACTATTTCAAGATTTCTGAGGTATCTTAAGCATACTCATAACCTATTATTACCATATGTCAGCGACGCAAACAAGATCCAATTGTTAGTGAAAATACTTGCTACTGATACCGATCCAGTAAATAAAAACTCTAATGAGTTATCAGCTTTATTGGATGCCAAAGTCAATAATCAGTGGCATACAATAGCTCTTCTTGAATTTATCGAAAAAATTATATCAGATCTAGGCTCATCATTTATAAATGAGAGATTATTAACATCTACTTTAAGGATGAAACTTTTGGAACTTTGTGTATCAGAAAATTTTACTGTGAGAATATATGCTACAAAAGTTATTAAGGATTTCCTTTCTAAGTGTAATTATATGATATATGATATTATGGAGAATGCACTTGATATGTTGACAAAGGGGTTTTCCCCCCAAAATAAATTTGAGTATTCAAAATTACATGGATATGCTTTTTTATTAGCGAACTTAGTTCAATTAGCCAACAAAGAAATAGTACCCTATGATTTAATTATGAGGGTTACTGTCTTTTCTACAAAATTTATTAAAAACCACACAACATCAACTTCAGGTGATATCTATTTCAAAGGTTTGATATGTTGGATTTTAATGACTGGCTTAATGAATTATAATGATGAACCCTATCTGAGAATGCAAACACCTCAACTATTTTTGTTTTGGAAAGTTTTATTAACACATTCTTTTACTTATCGTAGTGAAGAAGAGCTAAAACGGAATCTGGAGATGAGGACACATTCCCTTACGTGTTTACTTACATATTTGAATAATATCCCTATTGACAAAGAAACAGCGAAGCAAATTTCGTATCTTTTGACAAAATGCTCTAATTTTAACCATTCTGTTACCTTAAAATCAAAAGACATCGATAATATTTTACTAACAAACGAAAATCGAATCTTGCAAGTTTACATAAAGATTCAAGATTATATCTGCACTGATTTTAACAGTTCATTACTGTTATTAATCATGAAAAACTTTTCAGATCCCAATCTTTATATTGAGCATTCCAATAATATTCTGTCTTCAATAAATATGTCGAAGAAAAATAAAAGAAAGGAAGAAAATAAGAAAGAACCAATTATTAGTTTATCTGTTGACAGTATCTTAAGGCAACAAGGCGATTTCGCTTTTGGATTATCTAGTAGAATTGAAAAGAATTGCATTAAGAATATGTATGAAAATAAAAAAGGAAGGTATTGTGTGAATAAGTTTCAATTAAACGAATTTTGGATAAATAATGAATATAAATGGTATTATTGTTTTGAAGAAGAAGTGACAAGGCCGATATCTACGGTTTTATCTTTTGATTCTCTGGTGCTCTTATATAAGACTGTTCCCAACTTTCATCAAATTGAACCATTACCTAAAGTTACTACATCATTAATTGATTTTTCTATGGAGTTGTTCTCAAATGTTTTTCCATACCTTAATAGTAAAATTCAATTTTCGGTTCTAGAAACATTAAACTTATCTCTTTTTTCGAAAGCCACTACACCCTTGAGAAGTGTAGCTCTTTGTGCTAACATTTGTACTGTTTTATATCAATCTTTATTGCATATTCATCATAATCAAATAGGATTAGAAGAAAATGTTGGTCGACTTATTATAGATACTCTGAAAAAAATTGAATTTCATAATGATGAGTTCCTCACTGTTTTAAAATCAGAGTGTTTAGGCCTTGTGTATTCAACTGTTTCAACAACACTTGCTCCCATACAAAAGGAGAAGCATATAGAGGGTGGCATAAAGTCACTTGTTAAAAATTTGGTTGATATTGAAGAACCATATCCAAGAATGTTTTTTATTTTGGGACTGGCTTCGATATATAAATATAATACACATTATGCCTCATTCAATAAAGTTTATGAAACTATACGCACACTTATTAATGATCCACATCCTGTTATACACGCGTGGTCTCTGTATGCTCAGTTCGTACTTATAAAGAAGCATTTAACACTTGATTTATCTGTGGTTGAAGAAATTTTAATTTCTTTAGAACAATACATCACAAATTGTTCATATGGTATATACGGTGATTCATCAATTCGTTACAATTATTGTTTAGAATATAATTCTCACTATATTATATCATGCATGACTCGACTTTTAGCCGAAAAATTAGGTCCCAGTTTCTCTGAATTATCAAAAAAAGGTATAGAAAGCTTTCGAAATATAACAAATGGATCCTTAATTTCAAATGAAATAAGAGACATTATGAATTCACTCAAGACATTTGAAAACATTGCAATATTCAAGTTGAATTCTGTTTTATCTGAAAAGCCTTTTATTGAAACAATAAAAACTATTTTACAGTTTTCATTATTGTTAGGCATAGGTTCTAATGAATTTAATATTTTGTGCACTCATCCCATCCATGCAATCCCCTTTTCATCTAGTTATAACGTGATTACCGAATTGTTTGAATTGCTAAATCAATTACTTAAATTGGGAAAGGTAGATGAAATTAGCACTGAAGTTGGGGATCTTTCCTGGGGATATATTACTTTGTACCCTGACAATCAGGTTATAAAATTGTATTTCCATGAATGGCTAAGATGCACCCAAGATAAAGTGTTATGGTTTGATAAACTTTACAAGATCATCAATATGTCAACTCAACAAATATTTGGAAGCACTTTTCAAAAAATGCAATTAATATATTCTAACAATTTTACGTACTCAAGAGCATTGTTAAATATGCATGATAATAAAGATAACCCAGAACTTTCCAATTATATAGACCATATTAATTGGCAATTAATGCATTTAATACTGGAATTATATTCTCAATTACTCGTCAACATCCAGGACAATTCTATCAGTCTTTCAATATCAGGGGAATTTTTTGAACAAATGTGTAAAGTTATTTATCAGGGTACTTCAATACAAATTAAATCATGCAATTTGGTTGCTTTGAATATATTAAAGTCTATTATGGAAATTTTAAAAAGATCTGACTATGTGGTGATAAATGATCAACAGGATTTAGTTCAAAGAGAAATTCAACTTTCTAGTGCAATAATGCCAATATTTCACAAAGATGTTTCTACGACTGTAATAACAGATTCAATAGAGTTAATATCTGACATTATTTGTCTGACAAGACCAGTACTCTCTGAAGATACAAAAACTTTTCAATTTCTTGTAAAACTTTTGACAGTCTTTGATGAAAATAACCAGGAGATAAACATTGTGGCTGCCAAGTTTATAACTAAAACCTCAAAGAGAAAAATTCAAATTGCTATATTAAGTGCTTGGGCAAATATTACTAAAGAAAGTATTTTGAATAATGATGATAGACTATCAACATACATAAAACCATATTTAAAAGTTTTACTTCCATTATGGACTATATCACTCCGTGAATATTTGATGACATTTTATAAGAAAATTAATTTTTCTTCAGAAAATAGTACGGAGAATATTATAGATTTAACTGAATCTAAAAAATCATTGTTGAAATTATATGAACCTGTTTGGTTAAATTATACTAATGTTTTAGGAGCTCTTTTTTCAACCAAAGATGAAGAAGTGTTAGACTGGATTCATAAAGATGAACTTCGAAGTTTCATGTTTTTACTAATTGGAAGATGTCTTGATGAGTTATCTAGATGTGATGATAATTGTGACATGAAAATAGAATTGCTGTCAACACTCCATAATATACTAAATTCATCATCACTTCAAGGAATTATATTAGATAATCATGTTTTTCAAGAATTTATTTCTATTTTTGAAAGAATCGTCAAAAGAAGTGACGCACATGAAAAAAAAGTGGTTGTAAAATTATTGGACATGTTTATTAGTAATTATATCAGAGAAAAAAAAACTGTCGATGCATTCCTTGTGGATATTGACAAATTATATGACTTACTGAGATTACTTTTAATAATGATAGCAGACATTTTACCTTTTATTGAGTTAAATTACTGTAATATGAGCTCTGATATTAAATTGTCATCGGAAAATGTAGCTTTAATAACTCAAATATTTGCAGTACTAGAACACAATATTCGGCAATTTCCACATATGTTTAAACTTGATCTTTACGCCTGCTTATTGTTTGTTATTGGTAAAATTCTATATTCTGAATATGCAAATGTTTTAGCATATGCTGTCTTCCCACTGTTAAAATCAATTGTTTGTGGATTAGATGAAGAAGGAACTGATTTTTCACTAATCGATAGATTTTATGACTCTGTCAAGAACGTAATTAGAGATAAACTATCCAATGATAACTTTATTGCGTTCTATTTAACATTGTTGTGTAACAAATATTCTAATTTTACTGAGGATGACATAAATTATTTTGGTGAAAGGGTTCTTGGATCCATAAAAAGAACTAACAAATCAAAATTTGCATTTGCAGGAATAGAAAAATTAATCCAATTAAATTTTAGAACAAAAAATATATTGTACTTCCTTGATTATTTATTTAGAAACATTTTTACAAATGTTAATAACCTAGAACCAAAGATGGTTGACACTTCTCTGGCATTGTTATCCATGCTAGTATCTTCATACAAAAAAGAAGAATCCGATAAGGCAGTTACTTCCCTAACATTATTATTGATATTTCTTTGTAAAGTTAGTAGGGATCAGATTGAATCAAAAACAATGTCAGAGATAATTTTATTAATTGAAAATAATGCACTTTTATTCAAAAGAAGTATTTTGGAAAATTTAACTAAAAGTCAAAGAAATACTATTGAAAATATTTTAAAAGATGAACTTAAATTATCTGGAAGTTTGCATGATGAAAATAATATAACTTTGAAAAACTTCGAATAAGTTTTAGAAGCGAGTAATCTTCTATATAAGAATATTAATATTTGACTGTTAATAGATACATGATATATATAGGAAAAGAATAACTAATGTATATATCATCCTAAACTATATGAATATAAGATAAAAATATATGTTAAACTAATATGTTTTTGATAAGTTATTGTAACATTATTTTGAATGCCTTACTTCCATACTTTTCAATACACTGAATGATTTCTTTCTTGGATTGGAACTTAGTATTTCTAATTTGATGTTTATATGTTATATTCCATAATAGAATTAACTCTTCTATTGGCATTCCTCCCTTATAGAGCTTTGAGCATGCCCAAAGAAAAATATCCTTTCTCGAACATTTCAAGGCAGTATGAGCAATATTCCTTAAGATTACAAACCTGTTCATATTTGTTATTTTTAACTTAATATTCTTTGGGTGAGGTTCTGAGAATGGATTGATAGATGTATTACTATTGTAGAGGAAAGGAAATTCGTCACTTTTACAATATAATAATTTGGCCATATCTAACCTCGAAGAAGAATTTTTTTGGGACAAATAAGGTATTCTAGATGTCAATGAGAAGAGTAGGCTTTTTATATACAAAGCAGATATCAGAGACCAGAACGGATTATCATGATGCGGATCTTGTGTATGTGCTTTTATTAAAATTTCATTAATCAAAGGCATTACTAACAGTTTCATTTTAGATTCCATAGCAAATATTGATTCAATTAATTTATTTACTAATACACTATATGAGGAAAATCTCTGATCTAGTGGGATTGAATCAACAAATTTTAAAGCTCTTTTAATATTATCCATTTTAGGTTTTTCAAGTAAATGAGAAACAATTGCTTGATAATCAGCAGATGATAACGAGCCATAAGTCCCAATGATTTGTTTTATTATATTATCAACACTTCCAGCATCAAAAAAGCATAACTGCATTTTTAATAGAGAAGATAAGAATCTTTTACTTGACCAAATTAATTTTTTATTTTCTATAGTGGTATATTTTTCCATATTGGTCATTAAATGTTGTGCATTTTTTAAAGATTTTGTAAGAGTGATATATTTAATAATGATTGGCAATAATAATGGATCATTACAATAATGGCTAGGTTTCATTTTCGATAACATTTCAACACAAATGATTCTATAAGTTCTATTCTGGCTACATGATTTAAAAACTTTGTATAAGATTCTAGAATCATGATCTGAGAAAGATGAATAAAGATCTTTAATTTGAATCCACGTAAGATATATCCCAGTTGGATTTCTAATTTTGTAATCTCTATCAATTGTAGCGTAACCAATATTAATTTGATTTAATCTTTCATTTCCAGTTGGGCCTATCAATTTTGAACTTAAGGTTGATTGAGAATCAAGTAAAACAGTTAGTATTGTCTTAGATATTATTGGATCCATATCAGGCGATAATGCTTTATTACAAAACATTAATACTTCGAAGTCAGATAATTTTAAGGGTAAGTTGTACGATTCTAATAAATCATAAATTTGGATTAAACTTTTTAAATGGATATTATCATATTTTGGATTTTGATATTTTAGTTTTGAAATTAAATTTTTGACATCATTCAAATTTGGTGGATCTATAGATTTATTGATTTTATAATATAATAGAAAAATATCGATAGCTGTAATAATATCATTATTAGATAAGGAATCATCAACACACCATTGAAGAATATCAGAAGATTTAGCTATTGGTTTATTATAAGTCGTAGTTCTTAATGTCGATAGTAACTTATTAATAAATTTAATATTACTTGAATTATAAATTAATTCTTTTTTGAAAAGCGATCTTATTATTGAAGAATCCCATCCTTGTTTTATAAAGACCATAAATTTATCAATATTGACAGTTAAAAGTAAAGATTGATTTTTGGTGTTACTAATATTGTTATGTAAATAATTTAGAGTTGAGAATGAATTCCAATATTTCTGCACTAATTTAGGAAATCTTTTACAAGTTGAACCATCTTTCTTATAGATAGTGACATTAGGATTTATGGAAGTTGACAAATCCACATTGTTTTCAATATATTTTATCAAATTCAATCTTGATGATTCCCAGAGTTCATTATTATTATGTTTAATAGGAACTGCACATTGATTAGTAGCTCTTGCAAAAGATACATGGAATCTTGCAATAGGTATTCGTTGTAAAGACGATTTAAACATTAGATATGTAAAATCAAACAATAAAAAAAATATGTTAACATATGTATATATATAGATATATATTATAATATGCAAAATGGAATAATGGGTGAATGAAGGCAATCAAAAGACAATTCTAAAAAAAGATCTTAAACCTTTTGATATAGTCATTAAATTAGCCGTTCCGTATGCAATTAATTTCAGGAGATTGGAGTAATATATATGTTAAAGTATGGTATATTAATAATATCACAACCTCAGTCTAGTCTCAAGAGAATTTGACACATTCTTTTTTAAAGTACGTTATGGATATGTATTGCATAGAAATCTTAGCTATGGCAGTTTAAAGAATATTTTAAGAATCTCCTTTCAAATTTTTTTCACTTGTTAGAAACAAGAAATGAAAAAAAATTGTACATAAAAGAGAAGAGAAGAGGTAAAGACATAAATATCCAAGAAAGTACTACCAACTTTATCATTGGTGTAGCACCAACGGTAAATATGGGACTTGTAATGAAAACAGATTGAAGATGCATTTCTAATTCTTTTAACATTTATCTCCTAATACAACATACAGTATTTATCCACATTGGAAACTATTTTACTCATAGAAGCAGGTCAACAACAGTGTCTGTTTTTAAAAGTGATGTATAAAGAGTCTTTAGCATTAATAATATCAATACTATATTAAATTTTATAGATAGCAAGTGAGAAAGAGACAGTAGTTTGTGAATAACTGTATTAGATTGAGAATTATTGATAATAAATTAAGATATAAGGAAAAGAGGGAGTATACTTCGTGATTATGAAAATAACTTAATAACAATGATATAATGAAAATGGTATTCATTAATTTTATTAATTAATCGATCTTTGATTAGATGATTAATCAAAAAAAAAAAAAAATCGAAATGATATAGTTATTTGAATCTATTTCAGATATCTTATATGATAATTTTCGGTCAAACTGTTAGAATCAGAATGCATGTTGTAATGTGGTTTATAGGGTATATCACTCATCACTTTATTGTATTCAATATATTATCTGTATACTATTATGGAAATACCTAGATTGATTTATATCTGGCTGCCTTTTGTTAAGGATAAGTGCTTGTATTGCAATCCATACAGAACAATCAACTAATGTTGTGAGATAACAAACTTCTCTGTACTATTTGTTGTTCTAGATTCAATGTAGACTGTCTATTGCATCAATGTTTTTTTTATTAAGGATCACTGGGGGAAGGGGGGTTAGAGGGGAGGAATATCCTCTTTTTATACCCTTTAAAATCTTCTAAGCTCTAAGCCCGGCAGAGGAAGAAGAAGAAATGATGCAACAGACTAATAGAACAATATTGTGCAACTACATTCCTTAAGTATACTAAGTATTTTTACACATCATCAGTATGTAAATTCGTATGTACTTGGAAAAATGACTCAGTCCCTTCTTTTGCTTTCTCTGTCTTTTCCCCCTTTTTCTTTGATGTATAAATAGAGTGTCTATTCCTTCTAATATTGTTAAGGTGATATCAAAGTATATTTCTGCTGTTCGTGTGATGACTACGACAGTCATTGATTATGTTATTTTATTTGTAGTTCAAGAGTATCTTATAGGAAAGAAACGGAGGAGGGGAGAAAAAAAAGGAAGAAGAAGTAAAGACATTTAGATAAAGGGAAAATTATAAAAGCAAACATATTTAAACAAATACAAACATACACACAAATATATTTGTAGCTAATTATTCAGTTCAGGTGGCTATAGTGTTATTTAATTAGCATAGTGCATTCTGTGTCTGCATAAATATACATATTATGGTTCCATTCCTACCTATACATACGTATATATAAGGGTAGGATAGCAAATAATCAAGTAAAGTAGAAGGAAAATGGTTTGTGATACTTTCGTCTATCATCCATGGATTACACATTTAATCAAATTCTTAGATACAACTGCAGGTAGAGAAAAATTGTTGCGTTTTTTGCAATATTTTTCAAGACTTTTATCATTTTCTTTGAATTCGGTTAAAGCTAGATCTTTACAATTGCAGTTTCTTTTGATTAGAAAAGTTTTAAGATTCTTAAAGCCTTTAAATCATATTCAGTTAGCTTCAAGACTATATGACAATAAGTTATCTAATCAAGATTCGTTGATTAGATATAGCCAAATTTGGAGAAATATTTTTTTATGTCTTTATCTAAGTTTAGATCAGATTAACCTATTAAGATTATTGAAAATTTTGCCTTATAACAATGCCACTATTAGCAATAACAAAAATAATAAATCAAATGAATTAATTCAATTTAAAATATCTCGGTGGGCTAATTATTGTTGGTTTTTCTCTATTCTAAGTGGGATTGTATCAGATTTAAAGACTATCCAAAATTCAGACGCTGAATTAGAGTATATATCATCATCCACTCAAAATGGTAATGTATCAGAGAAGGATAAGAATGATTTAGAGGAAACAAAAGCTTTGATTTCACAAATACGTGATAAAAAATATACATCCACCAAAAAGCTTTTGTGGGATCTATTAGATTGTATAATCGTATTGAACAATCTAAATTACTTGAAATCAAGAGACGATATTGTTGGTTTATCAGGTATGATCACATCTATCTTCGGCATACAAGATACTTGGAAAACAATCAAATAAATAATAAAAATAAACAGTGTGAACAATATTGGGGTATTATGTATGTTTATATAAAAATATTTAATATTTTAATTATTTCATTATTTCATAATCTAGAATTCCTTATTCTAGCAATAATCATATGCGTATAATTTAAACAACCATAAATAATAATAAACCAATACAATGGGCAACACTCCATTTCATATATATAGTGCTACCTTTACCTTCATATGATACAAGAGAAGGTGCACCTCCATGAGGTACTGAGATAGCAGTGGACGATGAGGATGGTTGCTTAGAAGCATATTGAGAAACTTGTGGCACCATTGTGGTTGGTGATGTTTCTGGTCTTCTAGACTCATTATTACCGACCATAGTGGTAGATGTTCTAGAGTTTCTAGATGTTGGATGATTTTCACCGTTGCTAAATGCTGGACTAGTGATGGTAGAAGCAATAGAAATAACTGGGGTTGCGTTGGAAACAGCAGAAAGTGAGTTAGTCTCTTCTTGTTGGTTCCTTGAATAAACTGATTCAATAGAACCATGTTCATTGAAGTTAGTCATAATTGTTTCAGAAGTTGCAGATGGCTCAGAACAATAAGTTGTGGTCTTAGTAACTCCATTAACAACTGTAGTCAAAACAACAAAAGTGCTACTCAAAGTAGTTGTAGTCTTTTCGCTAGGAATAGTGGAGTTTCTGTATAGAGGAGATGATATAGAAATTGGTGATGTCATGAAGCTATTAGATGGAAATGGTGTAACTATAACAACAACAACTTCAGCAGAGGAAGAGCCATTATTACCGGTGACAGTGGTGGTGTAAGTGGATGTAGTTGGAGCTGTGACTGCACCAGTAGTAGTGGTCGAGATGATAGAACCAGATGGGTGTGGTGTGATCACAACAACAACAACCTCAGCAGAGGAAGAGCCATTACTATCGGTGACAGTGGTGGTGTAAGTGGATGTGGTTAATGCAGAGACATCGCCAGTAGTAGTAGTGAACAAGGTAGATGGAGCAGGTGTGATCACAACAATAACAACTTCAGTAGAAGATGAACCGTTGCTGTCTGTGACTACAGTTGTGTAAGTGGATGTAGTTGGAACTGTGACTGCACCAGTAGTAGTGGTCGAGATGATAGAACCAGATGGGTGTGGTGTGATCACAACAACAACAACTTCAGTAGAAGATGAACCATTGCTGTCTGTGACTACAGTTGTGTAAGTGGATGTAGTTGGAACTGTGACTGCACCAGTAGTAGTGGTCGAGATGATAGAACCAGATGGGTGTGGTGTGATCACAACAACAACAACCTCAGCAGAGGAAGAGCCATTACTATCGGTGACAGTGGTGGTGTAAGTGGATGTGGTTAATGCAGAGACATCGCCAGTAGTAGTAGTGAACAAGGTAGATGGAGCAGGTGTGATCACAACAATAACAACTTCAGTAGAAGATGAACCGTTGCTGTCTGTGACTACAGTTGTGTAAGTGGATGTAGTTGGAACTGTGACTGCACCAGTAGTAGTGGTCGAGATGATAGAACCAGATGGGTGTGGTGTGATCACAACAACAACAACCTCAGCAGAGGAAGAGCCATTACTATCGGTGACAGTGGTGGTGTAAGTGGATGTGGTTAATGCAGAGACATCGCCAGTAGTAGTAGTGAACAAGGTAGATGGAGCAGGTGTGATCACAACAATAACAACTTCAGTAGAAGATGAACCGTTGCTGTCTGTGACTACAGTTGTGTAAGTGGATGTAGTTGGAACTGTGACTGCACCAGTAGTAGTGGTCGAGATGATAGAACCAGATGGGTGTGGTGTGATCACAACAATAACAACTTCAGTAGAAGATGAACCGTTGCTGTCTGTGACTACAGTTGTGTAAGTGGATGTAGTTGGAACTGTGACTGCACCAGTAGTAGTGGTCGAGATGATAGAACCAGATGGGTGTGGTGTGATCACAACAACAACAACCTCAGCAGAGGAAGAGCCATTACTATCGGTGACAGTGGTGGTGTAAGTGGATGTGGTTAATGCAGAGACATCGCCAGTAGTAGTAGTGAACAAGGTAGATGGAGCAGGTGTGATCACAACAATAACAACTTCAGTAGAAGATGAACCGTTGCTGTCTGTGACTACAGTTGTGTAAGTGGATGTAGTTGGAACTGTGACTGCACCAGTAGTAGTGGTCGAGATGATAGAACCAGATGGGTGTGGTGTGATCACAACAACAACAACCTCAGCAGAGGAAGAGCCATTACTATCGGTGACAGTGGTGGTGTAAGTGGATGTGGTTAATGCAGAGACATCGCCAGTAGTAGTAGTGAACAAGGTAGATGGAGCAGGTGTGATCACAACAATAACAACTTCAGTAGAAGATGAACCGTTGCTGTCTGTGACTACAGTTGTGTAAGTGGATGTAGTTGGAACTGTGACTGCACCAGTAGTAGTGGTCGAGATGATAGAACCAGATGGGTGTGGTGTGATCACAACAACAACAACTTCAGCAGAGGAAGAGCCATTACTACCGGTGATAGTGGTGGTGTAAGTGGATGTGGTTAATTCAGAGACATCGCCAGTGGTAGTAGTGAACAAGGTAGATGGAGCAGGTGTGATCACAACAACAACAACCTCAGCAGAGGAAGAGCCATTACTATCGGTGACAGTGGTGGTGTAAGTGGATGTAGTTGGAGCTGTGATAACGCTAGTAGTGGCCGTGTATATAGTAGATACTGGAGGCACAGCAACATCATAAATAATCTCGGTGACAATATATGCGTATTGATTAGTTGTAGATGTTGTCACCGTTGAAATAGTAGTAGCTTCAGTAATGAAATTCTCAGTAGTAATTGTCACTGTCTTTATAATGGGTTCAGATATCCATGAACAGTATGGAGAATAATAAAATTGAGTTAGGTATATGAAAGTACCACCAATTTGATAAAGAGGATCAGATGGTGTAACAGTAAAGCTTTGATGTTGCGTCTCCCAACCACCTGGACAACTCACATTAAACCAGTAATGGTGACCATCTATTGCAAAATTAATATTTGTAGATGCCAATGAGGTGCCAAAATTATCAGCAGCCCATGGATAATAGTCAACATCTAAGAATACAATCATAGACCCGATTGAATTCTTGACTATAAGTGAGCTTGGTACAATTTTTGGATTAATAATATACATACCCTTGTAAACATTGAAGGTTTGTTCTCCAATATTATTTGTGTTAATAAGAACAATTGACCCCTGATTACCAGTAACTTCACCTTGACCTTCTATAGGATTATTGAAAATGATACCTTTCATATCATATCTACTAGGGACTAAATAAGATTCTTGATTTATTAAGCCAGCAAACCCACCAGACTTGATAACACCATTATTTGTTATAGTACCAAGATAAAGAAATCCATTTGTGGTACCCCCCTTATCAGCTGTGTCATAGTCAATTGTACCTGTGTTAATGAAAGAACCAGTTGGGGCTAGAGTAAAGTTAGTACCTGGTACAGTAGCAGCAGCATTTAATTGTGAGACAGTGAATGTACCAGAGTTATCTATACTTGCAGGTGAAATAACAAAATCACTGGCAGAACCTGCTGATTTAATATTTTCGATGTTGATATTACCACTGTTTGTAATTGTCGTAGTAGAACCAAATTGTAGACTGGTTAAACCTTTTGTTGAATCACCAATAATATCTAAAGTCCCTTTGACATCAATATTGCCATTGAAGGAATATGAAGTACCTGATACCAATTCAAGAGTAGCACCTGATTCAATCACTATATCATCAGAAAATGTTTGATCACCTGATAAAGTTGTAGGTGCTGAAATCGTAGTAACAGCAGCATTTATTTTGGTCACGAGTAACCCCAGTAAAAACCATAAAATTAATATCTTCATTTTAATGATAACAAATAAACAATGGTTAATTGTATTTACCTTATCCTATTTTATCTAATTATTTTTTTTGGTTCGTTTCTGTTTGTAGTTATTTTGCATAAAAAGGCACATTGAAAGGGAGGATAAAGAAAAACAATCCACGCAATGTACGAAGAGCTGGAAAAAAGACGAAACAAAAATAAATTTACAGATTATATAAATATAGATAGAGATATGTTTATATATGTTTATTTTACCAGTGTGTATGATACATAGTAATCAATGATACTATCAAAAAATGAACTTAGAGAAATCAATATATTCTAGACTCCTTATTTTGGATCTATGCATGCAGGTATGTCTACGTTATAATCTGATTATTCTGAATCTGTGTATAAATGACGTAAAAGATTTGCATATCCTATTGTTTCTTTTTTTGGAAGGCTTCTAAATATTTTACGTGAAAATTTTGGTAAGTTCTTACCTCCTCAAAGCAAGACAAGAGTAGGGTTTAGAGAAATATTTTAAAAATTTTTTGTCTATTTTCTCAAAATAAATACATATAATGTTTCGTTATGGAACATCACATAATGTGGAGATATGGATGATTTCTACTCTTAAATTCCAGTTAGTATTCCCAATAATTCTGAATAAACCACTCTGCGTATGTTTCTCCTTTTCATTTATTATGGCTAAAGAGTAAATAGAAAAAGAGAAAAAAAAACTAGCTTATATACCAAATTATTCAATTATCTATCTCTAATTAGTCATTTATCTTATACATAAAAAATGATTTTATTTAGTAAAACTGCTAGAATAGAGTGTTCTAAATGAGAATGAAAAAGTGTTTCTGTTATCCAATATGAAGACACAGATTTGCAACAAGTGTTATACGGTATCAAAAAGCACAAGATAAGTATTAGCCATGCAAGCAATAAATCATAACTTATACTTAAGAATTTGGAATGATTATTATTTTTTTTATTTCATTATAAGCTAATGGGTTCTATGCGTTTTTTTTTATTAAAATATATTTCATTTATTTAGGTTTCATTTTAACATAGTTTAAATATTTCACCTAGTTGATAGGTCTTTGAAACCATATCTGTTTTACATTGTATGTTATAAGAAGGGCAAAGACTTGTTTTTATCTCCCTCCCCAAAAAAAAAAGATAATGCATACTTGAATTTTTCATATGATTTTAATATCTAGCAAAAAAAATTGAACAATATTTTAGATTTTTGTGCATTTTGTACATAACGACTATTGTTTGTGTAACATGTTATTTGAAGCAAAATGAAGAACAATCTATTGTTAACTTTTTTTTCTCAAGAAAACTATCGACTAACAATATGAAGAACTTGATTGTTTGTCGATAATTGTACAAATCTCTATAGTCCTAAAAAATTTTTGATAAATATCTCTTAATATTGTTTTTGTACACACATTATAATGACAAAAAAAATTTTCAGGATGATAATTTTCCTTAAACATTAGGACTAACGACTTTGCATTTAGAAAAGAAAAAAAGTTAAGAGCGTAAATAATAACGGCATTCTTTTTTTTTTTGTATTTTGGGTTTTGTGTTTTTTTATTTTTCAGTTTCTAAACCTATAAAAGGTTTCCAAAATTTTTCCTTTTTATATTCTTAGAAATAAGTTAAACCTAATCGAAAAAATGACAAAAAAAAAGAGTTTAATAATATTTTAGAATTATAGGTTACATTCGCAAAAATTAGAAGATATATAGGTAAAAATAACATGTGGACTTACTACTACTAGTAATTTCAATTGTATAATAAGAAAATAGTTCTTTTATCTGGTATTGTTTGAACATGCTTTAAGACATTATTAAAACCTAAAGCACACAGTATGTACCTCTTATAACACATAGTAAGTATCAGATATCTACCCTAAAGTTATAACCTTAAAATTTTTTTTGAAAATGTACCAGAAAAAAAAATAAAAACAGTAGATAAAACTGAAAACTCATACTATGCCACTGTTTTCTTTCCAAAAAAGCTTGTGACATCCGATTGAATTCTAAGAATGGAAAATTGTTTTTTTGTAGTTGCCCTTCTAAAATCTATTATTTTTGTTTTTTTTCCTTATTTCCTTTTTAGTACACATTGAACGATGTCGGAAAAACAAAAAACCCCTCACTTTATGCCTCATTTTACTTCTGTTCGGAAAATCATAGCAAAAAAATTTTTGGGAAGGTAGAGAGTTCTTATTTTCTTTTTTTATAAATATTGTTCTTCCTATTATCTCGTGCATAAGCCCTGTATTGTTTCCGGAATAGGGGGCTTTTTTCCGTTTCTTCTTTTTCTTTTAGTTTTGTGGGGAGTTAAGAATTTTGTTGTGGATTATAATCGTAGGTAGACTGGATTTTTGGCACATGTATCATTTGATTACCCTTATATTATATTATTTTTGTAACTAGAGATTTCGATCTCTTCTCCAAAAATCATTCACGAATTTACAATCTACAACCCATTAGTACTGTACAGTCGTATACAGAAATGTCTAGTTATGGTATAAAGAAAACATAGATTATTGTTTGCAATGAAAAAGTACTACAGAGCTATTGTTGCATGCATGAATGTGATACATGCAATGAAAACAATATATATCTGAAAAAGGTATGTAGAATTTGAAATATCAGCAAAAAATTTTAAAATTCATCAAAAGGGAAATGTTTAAACAATTGAACAAAGATAAATAAAAAAAAACTTTTCTTTTATATTTTCCACAACAATTATATTAACATATTTTACAATAGTTTTCATCATAGTTACCGTTCAACAAATAGACTAATATCAGCGGCTCTATAAATAGGTCTTGTTTCGTGTATTTTTCATTGTTTTCCTGTTTCATTTCTAATATTAAAATCAATTAGAATAGCCAATCTACAATCCAAATGATAGAATATTTGTATTGCACATATTTATTATCCTATTTCTATATAATTTATCCCCCTATTAATAATTAAACAATATAATTCAATAATAAAATTATTACCGAATTTATTTCTTTTTTTTTTTTTTGGAATTACTAAAGACTTTATTGTAACGTATTTGAAAGTAGTTTGTTACTAATTAGGTAAAGATTTGAAAATTTCAAATTCTTTGCAAGTCAATAATAGAATATTTATTTCTGTTGCTCCCCAACTTAGGCAGTAAAATATCTTACTAAATGTATACAAGAAAAATCTGGAGTATATTTATGTTATCTATAAACACATATCCATAAATTGAAATATACATTAGTTTTTCTAATTTCTTCGGTAGAGTTGTTACTTTAGTAATAGTACTAATTACATTTTTTTAATACTTATTATTAATATATATCAAAGAAAATTCTAATGTATTTTTTTGTTATTGTTGAGATCGATGGAAAGAATTCTAAAAACATGGAATAGTGATAAATATTTGGCAACTTTGGTTATAATAATAGCTATTTTTTTCCATTGTTGATTTCAATAGTTTATTCATTTTCCACCGTTTAGTTATCTTTGCTTTTATTTTGAACATTTCCTTTTTGGATGAATTGTGAAGAAAAATTGATAATTTTAAAACTCCATATTATCTTTTTACGAATCTATTGTTTTTGTCATACGCATTGTATTACGAACACATAACAATAATTCCGTAATAATAAAATTTTTATTACCGAAATTTGATACGAAAAATCCTTTTTTTTTTTCCAAACAGTAGTTTAGATATTTCAATATGCAATTATGCTGTACTAATTGGTTATAGGTGTAAGTTTATAGTAAAAATATCGTAGTCTTATTGTATATTAATCAAAAAAATATTTCCGTATTTGATAAGCCTATGGATAATTTGAAGAATTGACAGAAATAATTAGTTAAAAATAACAATTCATATAGCATTAGATAGAGTTTACATAAAATTTACCCATTTCCAGACCTTAGGCTACAATTTTTGAGAGATGGAAAATCTAAGTTTAAAACAAAAGCAAGAAAAAAAAGAGGAGAACGTCCTATTATTTCGAAAACAATAAAAAGCGTATTCAAAGTAGCAGGAAAAAAGTTCATGAAAAAAATAATGACCTACTCTTTTGAAAACTTTTTTTTTCACAACGATTTCCCGCATAATAGTATGATGAGTAATTGTGTTTTCCAAAAAGTCTTTTAGGGGGTATACCAAAAAGGAAATTTGGAATAGAAAAAAAATAAGAAAAAAAAAATGTTGCAATTATAAACAAAAAATTTGAAATTTCAAGTCATGAAACTTCGTATTCCTAAAATTTATTAGGCATTGCAAATTCTCTAATAAAGTAGCACCATTTCACAGATTTCTTGAAAAAGAAAAGAAAATTTTCAGTGTATCTTTAATTTTTTAAAAAAACCGCAATTTTAGTCAGGAAAATTTTAATTTATACTTCACGTTTTAGTAATGTTGTAGAAAGTATTCAAGTCAATAAATAAAAAGAACAATTCTCTTGTTGTACAGTTACTAGTGATATTTTTATTTTTATTTTTATTTTTTTCGCAGTATGCTCATTATATGCCTCTTGTACTTCGCCAATATAGTATATTATTGTTCTATAAGCTTATTAAACTGTATTTTTGTTGTATTTGTTAATCCAACTTAACTTATCTTCAAGGTTCTTTTAAAGAAGAGCTCTGAAAAATCTTTATGAGTCAGAAAAACTCAAGAAAAAAAAAAACAATAAAAAAAAGTTTAATAAAAATTTACGCCCCCTCTTTATTCCTTCCTAAATGGATGTTATTAAACCCCACATCTATGACAAAATTATAATACCTAGAAACTATTTACCAGTATTATGTGTAGGTAAAAAAATTCAGAAATATGTATCAAATTTTTAGAGCTATTATTATTTGCGCTATTATTACTAAACAATTGGATCCCCAATATTGTTAGCCGATATTTTTCGTAAAAAAGAAGTTTACAATAAATTTTTCAAAATCTTGGGTTAAATAACATATCACGTTTATAATAACAGGTATATACAATATATGCAAAAGTTTAGACAATTATTCAACATTTTCGTGCTAGATGTAGGGATAATGTGAAAATTTTTATCTCCGTTATTTTATTTCTGATAAAAAAAAGCTTGCCCTTCTTGCAACATATCAAAAGAAAAGGGTAAAATTTTAAAGACCTACCAATTGTGAAATATCTAAAATTTGAAAAACAAAACCTAAATGAATGAAATTTGTTAAAAACTAACACAAGATCCTGACTGACTTATAATGAAACCTATAGTTGTTACAAATTCTTAAATAATATTGTGGTATGTTATTAAAATGCCTGATTTTTAATATCCAATTTGATAAATATGTAATGGGAACTTTAATTGAATATATATTTGTTGCCATCTAATAACTATAAATATTAGGTAAATTAAATATCTTTTCAATTACAATTACTATGTATTCAATATTGTACAAAATTCAAAATAACATTCTTCTCTCTGCTTTATTATATAAAAAACAAAAGTAATTATAAACAGAAATGTAAACAAAAATAATACTATGACACAAGAAGATTTGTGGCCTTATGTATATGAATGTGTCAAGTAGTTTCCTTCTACAAATAGCATGAAAAAATATTAACTAAAGAGTTTCATTGACGATTACTAATATGAAAACAACGCTGTCACAAACTTCTGCCTTTTTACTTTTGCTAAAAACTCATTGTTCTGTTTAGTTTAGTTGACAGGAATCTAATACAGCAATTTCACTAAATTAAAAATAATCCCAATGTATGAATTTGGTGAAAAACTAAAAAATAACTAGTTCGTGATAGAAAATTAAATAGTAAAGCATATAATTATATATCTTCTTTGTTCAGTTTTTATCCTAATACATAACGAGGAGAAAAATTACACAGAACATCTTATCCATTATTATTAGAAATGGTAGCTAGAGGCTACAAGTAAGAAATATCCATATTTCCACATTTTGCCATCCTCAATAGCAAGAAGAACATTAAATATATATATTTCGAGAAAGAAAAAAAAGGAAAAATACTTGAAATCTTTTCATGTACCCTACTTTGTTTTTCTCTAAAAGACAAGCACTTACTTAAAACATTATTTGTGGAATTCGGTAAACCTATAACAAAATGAAAAACAATAGAATCTGCAGATTTTTTATACCATTCCAATATCTATCCGAAACAATCAAAATGCATTATATATGTATAAATCTAGAATAAAACCCTGAATCTTACTCATTGTTCTAGTTTCCTTCCTTACAATATCATTGAAGAATATCTATTACACATACCGATTAAAAAAATACACATATATATATAAGAAAGTGTATTTCTAGATCTATACATGAAGTCCGTATGATCTAATCTTTATTTTCTCGATTTCTTGGGTCCTAATATATTATATAAACTGTTCTTTTAATCTTCCTATTCTTGTATGTTTCTTCCTCGAAAAATTTACTAGCAAGTAATAAAGAGTTAATTAAAGTAAGAAAAAAGTGAAATAAAGTATAATTAACCATTGTTTATTTGTTATCATTAAAATGAAGATATTAATTTTATGGTTTTTACTGGGGTTACTCGTGACCAAAATAAATGCTGCTGTTACTACGATTTCAGCACCTACAACTTTATCAGGTGATCAAACATTTTCTGATGATATAGTGATTGAATCAGGTGCTACTCTTGAATTGGTATCAGGTACTTCATATTCCTTCAATGGCAATATTGATGTCAAAGGGACTTTAGATATTATTGGTGATTCAACAAAAGGTTTAACCAGTCTACAATTTGGTTCTACTACGACAATTACAAACAGTGGTAATATCAACATCGAAAATATTAAATCAGCAGGTTCTGCCAGTGATTTTGTTATTTCACCTGCAAGTATAGATAACTCTGGTACATTCACTGTCTCACAATTAAATGCTGCTGCTACTGTACCAGGTACTAACTTTACTCTAGCCCCAACTGGTTCTTTCATTAACACAGGTACAATTGACTATGACACAGCTGATAAGGGGGGTACCACAAATGGATTTCTTTATCTTGGTACTATAACAAATAATGGTGTAATCAACTCTGGTGGATTTTCTGCATTAACAGCCAATGGATATCAAGACTATGTTAGTAGATACAATATGAAAGGTATTATCTTTAATAATCCTCTAAAGGGTCATGGTCAAGTTAGCGGCAAGGAAGGTGCTGTAGTTTTGCTTAACACAAATACTCTTGAAGGACAAACTTTCAATGTTCACCAAGGTTTGTACTTAATTAATCCAAAAGTTGTACCTGGTTCACTTAAAATTGATAATTATGTCAAGTCTATATTTGTGTTCTTAAATGTAGACTATAATGAATGGTCTAGTACAAGTTTTAATAGCATATATGTACCTCTTCGGTCTAATTATGAGATATATGGTCACCGTTACTGGTTTAACATGACTTGTCCAGGTCCTTCATTTACAGTGACAAATAGTTTTGCTGTTCAACCATCAGATCCTCCTTATCAACTCAGTGGTAGCGTTATATACATAGTTAGTCAAGAACATGGTAAGTCATGTGCATGGTTATCTGGTCCAGTTACAAAAACAACAACAGTTACTACTATGAATTCCATTACTGCAGTTACTACTCTTTCAACTGTAATAACATCTACAGTTAATCAGTACTCATATACAATATCCGAAATCATTTATAATGTTGCTGTCCCTCCATTATCTACATCCTACACTACCCTCACCACATCAATCCCCACACCTATTATATCTACTTACACCACCACACTTGTCGACAGCGACGGTTCATCTTCTCCAGAGGTTGTTGTTGTTGTGATCACTCCAGCCCCATCCACCTTGTCCACTACCACTATTGGCGATGTTACAGCCCTTACAACGTCTACCTACACAACCACACTTGTCGACAGCGACAGTTCATCTTCTCCAGAGGTTGTTGTTGTTGTGATCACCCCAGCCCCATCCACCTTGTCCACTACCACTACTGGCGATGTCACAGCTCCAACTACCTCCACCTTTACCACTATCGTCACTAATAGTAACGGTTCATCCTCTACCGAAGTTGTTGTTGTTGTGATCACCCCACATCCATCCACATTGTCCACTACCACTACTGGCGATGTCACAGCTCCAACTACCTCCACCTTTACCACTATCGTCACTGACAACAACGGTTCATCCTCTACTGAAGTTGTTGTTGTTGTGATCACCCCAGCCCCATCTACCTTGTCTACTACCACTACTGGCGATGTCACAGCTCCAACTACCTCCACCTTCACCACTATCGTCACTAATAGTAACGGTTCATCCTCTACTGAAGTTGTTGTTGTTGTGATCACCCCAGCCCCATCTACCTTGTCTACTACCACTACTGGCGATGTCACAGCTCCAACTACCTCCACCTTCACCACTATCGTCACTGACAACAACGGTTCATCCTCTACCGAAGTTGTTGTTGTTGTGATCACCCCAGCCCCATCCACATTGTCTACTACCACTACTGGCGATGTCACAGCTCCAACTACCTCCACCTTCACTACTATCGTCACTGACAACAATGGCTCCTCTTCTACCGAAGTTGTTGTTGTTGTGATCACCCCACATCCATCCACATTGTCCACTACCACTACTGGCGATGTCACAGCTCCAACTACCTCCACCTTTACCACTATCGTCACTGACAACAACGGCTCCTCTTCTACCGAAGTTGTTGTTGTTGTGATCACCCCAGCCCCATCTACCTTGTCTACTACCACTACTGGCGATGTCACAGCTCCAACTACCTCCACCTTCACCACTATCGTCACTAATAGTAACGGTTCATCCTCTACTGAAGTTGTTGTTGTTGTGATCACCCCAGCCCCATCTACCTTGTCTACTACCACTACTGGCGATGTCACAGCTCCAACTACCTCCACCTTCACCACTATCGTCACTAATAGTAACGGTTCATCCTCTACTGAAGTTGTTGTTGTTGTGATCACCCCAGCCCCATCTACCTTGTCTACTACCACTACTGGCGATGTCACAGCTCCAACTACCTCCACCTTTACCACTATCGTCACTAATAGTAACGGTTCATCCTCTACCGAAGTTGTTGTTGTTGTGATCACCCCAGCCCCATCCACATTGTCTACTACCACTACTGGCGATGTCACAGCTCCAACTACCTCCACCTTTACCACTATCGTCACTAATAGTAACGGTTCATCCTCTACCGAAGTTGTTGTTGTTGTGATCACCCCAGCCCCATCCACATTGTCTACTACCACTACTGGCGATGTCACAGCTCCAACTACCTCCACCTTCACTACTATCGTCACTGACAACAACGGCTCCTCTTCTACCGAAGTTGTTGTTGTTGTGATCACCCCACATCCATCCACATTGTCCACTACCACTACTGGCGATGTCACAGCTCCAACTACCTCCACCTTTACCACTATCGTCACTAATAGTAACGGTTCATCCTCTACTGAAGTTGTTGTTGTTGTGATCACCCCAGCCCCATCTACCTTGTCTACTACCACTACTGGCGATGTCACAGCTCCAACTACCTCCACCTTCACCACTATCGTCACTAATAGTAACGGTTCATCCTCTACTGAAGTTGTTGTTGTTGTGATCACCCCAGCCCCATCTACCTTGTCTACTACCACTACTGGCGATGTCACAGCTCCAACTACCTCCACCTTCACCACTATCGTCACTGACAACAACGGCTCCTCTTCTACCGAAGTTGTTGTTGTTGTGATCACCCCAGCCCCATCTAATAGCGTCATGACATCACTAATTTCTGTATCATCTCCTCTTTACGGAAACTCCACTATTCCTAACGAAAAGACTATAACTACTTTGAGTAGCACTTTGGTTGTTTTGACTACGGTTATTAATGGAGTTACTGTGACTACAACTTATTGTCCAGAACCATCTGAAATTTCCAGAACAAGTATGACTGCTACCATTGGACATGGTTCTATTGAATCTATTTATTCAAAGAACCAACAGGAAGAGATTAACTCATTTTCTGCTGTTTTCGACGCAACTCCAGTTATCTCTATTATTTCCACCACCGCTAGTCCGACATTTACTAATAATGAAGATCAACCAACATCTAGAAACTCTAGAGGGTCTACTACTGTAGTTGGTAACGCTGAGTCTGGAAGACCAGAAACATCAGTACCTACAATGGTGTCACAAGTTTCCCAATATGTTTCAGAGCAATTCTCCTCATCACCAACTGCTGTCACCATATCTCATGGAAGTGCACCTTCTCTTGCATCATATGAAGGTAAGGGTAGCACCATATATATGAAGTGGAGTGTTGCCCATTTCATTAGTCTATTATTATTTATGATTATTTGAGTATGAATAATTTTGAGACCGGGAATACTAAATAACTAAATAATTAAATAATCAAATATTTCTATATAAACAGAAATAATACCCCAACACTGTTCATACTGTTTATTTTCATTATTTATTTGGTTATTTCCCAAATATCTTGTATAGAAAAACAGATTTGATCATACCTAATAAACCATCGATTTACATTATTCAGCGCAACAAATTTTACTGTTGTATAATTTTGAAGCCAACTGATGATCATATTTTAAAGAAACTGAGATTCTTAAATTCTTTCCAATTAGGAAAAATTGTAGTTACGAAGATCCAATACTAATTTAATTCAAAAATAATAATAAAAGGTTCGTCACATATCTTAAAAACTGATACGATATTTCTCTATCCGTAGTTGTATCCGAAAAGTTAACTAAATGAGTGATCATTAAATGTGAAACAAGAGTATCATAAATCTTTTTCTTTTCCTATTTTCTAATTATTTCCTCTCTTTCTCATATATATACGTACACACAGGTATAAAAATAAGTAATATATATATGCTAATTTGATAACACTATCATCCCTTAAGTCAATTAAGTATATATATATATATATTAATATAACTATGCTAACTCTTATTACTTTCATTTTCGACTAACGGTTCCACTTCTACTTCTATTTTAGCAATAAAATATTCGACCCCAAATGAAATGACGTATTCAAGATCTTTTATTCTCACATAAACAGTAGAAAAATACCATACAATTACTCTAGTGATACGCAAAGAAATGAAAGCTCTTTTTATTAGCATAACAAGAAGCATAGGAAAGAGAAATAACATACTACTTCCCAAATGTACAGAATTGCACACTAATGATATATTATACTTACTATACATGTTAAGAATATTATGCACAAAAATGTAGATATACAGCATACGATAACAGCTATGCTCTATTGATCAGTTACTCTATCGTATTTCTTGTATTTTGCTGGGCACAGAGCTTGCAAGATTTCACAACATACAGGAGAATTTCCCCTCTACACTTGAAAGATATTGTGATAATAATAATTATTATTATCCTAAGATTTTAATAATGTGAGAATTTTCTTTTTAAATAAGGAACATGTAAAAATATTACAATGGTTATTTGTTGCAATTGGAGTTCAATACACGGTACTAGACATTGACCTGTAATAGAATCAGATTAATTCTCGAAATCAATCGGATCTACTGACTACTGCTTGAATGTCAAGTTGACATTTTTTCATGTTAATATTTCCACCACAATTTCTTTTTCAACGTGTTCAATGTTCGAAGATCGAGATAAAATCTCTCTTCATTATATTATTTTTTCAAACGTTAAAGTAAGATCATCTGAATAAGGGACACAACGAAATTTGTTAAGCAGAGAAAGTAATACAGTAGAATAAAATTAAGATATAACCAAAATATTATTCATTATATCAAATCAATCTGCCCTTTGTCATCATTATAATAATCACTGGAAAGTAGACATAGATTAAGTCCATTCATAATAAGAATAGAATTAGCAAAACTAAGGATTTAGTGGGATATAAGAAAAAATCTCATACAGTGAATTAGTAAGGGATAGTGTTCATGTAATATTGGAGTATGTTTTAATAGATATATTTATTATGAAAGTGGTGGTAACACAAAAAATGGTCATATTTATTAATAAACATCTTCCCTAGTTACAATATATGTATGGAGCAGGCTGTTTTGAGAGTATTCTCTATAGTCATTTATGAATGATTATTAAGTGCACAATGGTGTAACTATGCCATATTAAATAATGGTTTGGTAATGTTCAGAGTTATACTATATAGTAAGTATATAACAACTGATTATTTATGGTTAGATGAATCTGTATTATTTATATGGCCGTCAATGAAAGTGGCTATTATACTTTTTTTTTTTCAAACTATTTTTTCAAATTTTGAAACAAGGAAAATTGCCAATTGAAATTTGAATAAGAAGAGATAATGATAGCTGATGCTAAGAGTAATTAAGTGTAATATGTTTGTGTAGAATTCTTCTTGTCTAAGACATAATATCAAGAAAAGTTGTATATTAATGTGGAATTCATAGTTTAGGATTGATACCATACAATCTACCAGTTATTAATATCTAAATGAAGCAAGCAGTTCAAGAGCAAAGACATGACTAAAACCAATAGTGGTTAATATGAACTTAATCTACTATGTATAAATCCATAGTAAAGATACATGTTGATATCATGATAACAGACACTGTGAATAACATTATATGTTAGAGGTTTAAAAGAGCAATAAAATTTACTAGATGATATTACTATAGTAAACATAGAAATGTGACTGTAAGTATGAGATGTAATAGAGTAACCATTAATGGATCAGATTAATTCAGTGTATTATGTTAATGTTGTTTACATTGTTTTTATATCCTATATGTGAAAAGAAAATGATCAAAATTTATTTATCTATTTATTATCAAACAAATGGCTCTACCGTTGTTATTTTTATTCTTTCGAAAATCGTGGTTCACTCATATTTTGTGATTTAAAGAAAGAGATAGTGATAGATATGTTTCAAAAACTTTTTAGAAGGAGCTCATTGTTTTGTTTACCTTAGTATAGTAGGTGAATTAAGTATAAATTGTTCATATAATCATTTGATATGGGAAATAATTTTTACTTTACCAATATGAAAAGATATCTTGGGTAGTTTTTAGAGAATTATGAGAAATATTCTGTGCCTAATAATACAGAATTATTTTCCAGAAAATAAGATCGATCCAAAAACAATCTACGTGTTCTATACGTAGTGAAAGCCACAAATTTGAAAAAGCTGCTTACGTTTTTCATTTCAAAGAAGACCTTGATAAATAAATTTAAGTTGAGCACTATGCCATATTTCTACTGTTTATGATCAAGTATTTATCCTATGAAAATATTTAAAATGATATTTAATTTGAATAATCTTAATTGTTTACGGAAGTATAATTTTGTAGATTTAACATTTGAAATTAGAGTCTCAGGGATGCTAATATGGTATCTCCTGGAATATAGTAGATTTAAGGTCTAACGTTGTTATGTTTTAAGTATTTAGTAAATTGGATTTCTCGTTTATTGAAAGCCCATACAAATAATATATATTGTATTTATTATTAAATACATATTAATCTTTCAAAAAAATTACCAACGATCTACCAAAATCAGTTTTTAACAAAAAAAATCTTGTGAACATACGATATATTATATTGGACCCTACTATATCATAATCCAATGTTGATAGTTATCCCTACGATCTATCAAACTGGATCAAAGGCCTCTTTAAGTAAGTTTTGCTATGATTTTTCTTACGTGGGTTATTTGATAATCGACTACAAATACTCACACATTTTAATTTGTATTATTGACAACATCAGTTCCCTTATCTCATCATGTTTCAGAACATCAGATGTGAGAATTAAATAGTTACAACTTAAAAAATAAGTACTCATAATCAACCTTTAGAGCCTAGCATAATTTTTCCATATTTGTAAGTTAGACAATCAACAAATATGATCATTGTTGTTTATTTATTAAAACAGGTCCCTTAACACTAATTACAACTTTAGATATCTGCAAGTTTTTGTAATGTTTTGGGTCGATCTTCTCATCACAAGATTGTATAGTAAGTTATTCATGAAACAGGATATCTTGTTTTAATGCTATTTACAAAACGTGAGAAATTAATAATAGCTAAATTAGTATGAACAGAATATAAACAACACCCTAATACTCTTGATTCTCAAAATTCTTGTGTTTTAACAACAATACAGCCAAAACAGCATGAGTTAACATATTCAAGACCTCAAGAACTATAAATATACGAAGAATTAATATGACATTTTTCAAACTTATGAAAACTACTGTTCTAGAAAATTGACTGTCATAACACAATGGTCTTTCCAAACTCAAAAATAAGAGAGAAGGAAATACTTTCAGAGATAGTTTTGTGGATTGTGATTTCTTTGAATAATAGTAATAGTCATAGCATATGAATAATTATTCTGTAAATTTATAATCACCTCCCCCACACCTCACATTAACAATATATATTTTGTTATAGTATATTAAAGTTGTTAAGAATTGGCGCTCGTAGTCATTGGATAAATAATGAACATTCTCAATACTATAATTGGATAGCTATATTTTACAAAATTGTATTAAAGTTCTTCCATCTTCCTTTGTATGTATAACATAGAGATGATAATATGTGAAAAGTATGCGGGAAAAGGAACACGATTTGAAAAAAATGTTGTCTTTGTGTATGTTAAATTTTGTTACTTCCCTTCTATGAATGGCAGAAATTAAGCAAGCAGTTTCATTAACATTTTGTGACATGTAAACAACAGTTCCTCAACATTCCAGTGGTGTTATATGTTGGAATCCCATTGTTCCATTTGTTCCGTTCTCAAATATTTTATTTCGATGACATAATAAAAGTAACAGTATAATACAGAAATTATTAACATTCAATAACAAATAATGGAGTTATAAAACCACAATAATTTAACTGAATATTAATAAATAATCCACATATACCAGTATAATGAAAGTTTAATAAACTAGAATAGCAAAGAACACTTTAGATAGACTTCTATCCAGAGAAATTGAAATGCTAATGTACTTTATTTAATAATTGAACTATGATAACATCTGGGAAGGCATACTGATATTTTAAAAACACAATATATATTATCACACTATGAATATATTGAGATGTCACTCTTAATACTTTTCAAAGATGGTAGGTTATTACCACTATTATATACTATATCATAAAGGGACAAAAATAACTATTTTCAATTGTTCACCATGAGCACATACTAATTCATGTTAGAAATAAAATATACCACTGCATATTGAAATCTGGTTTTCTGTTTAATGAGAGTCCTAACATCACTATTTAAAGATAATTACTATAAATACTCTGTTTTCTTCTCTTAATCTACTTTTCATCTCATCGTTAATGGA